ATAAAGTAGAAAAGATTCTTAAGCATAAAGGTACAGATAATATAAGAAAATATCTTATCAAATAGAAAGATTACTTAGCAAGCGAAAATTCTTAGAAACTATAGAAAAATATTAAAAATGCTTAGGAAAAGATAGCTGAATATTGGAAAAGGAAAACCAACATCTAAGACGATTGCTCCGCTCCGAACCGAGATCCAGGGCTCTCAGAGATCCTATTTTCTAGAAAACTCAACTAGTTAATCACAGAATTCCTCAGATTCACAGAATTCCAATTAAAACCCTTAAAAGAAGAATCTCCAGCTATAACAGCAGATTCCTCAGCTATCACAGCCTGCACTTCAGCAGCAATATGCACCCTCTTAGCCTTAGCCTTCTTAGCTTTCTCTTTCTCAAGCTCTTCAAGATTCTTAAGATCTTAACAAATAGCTCGAGATATCCTCTTATGCCACATCTTCTTTTGTTAATGCAATTGAAGCAGCTTTAACTCTAACTCTTCTATCTTATTCTTCAGCTTTTGATACTAAGTAGAAATAAGAAGAAGTTCAATAGCATTCGTTAGCTCCAGAATGTTGCACTTAGCGCGATTCTGGAAAATGCACTCCGAGCAACAGAATGAATCGTAAGAAGAAACGATATACAATTGCAAGCCTCGATTATTGCAGTAAGAGCAGAAATGTATATTGAAATCGTTTGAAAGAATAGATTGAAGAAGGAGATTTTTCTGCTTCTTTTTATTAGAATAAGGATTCAAGGATTTCGGTTTTGCAACTTTGTTAATTCTATTCAGCATCTTGATTAGGAAGGCAAGATTATAAATACAAAGATTTGCTAGAATATTTACAGAAGATTATTAGGAATAATGATTAATAGAAGAGAGATGATATTATGATTTATCCAATATGTAGATTACGAAAACAGGTTACGAGTAACAAGGATTAGGTATTAAAAACCCAACGTTCTAACAAAGCAATGATTATATAACTCAGAGTTAGAGTTGTAAAGAAGGAAGGATTGTTGGACTTGCTAGCAATCCTAATGAGCTTCACATCTTGAATTGCTAAGCTTACTAGCGATCCTAATGAGCTATACTGAAGAGCTGGATATATAAGAATACATTCATTACTATTAGATGGATTCAGTATATAGCTCTTCAGTTGTTAATCTAAGTATTCAGTCTTCTATACTGAGTAGCTCCAAAGGCAATGAATACTTGCATTGCTTACTAGGACTTGTACGGTTCCGTATTCAAGGACTTGATACTTTGATACCGCTCTTGTTAGCATAAATCCTCTTTGTGTACTTAGGAATCTTCGGATTGCTGCAGTGCTCATTACAAGTAGCGATAAACGAATAACTGCTCTTTGCTGTAGCAAGAATATTGATAGAGCTTCGCTTCCATAATATATTACTAGGTAGCAATATGAGCTTTACTAAACGCTTGAAAGACTTTCACAACTTTCCCTATCTTGAGAATAATAGCTAAATAATGAGCATAAAGATTCGGAAAGATTGTGTACAACAAGGTTGGGAACTTGCAAAGGCGCTTTTTTCTTTACTTAAGCATCTGCTATCCGTGCTGCTGTTTATTAGTAGAGCTCAGCAGCTTCTGCAGGATCTGTAATCCAGGAACTGCAAGAGTAGGAAGCTACATAAGAGAGAGATAGTATAATAATCTGCAGATGTGATGCTATTTGAGATACGAGATAGCCTGATAGCATATCAGATAGGAAAAATAAACTTGAAGAAAATTAGAAGATGTTTTATATTCTAGAAGCATAGCTGAAGCGGATATCTGATAGCAGTAAGAGCAACTTTCCAATCTTCTATAGTTCTTCAGCGCATAGCTTCATAATGATTTAGATGAGATCTATTCTCTAGTTATGATTAATATTGCTATTATTAAAGCTTTTCTATTATATATTATTCAATAGTTTAGTTGAAGAGATTGATATTTGAATAATAACTTATTAGTAGTAAACTCTGTATTGCATTTATCTCTTCTGTAGTGATTATATATTCATTACTAATATTCATAAGGATATTTTTCAAACTCTTTATGCTCTGGAGATCAGATATTCGCTTTCAACTTGCTCGAGTATTGTACTGCAAAGGATCGAATGACTAGAGAGAAGATAATTCTTATATGCTGCTAGAGAATTTAAGATTTTCTTCTGCTAGATTTGTTAGCATAGTTATTACTATTTGATACTTAATATATATAAAAATTGTTTTTAATAGCATTATAATTATTTTCATGCAGTTAACATTATTTGCAACTATCTTTGCAGTAGTTTCCTGCAGCGCTAAGTAAGAAGCTGACTCTTGCTGAAAGTGTTGCAGTAACCGGTAACTCTTTCCAAAGCGTTTCAGTTCATCTATAACGCTAACTTTATCTCTGACTTCGAGCTATTCTCTAATGTATTTATTCTTTATATCTGCAGTAATATATGCGCATTTTCGATCTGTGCATGCCTAGCAGAACTTAGCATTTTTTACTGCAGAACATTAGACTTTGTAGCTGATTGATAGCACAAGCGTTTTGCATATATGATTAGTTTGTATAGACTATGTTAGAGGTTGTGTTTTCCATTTGTTAGAGCTCGGTTCTGAGGCACTCGATACATGGGATAGGGCGGGTTGCTGCGATTGACGCGCTATGCACTGGTTCTATTGTAGGAGAAGCTATAGAGCTGGGTAATCTGAATACGCTTGCCTGGTGTGGCAGACTTGAGAAGAAGCAGGCAAATGAACTTGTGGAATCAGAGTAGGTATGTAGAAAGAATGGAAGGCTTAGATGCAGTTTGTTTGTATTGCATAGCGCGCCCCTTTAGTGATATTAATAAAGAAAGTACTGGGTTTTGAAAGGATAAAAGTCTTGTTGCTACTTACTAGCTGGCGAGATAAGAATGAGATAGAAATTGGCAGAAGCTTTGAGCATAGATAGAAGCTTACTTGTTGTATAAGCTGAAGGAAAAGAGCCTTTTTTTATAAAAAGAAAAAAAGATGTTGGGATTAAGCGATTAATGCTATTGCTATATCAGTATACTGATACTTCGTGATATGTTCTCTTCAGCTCGGAGAGGCTTATTACAGGCTTTAGTAATTTCAGATTCTATGATATATAGGAGATACCTTTTCAGCCTGGAGAGGAATTCTGAAGCTGTTATCAGATTAAGATAATATAATTAGCATAGATGTCTGTACGGGCTGAAGAGGACTTTGAGTATTCTGATTTCTTTTGTTGGAATACATTAGGCGTGCTTCTTAACAAGGAGAGAGATTCATCAGATATTACAAGTACTGGCTGCAGTTTGCTGATATTGGGATAATTATTGATATCTGTATAAATAAAAGTGCTTATTTAGTACTTATAAGCAGGAATAAGCCTTATATTATTTATTCTCCCCTCTTCTTAATTGCATATACAGAATACTACTCATATATCTATAATTCATCTACATATTCTCTTACTGCATATTCAGTCTGAATTATCTGCAGTATTATCTATATTATTAATAAATATATCATAATATAGCAAATCCTATATATCTGCATTCAGTATCCATTCTTTGCTAGAAGGAATAGGGATTCTCTCGAAGGCTATATCTCTGAACAAAGAATAGAGAGCTGTGATGTAGATCTTAATCCTATGCAATTCCATTGCCTTAGCCACCAACTCTTAGCAGAGTTGCTTTTCTGCTTATATACAGCTTGTTGCATCTGCAAGCAGGATCTCCTTGCATAATATCTTGTGCTGAATCTCGAATGCAGTATCTGAAATCCCTTTTTTATTTGCTTAAAATGCCTTCATTCTGTTAGCTAGTGTTTATGGAATCTGATTACAGGCTTCTGATGATTCAGCATATCTATTGCATCTATTCCGCACTTTCAAGTAGTTAATCATCTGAACATCCACAGATTAAAGAGAAATATTTACAGTTTCTCTAAGCTGTATAGCTGAGCTTATACTTGTAGCTGCAGATTTTGCATAACTGAAGAAAGCAAGTAATACATAGCAAAGCTAGGATTTTCAGTGCTATGGATATAAACTTTGTAGCTGATAGCTGTTTGCTGTTATTAGGATTATTAGTTACGGAGATCTCTTTCGTTCTTGATAGTGAGGGTAGACAAGCATTGTTGAATGTAACAAGCTCAGATCTCTTAAGGCTACTTAGGCTCTCTTCTTCCTGCCCATTCAGCCCCACATTAAGCTTGCTTATACTGGAGATGATGTTGTTGGAACTAGCAATAGTGTCAAAGTTGCTTTCTGTTGAAGCTGGAAGCGCTTTACTGCCTAGGATTGGGGAGATGGAGGAAGACTATGATTATCTAGCTTGCAGGAGCTACAAGGATATCTTGTTAGCTATATTATATTATGCAAGCAGTTTAATCTACTAGCAGCTTGTACTGCAAAGAAGTATTCTTTGCATATATTAACAAGAGAATACTTCGTTTGGAAGAGTCTTGGGAAGAGGAAGGCTGAGTAGTGCTGGGGAATGAGCTTAGCCTGTTTGCAAGTGCAATGCTGCTTCGGAGCAGCTGCATAGTTAGCACTGCAATTTCTGGTTATTTCTGTAGAATTCTTGCCAGCTTTGCTGCTATTATGCAAGGTAGGATGATTATTATCCATAATGTTAAGGCTGCAGCTGGAATCTCGTTGCTTTTTGGAAGCAGCAGCTAGAATGTAGTATGGATAAACTTGGTAGTCTTTACAGAAGGCAAGAAGATTGGCTAAGCTCAAAAGAAGGTCTTGAGATATGGATTCAGAAGATTATGAAAGCGCATTAGCAGTAAACACAGTTGGATGTTTACAACAATCAACTACCTTCAACAATCAATTACCTCATATAGCTAATACAGCGAAAGGCAAGTGCTTTTAGCTTCTGCAACAACCTACGAACTTAACTTCCATATTAACAATTAGAACATTAACCCTTTAAGCTCTTAAAAAAAAGCGTATTTTCTTATACTCTTTCTGTATTCACAAGATACATCCATTTCGTTAAGGCATCTTATTATTTAGCTATTATCTTTAGCCCATTTGTTATCTGTACTATATCTGATGCATATGCTACTCTTTCCAGACCAGCTCTCTGCAGAAGATTTTTCTTTCTTCTATTGACTCCCGGAAGCTTCTGAGTATTTCTCTGATTTTTATACGCATCCTAATCAACCGGGTGGTCCACGTGCATCTTCGTGTTTCTGAGGAAAGCAGCTATTTCCTGGCGGATGGGTTGGGGAGGGAGCTGAGCGAAGCGAAGCGAGGAAATAGCAGCACAAAAGCGGGGGCGAAGGTGAGGAAAGAAAAAGAGGAATAAATGGAGCTATTCACAGTCTATTATAGGAACAAATGGCGCCCGCAACCGGAGTAAGCTTGCTTGCGGAGGCTCCACGGTATGCTCCTGGTATCTCGTCGCTTGCCAAGGTGCTTGTACTTCGGAATATCAAGTATTTTGGCGTCGATTTCTGTATCTGTGCTGTCTTTTTGTCGTCTGGTAGCTGGCATTTGCTGTCTAGCATGTAGTTGTCCGTGTCTGGAAGCTTCCGATCCTTGTCCGTTAGCTTCCTGTTCTGCGTCAACTTCATCTATCGCTCTCTGGATGAATTTCGTTTGGGAATGCTCTTTCAGATCATCCCTGGCGATCTTGAGAGCAGACGGGAAGTCGGTTGTTTCGTCTGATTCGTACCCGAAAAATGCTGGTCGGGAATGAGGTCAGTCTTCGCTTTTCTTTTTTTCCTTTTTTTTTTTTTGAAAAAGAAGAAGAAGAAGTAGTAGCTCTTAATACGAAGAATTGGTGATAATTATAACCTTGTGTGGGTCATTGTCTCGAAATAGAAATCATACTCTCATCAACAAGGTCATGCTTCCCGAAACGTACCTGGGTAGTTGAACAGCCACTCGTCGCCAATTTCAACTATACTTGTTGAGTCTATCTGAATGTTGAACGGGATACTCTTTTTCATTATGAGTCGGTGATTCTTGATGGCAGAGCTTCGATTCCTCTGTGACAGTTCCCGCGAAATCTTTCTCAAGAGATCTAACACTTCTTCGGTGCCTCTGGTATCGAGCCTAGGTTGTTGGGCCGGCATTGGAACTTTAATCGGATCCATTACTTTTTTGACTCGTCCCGCGTACGTCAACAACAGAAATGGCACCTCGAACCCTGCGTGGAAGTAAAAATGTCGATATCTCTCGTCATCGAAGATCTTAGGCTGCATCGCCTCATCGATTGCCTCGTCGCTCTCCCCTGGAACCACCCCGTTGAACCCCGTCAAGCGAAATAAAACATCGAGAGCAGTCTTAACGAGTTCTCTCGGCGTCTTTTTGTTGATACGCTTCTCTAGGCTGCCCATAGCAATTGCCAGAGCAAACCGGAGGGTGGTAGTCCACGTGCCGTCGTCGTTTTCGTCATGTTCAGCCTGTACTTGCAGTGTAGCGTCCCATAGTTCCTTGTATGTCAAATCCGTCAAGAAACTCCACTCCTCGCCATAAAAGAATGCAGTGTCCCTTGCATGCAAAAGAAAACGAGTCTCCCTCGGCGAGCGAGTCAGTGCCAGCATTCTTCTGCGCACATTCCCATTCTCTGCGGTAAATCGTCTCAGTACCTCCATTTGCAGATCGTTCGCGTTGAATTTCTGCTCTCCTGTGCCGACTCGAAATGAGACGCTGGCCCTCATTCGCGATATCTTCACCTTGGGTTTTTTCTCGTCGGATAGCCGGTCATCGTGGGATAGCCGGTCCTCGTTGAATAGCTGGTCCTCGTTGGATTGCTGGTCCTCGTTGCGTAGCTGGTCATCGTAGGCCTGAAGGAACGATTCACCCAGATTCAGCACAGACTTGAGAGCAAAGAAGATCCAAAGGTGGTCGTCCAGCCGAAAGATTTTCATGTCCTCCTTCGTTGCATGGGGCCATGCAAACTTGCCGCGCCTATCAGCCTTCTCCAGGGCCGTCAGCCACTCCGTCAATACCCCTAACACTGGGCCATGTGCAACCTCCCGATCTTCATCATTTTGCATGATGCTGGAAAATTGTGTGGCCTTCAGTAGCTGAAATGGTGTATCTGTGAGTGCTTCGGGTTCTAACCATGTCCATGGGTCGGGCGGCTCATTAATGAACTCCCCAGTGACACGGTAATTCGGTGCAAAACAGCCATTTGGCATCTTTTTGGTGTTCTGTATCCATCTGAGATGTCCACGACACACAGAGTAGATCCTTTCCAAGAGATTTTGAACTTCTGATCTCGTTGACTTGAGATTTCGAAGTCGCTTGGCAATTTCGACCAGGAAGGAGAAGGCAAAGCTGCGATGCTTGTCAGGGAATGATTTGAAGCGCTTGATCTTCGTACCGCCATGAATACTCACAAACTTGCAGAATTAGAGACAAGGTGTCCAGAAATGTCGCCACATGTCAGTGCCACCATCTCAGGGGTACCAAGTCGACTGGGTGTGCGTATTCCGCTCGAATCGCCTTGAGCTGGCTTTGTGCCATCAGACTCGAGTGAAGGCTCCGTCAGAGGAATGGCGCATACAGAGAGAATGTGCTCCAGGTTGCGGCGAACCATGAACTCGATATGGTTATCAGGTGATCTGTCAAACCTGCCTACGGGACTGGTATATCTAGTCGATGATTTTTCCTGGTTGTTGTCTGAGCTGTCCTTGTTGTCACTCCGAAGTTGAGAGATGAAGAGGTCGGTCGGTTGTAACTTTTCTTCATTAAGAAATTTGTCCACGTCGGCATCACATGCGGGAATAACGAAGTTCTTCCAGCTTTCTTGCGATTGATCGAGTTTGATCAACCTGAAAGCTATGACGAGTTCCATCTTTCCCCCGGGCTTAATATTGTGACGCCAAGAGTAAGGGTTTTTGGGATCCGAACCGGGGAATTTCAGGGCTTCGCCATTTTTGAAAATGGTCACAACAGTAGCAGCGGCGAAGGGGGGTGAGCTCCTAGATTCTAGTGACTCTTCGCCAGCCTGATTGGATGAAGGTGGTCCTGCTTCTGTCGATGAGTTTTGTTGTGCCCCAGTCGCCGGAAACTTATGGACGCAGACCCAGCTATATCCATGAGGACCGATGCGACTGGAGTATGCTTCGGCTTCGTCGTTGGAGTCGGCATTGTTGAATGAGTGATTGTTATCAAAGCAGTCAAGCTCTCGAATCAGGATATGTCCGCTGAACTGAAACTTTGCGTTAAAAGGCCTTTCCCCCAAGTTGCGAACTGTGGTTTTCTGCAACACCGTCCCGTTATGAACCATCCACTGTATCACTATTCTCGAACTTGGCAGTTTGGGGTGACGATCAGGAGAATTCCTATATTCGTAACAAGGCCATCGCCAATTGAGCCACTTTTTGTCAGGAGATCCCGAGTTGTTGCTCATGATATCGCTTAGGGGTCTCTCGAAGACGATGCCAAATCGTTCAGCCTGCTCGACCTTTTCTGTCAAGTCGTTCAACCAATCCATCCTATCCTGTACTTGATACGGAACTGGGGTCCACGCAGGCACCCGCAGGGCATCAACACGATCAACGCAAAGCATTCCTGACTTGCCGACGCCTGCTCCAAGGAATCGGCTGAGTTGCATTATATTACCAAATGCGTCCACGGTCGCAGTTGTACCACGGTCTCCAAACGATGCATAGCAGTTTTGCGCATGGTTGGGTGAGTGTTTCCAAACACCATGCCCTTTGTCGTTCTGTAGAGTGGTTCCTGCTTCTTGGTCCATGCCCTCTTGGCCTGTTGTTTCAAACGGACTTAGAATATTGAGAGATACGCACTTCAGGCTGTCTTTTGAACAGAAGAGAGGAGTAGGAAGAGCGAGCAGGAATGAAGCTGAGAACATACGTTTGATACATCCCACATAGTCTTTCGTGAGAAGGTCCTCCGCGTCATCCCAGAAGACTGAGTCCTCGCCTCGCGTCCCGTCCGGGACACCAGGCTCCACGTTCATTGGGGCGGTGGCGATGATAGATCTTCCTGGTTATAGAGCTCCCAAAAATCAGATAGCTCGAGGGTGACGACATGAAAGCTTTACCAAGGTCTGTCTGGCTGGGAAGTAGAGCGTAGTTTGGAAGGCTGAGAACTCATTTAAATACTTGAGTACTAAGTAGTTATGATGGGAAACTGGCGATATCACATGTATATTCATTGATTACGGCCGGATTATCTCCGCCTTCGGTCCTACATGCGAGGACGCGAAGATCTCACTCGCATTGGCGTGCAGCTGCGTGGCGCTCGCAATGTATCTCGTGCTCTGCTTTGATTGGAGTGTTTGCGATTCAGCTCAATATTTGCAACAACTTCAGGAAGGACGTTCTTGAAATTGCAATATATCACATTTCCTTTGCGGCGGTTGCTTACTCAACAGCGCATCTATTGAGGCAGATTCCCTCGAGTGACAAGGCTCAAGGAAACATGTGAAAAAGCCTTATTCTTTTGCGGGAGTTGCATTCTCTGCCTCTTACGTCTTCATCGGGGGGACGAGGGGAAAGGGAAAAAGGAAAGAAGGCAACATTGAGATCCGTAAAGGAAATGGGTCGGAGAATGAGGTTTCAGCGAGGCTCGTAGATGGTTGTAGAAGAGCGGGCTATTTGACTCCTCACTCTATGATTCCCCTTACATGAACATTGAAGCGAAACAGAAATGTTTCTCCGGCAGAGAAATTTCCAGCTTAGAGATAATGGAAAAGTACGAGAATGCCCACCTCAGGTTTGAAGATTTCCTTACAACTTCGGATGCCAGAGTACTATGTGGCAGTACAACACCACCTTGGAGCCTCTCGTCTACCAGTTGACGCAAATGTACTTACAGATCGCAGCATCCACCAGTTTGATGTAACATTAGAATACAGCGGTATCAATTTTTATTGGCACGGTGCATCCCGTGATGATGCAATGTAAGTAGACATAGCCATGCCTTCTAAAGTCTAATAATTGTCTTCGCAAGCTTATCTGACCCAGATTGTGGCTTGTCCCCATCAGCCGCCCTCCCTCGGGGCATCGGCAGCTCGTTGTAAAGCCTCTTCATGTTGCTCAAGTAGGACGGTCGACTCAATGCTCAGAAACCTTGTCACAAATATCCTCATCCCGAAAGGATCTCTTCGATACTTGTTCTATCCCGTCGTACACGGGGCCATCGGGGTTGTAAATGGTACTGATGGTCCCAGAAAGTAGCGCTGTGGTGGCCTTCCGAGGCCATGGAACATGGCATGCTGCTGGTGCCTTCCCCATACCGGTCATGATTGGGTATCCTCGCGGTTGTTTGTCGTCAACATTGTCGAAGCCTCTCTCTCCCCCTCTTTATTGATCGTTATGCTGCGGACTCAGAGGACGACCTCCTGCGGACCAAGACTGACGAGGAAGTCTCGTGTCATCTCGAAGCTCAGCCAGCTCGATGCCATGCTGGGTGCCACCTTCAAGAGGTTCGGCACAATACCCTTGTACATTCCCTTGATGCCCTCCTGGGCAATGATCCGGGACATCGCATCACCTATTGATTTGTATTTGTAACCCATGCCACTCATGGTGTTGATTTGAAATCGCCGGCGGAGCACATCACTGTCTCTTGTGTCAGCCTGCGCGCACGCACACACACACAGATTCGTGTCTTCCACCTCGTTGTACATCTGCGTAAAAACATCTAATGGTCGTTACTCACAAGGGATAGGTGCAGGTCTGCGCGACCGCACCAGAAATGGCACCGGCCAGAAGCTTCCGCACGTTATTAGGGTTCTTGTCGCCCTCTGGGGTCAGAACCTTGCGCACGTGCTCGTACACCATGAAGTTGAGGCCGACGTATGGCGCGACACCGGCGACGGTGGGAACGATGCCTCTATACAAGGCGAGGAGGCCGCCCTCAGTCTTGTACATGGTGACCATGGTCGCCCACATGCCAGGCATCTTTCCAGTATGGGGCCGCGACCCAAGGTCCGCGAAGCTGGCTGTCTGGATCGAGAGACGGGTGCGCACGATGTCGAGCGGGTACGTGAAGGTGACGGACGTGATGCCGGCGAGGCCACCACATGTCAGGCGCATGAAGGGGCCCAGGTCGGCGCCAGGGTACGTCTCGAAGAAGTGCCGCTTGTAGAAATTGTAGCTGCCGAACTGGACAGCCGAGTAGGGCACAATGCGCACACAATTGGTCCCGTTGCCGCGCATGAAGCCACGCCAGCCCTCCTCCTGCCACATCTTCTTGAGCGCTTTGCCTACGGAGAGCTTGTACTCCTCGCGACCGGCGGACTGGACTTGGAAGAGAATCTTCAGGCGCTCGAGGGGGGAGACGACAGTTCGAGACACGGCACCGGCGACACCGCCTGCGCAAAAAGCCGCGACCACCGGTTGCGAGATGAAGAGACGAAAAGAGTCGAGGGGGATAGGAGGAGGTTGTGGAGGAGAGGTGGGGAGATTACTCGTCGGGGTCTTTGCAGCATGGTCAGTTGGCTAGAGGCGCAATGTTGGCAATGTGCATTCAAAAGCAACAAACACATAGAAAACAAGGACAACAAACAAGGCTGCAGAACAGAGAGAGGAAGGGGAGGTTAAGCTTACAGTGGCCATGATGACTATCCTTCACACCAGAAGCTTGACTAGGATTACAGGACTAGGTGATATGTAGTGTGGTAAAGGTGTTGGTGACAGCGTCACTGGGGAAGGTTGGGTTGGACAAAAGTCGTGTCGTGTACTGTGGGCATTCCAAGCGCTTGGAGAGTTGGCTCGATTTGGTAGAAGGTCCAGAAAAGAATGTCACAGGGCAGGGAAAGACGCAGTCGTCAGATGGTAATCTTCTAGGAACCAGGCTGAAAAGGAGAAGTAGACATCGTGGGGTTCGTCAGGAGGAGGTGCGATGTCGCTGGAGGTGTTCATAGGTGACTGCTGGTCGCTGACATTGGATGCTCTGGGGGCATTGATGAGTTAGCCAGAAGGGCAATGTGCTGATTGGGGTCCAGGAGAGAAGTAGATGATGATTGTTCAGAGCGGAGCATCATTCGTACCTCTGTGGTGTTGTTCTGCAACGCGACTTGAATGGTTCCTGACACACTGGCTGGCCTGAAGGGGGCTTCTCGGGTGCAGAAAAAAAGAGCCCTGACGTCAAGTTGAACTTTGGAGGAGTATAGTACTCAGGAGCATCCCCAAACTGAGCTGCTGGTCCAGGGACTTTTTGCTCCGTCCGGCTGGCAACAGACGAAGCCAGGGGGAGGAATCCAAAGAGGGAATGGCTCCACTGTAATGCTGCAAAGGATTCAACCGATTCAGCTGGGAAACATTGCCTGGAGGTGAAGTAGTGGCCAAGAGTGATTTGTGTCCAAGGAGATATACTTTAAATACCACACGCGACAGTGGAGAGAAGGCAGAAAGAAAGAAGAAAAAAACAACTCATAGCCACACCAAATCCCAATCAAAGACAGCTATTCTAGTCTCGGCTTCTAAAAGCCTCTGCCAACCATAATCCCATAGTACATAGTACTACGGTATGGCCGTCCATAACCCTGGGCTAGCGTCCCCTGTAGCCGAGGACCCCCTGTTCATTACCAGTCTTGAGTGCTACCATTAGTACTCCGGTACATCTGTCAGTGCCTGCGCAGCTTTAGCTTGTCACATTACCATCGGGCCTGAGCCTCTTGGCTGACCTGTTACACATCACACTTCCCTGCTCACAACTCCAGGGCCAGACATAAACACCTGGGAGGATCCTCCAGTCATTTGTCTCACCATACCATATGTGACTTGTAGAGCAGACCAAAAAGTGACAATCTCCTGTCAAGTGGGAACTTTTTCTTTTTTTTCCGCCGTTCCCATCAAACGGGCACCAGCATGAACACGGGCCAGAATCCAGGGGCGAGCGAAGAGGATCTGCAAGATGCAAGTCATCCACCTGAGCTCACTGAGACAATGAATGCCATCGCCAGATGATCCGTCTTACTCAGAAGATCTCTCCACCAGATTCCCACATCAGCACATCCAAGATATCCCGTGTGCTTTCTCTCTCTCTCTCTCTCTCTCTCTCTATCTGTGTGATTGCAGAATTCTCACCCTGCCACCTCTCAAGAGGAGGAAGGGGAGTCATCAGTGAGAGCTTATTCAGCTACCTCAAGCGTCCGCTGATTGGCTGAAAAGCAGTGGTGGATTGAGAAGATCGACTTCAACTTAACTCAAATGAGAACTCTTAGCAACACTACTCAATTGTAACGACATTGACTTGCCAGAAATTGCAATTGCCCATTGATCAATTTATTTTTCTATAGTCACTACTCACATCTCGGATCGTGGCTAGACCGGGAGAAGGATAGGCTGCTGGTCGAACTTCAACGGGCGTACGAAGCGAGGATCCAAGCACAAGAACGTCACGATGGTTAAGAAACCCGCGCCCAAGTCAGGACCAAAATCAGGCTCATCAAAGCCACGCCCGGCAAAGCAGACCGGGAAAACCCCGAGCGGAAAACAAACTCTCGAGTCCGGCGGGCCCACCCATACAAGTGAAGAGCAAATGCGTCAGGACACAGCACACCAACAAAAAATTCTCAATATCTTTCAGTCTACGTTCAGTTCCGTCCTGTTGTCCTCGGGCTTCAACACCCTGCTTCAGGAAGTCAAGTCTGCCCTCTTCAGTCGTGACTTTGAGAAGGCCTTTGGTAAGGAGGACTACCTGGAGGCATACGCTGCGCGATGGAGCCCCACGAGAGCACTGTGCTATGCTGCCGTCCTGGACGGGATCAGATCACACCTAGAGCAGCTCTGCGGCAGGCAGCCTCAGCAGGATGAGGACGGCGAGGGCGGTGACGAGAGAGCCAGGGCGGTGCTCAGGGTGCTGGCGATAGGAGGAGCAGCGGCAGAACTTGCGTCAGTCGCATCGCACCTAAGCCGCCAGCCTCCAGAAACAGCTGGGTCGATAAGTCTACTCGATGTCGCCTCCTGGGCAGGCGTCGTCGACAAGCTTCAGACCGGGCTGACAACACCGCCAAAGTTATCCAAGTATGCCAGCGCAGCGGCCCAGGCAGCAAATACGGCGTTTGTGACGCCCTCTAGGCTACAAGATGTGGATTTCAAACAACATGACGTCCTCGCCCTTAGTAGAGAGGATTTGTCCATTCTCATCTCACCCGATTCCTCCTCCTCCTCCTCCTCCTCCTCATCCCAGTCAAAGCCCGTACTAGTCACGCTCCTCTTCACCCTCAACGAGCTCTTCACAGCAGCCGGCATTGGCAAGACAACCACATTCCTCCTCACCCTAACCTCCGTCCTACCTGCCGGGTCTCTTCTCCTCGTCGTCGACAGCCCCGGGAGCTACTCCGAGACGACGGTCGGCAAGGAGGCAAAGCGCTACCCGATGCAGTGGTTGCTCGACAGGGTACTTCTGGGCGCGGAACAAGATGGGGAGGAGGAGGAAGAGGCGGCGGGCTGGGAGAAGATCGAGGCCAAGGACTCTGTGTGGTTCAGATTGGCGCCGGAGCTGAGGTATCCGATCGCGTTAGAGGATATGAGGTATCAGATGCATTTGTATCGCCGGGTCATTGGGAACGGGAAGATAGACGGCTGAGAGAGAGGATGCCAATGCCGGAAGCATTGGACTAAGAACTAGCAGAACAACATTCTAGCGAGACAACAGACGTGAGGCATGCATGCTTTGTTGCGCTAGCGCTTGGCAGTTGTAAAAGAGTAAACAAAATACTCGGAAAAAACACTGATACGTACATGATCGCTCCATGCGCGAGGTGGTTATGACCGGGCAAGACTTTTACTCTGTTGATACCTGATATCATCAAGCCACTCATTCTCTCATTCGAGGAGGCACCGTTCCTGTAGGTTTGAATATTGATCTGGTTTCTGTGTATAATCTAGTGTGCTGTGTACGTTGAGCGCAATTGTGTTTTGACCGTTTGCTCGAAAAAGTCCATCCTAGTGCTTCTGCAGCTTCAGATGCTGTAATGTGTATCAGGCTAGGCTGTCTCCAGTCTACCACTTCACAAGCCATGTGCAGCCTCAGGTCTTCGTCCTCCGGCTCCGTACTGGGTCTACTAAGCCCATACAAACCTCTTGATATTATACCCCAGCGTCTCAAGTATACCCACGTTCTTCTTCGCCTCTGCCAGGCTGACAATCTCTCCCTCCTCAATGATACTCTCTCGCTTCGCCTCGGCTGCCCCGGAGACGGGCTGATTCACGAACGCCAGCCTCTCGATCTCATTACACACGCTTGTCACGAGCTCCGTCTCGCTCATACGGCTCCCGCTGGTGCTATTGCTGTCGGCTATGGATGACTTGGCATACGGGGCCTTTAGAGCTAGCGTCTTGGTCTCGGGAGCGGGTGGTGCTTTTCGGTTGAGGAGGCCCGTGAGGCGGTTCTGCACGGCGTTGGGAGGGTTTGGCGTAGACGTTTTGGGGTCTTGGGCGGTCGAGGGCTGATCGGTGCCCCCCTTCACGCTGGATAAAGATCGGGTGTTCACGCGGCGGATGTCGTTGGAGCCTGGCTCGTAGGTGACTACGAGCCCGATATTTTTGCGCTCGTCCGTCTGTGTGGATGAGATGGTTGAGGTGATATATGTGCCAAACTTGATGTGTGTGACATGGCTCAACTCCACGCGATCAAACGATGAGACCTTGTCCAGGTTCCAGTCGAACCGGCACAGGTACATCGCGGTGTCGGTGAGTAGGAATACAATCTCTTGGAACGGCGTGGCTGTGAGACTGTTGGTCACCGCAGGACTCAAGAACGTCCAGCCACCGATAAATTCTTCGCTCTCATCAGACACGACTCGCTTCTGGCAAAGCTCGATGGCCTGTTCTCGCATCTTCTGAATGGATACCGCAGGATCCTTGGTCATCATGTTGGCTTCAAATTCTTCAAAGACGAAGGAGGTCACGTTGCCAAGGAGGAAATCGATCGTGGCTTGGAGAAAGAAGTCGTTCACCATGCTATTATCCCATCAGTCAGCATTATCTTATGGGATCGCATCGTAGAGGGGTAGAAGAAACTCACCCGTTGTAAAATCTTGTCAGGCCCAGCCCAGCATCCGTCAACGCACCCCTATAATCCCTCCTCTTCGTCCTGGTATAATCACCCTTCATAGCTGCGGTGGAGGCATACTGCTTGGAGATTGCATCGCCATTGTCTGCCCACAGCGTGTTGAACCACGAGTTCACCTGGTCTTGTTGCGCCGACATGTCGAAACCCTGCGCCTTAAGCTGTGAATCCAGCACGTACTTGGCAAATGAGCTCTGGCAAACGTTTGTCCTGTCCAGGCAGTCCATGCAATTCGTGCGTACCACGCCCTGCTGCTTGGTTTGTATATTGCCATCCCGTTCGATAGTGCTGCCGAAACTGTCGAGCTGGCCCTTGAGAGTCTCGATAAGCTTTTGGACGTTTTCGAACTTCATACCCCGGCAGGCGTCGTGGAAGTCGAACCACTCGAAAGGAATTCTGCCGGCTTCGTTTGTCTCCTCGTTGTATTTCTCTACTCCTTTCTGGTATTTCTCGCCGATAGGTGCCTCAACACCATGTTTTTCAACCAGGTTAGCAATCTGAAGAGACCCATACTCTTTATGTAGTCTGTCAAAGTGCGTCTTCAGCGCTCGGAAATTTGCCTCCTCTGAGTGTTGGAATATGGGCGAGGGTTTCAACGAATAGGGGCTTTGCGTGAAGAAGACCGGTATGCTGCCTCTGACTTGAAGGAAAGAGTGCGCCTCGGAGTTGGGATCGGGAGTCTTGTGAGAAAGAATCTGCTCTGTTTCCACCGAATTGGCGCAGAATCCTATGGATCGATTAGCTGGTGTCCGTCTGTTCTTGCCTGGATGCGACTAACCTTCATCATCAATGCCTCGCCTCAGGTATCTTAGTCCAGCCCGTTTTACGGACCGCCGGGAGATGATAGTGAGATCGAACTGCTTTTCTGATGACTTCAGCTGCACAGGTGCTCCCTCATTCGGAGGCGATGATGGATTCGACTCGGTGCTAGTCGGCTTCGCAGCAAAGTCTCTCATCTCTACAGAGTCCTTGAAGTCATCCACCTGCAGTGGGTCGCTATCGACTGTGAAGGTCCTCTGACCAACAAATCCCTTCATTAGCGGCAGCGCCAGTGAGTCTGCACCCGCGTCGATGAAGGGCCGTGCCACATTGTGGTTCCAAAAGTACATCGGGTCAACCTTCTGGTGCAGCGGCACATCTGGCTGCGCGGCCCCTCGTGGCTGCTTCGCCATGCTGCGCGTCAGATCGTAGTCATACGAAAAATAGTAGCTCTTGGACGAGCCAAACAGGATCTGCGTCGTGCGCAACAACTTCGGCAACAGCGTTGGCGGCGCCAATTCCTCCTCTTTGGCTTCCTTCACCGGCACACCCGCAGCGTCTGGGGCGGCCTTATCCTCGCTTGTCGCTGCGGGAGACTGCGGGTTTGCAATTGCCTCTGCGCCTGACATTGCATCCATCTTGTCCTTGTCCAGAGTGTTCACGGCCTCCTCCGACCGGCTCATACCCATGTTCCGCTTTGACTCCTGCTGCCAACCGCTCTTACTGAACCAGCGCTGTGCGAAACGGCCATAGCTGCCCCGTCGAGACATCACATCCTGAACCACGCTTCCAGGGGCTCCCGCCTTACCGGCAGGAGCTTTGCCCTGGCCCTCTGTCGAGACGGGCTCGTCATCGTCGGTGGGCACCTCGTCGCTCTTGATAGACTGGGCGTCAAGGTCTATGTCCGTGTCCGTGTCTGCGTCTGTGTCTGCATCGGACTCATGGCCCGCTGTCTCTCCACCGGTCTTTACGTGTAAATGTGTCGCAGTCTTGGCAACAGACTCATTCGCGTCGTTGTACGAAGAGCAGGGTGTCAAGGCAACTTCGGTGATGACATAGACGGGCAGGCCCCGAATAGATGCGACCTGCTGGCGGCGGGTGATGGAGACGAGGTAGCTGAAGCGGGAAACGGTCACCAGGCCTAGCTATATGTGAGGACTATGATCTCGGCAGCGACGGGAGAGATTCCAAATCTGCGCATGAAACGTACCAACAATTCCGAAGGCCTCGAAGGACGAGTTAGGCTCAGACAAGTCCGGAAGGGCATCTCGAGATGCAAACGAGATAGCGGCATCTCCATAGCGTATCTTAACCGGCGAAGACGACCTCTGTTCTTTCCTGGTAGACAAGGGTTGTATGAACAGTCCGTCTACCGCGGCAGCTATAATCACCTTGCGCGCGAGGGAGGAGGGCATCTTTCTCTTGCGTCGCAGGCAGCGAAATCGGGCATGGCAGGAGACAAATATAGGATTGAGAAGAAGATAACAAAACTAATAGTCTAGGTATGCTAGATGGGAGTCGTCATGGTGTATATTAGTCTAGGAGCTGTTTGTTTAGCTCATATGAGAGGTGCGAAGGTATCATAGTATGTTGTGGTTGGTCATGCTATCAGGCCAAGCACGTCTCAGATGACGATGTTGAGGGACCGCTCATGGTGGGGCAGAGGTATCCCGTAATACCTCTGGTAGTACTACTGCAGGCATGACGTACCTGGCTTGGTTAGGCCGCCTAAGTACTTACTTAGCGGCTTCGGAGACTGCAAGCTGGGTTAGTGGGTCACCGTCTACTTGCACAGAAGTTGGGGGCTCGCCATTTCCTCGAAATGGAATTCGCGAACTTCGTGACAAATACAAAAAGAGAAAAAAATAAAAGACGACAATTGTTTCGAGACAAAATCCAAGTAAGGGCTTATAGAGGTTATCTCTTCCAAGGTGATTAAGTATGGATCAGATTCTCTACCCCTTGCTCCGTCTATCTGCACAGCGGCCAGTTTGTGAGCCGAGGGGACGGTTGGTCTTTGATGTGCTGTGACCCTTAGTGGAGGACCTTGATGGCTACAACACTCTGACCTCATACTACCTTTTCTCTACCTCGCCCCTTCTTCACACTCACTCTTTCTCTTCGTTTTCTGTTGTTCTTCTCTCTTCTTCTTTTGTACATTATCAATGCATTATGTAACATCACAGTTTCATTTCCCAAGACATGATCCTTCTTGTACGCAGTTATATTTGGCATTCTGCTCCTAACTTTTCGAACTCAATACTTATACATAAGCAGCACGGTGCAAGGTCGCAACATCTGCCTGACATTTGACAATTCTGGAATCCTTCCCGTCAGGTTTCATCCGAAGCCACATCATCTGTGGCACGTCTAGATTGACCGAGAAAGAGGTTTCGTTCTCCCGAATGTCGATCCGAGGTCGCTCCTCGTCAGAGCATAGCCCTGATCGGGCGGCCTTGACGCGGCCGTGAGCGACCGAACTCAAATAGCTAAAGGGGACAAGGGTAGTGACGAGAAATGATAGAATGAATACTTCCCCTCATCTCATCATACGTGTACGGGTGGTCTGGATACAGCTTGACGAAGCAGAACTACTTACTCCGCATATCAACCACGGCACGGATGCAGTCACCCCCGTGCATGGCCTCAAAGGCGCTATTAATCTCGGCCAGTGTCTTGCGGTGCGTGATGAACTCGTCCACCTTGAGCCGTCCCTCGAGGTAGTCAGTCACCAGGCCTGGCAACTGGGATCGGCCCTTGACGCCACCGAAGGCACAGCCGCGCCAGACACGTCCGGTCACGAGCTGGAAGGCTAAACAAGAAAGATATGGCTTTAGCACATGGACCTGTGGATGGCCTCGAGGGAAAGGGGCTCCGGGGGTGGCCTTTGGGGGGGGGGGGGGCTTACGCCGTGTCGAGATTTCTTGACCCGCTGCAGCAACTCCGATGACAATACTCTGACCCCAGCCCTTGTGGCATGCTTCCAGGGCGGCCCTCATGACGCCGACGTTGCCGGTACAGTCAAAGGTGTAGTCGCAGCCTCCGTCCGTCATCTCGATGAGCTTGTCTTGGATGCTCGTCCCCTCTGGCAGCTTGGACGGGTTCACGAAGTCCGTCGCACCGAACTTCTTCCCCCATTCCTCCTTGTCCGGGTTCAAGTCGACGATGATGATCTTCCCAGCCTTGTTCACCACTGCACCCTGGACAACACTCAACCCGACGCACCCAGCACCGAAGACAGCGATGTTGGAGCCCTCCTCGACGTTTGCTGTAATCCTGGCCGCGCCGTAGCCCGTGGTAATACCACAACCCAGGAGGCACGTCTTTTCCATCGGGGCATCCTGCTGCACCGCCACGACGGAGATGTCGGCCACGACGGTATACTGCGAGAAGGTCGAGGTGCCCATGAAATGGAGCAGATCCTTGCCTTTGCACTTGAAACGCGTCGTCCCGTCCGGCATCACTCCCTTGCCCTGGGTAGCCCGGATCTTGCCACACAGGTTCGTCTTGCCCGACTTGCAGAACTTACACTCCTTACATTCTGGGGTGCTGCAGGTGTCGACGTCAGCGCTGCAGTCTCCCGCAGGACCTCCACTGCTGAAAAGGAGGGGTCGATTGAGACCCCCGAGTTGATCTACTTGGCCGGGGAGGGGGCATGAGGGGAAGGGCAGCAGGAGAGGCCGAGACCGCCGAGCGGCCCAAGGCGTAGAAGAGAAATGCAAAAAGAAAACCAAAAACTTACTACAGCGCGACGACGTGATCGCCAGGTTTCACATTTGTGACGCCCTCACCCACAGACTCGACGACACCGGCGCCCTCGTGTCCAAGGACGATGGGGAATGCACCCTCTGGGTCCTTACCCGAGAGCGTGTACGCATCTGATCATCCACTGCAGGTCAGCTCTGGGCGTTGGTCTATCCATCGCCCTCGAATCCTTGAAATTATGTAGAGCCGCGCGACATTGCAGAAGTTAGAGGGGACTGCTGACCTGTGTGGCAGACGCCAGTATAGTAAATCTCAATGCGCACCTCGTGAGCCTTGGGCGGCGCTACCTCGATGTCCTCCAGCGTCAGGTCCTTGCCAGCCTCCCAGGCGACGGCCGCCTTGCAGGTAATTGTCTGGATAAATAAGCTTCAGCTGGTGCATCTCCTGCTGTTATGTTCTTGGACGCCATTCACATGATGGACACCCTCGTGCCATCTGGATAGATATGTAGGTGTTTTGTTTCTTTCTTTCTTTCTTCTTCTTTTGGCCCGGAAGGGGGGGTAGGACATACTTTTCCCGCTGTTGACGACATTTTAATCCGTTGTTCTTCTCTCTTGACCAAAAATTACCAAGTCTCAGAGAGGTTCGTGAGTGCAGCGTCACGATGTTCAAACCACGAGCTCTCAATCACGAGTGTGAGGAGTCAGGTGGGAGGGGGGTCCATTTGCACGTTTTGTAACTTTTGGATAATGTGCATTTTCCCCAAAACACGTAATGACAAGTGCCATTGCTTCCCACAGATGCTGCATGGCAGTCGCCTGATGACGCTCTTGGAGAAATACCCAGTCAAAGTCTATTGCAAAGGCGCAACAAGCCGTTCGGCGATATCACGGCAAGTTTGGTGGGTGGCTTCTGCTGATGTATCATTTTCCCAATGGTTGTGCATCTTTGGCAAGCTTTTGCCACCACTTACCGCGGCGTATTCTATTGGTTGCAGTGCTGCTTGCACATTCATGTCAAAATTTGTTAATATCAAGTGCAATGTAATGAATCATGATATTTTCTCATTTGAGGATTGCCCTGTTACCATACGGCCCCCTTCTGCTCTTCCCTAGTGACGGCCTCAGATGTCGTCATCTGGGTCAGTGTCACAACGTCTCAGAAGGAATTGTACAGTTCGAAAATCAAGGCCTTCTTTATGTACAAATCTCCCAGTCTAACATCGTTTCCCCCACCTGCAGCCGATATCATCCCGCTACCTCTAAGGGAAACGGCAGGTGCTTCTCTAGGAGATGTGAGAGCGGGCCCAGGCACAAGCGTCACCGCCAAAATCACTGGGGCTGTTCTGGGTGGCAACACCGCGCTCGCGCCTGGTAAAACCGTAGCCGAGGGCGTGGTCGTTGCTAGCATGGGCCTCGTTCTGGTAAGAGGTATCGGGAGCGGCACCGCCTCCCATGGCGCGCTTGCCGGCGCATGTGTCGCCGGCGTGGTGCCAGTCGTTGGAAGAGGGCTTGGAGAAGCTGGTTTTGTGGCAGGAGTAGTTCGGGACGGCGTATGAACGGTCGCGGTAGCCAGGGATCTTGTCGGACGGCGCGCTGGTCATCGCGCGCTTGGCGGCGCAGGTGTCACCGGCGGCCTGCCAGCCCGTCGTGGGGGACTGAAAGTTGAAAAGCAGATCCTGGCGCATCATCTCCATGTTGATGCCCTCCGGGACCTTGTTGTTAGGCCAGGCTGGCTCGCCGTCAGCGCTACAACCGTGAGGCTTACCGCGGCGGTCCCAGTCAGTCTCAGCATCATGGTTGACAATGGGGTAATCAGCCTCGTAGCAGGCACGAACTGGCAAGTCTTGTTAGTCAGAAGCATCATGTCCCACGGATTGTGACTTGTAATTGAAACAGGTGAGGTAATTTTAAGCACTGGGCAGGTAACGCACTGTAGTCATCCTCATAGTTTCCAGTTCTCTTGACAACCTCAGGCTCAGGTCGCTCATCCTTGCGGTGACCTACGGCATAGATCCTGTACTTCTCTCCAATGTGGACATAATCGCGCTTCATCCTGGTGGTAGGCTTCTCAAAGCCTCGAGGACCAAAGGATGACTTTTTCTTGTTAATTGCTGACATGAGGGACTCCTGGACATCATCCAAGAGTTTGTTATCAGCAGCTGACTGGAGCTCGCCCTGGCTGATGATCGACAGGGTCTCATCATCGCCTTGACTGGCATATGGCTGTGGCTTTCCATCCTTTTTGATGGCACCTGGCTGGTCCTCGTCGTCCTTCTTGATGGCAACATGCTTAGCTTCACTTTGATTAGCAGCCTCAGGTTCCATCTCTTTGACAGCATGGCCAGCCACCTCCTTCTTGTTGGGATCTACTGTAAGAGCACACAATTTTCAGTTCCAGTCAATCTTGCATCATGAGGTATCAGAAGGTGTACAACACCAAAGAGAGGGGTTGATGTTGTAGCACACGCGTGCAGTACGCGTCGTACCAAGATGGGAATGTCGGGTATGTCACGTACCCTGGTTTTCCTTCAGGTCCTCAGACCTCTTGGAAGCCATCTGGCTGTCAGCTTTGTCGTCTTGATCGGACATGGTTCTGATGGCGCTGGAGTGTTTCTTTGAAGTTGGTTGAGGATGGTAGTGTATTGTCGGGACTGATGGGTGCTTGTTTGTTTGGAGCCCTGGAGTTGAGGGGTAAGGAGGACAACAAATGTTGGACTGGGTGACCTTTCTCCCTGGGGCTTAGTCATGAGTAGCAAATGAAACTCTAGAAAAGATGTCATCTCCACACTTGTTTGCGGTCGTTCAACGTTGGGGTTCGGAAGGCAAGGCTCCAGCGTTCAGGGTTTCATTCGTTGGTGCTTCCTGCCTCCTAGTATTCTTGCTACTACTAATAGCCTTCTTTTCCCACGCCCCTCAAAGGTGCTCTAAACCTCGTGTGCATTGTAAGAGAAGCGTAACTCAGAGATCTTGTTCAATATCCTTTTCTTTATGGCGCAGCCTGAAAATAATTCCGCCTCTCAGTTTGCAACATAGTAATGAGTGCTCAGCAAACCTCCAGCAACGACAACGTCTATCCAACGATCTTTCTTGAAATATATTTCAGATATATTGTTTTTATGAAAGATGTCGTCATCTTCACCTCATGGTAGCTACTTGATTAATCTTGCATCGCATTGACTTTTCTGTCATGAGCTTTTCTCTCGGAATCAGCTGCTGCAAAGTCACAAATTACTGATTTACTGCAAATGTCTCATGCAAACAACACCTGCATTCTGCAACGATTTCATTTGCCAGTGAGAAAAATAACCTCCAATAACTCATGGCCTTTGGTTATCACCATTGTCCATCAATCTGTGCATTTTCTTGATCGTACTGGATGTGCTACGAAGGCGACAGAGGCAATTTGAGCAGTTGACCATAGCCATCATGCGAAGCTACTTTTCAAGAGAAGATACAACCTTCTTTGGGACTATAGTTCTGAACCAATATGAAGCATTAAGCACAGCTTCAGTGGCGTCGCTCAATCATGTTTGCCCCCTTCCCCCAGGTCCTGTTCCACGTTAGGTAGTGGAACTCTGAGTAAGTGTAAGAGGGTTCAATAGGGAATCCTTCCCCCCCGGGGGGGTCGCCCCAAGGAAGAAAAACCACCACAAGAACAACAATGTGACTAGGATACCAGACACATCACAGACGTCAGCCATTTTTATCAAGACCTGAAATACTATCTCATCTGTGACCTGCAGGCCCAGGCACAATTTTTTTTGGGAAGGTCAACGTATGTGTCCCACTTAACATGCATGAATCGCCTCATTCCTCTGACTCTGGGCTTCCATAGGTATCGCTCAGATCGCTAGAATAAGAGAAGAGTGATGTAGTCTCGTCCTGGAACTTTAAAACTATTAGCACATTCCCTGCTTGCTCACACCGGCATGTTGTCAACATCGAGGAAGGCGTCACAGATGTACGAGGATCAGTATCACGTGAACTCTTCTGAATGGCTCAAGATAGCAATTTAAGTGGGGCCGTCCACGCTTACCGGCGTGCGGAAACTTTCTCAGCCTCAGCGCCCAGCTGAGAATGCGTAGACAATCCACGCGTTGAGAAGGTCCAGATCCTGTTTCAGTGAAGTTATCAGACCTCAGACCTCTCTGACCACGACAACACCATTCCCAACTGTGCAACGACATACTCTCAGCCAGGGTGACAGTATGGCTACGGCCTCAGGTGCAGGCGATGACGATACAGGGCGTCGAGATGTCGCCGCATCCGAAGACATGAACCTCAGGCAAGACCCACCACCAAGGCCGGTGACCACTTACGACACCCCAGAGGAGGAAGACGAGATCGAGGACCAAGTTGTCGCCTGGGTGGAACGCAGCGAGAATTCAGCTTACCTGCGATCATGGGACCCGCGACCACTACGCCAGATGCCGCTCCTGTCGTCCTTTTGGGGGTACGACGAGGACTGGTACCGCAATAAGCTTTGGAACGAGGCACTGCACGTCACTCGCGTGGCGGGCCGGCGGTTGACGCCCGAGGAGCTTTCCTTATTCACCTTTCATGTCTCCAAGGGGGTTGTGGCAGCCTCCTACGACCGCCCGTTCGCTCTAGGCGTGACGGCATTTCTCCTCTGGCGTGGAGCCGCGACATTCAGAATGCCCTTTTACCAGCCCAAGTTCGTTCGCTTCGCCCATCCTCAGATGACTCGGCTTCCGTTCCTCACCAGTATGGCTTGGCACGGCACACGAATAGGCGCCTACGGAGCCGTCGCTTACGTTGCATTTGGTCTGTTGTCCCAGCGCTATCAGACCTACATGATGAATACGTTTGGTGATGCCGGTCTGGAACATGAGCTCGGCCTGAAGAAGCTGGTGGAAGATACGCAGGACAACTTGCAGCGTCTGGAGAGAGAAGCTGAGAGGAGACGCCGGCTGGGTGGCCAAATCGATGAGTAGCCTGCATTTGAAGCCGAACCTCGGCACTCACCGAGGCTCACGCTTCCAGTTCCTAAGTTGGATCTCAGCACCATGAACATACGAGAGATTCCCATCGCCCCTATTAAGCATTCCCTTTGTTTCGAACAAATTGGCTGTGGGCTCCTGTGACCATCCTACGCTGTTGGCATGGGGAGAGGTCTAATCCTTCAGCCACGCTCGGCATGGTGAGATGCAAATTGAACATGCAGGTGGCCGAGGATGGCAGTGCTGGGGTACATTTCGGGAGGTGTGCTGGATTCTGGATTTTCAATGCATACAAAACAAGTCTGACCCCTCCGCCACGAGGCCTCAAGATTGGTGTCAGCTGGGTGCCAACAAAAACGAGGCTTGGGAGGAGGATATTTTGGCGAGCGCGGAGGCAAGGGGCTAGGCTGGAACCTACCCCTCCGCAGTGCCTGCGGTCCATCACAGGCGAAGAGGAGGTCCTAGCGATACAAAAATCGGGTTAAATCAGATTGTGGCGGAACTATCCCGGCATGCCAGGATAGATTCAGGATCTCAGCATCCTTGTATCGTCCTGAAGCAGAACTCGCACTTAGCCACGGATGTGCCGCACGCCTCGGCGCAACATGACGATGCCACAACTCTTTTGCCAGAATTGCAAAAAAAAATTTTTTGGTGGAACACGACGGTGTGCTTGAGGAACGTTAGCTACGTAAACAAGCTAAGTTTGATATTATGGTTAATAGCTACTGTTGCTAGACCACTGCAATGAGATTACCAGAATTTTCAGACCTGGGTCATGGTCACTGGTCGCGGTCAGAATCTTGTGGGCGGCGGGCGGCGGGAGGGAGGCCAACAAATGGCCCAACTGTACATCTTGACCAGATTAAGGAATTTCTGGGGTAATTACATAAGTCGGAGGGAGTGAGAGAATAGGAGCCCCTGATTAAGCTCGTGGGTCCGCCGGCGGCCCTTGTCACAACCAACAGCGATCAGAAGAGCACAGTTGCAGATACCTCCTCGGCCTGCTGCTACGTAGCATCTTCACATGGTCATCGTGAACATACGGCACCCGTGGATCCGAGAATGACCTGTTCAACCTCCACGATCCAATCGTTCGTAGCAGAGCTGCAGTTTTGACACATCCCCGCGTTGGAGAGATCCCGACAAGCTTTCAAGGTTCAACAGAGTCACCCTGCCCCTGCCTGAGGATCTCCGGTGTCAATGAACGGAGAAATACAGGGCCTGCATGAAAATAGCATGCATGAATGTGGGTGGCAAAGGTGTTGTTCTTTGTCAAGAGTGGAGTCTTTGGACGGAGGAACAAGATCTTGTTTACCAATGGCCAGGGGCTGGCGGCTGCAAAGTCGAAACAGGCGGGAGTCGGCAGATGCTCACAGCTAGGTAAGGATGTTTGGTTGGTATGCGCCGCCTGCTGTTGGTCATCCACTCAGCGCTGGCGTCCATGCGTTGCAGGCACGCAGGCAGTGCAAGGGTGGGAGCCCGCCGCCACTGAACGGCGCTTGTGAGCTGGGATCGTCAGGGGAGGTTTGCCGCCCCCCCCGTCGGTCCAGACAAGGCGTCGTCTCGCATATGCCAGGAGGGGGTACTTTGGTGTAAGACGATTGGTCCAACCCCCTAGGCCCACACCTAGCTTCTCCTGTTCACAAGTTCAGGGGCTGGGCTTCCATTCGACCTAAGCTTCTCCTGCAGCCTGTCATGGAGGGGATGAACAACACTCTTCGGGCAACTCGGAAATCCTTTGTTTCGTTTGTTTTGCGTACCATAGTATTTACCCTGTAAGTAGACCGCCTCCCCTGGTAGAGAACAAGACCCTTGCCTCTTGGAGCCTCAGGGGCTCAAAGCTCTCGTCCAAAGACTGGTTGTGGCTCCCAGCAAAGCCTTAATGCATGGACAGTGTTTCTCCACAATTGGTCCGATGTTGACTGGTGACTGACAATCACATTATCCCACAAAGCCGATTCTGCCTGGACTGGGTGAGGCCTCATGGAGCGCTCTCGAGGTTGACAGGTATTAAAGCCTCGAGTCTCTCGTTTTCCTATCGTCCACCATCACCTGATTCCGACACCATCATCTTCTTTCTCTTCCACCCTTCCCAAGATACCCGAATCTTGAGTTTAGAGCCTGGTGCTTCTATCCTTTCCCTTCACACCATTTTTGTCACTTTTCTTCTTTTTCAAGACCCCAACTCTCATTTTTAGGAGTCTTCACACTTCATTCTGATACCCCCAAAATTTCCACACAACATGGTTTCCCTCACTCAGAACCTCGCCGCTGCGCTGGCGATTTTTGGCAGCACTGCGTCTGCTCACATGATCTTGGCCAACCCTGTTCCCTACGCCAAAGATACCATCACAAACAGCCCTCTGTCCTCGTCCGGGTCCAACTTCCCGTGCCAGCTGACTGGTGATGCCTCCACATTCTACTCCACGAGTGGCCTCTCCAACACTGCCACCGCAGGCGAGAGCATTACCATGTCCTTCACAGGCTCTGCCGTCCACGAGGGTGGTTCTTGCCAGGTGGCTCTCTCTACAGACATGCAGCCCTCCCAGACTACACGGTGGTCTGTGATCCTGTCCATCGAGGGTGGCTGCCCTTCCAAGGACGGCACATCCGCGTCGACCTACGACGTCACCATCCCCTCGGACATCCCAGCGGGCACGTACAGCTACGCGTGGACGTGGACCTCGAAGCTGTCGGGCACCCAGGAGTACTACATGAACTGCGCCCCCATCACCATCAAGGCCGCCTCGGGCTCCAAGGCCCGCTCCCAGAACATTCGCATGCGCAGCGACGCCCTGGACAGCTACCCGCCCCTGGCTGTGTACAACCTGGCCGATCTCAACAGCTGCAAGTCCACCCTGAGCAGTGACCCCACGTACCCCTTCCCCGGCGCCACTGTCGACCACGACGCCTCCGGCAGCAACAAGTACACTCCTGTTGCCATCACCGGCTCCGACTGCTTTGCCAAGGATGTCACCTACAGCAACAGCTCCAGCGATGACACCGGCTCTGCCACCACCAGTGCGAGCTCCAGCACTGCCACCGAGGCCAGCACTGGCGACAGCAGCAGCGCTGCCGCTTCCTCAGCCTCCACCGAGGCCGCCTCTGCCACTGGGGGCGGTGTCTTCGCCACCAGCTCTGTAGCCAGCGCTGCCGCCCCCACCGTGACTGGTGCCGGCTCTGGCGCCACCGGCTCCGGCTCTACCGGCGCTTCCGCCACTACATCGGCCTCCACCTCCACGAGCACCGGGTCCTCCTCGACCAGCAGCTCTGGAACATGCACGGCTGGTGACTACGACTGCGCCTCCGACGGCAGCTCGTACAAGATGTGTGTGGCTGGTGGCGAGTGGTCCGTCTCCATGTCCATGGCTGCCGGTACTGCCTGCACCCCTGGCACGTCCTCGGGCTTGAGCATCAGCGCTTCCTCTCGTAGGAAGTGGCGCTTCTTCCGCCACTAAGCTGTGGACATTCAAGCGAGAGAGAGAGAGAGAGAGACACAAGGATGACAACAGGCTTGTGATGATGAAGACATGGCATGCATTGGGAAAAGGCTTGGCTTCACGACAGGCGCAACAGGGCTGGGCATTGGGACGAACTTACTGCACATAGTTTTGTATCTTTAGAACTGTACTTTACACAGGGGAACTTGGACACAATGGAACAAAGGCTTTCCACACCACTTCTTTTCCCCAACTGCTAGTGACATGACAATGTTTACCCAAGTAGCTTACAAAGTGCTCTCTCCTGTGTTTTTCTTTGTGGATAAATGACTTCAAACCTCTCACACAGAACCATGCTCTCGTCTCCAAAGTCATGCCCGCCCTCCTGCTGCCCATAGAAACGAATGTGGCCTTCCCGGTACGCCTCATAATCGCCCTCCCCCTCCGCCAGCGCAAAGTCCTCCGCCACGTCCTTGAACCTGCACTGCACAAACGACAGCGTCTTCATGACGGCCGCGGGTCCACCGCTGCCATCCAGGATCACAGACAGGTCGCCCACGCCCCAGTGCAGAGGGTCCGGGATGGGCCACGAGGTTGTTGCGGTTTTCTCGCCTGCTAAGGCAAGGGCGAGGAGTTCGTCGGTGGCTTGGGGGTTGCTGCCGCCGAAGTTGAAGACGTCTTTGGGCGCGGGTAGGGTGCGGCCGAGGGCCTGGGCGGCTTTGGTCATGAAGGCCTTGATGTCTGGCCGGTTGGGATCGACTGCTGACATTTTGCTGTGCGATAATCTTTTTTTTTCTTCTTCCGGGGGGTCTGATGAGATTGATGTGATACTTTTGAAAGTCAAATCTGGCTCTGTCCACGAGGAGAAGAAATGCAATTGTGTATTTATCAACTTTGAGTATTAAGTGAGGTTATTTCCTTTCGTCATTCGGCGAGGAATATCGTTTACTATGTCAGCTTCAATGCAGCCAAGAGGCTAGTCAAGACTCAAACTCACAACGGTGAGCCGAGAAAAGTAAGGAGTTAACATGCTTCTCTTTCTTGGCAAAAGCCACAAACCAAGGGAGCTGGAAACGGCCTGCTTTGGAATATGTGTTTCCGGTTTAGCGACACCATAGTAAGTAATCAGTTACACCAGTGCGGGCAGTACAGTATTCAGAATGTGCCCCAATGTATACATCATTGTATATCTGCCTACATGTCTACACTGCCAGTCTCAACACCCTCGATTGTTCCTCATATATACATCCCATAGCCAGATATTCCCTATTCGTTTAGATAAAAACAAAAACAAGAACCCCTTAGTTGGGTCCGATGTAGTCGTAGACCAGCTTCACCTTGGCGACCTCGGAGCCCTTCTTGCACACAATGTGCCTCACATAGTGCCTCTCACCCTTGATGACCTCAAACCCGTGGACCAGCTTGGTGACGACGCCCGAGTCCATGGTGTTCTGGACGAGGACCAGGTCGGTGGTTCCCTCCTCCCAGCCCTTGGAGAGGTACTCGTCGTCGAGCTCCTCGACCTTGACCCACTTGCTCTGGGCCTTGCCGTTGCCGAACAGCGGGTGCTTGACGTCGACCTCGGTGACCCAGTCCAGGACGCGCTCCTCGGTGGAGGCAGGGCCCAGCGAGGGCTTGATGCCCGTGTCCAGGTGGGTCACGCCGCCCTCCTCGTAGACCTTGATGCTCAGCTCTAGACTGGCCGCGCTGATGGCCTTGCGCTGGATCCAGCCCACGCCCTGGATCTTGAGGACCGGGTCGTTGTCATCCGACAGGGACTTGTTCTGTTTGATGGTGTTAGTGTACTGTCTCTGTGTCTTCACAGTACCTATAGTATGTCCTATATTCGTTTTACGTCCACCCCGTACATTTCGAACATGAACAAGTCTTTATTTTTCCGGTCTGTATTGGATTTTCGGGGGTTTTGAGAGGGGGGGGGGGGGTTGTCCTTTAGCGAAGAAAGAAAGGAAGTTTGATAGCAAAGGAGAAAAAGACAGATCTGAGGGTTCAGATACATACCAGAGCATATTTGCCGTTGAGCGTCTTCAGTGTGACATCAGAGGGAGCCGCCATGATGGATGATCTCGGGGATGTGTCTCGGGAATGCAAAATACACCAAGTACTTTGAGGAATTCAGTTTTCAGAAAAGACAGCAAACCACAAAACCCTTTCTTCGTACAAAGAGAATGATATTTTCGGTGAGATGATCAGATGAAATTAGGCTTCCGCAAGACAAAGGAAGAATTAATATTTTATATGTCGACGCGCCCAAGACTGGTTGTCGAACATCCATGATAAGGAGCCGGACGGAGGTTCGGGAGTGGCATAAGCCGACGCAGGCTCCAATAGACGGGGACGCATGAAACCCGATGCAGGGCAAAAAATGGAGGCGAGTCTTCGCCCATTGCGTAGACACAAGCCTCCAGTAGTCCTGTCAAAGCAGAAGAGTCAAGAATAATTTCCCCAATCTCATTTGCCCCCTGGAAACGCACGCTGGGCTCGCGTCCTTGGGGGTTGACCCGAAGGGGCATGTACTCAGACAGCCCGAGAATCGACGGGTTGGTGCCATGCCCCGACAGGAGATGGACACATGATGAGATGTTTCCAGAAGTGTCTGTTCTGTAGGGACGTAAAAGGAAGCTCTTGCGCTCTTTGATGCTATTCTGGGATCGGAACTACGTCAAGCATGATGTAGTGAGCACACGAGTGAAACTGTGCTATAGTGAATCTGCTGTATGTACATATCCCCCCTGCTGGGCGGGGCCACATATGATGCCTATAAACGATCCGTATTCAGCATTTCACGGTCCCCGATATGATAGTATCGCTCTCGTGAGATACCGACAAAGATTCATTACATCTAATTATGCACAATATTTTCCATGCTGCTGATCGAGGAACAGAAAGCCAGCATAACAGTACCAACAATGACTTGCAAAGAGAATGCGGGAATGAAATTGATACCGATAACCAGGAAAGTAGTCTTAATTTATATTCAAATTGGATTCACTTACCAAAGGGGAGAGGACTCGGAGACTCTATGGGAGCGAGGAAGATCTCTACGCGTAAGCCACAATTTCTCAGGCCTACTTCACCGGCGTGGTTCCTGGTAGGGCTGGTGCAACGAAAACAATACAAACACATCCAGGGCTGCAGTGGCAGGATGTCTTCAAACTTATAAGGCTACTCAGGACAGCCAAATACATTATATTCTCTTCTAGACTACACTAGTTTGATAGAATTACTTTTCGAATGCTGAGTCGTATCACCCTGAATCATTTATTGGTTTCTGATGCTCATTGTCGATCGATAGGGATTCTCATCGGGCGTAGTCCCATCGTGATGGGTATTAGCGTTTCGAAATGGAGGAAACCAGAGTCGAAGGATGGTCCTCGTTTCCGCCCGGCGCGACGTGTGCATTTGGTCTATGATCTTCTCTTGTACGCAGAGAAGTGGTGGGTGACGCCGAAAAGTATTTCATGATTGAAACCTTTTTGGCATCTGGATTCGAGCTCGAGGAGTTTTCAAGAGACTGGATAGACTTCTTTGATCTTTCGATAGATGGATCCTGTTGCAATTGCCCCATGTTGCCCTGAGATCTCGAGCTCCTTGATACCGCACGCTCGCGATCTGGTCTTCTGTTGCCATGCTCATCTGGAGAAGAACTCTTGGGTGTGGGCGTCAGAGGCCTAGGAAGCCGTCCGGGCTCTGTATACCCCAGCCACGTTGGCTGGACTAAGAGCAGATCGTCCTGCCCACTTTCACCTATGCGCATGACGACGGGCCAAAGACACTGTAGCAGGTCCACGATCGCGCTCGACGGTGTTTGTCGCCAGGTGATCATGTCCCTAAACTGCCCGGGCATATTCTGTCCGTCGTTGGGGCCTGGCGGGATATCGAGACTGCCAACAGAGTATGTCTTGTTGGAGCAACATATCATGTCCAGTGCCTTTGTGGCTCTCTGAAGAACGTTGGTCTTCAGGGACTCTGTGAGACTTCCCGGGATCTTTCCTAACCAGGCCTCCAAATCCTCTTTCAGCCTCTGCAGGTGAACACGTGATACTTCCTCAGCCCGAATTCTATGATGTGGGAATGTGAGAAGGGCGGCAATCGCCTGGCCACGCCATCGAGATATCTCGGATTCATCTGGAGTGGATTGTCAGCTAGGGGGTCGTTATGAGGAATCAGCGGCGTGAGGTGCCCTAGAAGGCGAAGTTTTTCGTGTCGTCCTCCGCTACCTTACCTCGATGTAAATCATTTTTCATTGCTCTCTGTAAATCGACCAGCTTGACGATTTCCTCTTTCGTAAGGCTGTGCGGGTACAAGTGCTCCCACTCCTTGGTCTCTTTACCACGGAAAGTAATATCCGTCAGAAATTTTGAGATGACTCTGCAGAGAACAATATGAAAGCAGTATTCCAAACGGCCGAAGTCCGAAATCCATTTGATGTCTGCGTAGCATTGTGGATGCAGCCCTAAAGACCGAAACCGCTCTTTTTCGGACTTGGCTCTCCTGAATTGATTGTGGAAGGCAGATTCCAGGCTTTCTTCAGCGAAGGCTTCATCAATCCAGGCGTCGATTCCGCTGTAGATTGCGTGGAACGCATTTTTGATGTCGCTCTCAGGAACGCCTTTTGTTCTCTGCAATATTTGAAAGAGCTGGCCTCGACAGTCATCCAGATCTTGTCTCAGGCGCTCGTTCTCTTTTTGCAAGCTCTCCATGTCTCGTTCTGCGGAGTCCATATTGCTTCGTCCCTCATATTGACCAGGAGGGTCCATCTTGATTCAGTGCATTTGGCTGAAGTGACTGGACTGATCAGTTGGACTCGAACAGCAAAAAAGAGGTGATCGCGTAATACTGGACTTTTCCGGAGGTATTTAACAGCTCAATCAAACAGACTGCTAGTTCCAGACGCGAATGACTGGATGAACTTCAAGCGCAAGCAAGTCTGCACATTGATCGGTAGCGAAGAAACGCAAATGCAATTCATGTCTCAGCTGACGTGGCAAATATTAAGTGTGCAGTAGAAAAGTCAGTTATCGCATTACCAGCATTTGAGGGGTTTCTAAGTCAGAAAACCCCAGTCATTGGCTAACCTGATTGACTGCGGCTTGCAGGCGTGTGGGTGTGCATGCGAGCGGCTGGCTGGCACTTCGCTTATGTGGAAATTAGGCCGTTCACAGGAGATCCGGTGAGGATCTTGATGTGCCGCTTGTGGACGCGTGCATATGCTTGGGGGGCTGTGCACAATCTATACCAGAAAGAGCGCAATAAGGCTCTGCTAGGCGAAGGGTGAAGGTCGTGAATAGAGTGAGTCTAAATGACATTCGTCGATGGAGCGGAAGGTCATGGACTGATCGGAGGGTTTGACTCATTTAGTGATTTGTTATCTATATCTAGGGCAATTGAATACGACAGTCTCTTCTTGCTTGATAGCCTATGAGCCCCAGATCAAGTCCCTCTGGATTAGACAACGCTGCACGTCGTATCGCCCTGATTCCTCCCTTGGTCTCTGCGGACTGATACCCGACATATGTTTCTCCGCCTGATATTACGTACCAGTCAGAAACGAATTGGCTACAATGGCATCATCCCACCAGAGGTTACAAGATGCATTCGAAAGGCAAAAAGAGAAGAATCTGGCCAGTTCCCTCCGGCCTTCATCTCCGGGGGCTGAGACGAAGACATTCGGACCACGCGGTGACCGACAAATACTAGTCGCCATTGACTTTGGTATGCTTTGATAATGATGCCTGGAACGTTCCATTGTTCGAAGTCCATTCATTGACAATCAATAACACAGGCACAACGTATTCAGCCGCAGCTTGGGTTCACACACAAACTGTGAGAAATGCGTACCTTTCTTAGATAAGTGAAGGCAAAACGTAAACTGACCTATACAATGAACTAATCAGGGAAATGCTCAACGGCCACCCATCAACATTATCCATGACTGGCCCGAAAAGGCTGACACCACAGACAGCGTTCCAACGTGAGTGTTCCACCTCTCTGAGTCAGGACTGCAAGAGTGAATTTCTATTGACTGAGTGGTCTCAAATGTAAGTGTACTACAATGGAAAGACAGAAACGATGACAAGCAAGGTTCCAACATCGACGAACAGAAGAAAGACACCAAATGGGGCTTCAATATCGATGACCAGGAGGAGAGGTTTCAGTGGTTCAAACTCGAACAAGACCCAAAATACACTGAGGAAGAGCTTAGGAACGCATATCCTCCCCTGACCATTAAGCCAGAAAATGAGCTGCAGGCAAGAGACTTAATCACAGAATATCTCAAGCATCTTCGCAAGCACGTTGCAAATACTATCAAGGAATCACTTGACGTTGGAGGAGGTAGAGTTGAGGCGCTTCTCAAGGATGTTCGTTGGGAGTATATCATTACTGTGCCTGCTATGGTATGTTATTTCTTTTCTATACAAAAGTATCATGTCTACCTCTCGGACTGCTCAAACACGAAGGGTTCGTCCTCTGGAAAAGTGATGGTGACGCCTGAAGCCTTGATGACGAACCCCTTCCTCGAACTAGACAATTCAAGGGGGTTCCTTTCTTCTTTGGTTTTTTCTCCTTTGTTTTACTGGCCCATTTCATTATTCTAACACTCTGATAGTGGCCGGAATCAGCACAGAACATCACTGAGGAATGTGCCAAAAATGCTGGAATGAGCCTATACCGTCAAGTCCAGATCATCGCCGAGCCGGAGGCTGCTGGTATTTATGCACTTGATCAAATGAGCCAGGAACTAGACATGAGGATTGGAGATACTTTCACCATCTGTGACGCTGGTGGCGGGTGAGTCTTTCTATACCTGTGGAGATCAAGCCTGCCTAACCCAATTTTATGATCAAATAGGACCGTCGATCTCATCTCCTATACGATCACGAGATTGAAGCCCAGCCTTTCACTGGATGAAGCGACAGCAGGATCTGGTGGCCTCTGCGGATCATCGTTCTTGGACCGTGCATTTCTTGCATGGCTAAGAGGCCATGTGCAAGGCTGTAGCCAGTGGACACAATATCATACTCACGATGCGATGGTAAAATGGGAGACCGAAACGAAGCGTAACTTCACTGGCGACACCAGGAAGAAATATCTCATCCCTGCTCGCGGTATTGATGATGATAGAAACTTGAGCATTAGAAAAGGAAATCTGGAAGTCCCAGGAAAAAGGGTGGAAGAAGTCTTTGAAGCAGTCATCTCTCAAATTCTGACCTTGGTCCAAAGTCAAGTCAGTAAAGTGCAGAGAGCCGGCACGAGGTCTGTGAATGCTGTTCTGTTGGCAGGAGGCTTTGGGAGAAACGAGTATCTGAGGAGGAAAATCCAAACGATGGTTGGAAATAGCGTAAAGGTGAGGAAGATGAAGGACTGGTAAGTTACCCATGGCAAACTTAGCAAGTAAACTGTACGAAACTGATCAAATACTTTAACAGCACTACCGCCATTGTCCAAGGAGCCTTAATTCGGGTACTTGCAGACAGGCATTCGCCTACGGCTACGGCAGGGAGACCTATGATTGCAGTTGAGTCTCGGCTAGCAAGGAAACACTACGGCACCAAAGCACTTCAGAAGTTCGCCCCAGGACACCATGACCCTCAACAACCAAGGTAAATGCTTAATGAGAACAGTCTACGACAAGTCCAAGCTTGGAGAGCTACCTGAACTAATCGATTCATCAGATTTCCTGGCGGGGTCGATGGAGGGGAGAGAATCGATGTGATGAAATGGTTTATCAAGAAGGTGAGGCACATCTACCTCCAGCGAATGGTGTATCGCAGGCTAATTGAAGACTTGATAGAACACCCGAGTCAAGGATCATGAGGACATGTTATTCGATTTCTACTACGACCAATCAGTGAACGACGTAGACTCCCACGGCGGGAGCTTGGGAGACGTCATCCTACCAATTTATATTTGTGAAGATGACAGCGCGCCTGATTATCCGGACCCGGATCAAGAAGTGACAAGTAAGTGATGATGAGCTCGGATGGCGCAACAACAATAACACGGGTATTGATTCATTTACCTGAACGGGGCGTGCTTGATTACTGACAGTTCACAGAAAAATGCAGAAAGCTCGTGGAACTCACTGCAAATTTGAACAAGATCCCGAAGAACAAACTTAAGAGGGAGTATGGAGCGGACAACCAGGAATATTACAAAATTGACTTCAAGATAGTCATGTCTTGTCATTTGGCAAATGTCACTTTCCAACTGCTCTACGATGGTGTTGAATATGGTTCTGTTGCCGCCAAGTGGGATACGAAGTGAGCACATGCAGCGGACCAAGTAATGGAGCCAAGGTAGTGATTGAAGTATTTCGCATGTCCACGGAAGGGGGGTTTTAAAGCAATGACAATAACCCGTTTTCAAGAGCGCAAGTGCAGTTGTGCACAAATACGCATCGCATGAGCCGCTTTGCCCCCCTTCTTCCCTCGCATGCATAGCACTGAAGTCCCTTTCTTTACCCTCCAGATTACCTGGAAGGTTAAGGGAATCTGACTGAGTGAATATGCAAAGTGATAGGTCAATTTACAACGTACCGTCTCGATTAAAATCAGGCCGGACAGGCCGCTCGATACGCAGTCCGAGCACGGTGAAAGGAACACATGTGTGCACAGGGGCTTTTTATGACAACTTGACCCTCCAGAAGAAGGTGAAAAGCGCTCTGGTCTTTCATTTGGGCATACCAGCGCTGAGATCATTCATGCTGACCATGCGGGTGCTTCAAAGAGAAGCACAATGTCAGCGCTAAAATGTGTGTGACCACCTGCATGGAGGCTGGCAAACGAATGAGGTGATGGGGCCGGGTTATCTGCACTGCCTGCATTTCTGTGGCGTTGCACTGGACCAGCCTCTTGATTTGTTTACCTGACGAGGATCAATACTGGCAGACAATAAATTGTATCTTGCATTTACATTTGCACATCAAAGAAGGCGCCGGCACGGAGCATTTTCGTGTGAGGCAGCATTTGTCTGTTTTCTCAACTCCGATGACCCCATGCGTCCCGTAGGCCAAGAGAAAATCCTACAGAACTCACTCTGTTATTAAGAAATGGCCTTGACATGCTCATAGTCCTTTCCCTGAACACAAAACATACAAGGGCACAAACTGTTGCTCAAAAGCCGACGGTGTCACCCACTCTCGATCAACTCAACAGCCTCTTCAGAACCTGATAGGTCTACGCTTCTCTTGAACAACTGATGCGACTGGTCTGAGGTTAAGATCCCGGCACCTTTCCGACAATGATCAAGCCCAACAATGCAATAGCTCTCATACTCTTACTACTTCTTCTCTTTATGACACTATTAGTCTACATTCTCCTCAGACTCCTCCGGGTGACTAGACCTTCCGGGAGCGAAAAGTCATACCTCGGAACAGACGATACATATGAGTCGGGAACATCACCACATTCGCCAAGCTCTATCGACGCTGCCGAGCCCCAGGGAGGTGGCCATGGGGTAGTACCGCCGCCGGCCAACAATGGTGGACGATTCAATAGACCTATCAACATGAACGGGGCTGGTCGAGGTGGCGCTGTAAATGTTCCACCTCTGAATATCAATGCGCAGCAGGACGGGTGAGGTTTAGGTGGAAACGTCAACATATCTCCTGTGCACAGATGAAAAGCTGTGGCAGCATATCTTACCACAAGAATGGCCATCTTCAGAGTAGGCCCAGACCCAAGCCCACAAGCCAGGCGTTGCTCCCACGCGAGGGGATGCGGAAGTTCGTACTTCGTGTTGGTGGGCATGGCAGAGCCTGAGACCGACCTACAGATTTTGTTACTCGCGACGTGGCAGTTTTGAAGCTTCGAGAACAATTAAGCCGTCATACTGTACTGCTCATGATTGAGGGGAGGCGACACATTCTGTACTTGTTGATGTCAGGGCTGCTCAGGCGGGGAGCACTGCGATGCTAGGTGTCATAGTATTGCATGATATCACCACGTGCACCAAGACTAACTACGTTGTATATACTTCTTATCCACAGTATTGGCGTTTTGATAGTGAGTCTAAAGTGTAAGAGTACGTCTATACAGATGGACAGAAGAGAGACGTTAAAAAGTGACAAGTCTGACTACAGTGAAAAAGAATCATGTCATGTTTGCAAGGGCCCTCCCTTAGAGAGACTACTTTCTTAATTGCTCAAGGACTTCAAAATATGTATTGCAAGATTGAAAACATCGTTTTTATCATTTGGAACTGTTGAACGTAGCCTGGCATTGTGGTTCAATTGTTCAGGGCAGCCATTTCTTAATCTCTCGAATTGGTTCAGCTGAGCATGTGCGCTGGCAGGCTTCTCGCGCAGCCGGCGCCTCATTTTCAGTGGCCTCGTTTGCGTACGTTAGGGATCAGTGATCTCGGAACACCTTTCAGAGCTTGTAGACCAGTCCTTTGTGTTCCTTGTAAGGAAGATGTGGGCCTTTCAACCCTGAGCCTGACAACTGACCTGGCCAACCTGGTCAGACAACTCTCTCGCCTTGCGGGGCCTCCTTAGCGCCCAGGAACCACAGCTGCCAGCAGCATTTGGCAGGGGAGGGCCTGAATTTGGGCGAAGCATCACCAATGAAATCTGCCAACTGTGCAGCAGCCCAACAGACGAGATGGACCCTAATGCGCGTGCCACCCATTGAGCCTCCATTTTGCTGCCCTTCTTACAAGGGTTGGCAAGCACCTCGGTCGTTTCTTTGTTGGGCATTTCTTTCAAAGACAGGGCAGTCTAATTATCGTGGCATTTGTAAGTAGAAAGGGCATGCCTCCCGGTGAATATATTTGGCCTGTACCCACCTGCCACTATCTGTCCTCACTTTGTTCTGAATCTCATCTAAGGAACGTACTCAATCTCTTTCGTCTATCAGCTGTTGCTTTTTGCTTTCTTATTCTCCCTGGACAATTAATCATCTTTACCACTGTCCTTCCTTCTCAACATATTACCTACTCAGATTACATCCACTTGCAACCAATACTCACGATGCAGGCCATCAACTACCTCCTAATCTTGTCCTCTTTGTTTGTGGCAGGCCATGCTTATGATGAAAACTGCCTGTGGGCGCCATGCATTCCCCACAAAGACACGACTAGCAGCTCTTCAACAAGCACCCCAGACCCTCCTACAACGACACCCTCCTCAGCTCCTGCATCCTTGACTGTGGAGCCAACACCCTCCTCAAGCACTCTGATAGTAGTGATCAGCACTGCATCGAGCACGACTTCGACCAGCACCGAGAGCACCTCTAAAGCAAGCACTTCAGAGCCAGCAAGCAGCTCAGCCGCGAGTGGTTTCATCGCAGTGCCAGTGGCCTCAGTGGAGGCAACAGGGACCGTGACAGCAAGTGGAGTCCAATCAACTGCTGAAGCTGTCACTACAGATGTTGTCACATTGACTGTTATTGATTGTCCTGAAGGCTCCACCACACTGTCTACCGTGTATACAGCCAGGACCACATCTGCTTCAGCATAGCCCAGCATGCACGACTGGTACAATTCCAACACCTGTCTTGGTTGCAAGGAGAAGCAACAGTACGGGGTATTCTCAAATGTGGGCATCAAGATACATGGGCAGAGTAATGCCACAAGCAAAGTTGGCTATCATTCTTGGACAGGAGAAGTCATCCCAGTAGAGACGTAATGAAAAGAGGAACTGATTTGGGCTGGCCCAGACTCAGTGTCTGCAAGGAGAAGGGATAGGAAATAGATAAACTAGACCAGATACCCAGCTTCAGAAGTAGATTTAATGTCATGAATTAATACGTATGATGTGCAAAGGAGATCATGCACAGTAGGGTCCGTCCGATATTTTGAAAGATGAAGGTGGAAAGGAATTTGCTAGCCCAGGCGCAATCGATGAGAGCTGGAGGGCATCCCTGCTGCACTAGCTTATATAAGCTCGGCTGCTTCCGAAGCACGGTCTAGCTGCTGCAAGCAACCCAGCAACCTTCTGTGAAAGTCCCGTCGTGTCTCCAAACAACCTTTCACTCAGACACACTTTAACAAAACCACATTCAAGGCACTGATGGGGACCTGCTGGTTGCCACCTCCGCCTTCTTGCACTCTCAACACAATCTAACTTCCGCAAGGCCGATCTTCAACCCCCAATCTTCCCATTGCCTCAACAACCTACGCCTCGCCGCTCACCTTTTCGCAAATATCAAGCTTCCTCGCCAACATGTCCTTCAGAGTCCCTGACGATGATGATGAGGATAGCCTGCCCTCCACGCCTGACTACAGGAATCGTGGTGCAGCCAGCCTCAAGTTCGGCAATTTGCCCTCCACAACACCAGCTGGGCCCCCTCCATCGTCACAGGCCAGCAGTACTCCGGCTGGCGCCCCATCTGCCTCCTTCATGGGCAGCTCTCTGATGAAGGCTGCTGGTGCTAGTCCCAACCAGAATCCTTTCGCGTTGAGCGGCCTTGGCGAAGGAACCCCTCCAGTCAAGAATCCTTTCTCGAATGCAGGCTCTAACGCGAAGAGCAACAACCCCTTCTCGTCCAAACCACCCCAAAACCTGTTTGCGCCCAAACCTCAGTCGAATGTTCCTCTCGGCCGATCCACCCATTCCAGTCAGACTCGAAAGCCCTCACGATTGCGGGAGGAAGTGGTTGAGGATGACGATGAAGATGAGGATGCGGAGGGAGAGGAGGAGGACGACGAAGAAGGTTACTATCCAGACGCGGGGCGGCCGACGCAGAATCGATCAGCACAGGCTTTTATGGAAGACTTTGATGACTACTCAGGCGACGAGGAAGGCGACGGGGATGAAGGGGACATGTGGCTCAACCAAGCTCAGGAAGAGGAAGATGCGGATTACGAGGTGGGCGACGTGTCAGACCTGATGATGCTCAACACACCAGCTGCGGACGAGCGCGTCTTTCGGGAAGCAGAGGGCATATTCCGTGCCACTGCAAAGCGCTCTGGCATGCGACGACACTCTTTCAGATGCGCCACCTACGCGAGGGACATTTACAGCCAGGCAGACTACGCGCCAGTCACCGAACCACCCGAGCTGATACTCGACACCGAGAGCCTCATCACCCGACTTTTCAAGGACGGCGTCGGCGCCGAAGAAGATGACGAGAGACTGGATGAAGCCTTGGCTACCGTCACCGGACAGCTCACTGGCGTCTGGAAGAAGCATGTTGACAGCATGCCCATGCCGTCGGAGGAGCACGTTGCCGAAATTGGTCCCGCGCCATCGGCATCACCCTTTGAAAAGGCGGCCTATCTCGCGACGCTCGCTCTGCAAGTACACCACACGCGGACAGGTAACGACAGCAAAATGACCGAACCCCTCCCAGAAACCCTGTTCCGCTGGCTGTCCGAGTACCACAACCCTTATCCGACCCAAGTCCAAGAAGTGCTGGACTGCAAGCCATGCCCGGCCAGCCACTCCATGTTCTGGCCCACAGTCTGCATGGCTCTGCTGCGGAGCCAGGTTGCGGATGCACAGAACCTGCTCATGAGCGCGGCTTGGGAGAAGGTCAAGACGAACCGCCGGGGAGAGCTCGAGTACAGCGGCCGGGCCCTGGACAACGTGCGCCGAGCCACCGAGGAGACGTGTGCCATGCTCGAGGAGTGCCCCGCCAAGAAAGGCAACTGGGAGATCTGGAACAGTGACTGGACTCTCTTCCGTATCAAGGCACGAGGCAAGCTTGAGCAGCTGCGGCGGTTCGCAGAGGGAAAGAACGCGATGGCTATCGATGTCGACCCATCGGAGAGTCACCAGTCTCTTGCTGTGGTAGCTCGAAAAGCCGAGAGTCAAGTGCCTTGGGAGATTTACGAAAACCTCAACGTCATCTTCGAAATCGCCCTTGGTGCCCCCGATGTGATTCTCGAAACGGCCCAGGATTGGTGTGAGGCAACGATCGGTCTGTTTGGGTGGTGGGACGAGACTCGCGGCGACAGGAACGTTCCACTCTCCACGTCTCAGAACATCATTCTGGCGCCGCAGAATAATGGCGCTGACGGATACATGGAGCGCCTGGCTCGTTGCCTCCAGACGGCTGTGGGACCTAACGACTTTCATTTCAACATACTGAACCCGGTGGAGGTCGGACTGGCCTGCGTTTTTGAGGACAACGCGAAAGCCGTGATTGGTATCCTGCGGACGTGGTCGCTGCCGGTGGCTGCAGCGGTGGCAGAGATAGCGTCTCTGGGCCGATGGCTTCCTCAGCACCAGCCATCCGCCCTCTACGCCTTCGAAGACCTCGACATGGAGGATCTCGAGGTCCTGGGCGTGAACCCACAAGATCCTGATGAGGTGGACGGTATCAAAGATAACACCCTGATCCAATATGCACAAGAGCTAGCCAACTACAAAGACATGTCTACGGTTCAGGACAGATTCGGCATCACTCGAGATGGCTGGGAGGTCGCAATACATGTCCTTGGCCGCATGGACTCGCCGAAGCGCTCTGAGGATACTGTTGGTGAGCTGGTGCAGACAATTTTGCAGGAGATCAGCGAGGACTCGAGTGAGATGGTTGACAAGGTGTGGCGGCTGCTCAACGATCTCGGCATGATCCAATTCGCTGAGCAAGTTGCAGAGGTGAGTCTCTTTGGCACTGAAAGCAATTTGTATGATTGTACCAGACTAACAAGGAACACAGCATTTTGGCGATATCCTGAGGGAGCACAGCGATCGCTTTGGCGAGGCAATGTGGTACTACGCCCTGGCCCATCGGCCAGGCAAGGTGCGCGACGTAATGCACTTCCTCATCGGCATCTGCCTGTTCCAATCTGCAGCCTACCCGCCTCCTGCAGAGCTCGATGATCACCTACGAAAGCTGTTGAAGCAACGAAACACAACCCTGGAGGAGCTCGCCAAACAGGACCTCGAGGCCGCAGAGCTTCTGGGAAAGATGCTTGCCGGCTACGCGACGCTGCGAAAGTTCTATGAGATCCGCGATGACGAATCTCTGCCTCTTGCCCGACGACGGCAGTCGGCCGTAGGCGCGCTGATTGTTGTGATTGCGTCCTCTGACGACAACATCCGCGGCGGCCTGTATGACGCGTCCCGCGATGCTATTGTCGGCGAAGAGTTCCTTCTCGCCCTCCTCGGCGAGGTTCTGGTTTTCGTGAACCAGGCTGGGCGAGATCCGGGCGCTTCACCTCTCCTCGCGCTTGAGCAGATCGACGTCCTCCTAAAAGCGGTCGAGGACATCGAGACAGTCGGTGGGAGCGTGTTCAAAGCAAGCAATGACTTCTTCCAGCTGGTACTGGCTTCTGCTCCAGCTCTGCTGAAGGGCTCAACGCCTGCGGACCTCCTCAAGAAGTCCGGGTCTGGCTCCGTGGGCATCTCGGGCACGTCGATGCTGGCGTCTCAGCTGCATCGGTCCGTGGCGGGTGGTGGTGGTGGTCAAGGGTCAGGTGCAGAGTCAGGTCCGCTAGCATCCAAGACAAACCTCAAGAGGGGTTGGGATTGGAGATCTGGTCTGGACTTCTCGACGACGGCAGAGAATGTATTGCGTATTTTGCGCCTCGGATTGACGAAGGACCTGGCCAAGTTGTGGTTGTTGGAGGCGGACAGCGGGATGTTGTAGGCGAGGTACTGCGATCCAGATTTGGCCCTCTCAATGAGAGGGGAGTCACGAAGCATGCCACGAGATGACTGGGAGGTTGAGAGACAGACAGAGAGAGCGGCTCATGCATTGTCTTGTTGGAAGGCGGTGGATTGCTGGGATGAATTTGCCATAAACAACAGTCTTGAAGACAACAAAACCTTCTGCCTGCTCCTGGCGGCAAGAATGGAAAGATGATACCTTTATAATGATGAGAAAGTCACATGATCACTAAGCCATAATTTTCGGGCAAAATATTGATCTTAATGAATACGTCGGTGACTTTTATGTAGAGTGTGGAAATTGTAGTGGTGTTCTGTCTGACTGAGGTTCCGCTTGCACCAATTAATTCCCCTCTACGACAAATCACCACCGCCAAAAAATTAAGGGTTTCTCTTCCCCTCTTCCACAAGTCACAATCACCCCCTTAACGCCTTTTGCACCTATTGACCTATCTCAAACCACATAACCGCCCCTTTTCCCAAGATGCCGGCACCCAAAGTTCTACCAGAATACGTCTACAAGATCGTCGACTCGGAGCCTCCGTCTCCCATCCCGGACGTTTTCCCGCCGTCGGAGCTGGACCGGCAGGATGGCTTCATCCATCTGAGCACTGCCCGGCAGGTGAGTCTGAGTTTCTACCAGTTTGGCGCCTTGCCCTGTATCTTTTTCTTATGTTATGACTATCGTGTCTACGTGCTCTTTCGGGGGTGCGTTGAGGTTACTGTGGCACAATCTCACAGGCCTCATCCTCTCTCTCTGTCTCCGTCTCTCTCTCTCTCTCTCTCTCTCTCTCTCTCTCTCTCTCTCTCTCTCTCTCTCTCTCTCTCTCTCTCTCTCTCTCTCTCTCTCTCTCTCTCTCTCTCACACACACACACACACACAAACAATCCTCCTTACCAAACCCCCATGAACCTCACTCCCATTCGCTACTCTTCCCAACTCCTCCCCCTTTCCATTTTCTTTCCTTCTAATTCCTTCCCCTTAATTTTCATAGATTCCAATCACAGCCGGCCTATTCTTCGCCACCCACACCACCCTATGGCTCATCAAAATCCGCCTCGCACCACTCACTTCCTCCTCCTCCACCACCACAACAACAAACACAATCAAATGGGACGACCCCCCAAACGATAACGATGGCTGCCCCCACCTATATGGCACCTTTGGCGCAGCGGATGTCGACTCTGTCGAGAAGTTTGAGAGGGTGGGAGGGGAGGAGGCGGGGTGGAAGGAGGTGTTTGGTGCGTCGAAGTGGTTGGAATAGCAGGGTTGTAGGTAGATGCAAAAGACGCGATTCTTGAACGAAACTGGAATTCGAGGTTCTCGTTGAGGAGGTGGTGGTAGTAGGGTGACAGTGGACTTGCAGGATCGTTGAGGACAATTTCCTGTGATCAGCTTACAACAGTCTTAAGAAAGAGGCGGGGAGAATGCTGGAATTCATCCGCAACTGGGGGGTTCATGACACATGGTAGGAGTGTAGCAGAGCAAAACATAGAGAGAATTGTGCAAGTGAGCCAGATCATGGAAAGTAACTCGAACACATTCACTACAATTACTACGGGGCATCATCCCCTCTAACGCTGTTCAGCCAAACGAGGGCTCGCTATGTTCGTCCTCCAACATCACATCCAAAACACGACGAGACAGCCACTCGGGAGCACCTCGCTTGTTGCACTGCCCACTGCAGGCTGTCTGTCCTCCGTTCTATCTGTGGCATCAGCGTCCTGGCTTTCCTCGTCTCTCGGCCTGGTCCGCCGCAAAGAAACCCCGCTCCAAGTCCCTAGCGAATCGAGAAATTTCTTTTGCCCAGGACAATAACGTCGGATTGACGAGCAACAAGACCGCCGGCGTGTGCATCTCCACGTCCTGGTTCATGGCCCAGTGCAGGGCCACAACACACCCGCACCACTTGGTCACGGAGTCGCAAAAGGTGCGCGCCGCCTCCAGATAACGTCGCAGGAGAGTACCGGGCCTCAGCACACCCGACGCCTCGAGGGCGTCGAAATCCACTTCTTGGTTGTCGAACTTGCGCTTGGCTTCTTCGCCCTTGCTCATCATCTCTCCGGCCATCCACGTCTTGTCCAGGACGCTGCCCGCCGTCAGTCTGTCCTGCCCTTGTCCAGTTTTGGCTTCCATGAGCAGCCCGATCACACTAATCAGTGTATTTACGCCAAACACGTGGACGTAAATGAGCATCGCGTCTACCAGCAAAGCCTCCCGGGTACCAGAATGCAGAAACTTTGACCACTCTGCTATGTCGCGTGGACCAACTTGGCGCTGGAGGCAGATCAGCTGCACGATATCCCCCTGGGACTTCCAGTACCACTTTGTCTGCAAATCACGAATCTCCTGGCACCTCCCCTCCTTCCACGCGCACAGGGTAGGCTCGATATGGATATCCATGAACTCAGAGATTGTCGACAGGCGCTGCCTAAGTTCCTGGGGCCATTCAAACTCAAGAGCTGGTTCTTCTCCCTCCCCCTCCCCCTTCTTGGTGCGGGAGTTCAGGAATAGATTGAGCTCTACGGAGCACAGTAGCCAAGTATGCGCACTCGACGCGAAATTCAGCACCAGTTCCAACAACGCCTTGAACAACGGCGAGTGAATTGTCAGGAGTCCGTCCTCGTCGCAGGGGTTAAGATCCCAGTCGTTGATGGTTCCGCGGGGCAAGTAAGAGATCCCCGCCTGCAGGGTCCTCCTGAGCTCATTCATCTCTGTGATGCATGTAGCCCGTGACTGTACGTTACACAGAATCAGTCCGTCTGGCATGTGCAGCCACCTGCATCCATCTTTACCAGCCAGCCTTAACATCAATCGCAATTGGGAAGCTTCCGGACTAGTTGATGAGATAATTTTCCCCCAGACTGCTGCAGGGACATCTAGAAATCGGTCTCGCGTCTCCACCAAGACCCTCACGTTTGTGTCTACAGCTGACAGCGCCTCCTTTACTCGAACCCTAGCCTTTGCAATAGCCTTCTCCTCCTTGTCGCGCTTGGTTCTTCCCGCCTTGTACCGAGATCGGCTCAATTTCTTCTTCAGCTTAGCCGCTAACATTTCAGCTTCAGTCACAGGATCAGCGTCGTGGTTTGTGCTCGCTCGGGCTGATTCATTCGCAGGCCCTAATCCAGTGTCTATCGTTGTCAGCTTGAGCGGAGGAGTCGCCAAGTTATTTCCATCAGAACGTTTGCCGCTCTTCTCAGTACCTTCGCCGGTCGTGGGTGACCTGCTTGTAGAATGATGAGATTGTACATGGTCGACTGCGGCCGTGGTCGTGGTCGTGGGGAGGGTAACGGCAATAGGATGATGATCCTGTGTGGCCCGAGGAGACACGGCAGCGTCAGAATCGCCAGCGGGTGTGGCACTGAATGTGTCGCTGTCCTCAGTTCCATGGGCCGATCCGGTCTTCTCGACATCCAGTCCCAATTCGCGAAATCTAGACGGGACCGTGAGCATGGCATCGCCAGCTGCTTTGTCGACGCCCTGATCTCCGTTCTCGCTCTTCTTCTTCTTGTTGTTCGTAATGCGTAAAATTTTGGTGTTTTTGTCTCGACTCGCGTTCTCGCTTGGAATTCCTGATGTCATCGCTGTCCTGGTTTGTGTCTGAATTGCTCGGCTAGCGAGATCTTTCGCCCTACGTGGCTGCCCTTGTGCATCTGCCGGTTTAGTTTTCGGCCTGTCGCCCGGAAGTGTGGTGACAGCCCGTCCGGCCAAAGGAAGCACATCACTTTCCATAAGCGCCATGTTTGTTCCACCTGATGAAGCTGCCCACCTTTCATTCGGATGCCGACTACAACTACCCGCTTTGTCAGGCTCTGCAGCTTGCGACCCCTAAATCTGCTGCTGGTAAAACAATAGGTACGCGACCTTGTTGTCCTTGTTGTCCTTGCTAGGTGCTCCTCGGGGAGTACTAGTACCAGAAGACCTGCCATTGACGACGCTGCTGTACTTCTTGGTGCCGTTGGTCGGGCCAACCTGCTTCCAATCACCACCGTCGTCCACCGCATTCACTTCTTCTCCCACGGCCGCGAAGCGATTGCTGGACGAGTCGGCGCCACTATCCTTGTTGGCCACATTCGGCCTCAAGGGGGCATCCTCACCGCCCATGTCAGTGACGTCCTGGCTGGTGATCGACTCGAGTTTCGTGTCGTTGATGCGGATCCAGCTCTCTCCATCCTGGCGCCGGACGTCAACACTGTAGTGACCGTGGTGCATGTCCGTGCCATGGTGGTACACTACGGCCGTAAGGCTGTAGCGTGGGATGCCAGTTTTGCTGGCCGAGTACTCATTCCGTCTGGGTCTGGAGAGAACCGCTGGCGGGATCTCGAGATCCAAGGGATAGCCAACTTTCTTCCCCAACTTGCGATATGAGCCATCGATCGATTGCTCGAAACGCACCAGTTGAAGGATCAAGACAGCTGGCAACTTGTGGATGAATTGTTGCTGGGTAGCAGTGACAGCTCCCTTAGGTGAGGAATAGTCCTTGATCGCCTGAGCCACATTCGACCACTCCATAGCCTGTTGGACATTCCTAACTGATGCGTCGTCAATGTGGAGCCGAAGCGTGTAGAATGGCTGATCAGTGCTGGAGTCCTTGCGACCAGGGCTCCGCAGCTCTGACCGGGTTTGACCCTGGAAGATTCTTGTCAATGGCGTGGGGACCTGAGGTGGTCCAGATGACTGGGTGACTGTGGATTTCTGTCGGTTGTCAACAGTAGTCCAACCATCAGCCTCCTCATCAGCTTTGGACATCACGTCACTAGCATCCTTAATCTCGCCAGCACACTCTGTCTGCAGCCCATCAAAGAGCAGGGTCAAAAATTCCTCAGCATCCTGTTGCTTTCCAAGCTACACAAATTGTTAGTTTAATGTAGATGCTGAATTTCCCAGGCGGGCACACATTGCACTTACCTTCAGCTTCGATTTGACAAAAGTTGGAGTCTTGAATGCTTTGTCATACAAAAAGTCTGCTCTGAAAGGCTCGCCAAATTGCTGGTGCTTATCATGCACTTTAGCCCTCAGCTGCTCAATTGTGCCAGCTGCATCAATGACCTTGAACTGGTCATGAAACTCGATCCTGCCATGCTTGTCAGTGAAATTCAGAGCTAAAAGCAGTTGCATTGTACCCACAGGGCTTCCAGTAGCAGTAGCTTCATATTGATACGACACTTAGTCTTCACCTCATTGAGGAAGTTGTAGAAGGGGCGGCAGTAGAGCAGCACCTGCAGGATCTGTATATGTCGTTTCATTAGTATTCATACCATGGAAATAGCATGCAAGTGGACCCACAGAGTTCATATAGCAGTCGACGCCTGAGTTTAGTAAACCACGGGGCTCAATGAAAAAGGCAGTCTTGTCATTGGACTCGACACGAAAGGAGCGGAGAACTTCGGCTAGGGTTTTGGTTCCCGACTGGGCAAGTCCAGCAGTTCCAAGGGTCTGGGACTCGGAGCCAGCCTCGCCAGCCAGTGCTGTTCCATTGACACTGGATCGAACACTTGCGACAGGTTTGGCATCCGTCGGCCCCCTCAACACGGCCGCCCAGTTCTTGAACAAGGGCTTGGTGGCAGGTTTGGCTTCTTGGCTCTCACTATCCCCAGCAGTTTGGGTCTGGGCTTGGGCTTCTCCGCCTGACTTGTCGTCAGTGACATACTTGGCAGAGTTTGTCTTGCTGTTCCCAGTGCTAGCCTTGGGCAACACGGGCACAGTCGGGACCACGGGAATTGCCGTGCGAGGAGCAACAGTCTTGGGGGGCTGTGGGGGCGCGGTGACAGACGGAGCGGCCAGGTCGGCAGGTGCCGGTGGCTCTGGAGTGCTTGTGGTCAATGTATCAGTAGTAACATTGACTGTAGATGTGGTCTCGTCCGTGTGGCTCGAGTCGTCTCGTGCGTCAATTGAACTTTGAAGATCTTCGACAGCCTTGACAGGCACAGGTGCTTCGATGTGGGCAGCTTGCGATGCTTGCAAAGAGACGTCTCCATCTGCGATCGGTTTGGCCTTTCTCTTCTTGAACTTCTTGCGTTTAGGCCAAGGCTCGTGCTCGTGTGTTGACCAGGGCAGCTGTTGACTATTAGTTCTATGCTATTCCAGGCGATTCGAGGCTGAACACTAAGGTAAGGGAATGGGAGTCGGGCAAGTAGGGGCCAATGCGAGGGAAAGGGGGCCGACGGGGAAGATGGAAGACTTACCGCGCCCCATATAGCTTCGGGGTTCGGGGTGGGCAGAGGGGACTCGATCAGAGGCGACTCCGGAGCGACGGAAGACGCTGGTCGTGATGGGGTCATCTGTCGTGAGGGATTGGATTCGACTGCAACATCATCGTTGAAAGACTCGTCATTGAAGGACTGGTGGTCAGAGGGTGGTCCGGGTGGCTGTTGGGTGGGTGGCGTGAAAGGAACTGCAGGAGCTTGGGAAGCGTGATTGGAGGCAGGAGTGGGAGGAAGTGTCGGAACTGCAGTGGGAGCGTTCGGTACCATAGAGACGGGAGGTTGGGAAAATGGCGAGGTCATTGGCTGGTTAATGGAGTGTTGTTGACTCATGGCGTAGGGTGACATGCCGGGAGAGTGTTGGTACGGATTGGCAGGCAGAGGCGGCTGCGGACTGTACATAGGGCCCTGCGGTGGATAGTAGTTGGAGTGATAACCTCCTTGGGGCGCCATACCGTTGTGGCCGTACTGCGGCGTCATGTGGTGATACGGGTATGGATACGTGTTGTAGGGTGGGATGTACCCGCCGTACATGTTGCCCTGGTGATATCCTGACTGATGGTAGTAGTGCTGCTGCTGATACTGCGACTGACCGCGGCCATGGTGCTGCGGAGGGGGCGGTATGGGAGCCGGTCCTCCTCCGTTGGTCGGAGGAGCACCATAGCCCGACTGGCCGTTATGACCGCCATAGGCTCTTGCTCCCCCTTGCATGGCTGGTTGCCCAGCCGGCAAGTGGTTGCTCATCTTGCCGGCTTGGGAGCGGATGATTCGCAGTGGTGGTCACTGCTTGGGACGCAACACGAAGACGGAGCCGCTGCTAAGATGCTGCGTAGATTGTGTTGATCGCGATTGGCGTGGCGTGTCGAGGCCAGCTTCAGTGGGTCTCGGGCTACTCTGAGAGATGAGAAGCAGCGGCGAATTCTTTGACAAAAGATACTTGATGCGCAACGCAGGATGGGGGTGGGGCAAGGTAACGAAGACGCGATGCTTATGGCTCTGATTTCCGATCTGAACAACAGCAGGTTAGCTCTGAATTGGCGTCATCATCTCGACCAAGATTGGCAGGGCACTCACTGTACACTTATCCACCTAGCGATGACAGACGCGACATTTCCAAAGGTGGTAGAATATGTAAGCAGAAATATTGGGTGGAGAGAAGGGTGAAGATGATGGGAGGATGATGTTCTTTGGTGTGGGACTCGCCAGCTTCCTAGGCAGACGATGTTGAAGTTGTTGCTGCTTGGCTCCAGGTCTGCTCAGCTCTGCGTTGCTCTGCTCTTGGCTGGCAGGCTTGGCCACAAAATTTACGCAGGCAGGGGTGGGGGAAGGATAAAGAGCGGGCCCTAGACAAGGGTACTATTATGACTCTCTGCGCTTGTCTCAAAAATTCCCCAGATTTCTAGCGCATCTGGAAGCTCGGACCTCAGCTCGATCCAAGCGTCTTCAACGGCCCCTCTCCATCTCTGGCGAATCTTGTGACGTTTACTCAAGAGAAGAAACATGTTCTCACAACAAAAGTGAAGAAGTTTCAAAGTGGACGGTGAGGTCTCTATCTAGCAGTCTGTCTCCCGCAGTCTCTGAAATAGCTATTTTGTACTGCTTGTCGACACTCCTATAAACAACCAATCCGACCCACGTGAGCAAGTTGGTGTTCCCTAAAATAGCAAAAGGAAAAGAGCAAAAAACGATGCCTCCCCCATCAACGAGGTTCCTCATCCCGGAACAGCCAAGATCCATCACATCTCATCGCCTCTCGGTACCGTTCACGCACCAAGGCCTTGCGGATTTCCTCCGCCTGTCTCAACTCCTCTGCCCGCTCTTGCGTGTTTGGAAAGTCCACACTCCAGAAGCCTGGCGGCGTGGGCATCCTGCTGTACCTCTGCCGGTGCTTTCCAAATTTGTTTGCCAAATCCCACGTCTTCGCCAGAACCCAAATCTTCTCCTTCTCCTCCCGTGTCGCCGTACCTATCTGCCAGGCCTCATCACCAAGGTATTTCTCCATGAGGCTGATACCTTCAGCCCGAGTCATAATGGACGGACCAATCTCCTTGAGCTCGGCCTCAGCAAAGTGCTTGAAGGTCTTGCCACAGCAATTGGGGTCGATGCACCCTGACAGTGCAGCGCGGGCATCTTTACCACGAACGACTTCATCGTAGACGTACGTGAGACCATCATTGTACCTAGGGTTGGGTTTGAAGTCCTCGGGTCTCAGTCTCTCGATTGGCCGCTCGCGAAGACGCGCTTCTTCCCTCGTGGCCGAGAGGCCCCGTGGCATGTCTTCGCGCAGTATGGAAGGCCTTTTCGGTCCACGCTCTCGAGCCACACTCGGGTGCATGGAGGGCGAGACTTTTGGCTTGGCACCCGCCTTCGGGGTGGCTGACTCTAGCCTCAAGGTCTGCACTCCTCCCGGAGTGAGCTCAGGTAGTGCGTGGAAACCAGACATACCCTCATGGAAATTGTGGAAGGAGACGGTGCGTGAGGTTTCGATAGCTTCGGGAGCCATGCGGTTCCGATTAATAGGCGTCAGCGCATTTTTAGGAGGCGAGTTGAGCAGATTATCAAGACGGCTCTTGGCCGCCGGGCGCTGCAATTCTTTCGAGACGTCCTCGCCATCCTCTGCGAGGTCCATAACCCCGAGAGTAAGAGGAGACACGTAGGGATTCCTGCGCGCTCTCGAGCCCGAATTCGTCTCTGGATATGACCGCTGCAGATAGTGCAGTGAATCATGCAGCGCAGAAGACAGATGTGAGGTAGGCCCTGTAGTCTTAGCTCCGTGTGACGACGTACAAGACTTATCCGGTGTGCTGAATGCCCCCAGAATTTCGGACCTTGCAACATCAGCCAGCGTCAGCTTTGAAGTGCTTTCGAGGTCTGCGACAGCATATTCCTGGTCCTCTCGTGGTAGGAATCTGCGTTTTCTTGGAGTTGGAACGTGTGCTTCCTCCTCGAAATCAATGGCCTCGGCAGCTGAAAAGTGCGGTGTCTCGCTGACGACCTCAATACCCGAGCTGCTGCTATGCTCAGATTTGATCCTCTGCAATCGTCCATCTCCGAGGTCTTGGTTTCTGTGCTTTCTCTTGCGTACTGATCTGGCAGACACAACGACCGGTTCATCTGATAGCGGCTCTGGTTTGACAGCGACATCATGATGCTCGGTTGGCGAGGTCAGAAGTGACGGCAAGTCAATATTCTCACCACCCGTACCACTCTCGGTCTCTTCAGAGCTGTCAAGTCTCTCAGGAATGACTGGTTCTGGTGGTAGTGGCTCGGACAAAACGCTCGTTGGTGATGACAACACGGTATGATTGTCTGAATTGACGATCAACGGTGGCGAAAATGGTCGCTCACACTCGATACTCAGATCTGCGAGGGGCTTCTTAGCATCCAGGGTATCGCATACCGAGTCTTTTCCCGACAGTGAGGCGTGTGTCCTCTTCTGCTCATCAGTGATGCCATCAGTCGCAACGTGATACCTCTGCAACTTGGTGTGGAGATCCTGAATTCTCTTCTCTAGTGAATCCGCGTAGCCTGCCCACTTGCAAATCTCTTCCCGTCTTTGCCGCAGCTTTGTCTTGTACGCCTCATTAATTTGGCGGGCTTTTTTGTATTCAGCTGCCAGTTTCATGTATGCCTTCGCCGGGTTTGAAGGTCCACCGGCAGAGTGGGCTTGGAGAGTTGCTGAACGTCGATCGCCGGTAGGCTTGTTCGGTGACAGCTCGCTTAGTATTGTCCGATTCTCTGAAGAGGCATCAAGAGCATCTTTCCCCTCTTCACAAAGCCGGCTGATTTCAGCCCTAAGGCTTTCATTCTGCCGGCTTAAACGGTCAACCTCGCCGGCGCGGCTCTTGAGGGCTGCCAACTCTTCTAAAAGTTGAGCATGCTTGCGATCGCGGTCTCTTATCTCTGCTCACGTTATCAGCTGTGAGGAACAAACTATTTTCTGTACTGAAGAATTCCATACCAGCCCGCGCTTGCTCGTCAATCCCGTCGCAGGCAGCTACCAGCGCGTCCAGAATGGATGGCCTGCCACTCGCGAGCCAAGAAGACATGGCACCTCAGAGGTGGGAGGTGACAATCACAGGGACGACGTTAGCTATGGCCGTGCTCAATCGTGGTCAGACGACGGAAATGCTCTGATGTGAAAAATTGGGGAGAAAGAGGGGAAGGAATCGGTCGGACAGGAGCGTATTATCGCGACACGCGACGCCGTCGTCAATTTAGGCTCCAGCCGGATGGAAGCGCTGTGACGCGCTTGGTTGAGAAGAGGCAGGGACCACTGATCGCCCTGTCACGTGCACTCTTCCCGGTTCTCAGCAAGGGTCTCGGCCCATCCCACCCTCCTTCCCTGCAAGACGAGTGCAACCATCCAACAACCTCGAACTCTTACTCACATTACATATGACGACGACAAGGGCAGAAGGAGTGCATACTTTTTGCCATGCGCCTTATCTACCCTAACAAGACAGATAGCTCTACAGCGCACTCTCAACTCGCTTCTCAGTGTGAATGCTACCCTAAGCCAGAGAAGCCTGGCTTATTACACAGGACTTCCCTAAGCTACATACTTCACGATGTAATTACATGCGAAAGTTTCCACCCTCAATTGCTCAAGTTCATACCATGAAACTTCCTCGCTGCCGGTGGTGGTGGTCGGCCCATCAGGACAGAAGACCTATTGTTTGCAGGAATTCCCTTCCAGATTGGCTATCGCAATGGAAATAGTACGCCATCATGTTTCCTTCTTGCACAGCAACCCTACCGGCATATGAATTAATCAATGATGATGCTGTAGCGAGCGTCGCCCCAGATACTCTGGCAGCAAGGCGTATACACATTCAAGGTTTATGGTTAGACCCAATAGCTTCTTGGTTCATTCCAGTGCCTAACTGTTGCTTGCAAAGAACTGGCGTGATTGTCTTGGGCGGACTCTGCGGTTCGGCCCGGAGAATGTTCCTCTCATTACTTGATCAGGTTCATCCCAGCACCAAGGTTTGGTAGAGCCCATCGTCGTCAACTACGGCGGTAGCGCGCTGCTTTAGGATGCCAAGGAGTCCTCTAAATAAGCCACGAGGTCTTCATGCTGATGTCATGACCTCATATATAACCCAACCTACAGCCTGAGGAGTAGTTTCGACATGAGTCTCGCCCGTGAGCTTAGGGGAAAAGCCTCCCATTTCCTTTATAAGTTACTAGCAGCCACGCCCTAGATTATCCTCCCGCCCAGATCCAAATCGCAAGGTGTCACAATGGCTAGCCCCCAGCAGAACGAGACGGGCCTCGTCCAGATCCTCCATTACCTCAAGCGAAACCCCAAACTCACACGCAAGGAGTTCTGGGAATACTGGCAGGGCACTCACGGGCCGAAACTGGTTCCGCTGGTCGAGTTTCACGGCTGCCACCGCTACCAGCAGGTATTTATCTTATTGCTTTCCTCCCCTCCTAGCTATCAGCAATCAGTGTCATTCGTATTCGTAGACATCTAACCGAACCTTTGTTCACGAAGCTGCACACCTTCGGTACTGTCATCCCCAATTCCTCCGCCGACTCCGCGCCCAACGCTGTGAGGAACTCCCCATCCGCGTCCCCCTCTGCCGCTGCCGTAGAGTTTGACGGCATCGCCATGTTCCTCGTCCCGAGCCTCGACGCGTTCAGATGCATGGTCGAGGATCCGTACTACGTCAACGTGGTGGAGCCGGACGAGCACAACCTCCTGGACAAGGCCGGGCCCGGGGGCGGCGTCGTTGCGAGCGTCCAGGGGACGGTAGCCAGCGTGGTGCAGGGAGGCAGGACAGTGACGGGCACGGGCGGCAGTGGGATCGAGCAGGAGGAGGTGGTGAGGGCGAAGGAGTATCACAAGGAGTGGGAGATTAAGAGCAGGAGATCCAAAGGGCCAACTTAGTGTGACAAATAGAGAGACATGCCTCATTTCTGAAAGATAATGCTCACAGGCGATACGCAGGAAGGCCTACCCCTTTTGCGAGGTGTTATGCGCGCGAGACGCAACGGTCTCTTCTGCATGCCATAACTTTTGCTATCTGCTTGGTGATTGGAGCTGATATTATGCTCGGTTGGCTATCTATTGCTTGTTGAGGTCTGTATGTAAAGGGTAAAACTCTGGCCAATTCCATGTCGAGAGCAAGGGGCCCTCTTAGAGCAAACAATTCCAGCACCATACGAGTCTTTGTTTTGCACCCACTTAAACCGGCATAAGAGAGAAAATCACCACTACAATATGAGTTTCCCAACACCTATCATGACGTCCCAGACACAGTGAGCTTTCACCATATCCGGTTCCAACACTTACTATAGGCCAGACATGGCCAGGGCCGAAGTAAATATTCGACGGAAAGACTTACGCGGTCTACATCATGGACGAAAAGGAGCACCTCCATAATACCTACGTCGACGAAGTCAAAAAAGGCTCTCCTTCAAGAGAGACACCATCATCCTCGTCGGCACGCACCACAACCTGCGGTCAGCCCTGCTCAGGAAGGACTCGTGTATGCACATGTCTACTCGAAACACTTGTTGTTAATGAAATGGCTTGGGCGGCAGTGGCAGAACTAAAGACGAGAAAGACTGGAATAAGTTTAAGAAGGGTTAGAGGTGGCAAGTCCAAGACTTAACAACGGACATTGATGCTGAGGCCGACTGGACGGGGGCTGGGGGGGGGGGGGGTGCCCTTATGCTTGGGCCTGGTCAGTACTTGGGGAACAGGATGCTTGAGATACCTATGCAGTGTTTTGAAAATAAGCTGACAGCGTCCCGACCTGTCTACATTCAAGTAACTTATCTTGAAAGCCAGTCAGGTAGTAGAGTCTACTCTCCCTATTACATACCAAGAATCTTGCAGGGCACGGGCTTCCTCAGTCTTGATTAATTATCCTTTCCCTAATCACCTACATTGTTAGAATTCATTGCAAATTTTATTTTGCCAGGTAGTCCCTCTTACATCCAATGAGGCTAGAAGAAACTTTGCGGATTTTTTCTTCTCTCTTCTCTAAGTAGTTGATCTAATCATGAGGAATAAAAAATTCTTCGGTGAACTGAGGATGCAAAGGCTTTTTCTTAACCTGCCACCATTAATCACCATGCCTCCTCATCACACTAGTTCATCGCACCGCAGGTTTGCATATGTGAGGTTTAACGCCTTTGTTTGACGCCTTGTTTGATTTCTTCTTGAGTTCACTAGCATGGCTCCTAGTCATCCATCCTGTCCACTTCCGTTCTGTGAATGTCCGGAGAAGAGCCATGCTAGACTAGAATAATTGACCACAAAGTCTATGCCTACAAGTTTACACGCCATAATCAAGCTGATGCTGTAGTAATCAGGGTATCGTTACTTGGCAAGCAAACGTTACGCAAAAGGTCCGGACTTCTTCGACGGATCACCCCGCCTTTCCCCATTTGCGGTCCCTTCAAATGCCTTTCTCAGAACTCCATCGCGCTTCGACCGTGCGCGCTATGCTGTCTCCTCGATCCATGTCACTTGTGGCAACAACCATTTTGGGCCTGAAAACCTCAATTCGTTTGAGATTGTAGTCGGGCGGCCACGATGCGACTTAGTCGTTAGAGTGTATGATTCTAGGACGGGTCGATGCATGCGGAACCCCAGTCTTGTTTCCGCAGTGTAACGTGAATGCGGATTCTCGTATCTCGCTCCCGTTTCACCGTCCCGTGTCAGGTCATTCAAGGCTGATGATCGAATGTCCTCAGATGACTGTCGATAGATTGTTCTCTGTGCGACACAACAATCTTGCTTCAGGCAAAACTTGAGTCCTCCCGAGCACGCATCTTCTCCTGGCCCTGCAGACGAGTTTGGTTCAGCTCGCGCATCATGAACTCGTAGGTAAGCATCGTGACTGTCGCAGCGGGCACCGCACGCATCATGTTGGTGCCCATGCCGGCGTAGAAAGCCCTCCAGCCCTCCTCGCGCAGGATCGTCTGAAACGTCCGCACGATACCTCTGTACTTCGCGCTGCTCTGCTCCTGAGCCTTCTCCGTGGCCTTAGGTGACAGCCCACCAGCCTTCGTGCCAGGTATACCGCCGACATTGGCCACGCCTGGATAGTCGCTGCCAGGCATTGGCCGCCGCTGGGTCTGCAGTCGAGTCCTTATCACCTCATGTGGGTAGGTGGCGCTGCTGGCTGCAATCTTGGAGAAGATTGAGGCGCAGAGGATGCCGAACCACTGTGCCTTGGGATCGTTGTTGGTAGGGGAGGCACCCATTCCCTGGCCTGTGAACTTTGTCTTGAGAAACTCATAGGCTGGAAATTGTACTGCCACATGGGTCAAGCCCAACAAGGCCGGGGTAAGACCAGAGTAGAAGGCTCGTATGCCTTCAGTGGTGTACATCTTCCTTGCAGCATCGAGTGTTGAGTGATAGTAGCCATGCATGGACATGGTAGGGCGGGATGTGGGTGTGTTGGCACCCTTGGGGAAGAGGGAGAATCCATGTCTGTCATGGTGACCAGTCTGCGACATGAGGCGCGTCTTGATGACCCAGATGGGATTGGTGACAATGGTGCTGCTGGCTCCTGCTATGATGGAGGACCAGAAATTGATCACAAAAGTATTGTCTGCGACATGTCAGCATAGCCCTTGAAAAGACAAAAGGCCACCCATGCCGGGCAGCAGAGGACGCTGATGCACAGGCACAGGCACAGGCGCAACTGAGGGCAGTTCCACATACGATGATATTGACCCAGCCAGGTCTTGCTCTTGTTGTAGACAGTGAACCAGACAGCCCAGGTCGGAAGATATCCGAGAATGATGGGACCGAGACCTCTGTACATGCCTCGCAGGCCCTCATCCCTCCATATGACACTGGCTGTGCCGACCAGACCATTGTAAATCCTAGGTTGACCGACATGCAACCCACTCTGCAGCTGGGCAAGGCCGCCCTGCGCCTGAAGCTTTGTCTTGATTACGTCGAGAGGGCAGGTCACGATGCCTGAGGTGAAGCCTCCAACCGCACCGGCAAGAGCGTTGAATTGCGAGTCCGAGGCACGGACAGCCCAGCGCTCGAAGGGGGTGGTTCGGTTGGGATCGTGCATGGTGGCGGCGGGGGCAGTAGGTGACGCTGCTACTGGCGACGGTAGTTCAGCAGTCGTCGGGTAAGTGTACTTGGGAACAGACGGAGAGGTACGCCCATTTTCCGCGGTTGAAGGAGGCGCGGACTGTTGCTCGAGAGACATGCCTCTTCCTCTGCAAGGAGGGGAAATAGGTGATGTGCGAGTTCAGGTCGGAGGGGGGGAGCCGCGCCGTCGACGTTGGCGAGAAGGCCCCGAGAGACGAGAAGACGGTGATACTGGGTTGGAGGCTCGGAGGTCTGCTTAGAATGTTGAAGTGTTTGTCGACAGGGTCTGCGACGTGACGCGACAAGATAGAGGTAGAGGTATGTTGTTATGGGCCTGGAGAGACTCTTGTGAACTTTGGACTTGGGATAGGGTCGAGGGGTCCCGTTGCCGGTGTGCGGGGAATGGTTCCCACGCAGAGGCCGTGACGGTGCAGCTAGCGATTATCAGAGGCCATTGACCTTGACACAGATAGCTGGAGTTTGAAATGTCACGGGAGAAAGGAATGTGGTGAGACGTGTAGGAGAGGTGTGGCTGCTGAGAGCAGTCGATGTTTATGTTGGTAGCTGTGAACTTTTGAGTGGAGGCGGAGAGGAACAGCACTGAAAGTGCGACGCCTGCTGCCGAGATGGAGTTGCAGTGGGTGTGAACCCGACACCGGGCAATGACGGCAGACTGCAGCAAAAGAAGCGGGCACTTTCTAGGGTCTGCTTAGCTCCTTGCAACCAAGGTGATTACGAGAAAGAGAGCAGGGTGGGAGGAGAAAGATTGGAGGTGAGAATTGGGTGAAGGCGTAGGGTGCAGCTTTGGTCCAGGTTTGGCAATTAGTGTGTTTACAATCAGGTCATGAAATGTGCCAGTGATCTCATCGTGTTTCTGAATCTTTCATTGCTTTCGGCGCATTGCAACAGGTTGATGAGCTGGTTTGCTATCGGGATGTTATCAGCAGAAAATACTTCTGATAAGGGAAGTACCTCGTGTGCCCATTTTGCGTCTTCGTCTGCCCAAGTGAGTTGCAAAATTCAAGAAAAATTGTTCAATGTTCTAAAGAATAAAAAAAAATTATTCAGAAAGGAGGTATTTCCTATTCAAATTTATATTCAGTAGCAAGCCATCTCTTTGTGACATCTTGCCATTTTCAGCTGGGAATTGTCCCCGTCCCAAGTTTGCGTGGTGTCGAGTAGATTACCACATTCAAAAATCACCCAGCTGACTCAGCATCCTTGGAAGTTCCGATTCATCCTCGTTCGCCAATCAACTTCCACTGGTTTGACTACGCCAATTCCCGCTGACCTGACTTGACTTGCACCCAAAGCTTGTTGCTTGCTGAAGCCTCACCACCACCAAACCGCCACACAAACACCCCACCCACACATCGACACCCACACAGAGGCCAAGATGTCATATATCTCTCTGGCTCCCTTTGTCACGAAGCGCCCCTGGCTGGGCAGTGTCCTTAAGCCTCTGGCCAGCTGGTATGCCAACGCCTCGGGCTACCGCCAGCTGGGTCTCAGGTAATTGAATCCCCTCCTTCAGCCCCCTCCCTCCCCTACCGGCCTAATTGGGGCCACTGCGCCGCAAATTACTGAACCCGACATCTCCTACAGGGCCGACGACCTGATCCCCGAAGAGTCCGAGACTGTACAGACGGCCCTTGCGCGCCTGGACGAGAAGGAGCGCTACGACCGTATTTTCCGCATCCGCCGCGCCGTGCAGTGCTCCATTTCCCACAAGCTGCTTCCCAAGTCCGAGTGGACCAAGCCCGCCGACGACATCCCTTACTTGGGACCCCTCATCAAGGTCATCGAGGCTGAGACTAAGGAGAGGGAGGCCCTTGACACCATGACCGTCTACAAGAAGCACTAAAAGAGATGGGTCAGTGGACAACACTGCTTGCTGCTCGCGCCGCCAATATGGTCGGTCATAGCTAGGAGTGGGTGGGAGATCTTAGGAATGGGCCGAAGACGGGACGCGAGGAGGTCAAAGCTACTGGATGAGGTCGGTTCCGCGTTTTGTTGGGAGGGGGGGGTGGTTGGATCTCGAAAAGAAGGCGCAACTCAGCGGCCTCCGCTGTGATGAGTTCTACCGGATGAAGCACTAGAAGAGGTGACTCAACCGTACGAAGCGGATGGCGATGGAAGCATATGAAAGCTTGCTGTGAGAGTAGAGGAATTGAGGAGATCGGAAATATACACTGTACCATACATACATGACGACCCCGGATGGAGATGCAACAGACAAAAAGACACGGTTCTTAGACTATTCTCCTTCTGCACCAGAAATTTGATGAATGCGGAACACATGAGTGTACAATCTTGCATCAAGAGGCACCCTCAAGAACTGGGACATCCAGCACCGGCCCTGCCAGGCAGACTCAACAAAGTTGGTGTCAGGCCTCTGGACACCGGCTGTAATGTCTATAAGAAGTCTCAGACGATAGGGTCTTGCAGGGAGAAAGAACCTTGTATGCCCTGCATTTGGTTTCCAAGCTCACATTTCTACAAAGACATATTGAAAGTGGTAGGTATATATATTAATTACCGTCTTTCAGAGCTCAGCCATACCAGCCTGCCTCCCATGGTTGATGGCCTGTCAGACTTTCCAGCTATCTCATATCGCCTCCCTCGGGTTCTGTTCACATCTAGTCCTCCCCCATCCATCAGATCATGCTCATGCACAAGAACGAGGCAAGTTTTCGTCCCTCGACCTGCAGCATAAAAGTATGCATCAACCAGTACCTGCACTATCAAAGCAAGTTTTGCCCAGCACATCATGAAACACAAGAACTAGCCAAGATAATCTATAGAGCTCCCATGATCTTTTGATCAACCAAAGAGAATGATTTCAATCCGAAGCTTATTAAGAGGCCCACAGCTGGGGTTTGACCAGGGGCAAGAGAGATCGAGAGTTGGAAGGCTCAGGGTTCCATTGGTACCTAAGAGACCACGGACTGGCCCAGAAAAGATTCGTAATTATAAATGGATAAACTGGGTAGCATACGAGGCTCAGGGCCACTTTGCGGTGTCGCGAGAGGGAAATCGTTGCTCGTGCGTGAAAGAAACTCCATGTGCCAGCGGACGATCGGAAGGGCGACCAGCATGGGCTGCCATTGACTCGAGCGCCCGTGGCGACGAAGAAATGTATGCCGAGATACCTGATGTGTATGTCGAATTTATAAGTTGTTCATGATGGTGATGAAGATGAGACAAAGCAGTGAGAATCCCCAACCCCGCCCGCCGTAACTCCGTTTTGGTGTCGAAAGCCTGCCTGCCCTCATCGAAATAGGGTATGTGGCGCCCCGTCCGTCCTCCTGTATTCATGCTCTTCGTACACAATGCCTGCGTCTCCTGCCGTCCGGTCTAAACGCTAGTCGGATCGGTTTGTCGGTGAAATAAGACGGAATTGGTTTGAATCCCGCAAGAAGTGAAGCTTGGATGTATCTGGTCCAGAACTATGCATTCCCAGGCTTCTCATCCGTGTCGATATGCCAGACCACGTAGTTAGGCAGGCCGTAGACCTCGTACCCAGCTCGCTTGGCCATCTTTGCGAACCCCTCCGTCTCGGCTTGATTCTCGAAGGCGTACGCGGGAAAGTTTATGCCTGCAACAGCATGTCAGTTGTCTGGCCACCACCATCCTGAGTGGGGGCCCTGCCACCACGAACCTGATCTATGCACGTCGGCCTTTACCAGGATATTGACGCCACCAATTCCGTCCAGCTCGAGCTCGACGTCCTTGTTATCGCGCCAGTCGCCCATCTTCGCCATGTAGGTGCGCCCGGTGTCATATTGCTTGTAACCTATATTGCTTCATCAGCCTCGGCTAGCTACTAGGGAGTAGAAAAGAAGACATACCTTCAGCAAGCACGATGTCCTTGTCCAGCTTCGAGGCAAGCTTGCGGCCCTTGGCCGACTCAACCCAGGAATTGTAGTCAACTTGTCTCACGGTCAGCATCACTGTATTGCCACGCCTGATCTTCTCTGGTGGGAGCGGTCTTACATCGTCCTTCGATATCGCGACCCTCCTTGTATCGGTGGAACCAAATATCTGGGGAAGCGTCAGTCCTGATTGCTATGATAATGTGGGCCCTATAACAATTCTTACTGGGGACAAGGATGTCGCGGTCGTGGGCGATGAAGTCCTCAATGATCTTCTTGGGGCTGTCCACGATGTCGACATCGCGCCAGTAGACCCAGGAATGATCGGGCTTTAAGGAGGCGGAGAGGAGGTAGTTGCGAGCCCTGCCCATGGCCTTACGACGTGGCCCCTGTGCCTCGAAGCTGTGGCGGTCCTCAACGTTCTGGCTGAGGTGAAAATTAAAGTCCTTCTCGACAACCATGGCGCTCCGGAAGGGGATGGTGTCGGGGCGCTTCTGTATCCTGTCGAGCTCCATGGCTAGGACAGCCATCGTGTCGTCGGCGGAGTCAGAGACGAGGAAGGCGACATCGATGAGGTGATGGGGATATGTCAGCTCAGCGAGGAGCTCGAAGTATTTGGAGAGGTAGGGAGCGGCATCCTTCAGAGGCGTCAGGATGAGGATCCGTTCCTCGTTCTGCAGCGCCTTTTTGGTGGACACGATCGGGTTGAGGTCGACGTGCTCAACCGTGGAGGAGTTGACATGTATCGGCGTGTGATGGTTGAAGAGGACGGGTGTCTGCAGGTGCTTACTCCATGCGACCTGTTCGTTGAGGGTCATCTCCATTGGCGGTTTTGAAGGACCCCAGCAGTAGAAACTGTAGACAAGTGATACATGTCAGTTGACTGAGATCGTAAGATGCGCTTAAGGTTTGAGGTTGTGTTTGGATAATGGCTGCTGCCTCCTCGACCCACCTCTGCATCTCAGACGCTGATGTGCTTATGCCACGCCATAATAGGAGCAGAACGCCTGTGATGGCAATACACAACAGGAACCTCGTCCGCGTCAAGAAGCTCCATACGGCTCTCGTCGGCGGGAGGTTAGCCCTTGCAGCCTTCCAGTTAAAACCACCCTTTGGGAGAAGCATGGTGGAGGGAGGGGATGGATCTTGGGTGGCCCGGGGCACCACCCAAAAGAGAAATCGCGACAGGTCTGTTCAGGGCCCAGCTGCGCGCGGTAAGGTCGCGATCCGTCGCCTGGTCGCAGGCCGGGAGAGTTGTCTCGTGCTGTCGGAAGCGACGGACAGGAGGGCAGGATGTCTTGTCGGCGGTGACACAGCGGTAGATTGCCGGAAGGTAGGGTGGACTGTGCCTCGTCTGCTGTGCTCCGGATCAAACGCGACGTGGACGGGACGTCTGTGTCTCGTGTGGCGCACGGGTGGTTGGGACGACGGGGCCAAAGCGAGCAAAAAGGGTTGGGAAGAGGATGTCGTTGGCGGTTTGAAATTAATGTTCAAAAAAGGACGTGCTGGATTAGTCGAGGTGGCTCGTGATGCCCTGGCAAGACAATCAATCGTTGACCTGGGGCGACAAACTGCGATAGGAAATAGGAACAGATCGAGAAGTTGAATCGAGCGATACGACAGATGCGAGTGAGCCCCCTGGGATTCGGATTCGCCCTAGCAATGAAGGAATGGTGTGCTGAGCGTCCTGGCCCAGCTGCTGCTGTGCTGTCTGAACTCTCAACGGCCGGATGCCCCAATCGGCGCCAAATAATCAAGGATCCTTGGCTGCAGCCTATCAGGAAGGGCCTGAAAATTACGAGAGAACAGGGGATGCCGCTGCGGCTGGTAGGGCAAACTGTCCTAACATGTCCTAACCGAGAGGGGAGAACTTGTCAAGGAGCTGCTAGGCCCTGTACATCATCGCTAAACCGCTAGATCGCTGAACCTTGCCCCATGACATCGATCGCTTGATTTCTGGATAGGTCGGCAAGTCAATCATGTAGGCATATACCATCTCCGCGCACTGGATGAGGTCTTTCTTTCTTTTTTCTTTTCTCTTTTTCTTTTTTCAAGGGGCGGGGTGGGGGGTGCTTTGCTGCAGATCTAGTCGACAGGTAGCCACCACAGCCACCCTTCTTACCGTCCCTAACCTTCATGCGGGCTGTCAGACCGTGGAGCGGAGCGTTGTATTGACTTTCATTACCGGCCATGCTGTATGTGAAATATTACTTTGGCTGGTAATATGGACGGGGCCGGAGGAGCTCGAGATGAGACGAGCCGGGGTGGATTGATTCCATGTCTAGGTGCATCTGCAGCTTACTGGGCCTCTTTTTCTTTCTGAGAAACACAACACAGCCCTTAGCCATGCTTGAATTTTAAAGCATCCTTGCTCCTGTAACTGATGTAGTAGTAGGTGGTCTGCAATCAAATGTTGGATGATCGTCTTGCTCTTGTGTCTCCCAGATCTCGTGGTTGTGAAGGAGCGGCAGGTATAGTATTATAGGCAGTACTATATATAAAAAGCCACAAAATCCGCTCATTTCCTTTGAGATCCATTTTTATACTAATGGTTGGATGCCAAAATCCCTTATGCTGTACTGTAACAAACTACAAGCCCCTATTACCCTATACATTACATCTAGAACACTATCCTGTACCCAGCTCATACGCTTCTCTCTCGCACCGTTAGGGTTTGGACTACGCAGGCTTATCTGTAGAGCTAGTATTTCTTCCTTTTCTTTTCTTTTTTCGGTGGGACGAGTATACGGCACATTGAGCGCTGTCACCAAGTCCAATGCTCAGCCTCAAAAGGCTTCAGAACCCTCAGCATTCCAACCCTCTGCGTAAATCTCAGCCTACAGCATGCCTCTCCAATTTCTAACTGAAATCGAATGCCAAAATTCAGAAGTCAGCAGCTGGTTCTTGAGAGTATCGGAGTCTGCTGCATCGAGCCATTTGGATCGCATTCATTCGTCCCATCAGATCAACCAATTTGCAATGGCTATCTTTTGAAATACAAGACCTTCCTTGGTAATGACTGGTGGTGGTACCTTATAGGGAGTGTCCCTGCGTGGTGGATGCAGCCTGCAGGTAATTAAGCACCGTGAATCCGGGCCACGTGAGTTGGCGGTATAAAGGCGACCTAAGTAACACTAGTGCTTCAGGGATGACATGCGTAGGGCGCGCGTCTCATACTGAAAGGCCTCTCGGCGCTGCCTGGTCAACCATTCCTCTCTTCTCCCCCTCTCTTCTTTTTACTAGACCGCATAATAGGGGAACTCAGCAACTGCCCAGCTCATACGTTTCTACCAATACTAGTCTGTGCCTTCAAGTCGGGCTGTGGACAGTGTGACTGAGCACCCAACCGCATATGACGTCGACATATCGCTTCCACTTTCGTCCTTCCTGAGTGAGGGTTTTCATGGTCATATTCAGAAACTTGCCTGGCATCTGTCCCACGTATTCTCTGCACAACAGCTGTTGGACGCACATTCTTGTATTCTTGAAGACATCCAACCCTACACGTCTACCACGCTCGCTACCTATCGCATGCTTCACAATGACCACCCGGCGATCCGCTCGTCTCACCGCGCGGGCTGAGACCAAACCTGCTGGTAGCGAGTCCACGTCGATGCCACCTCCATCGACCCCAGTGAGCAGATCACGCAAGAGAAAAGCAATCTCTCCACCAGCTGGAAGCGGCGAGTCCTTGCCAGCGGCTCCATCCACACCCAAAAGAAGGGCCCAGAAGTCTGCTGCCCCTGCGCCTACTACTCCTCCGCTAGTCCCACAGCACACGCCCAGCGCCGTCCGCCTCATCGCCGAGCCAGCTGTGGTGAATAAACCCGGAACCCCATCCGCATCCCAACCAACCTCTTCGACGACAACGACGCCTAAACGCAAATCTCGTGCCGTGGCCCGCCTTGCTGATCCCAAGGGGACCAACGCTCCTCTCCTGTCACCCGAGACGTCCCGTGTCGCAGCCGTCAAGCCCAGCCTCGAGGCTGTTACTCCTAGCCGCCTACGTGGACCGACGACAGCCACGATCCTTGCCGACGCCTGCGCGCACCTTGTCGCCACCGAGCCTCGCCTCAAAGCGCTCGTCGACGCCCATCACTGCCGAATCTTCTCCCCCGAGGGCCTCGCTGAAAAGATCGACCCCTTTGAGTCGCTCGCGTCTGGGATTATCTCGCAACAGGTCAGCGGTGCCGCAGCAAAGGCAATCAAGGCACGCTTCGTCGATCTGTTCGATCAGGAAGCCGCTGCCGCAGAGGCGACGACAGCCACGGCTTCCCGCAAGTTCCCTACGCCCTCTCAGGTGGCCGCGGCATCTATTGAGAGGCTGAGGGGCGCGGGCCTGTCTCAACGCAAGGCCGAGTACATTCAGGGCCTGGCCGAGAAGTTCAGCTCTGGCGAGCTGACCGCCGGGCTACTGGCTGACGCGCCGTACGACGAGGTGCTGGAGAAGCTGATCGCGGTGCGCGGGCTAGGTCAGTGGAGCGTCGAGATGTTTGCGTGCTTTGGGCTCAAACGTATGGATGTCTTCAGCACGGGTGACCTGGGCGTGCAGAGGGGTATGGCCGCCTTTGCGGGCCGAGACGTGTCCAAGCTCAAGGCCAAGGGCGGCGGCAACAAGTGGAAATATATGAGTGAGCAAGAGATGCTGGACATGGCAGCGCCTTTTAGTCCCTACAGAAGCGTATTCATGTGGTATATGTGGCGGGTAGAAGAGACGGATATCAGCACATTGGAGTGAGGCGCTTTGTCTAGTTCGACAGAGTCACCAAGATTCAACAGCTATGAATCCGAGGAATCGAGTCTTGGCACGTACGAGAGGGATCATTCTTGCACATGGAGGATGCCGCCGCCCGATCCTCGGGCGCAAGGAAGATAAGCACGTTGGAGACCGAAAGATGGATCCGACCCGCACAGAACTTGGAAACAGGAGATGCTCGAAAGGGTGAGCCAGAGTCCGAACGGCATAACGACTTGAACGAAATGGAGCCCGAGGTTTTTGAATGTAGGACCCTGAGGGGAGAAGCCTTAAACCTACTGAGAGGCTACCTTTGTGTGGACATCAGCCTCATTTGTGAAGCCTAATTGTATCTACCAGGCGTCCCTCGGATGTTTGAGAGGAGAAGAAGACCTAGCCCTTCGCCCGCCAAGCATAAACCTAGCACTCCAAACGCCCAAACAGACGCACCTGCGGCAGACAAAACCTTCGCTCGTCCTGGGTCGACCATGTATGTACCATAGCATAACTATCGGGCTACGCCTGTCATTCATGCATCGTTCCTCCTCCCGAAGGAGTTCCTCGGGCGGAGAATAATTAATGAACCGGCACGGCCCCGCACAGACGACAGACACTGGGACAAGGGCAAACTTGTCTAAACCAGGCGTGCATCTCCATGTAGTGTTGTAGAAGCCCGGTGAAGAGGATAACTCCGAGTCCCAAGACACTCCTCGGATGGGAAATAAAATGACTGTGACACAGACCACAGTTTTGTGGTCATATCTGGGTAGATCAATGTGCGCGCCTCTTGTATATCTGAGATGCTCCGTCCTTCTATTGTCCCCACACCCATTTTATTCACTCGGCTTGACAAGGTGTGACACTCGAGTTCAATGCAGACCCTCTCCGAGCGCTGGTTCGAGACAAAGGCCGTTGAAAAATGGCAACACCAACAAACAACACCCCCCACCCCCACGCTCGCTCGCTCACTCACTGATTAGATTTACTACCATGCATTACACAATGGCGAGCGGCTTACAAGTATGTAAGTATGTACGCACGCATACTCGCACTACATATGTCATTCGAAAACCGCCCTGGATACGCCAAACCTTTGCTTGTCGGCTGTTATGAAAGAGGTGTCTGTCTAGAAGAGAGGTGTGTGTGGCACTGATGATGCGATTAGCGGATGGTTACGAAGCAAAAAAAGGTTTCCAATGGTGGTCACGACGCCACGCATGCTGCGTCACAACGTACGTGACGGCTTGGGCATACAGAACACAGCGCGCCAGATGGGACAGACAGACGGGGTGTCGTAGCGAACGGCAAGCACCGAAAGTCTTGTTCTGTCACGTACTCATTGAACGAAAGGACGAACTGCAAAAGCTGTACAGTTCTGTAGCCCACCCGCAAAAGGATCAGTCGGTCAACCTGGAATGTGGAGTAGTAAATCTTTTGCTGCAGGGTGTCTCTTTTTTTTTTGTCTTATCTTGCTCCATCATCATGGGATAAAAGAAAGACCCAGCATGACGCTCAAACAACATCCATTCCATCGTAGATCACAATCCGCTTGGGTCGAGAGAATGGCCGGGCGTCCGGCCCTGGGGGGGGGGGGGGGGAGAGGGCTGATCAATGGCCTGGTCCGAGCCGCGTCGAGGGATGTTTTGCATCTGCATCTGCGTCCTGCGTCAGTCGCACTGGTCGCTTCATCGGCCGTGGCCGATCGCCCCGTGCAGTTGCTTGTTTGACGTTGTGGTCGAGACGAGGCTGAGGAAGGAAGGGGCTTGCAGATCGGAACCCTTCCAATTGTAGCCTGTCTGAGAACTGGCTGTCTGGCCAGCCTTGGCCAGTCGGCCTTGCCCAAGACCAGCCTCGCTGGAGCCTCCGGGACAATCGTCAATGGAAAATTCTGTTGCTGTCCCCTTCAAGAACGCCCCATGGCAGTATTTTCTCGTCTTCAACAAGTATAGGTCGTCCAACAGTATGTCTTCTTACAAGGAGAGCTTGTTCTCTTGGCAGGTCTGGGATTTCAGGCGTACTCCTTCGTGAACTGGTACTACAACCCCTTCCGAATTCACAATCCTGTTGCTGCTGCTGTTAGTGTAGTATGTACATTGACACGGTCTTGAGCGAGCTTCATAGATTTTCGTCAAATCCGTTGTTGTGGCGTCCTGGCTCATTGGCTTTCATGGTGAAAAGAGAAAAGAAGAAAAAGGAGACGTCTCGCTGACTGATCCAGTCGCTTAGACTTTGCAAAAGTTTGAGAGTGTCGCAGCATCGCCTTGGCTGGGGCTCAATTGTTGGCTGACTCGCACCAGTGTGTGATGTTTGACCCGCGAGCGACTTCAAGCAAACAGGGGGGCCTTTGTCTCCCCCGTCTCCTCCACCGCCGCGGAGCCTGCGCCACTCGCGATGGCGATGGCGGTCGGTCGTCGTCGTCGTCGTCGTTGTCGTCGTCGTCACGAGAAACTCACACGGGATATCCGTCCATCATGCCTAGATTCTCCGAAGAGGCGCAGGGATAACATAAGTACGTGGGTATACAAGAGACAAACACCTGGTCTTGTCAGAGAAAGCCGATTCAATGCGGCTTGAGACATAGCGACAGTTCATGACGGGAAAGTCGCACAGCCACGAAACCAGTGCGTGTGGAATGAGACCTGATGGTGTCGTTCATGGTGGAGCCTGCAACCATTTATATCGCAATGTCTGATTTTTATTTTCATGAGGCCTCCTCCATTATCAAATGGCTGGAATGGGAACCCAAAAGAAGCATCATGGTTTTTCTTTTCATGTGAATGAGCTCGGTCAGCCTCCTCTAGGGGCAACAAGGGGGTTAAGTTAGGCAGGACGATGGCCGGACATTTCAATATACCCATTGACCAATCATCTCGCCATCCTTCCCTACTTTCCAGATCCTGATCTCGAGGAGGGCAAGGGTAGGGGCGTGTGTCTATCCGCCCCATTCAAGGTTGCTGCGATACGCAAAATGAGCGGACCACTTTTTTGTCTATTAGAGTCATGATAAGGACCAACGGCCCAATACTACTTCATATATTCAGTCCTTCGCGTCAAGAGATTCGAGGGGGCCCGGGGAATGATGAAGAGCACGTCCCACACGCAGAAGGTTTGTTTGCCATCTCATCAAACCATCGAGCGTCTGGATTAAATAACAGAGAATGAATACGGAGGTTGGGTTCGTAAAGAGGATGGCAAACGAAACGACAACAACGACGGCGGCGCCGACAAGTCGGGCCAGCGTGCACAGACACGGGACAGGACGCGTTGGCCGTGTGAAAGCTTTCAAGGATTCATCCTTTTCCACCCTCTTCTTCTTTTTGGCCCCGAGTCTGCCATGGATGGTAGTACAACGATTTGTGTGTCGGCAGCCTGCAGTCGTAGGCGAGATGATTAGTGCAGACCTACTTGTATTACACCAATGTCGCAATCATTGGTGGCTTACAAGCACTCCCACACCTCTTTCGTGAAGCAGTCCTATAGTACATAATACATTCATTAGCAGCGCATTGGCAGCCAAAGCTAATGCTCCCTAGTGGCAAGCTGCTTAGCGTGGCATTAGTAGCGAGCTCTCGCATATGCAGGTCGTTTAGCCCCGAAGTCAACCGTTAGGGAGCACCTGGCCTGGTCTGGGCCTTTTGGCCATATGGGAGACGGTCTTTCTTCAGGCGTGTATGGTAGTGCAAGGCGACGGACGCTTGTTGCATAAGGGTACTTACCAGCAAAATAAAATAGAAAAATAAAATGCCCGATCAATTGTCATTTGATCGCCAAAGTAAAAGCAAAGGGAAGGAAAATCCACCGAAAAAGCTGAATACCATCCCATTCATTTGTCCCCCCTGGTCGCCATGCCATCAACCGAAGGCCGTCAGTCATACGTCATTTCCATAAATTCGCACCTGAAAGGTAAGTAACGGCCAGTCCGCCGACGACAGTTGTCCGAGGCATCGACCTCGCCGGAGATGATGCAAAACAGGGGAGCCAGCTGGCTGCATGAAATGACCCGCCGATGGAAAAGTCTCCCAGACACCAAGAAGAAAAAGAGCACGTCAGGAAGGGGGAAAGGGAAAAAAAGGGAGCGCACGAGCAGGGTTAGCTTCAGGCTTGGTTCGAACCCCGTCCAGGGAACCAAGCATCGCCTACCCGGCTGTCCGGGTGGGTACCAGCCAGTATTGAACTTGTGTGTTCGGGGAGGTCCCTAGGACACTGGCACGGCTGGCTAACGCGATCATTTCTGCGGCTCAACGAGACCAACAACCCCTCTAGTCTCCTCCATTCCGACCGAACTAGAATTTTAAGATGCAAATCTCAACAACCGCAAAATTTGGCATTGAGATGGCGATTTGCGGCCCTAAAGGACGACTGAAGATGAGATAGCCACAGTGCGTGGGCCAGAAGAGAGTGAAGTTCGTAATCTCGGTACACAGTAGTATGATTGCGGGACCCAGCGAGCCAGTCAGGCCAGTCCTGCCCAAGATCAGAGGCCCCCGGGCGGATGCAGGACGACTGGTGCAGGGCGGCAGAAAAGATTCGTAATCGGCTTGTGCCGAATATCCAGCTCTCCAGCCACAAGAACCCGCTTGTTGACGTGGTAAAAGAAACCCGTGAGTGTGCACAGGCGGAAGTACCGGCACATAGATGGCCTCTCTTTTCTTTCTCAAGATCCAACGGCTATTCGGTTGAAACAAGGACGCATTGTCATTGGCAAATTCGGGACAACAACGATTTGACCCTCATAGGTCAATAGCGGGATCCTATTTTCTGTGAAACTAAAGAGTTGTGCCATGACCTGATCTGGATTCTGATCAGCGAGCGAATCCTCATCAGCTCTTGCCATGGGGAACCTTGAGCGAGACCTTTCCTGTTCCCGCTGGTCACATGGGTCTCTCTGTATGTACCATAGTAGACAGCACTCGCGGCAGCAGGGAGAGGAGGCGAGTGAGTGGCCGATCAGGAGAAGATGCCGTTTCCCGAGTTGCCACGACGTGCACGGGATATAGTACAGTAGTGCGGGTGTGGACACAGCCAGACAACCAACACATTCGAGAAGGCCGCGTCCTGATCATCACTCTGGTGGCTGGTAGGGCAAGGGAAAAAGAGGAGCCATGACGCGGTAGACTGGAAAAGCGTACGAACAAGACACGAACGTATGGGCTTTTTTTTATGGTGGAATAAGCCTTAGTGCCGGGGAGACGGTATCAATTAATCCATAAACGTCGGTCAGTTCATGCTTGGTATGGGAACCCAGTGGCACAACCCTAAAAGAAAAAGAAGAAGAAAAAAGAAATCCCAACGGCGTTCCATTGTATCATGGTATTACAGGGTAAAAAAGCAGAAAAAAGAATGGGTGGGTGCGTGTGTGTGTGTGTGTGTGTGTGGCATGGTCTGTATCAATAACGAATTCATCGATCGCGGCAGGATCTTCCTTTCTTGGGGGTACGGGAGGGATGTGTGCCGGGCACCCCTGCTCCAGAGCTCCGTATTTTCGAGACACACCCAGGATTGCAGGTCGCTGCTCAGGTACGATTTCCCTGGTTTTGGTCGCAGTGGGTGCTGTAACTACAGGCTCAATAGGGCAAGGGGGGCGACAGGGCATGGAACCTTGGAAGGCGGTCCGGGAGGGGGGTGAGTCGAGCGATCGCCAGCAAACCCCCGCCTGAATTTTCTCATTAGCTCGCGCAAATTGGAGCGCTGCAAGGTAGGCCCATGGTGCCTGACCCAGTACGAGTCCAGTCCCCATCTGGCATCCGCAATCACTGCAATTGGGCCCCCCCCGCCCCTTTCCCTGGCCTTAGCCGAGCCCTTTTCCATGGCGGCCTGCACACCTGGCACACGCTTTAATCAACACCACACCAGCCCAGCCCCGTCCTTCTTCTCTCTCCCTTCCACCCTTTTTCTTCTCTCCATTCCTCATCTCAATTTTCTTGAGGCACTTCTCTCTTTCCCTCTCTTCCTTCCGTCCTTCTACTTCACGACACTCGCTATTGTCCAATATTTATCTGGTGTGGAGAGAGTCAAAAGGAATTCGTGCTTAATTTTTTTCAAGCCTACTTCCTGACCAACCAAACTCGCCCCTTTTCCTGCCGCGTCGTCACCACACACCAGACCAGCTCCTTCCTCAGCTTCTGGAATTCCACGCCATCTTCGACTGGAATCTTGTCCATACTTTTCACATCGTAAGTTAGCATACAGAGACAGCTGTCAAATTCCTCTCCCTCAGCACAATTGCCACTGCCGGCCTGTTTTCGATTGGATTGTGGATTTGTTTTGTTTGGATACCGTGGGAGCCACGGCAACCGCCTTCGACCTTCTGCGATTCCTTTTCACCTCAAACCCTCGCCATGCCATCAGCTCTAGGAGAGTAGGCTCGACCTATATTCCTGAAAACGTTGTCTTGCCATCAGCTGGGAAGGAGCCTTTCCAACGAAGTCGATTTGGAACCCCAAGCCACTGCGAGAAAATCTCTGGGACGGCTTTGCGCTCTCATTCGATCCATCGATACTTTTGCGCTTTGGCTTGGTCTCCTCCCCATCTTCTCACCCCGATCCACACAACACACAATTTTGGAACCCATTCAACAACATCAATACGTTACGACCGAGTTTTTTCTCTCGTCCAGTCAGTCGATTCTGTGGGGAATAAACATCAGCATTCATCATTCAGATACCCGCGATATTCACAACCGGAACTCGTGGACCCTGGGCCTGCATCCTTTTTCTTCCACGAAACCAGCATCCCACAGCACAGGCTCAATTCTCATTGAAAGCGCATCGCAATCTCCTCTCAGCATTAGCTAACTCGTCAATCCAATCAAGCCCTTCAGAATGTTCTCCAAGATTGCCATTGCAGGCCTGTTGGCTGCCACCGGCGCCACTGGTAAGCTTGCCTCTCACACCTATCGCGCCTGATCTGAGCGTTATGCCCGGCTATTCGGCTAACACATTTCTGCAGCCGCATCTTCTTGCTCTTCCGCGACCTTCACGATCACTGCCTCTTCCGATGCCGCTATCGCAAGCTGCACCACCCTCACTGGTGATGTCGTGATCTCCGAGGATGCCGGAACCGTTGTCGACCTCGGCAGCGTCGAGTCTATCGAGGGCAGTCTCTCGGCCGACAGCTTGGCCCTGATCTCCCTGAGCTCCAGCAGCCTCAACTCCATCTCGGATACCTTCCTCCTGAACAACCTGACTACCCTGGCCACCCTGAGCTTCACTGCTCTCGAGACTGTCGGTAGCATCCAGTGGCAGACGCTGCCCGCCCTCAACAGCCTGACCTTCACCACTGGTGTGAACAAGGCCTCGAGCGTTACCATCAGCGACACCCACCTGGGCAGCCTGGAGGGTCTGAGCCTGGAGACTGTCGGCACCATGGATCTGAACAACAACGGCCGTCTCACCGAGATCGACCTGGCCCTGACCAACCTGACTGGCCTCACTCTGCAGGCTAACGGTCAGGACCTGGCTGTCACCCTCGACAGCCTTGTCTGGGCTGCTAACCTGACGATTGCCAACGTCACCACCTTCTCTGTCCCCGCCCTGGAGGTCGTCAACGGCTCTGCCCGCTTCGACTCTAACTACTTCACTTCCTTCTCGGCCCCCAACCTGACCCAGACTACTTCTGGTGACGTTTCTTTCATCAACAACGCCGACCTGACCAGCCTCTCGCTGCCTGTCCTCGAGAAGGTCGGTGGTGGTCTGACCATCGTCAACAACACCGCCTTCCAGAACCTGACCCTCCCCAAGCTGGCTACCGTTCTCGGTGCTGTTGACTGCGGTGGCAACTTCACCAAGTGAGTCAATCCCTCATCATTATAGTGATCTATCTGCAACCAGAGGTGCTAACCATGGCCTTCGTAACAGCGTCGAAATGCCCGACATTGACGATGTTGTCGGCACCTTCACTGTGACCTCCACTGAGGACATTGATGCCGACTGCAAGGTCCTGAGCTCCCACGCCCCTTCTCCTACCGGCAACGGTGACATCCAGGGCAAGACGGTCTGCAACTCGGAGAATGCCAACGCCAACTCGGGAAGCGCCAGCGGTGGCTCCTCCAGCGGCTCCAGCAACACGAGCAGCAACGCTGCCAACATGCACGTCAGCTCTGCTGTCGTCGGCCTCAGCTTCGTCGGCCTGCTCGCGCAGCTCCTGTAAAAAGAGGGCTGTCTGGCATGAAGAGGGTTGTGTTGCTTTTTGGTAGCATTGATGTGATACTGCTTAAGGGTCAGGGTAAACAAACAGGAGGCGTTCTTTTCCTTTTACAGCAAATTCCCCCAGGATGATAGGATCTTTTTTCGTGTCTGAAGGTTCTGGTTTGTTTAGCTCAGCAAGTCATCCGCACTCGCGCATGTGGTTCATGGGAGTCACTTTCTACGTACAGGAAAAACCACACTAGACTAATAATTCCTCCCTTTTTCTTTATCCAAAACGTTCCATGAGCGTTGGCGCGTGCGTGCTTGGTGGTCGTTTAAGTTCCGATGTGTCAATTGATGCTTGTGTCTGTGTCGTGGGGGTTATTTCATCGAGGATTGATCAGGATCTGTGAGGGTCGAGGATGGATAATGCCTATAATAACCTGGTGTGTTGTTGTGGTGGTGGAGAACCGGGGGGGGGGGGGGGGAAACACTTGGGAGGGACTGCCGACTTGAGGCCTGGCGGAAATGAATTCCTTATGGTCATGATAATTCTGAGCTTTGAATGATTGCTCCGTCACTGGGAGTTTGTACATAGCTAGACGTCTCCCTCTAGAGTCGCAATAGCCAGGCCTAAAGGTTTGATTCCCTTCTAATGTCACCTTTCTTTTGACATGTGTCCGCCCGCCCCCTCACCCCCCCCCCTTTTCTCCTTTGTCCCAGATAGAGTTCTTCAGCCTCGTCCGGAACAAGAACAAGTTGTGGACATTGCTAGGGGAGGTGTATTCTGGCAGAAAGTGGGCATGGCCGAATAGATGGAAAGATAGATCTTTTCTTTAAAAAGTGCGAACATTACTACTGGCTGCTCCTGTGTGTATGGATGGATGACTACAATGGTCCACCATAGATCCCCTTCTCGAACTTGTCGGCATCCCAGAAGCGCGCGGCGATGGCATTGCCGTTAAAGACCCTGCCCTCGAGCGCGTTGACCGCCCGTAGCGCGGACACGGCGTCGGTGAACTTGATAAAGACCTGCCGGCCCCCGACGTCAATGTACAGCCGCTCGACGCGCCCGTACTTGTCGCCGCACTCCTCGCCAATCTCCTGGCCCAGCCCGTCGCTGATCTCGCCCTCGAGGTTGTCCATCCCCTCGAGCATGTTCCGCAGCACGACAACCTCCGACATGGGGCCGAACTTGCTGCTGCTGCTGCCATCCTCTTGCCCATCGTCTGCTGCTCCAGCAGGAGCTGTTTTGCCTCCAACGATCTTGCCCCGCCCACCCGGCTCTACGAACCCGCCGCCCTCGGCGTCCGGTCGCCTCTTGCGCTTCTCGACTTTGACGGATAAGGGGTTGATGATGCCCGACGAGGACGCGCCGAGGCCTTTGCCAGCGGTCCAACCGTACTTGCTCATCAGGCGCTGGGCAAAGCCCTTTTGTCCGGGTCGGTTGGTGCGGGATTGCTGGGCTTCACCTTCTGCGTCTGGCGCGCCGAGGCCGAGAGCGGGTGGGAGATCGATGTTTCCTATGTTGTCGTCGTCGTCGTCGTCATCGTCGTCGACGTCCATAGCGTCGTGAGGGGCGGGGCTGGGCTGGGGCGGTGCTTCGTAGCGGACAGGACCGCGGGTAATGGTCGCACTGTCTTGGACTGGCTCCTCGGGAGGTGGAGGAGGCGGTGGAGGAGTTGGGGTATCTGTGGGCGGTGGTGGTGCCATTCCTGACAGCGCGAGGCGCCGGGCATAGGCATCGTCACCCGTCGCGTCGTCGGGCACGGGTGCTGGTGCTTCTCGAGGCGGTGGTGACATTGGCGGTGGTGCGAAGGAGTACTCGGCTGGAGGGGCGAATTGATCTGGTAGAGGTGGAAAGGAAAAGGATGTCGTGAGCATGAAGAAAGCACACCCAAAGAAACGAAAAGGTCTGCTAAACGTAGGGGAGAAAACAAGAGCAAACTTACTGGCCAGACCCATTCCCCTCCTCTCACCGTCTCCGTCCTCATCCTCCTCCTCCTCCTCCTCACTACTCTCATCATAGCTCCCCTTCCTCCTGCGCCTGTGCGCATACAGCACAGCCTTCCACTCCTGCACCTCGCGTATCCTCTCCTCGCTCCGGAGGTATTCGTCGACATTCGTCGGCCGGGCCGGGTCGTAAATCTCATCCCAGTCCGTCTCACGCTGCCGGCCGCCGCCGCCGCCATCCTGTGCGTTCTTCTTCCTCTTCCGCGCCGCCTTGCGTCCGCCCCGCTGCCGCTTCTCGCCTGCACCCCACAGGTACTCATCGTCCTCTGTGGCAGCCCAGTCGGCGAGGGTGGTACGTTGTGCTTGGGACTGTAGATCGGACGGCTGCGTCGCCGCCGCCGCGGTGGCGCTGCCCGTGACATCTTTGTTGGTCTCGCCTGTGGAGGCGGCTGTGGTGGGAGGAAGAGGAGCTTGTGGTGGCTGTTGTGGTATAGCTTTTGGGAAACCGGGCTTGGGAGGTTTCTTCTGGTTTGCCTGTGGGCGACGGATAATGGGCTGGAAGCGCATGGCTGGAGAAGGGGTCAAAGGAAGGTGGTTCCGTCAGCCAAGAAGGGTTACCAAAGAGCTGCTGCTGCTGCTGCTGCTGCTGAGGACGGGGAGAATGCTTTCGCGTACCTGGAATGGCCTCCTTCCTAGAGGCATCGTCCTTGTCTCCGCTGTCATAGACCACAGGAGCGCCTGTGATGGACGCTGTTGCCGAGGTAGAAGCGTCGGCCGCCTTCGGGTTCAGCAGGTTTGCGTAAAGCGACATGCCGCCGCCGGCTTTGGGTGGTGGTGGAGGCGGCGCGGCCATGTCTTCTTCTTGAAGGGGGGCTCGCCTTCTCTCCTTGTATTCGTTTCTCTTGTTTACTGGTCGGTAGAGGGTGTGTTAGGATGGTTAGAAAGGAGCTCTCATAGGCTGGCTCGTTTGAGCGCCGAAAACAGCAGCGCGAAGTGAGCTTCTGGTGTATGTAGAATCAGTGGTTGAATGTAGGAAGCAAGTAGTACTGTAAGTAAAATAATAGCCTTGGCGGCGCCGCGCCGCTTGAAGGTTGGGGTGTAGTTCAATTAAAGTGGGGCTTGCCATGCTCTTACATACTATTGAAGCAGACGATTTCAGTATAAGCTGCTTATTCGCTGCATTCAGAATGGACAAAGAAGACATGTAGTGAAAACAAAATTCAGGAGACAAGAGATATGAGCTGTTCAAGTCCTCAGATTTGAGCATATATATATATATACATGTAATGTCACAGTTGCATCTTGTCGTTCAGCGTTCGCCTTCAGACCTCAGCTAGACAGTACATAATCCTCAAGATTTAGAATACTAAGTAGATGAACAGGCTCATGATCGTATAGTACAGTACACTGCTAACAAGAGTTGCCCCAGTCTGGGCCAAGATCGGCATTCTATTCCTACCAGCAAAGCAGCAAAGCGATACTGAAAAGACAGATGGCGTCCCCAGTCCTATCCTGTTGCAACGATCAGTCTCTTGTCAGACATGGACAAGACGCAGGCCTTAAGGGGCCGCAGCTCCTCATTTCTCCTCCTTCTCCTCCTTCTTCTTCTTCTCCTCAGACTCCTCCACCTTGGCCTCCTCAACCGCATCACCGTTGGTCTTCTCCTCTTCTTTCTTCTCCTTCTCCACCTCGGGAGCGGCACCGTTCACAACACCTGACTCGACCAGTTTCTTCACAGCCTGGACGGTCCCAGCCGGGCTGCCAGGCTCGGCCAGAAGCACCTTGCCCGCCTTATTCACCACGAAGACGCCCCTCTGGGTGCTGCTGGGGCCCTTGCCCAGACCGATCGCGGAGATCAGGCTGGCCTTGGGGTCGCACAGCAGGGGGTAGGGCAGCTTCTGCTTCTCCTTGAAGGTGGTGTTGCTTTTGGGCGAGTCCCGGGAGAGGCCGTAGATGGCGAGACCACCAGCGGTCAGGGGCTCATACGAGTCGCGGAACAGGCAGGCCTGGTTGGTGCAGCCCGGCGTCGAGGCCTTGGGGTAGGTGAAGAGGACGACTCCAGATCCAGACTTCTCAACGAGGGAGGCAAGAGTCGTGGTGGTCCCGTCGTTGAGGGTGACCTCACCGCCATAAGTGGCAAGGTCGATGCTGTCGCCGACCGCGACCTTCTTGGAGGCGGCCCCATTGGTCTTGGTGGGCGCCTCTGCCTTGGCAGGCTCACCAGTCTTGCCCTTGATGGCCTCCTTGACCTTGGCTACGACCTTGGCTGCCTTTTTCTTGGGAGGCTCGGGTGCTGGCGGAGGAGCCTTGCGCTTGCGGAGCTCAACAGGCATCTTGAGGGGCTAGAGGAGAAAGTGCTCTAAAGGAGCCTGTCAGCTACACATTGGCGTCCATCACATGTCCTACCGCAGATCACACAAACGGAGTGCACATCATGAATTCACATCATTGTGAAAATGGAAACCTACAGGCTGTGGAGATGTGATGAAACAAGCAGAGTGCCGTGCGTCCGAAGAGAGTACAGTTGGGAAGTGGCTCTGAGTGTGTGACCGCGAGGGGGGGGGGGTTGGGAATTTCGGGCTTACGACAGTGTACAGTGGGGATAAGGGGGTGGGTGGAAAGTGATCTGTCTGCTGAAAAAGTAAAGAAGGGGAAAGGGAAAAACAGAAAAGCAAGTTCAAGGGGGCACGGAAGGGGGATGGAGGAGGGTAGATATGGGAAGCAAGGCACGGTGGGATGGGATGTCGTCTGGGGTAGAGCTCGAGCCAATCAGAAACCAGACAGGGAGCTCCTCACTGCGCAGCTGTTGAGAGACCTTCTCGGCCTACACCCAGGCGCAGGAGGACCCGGGTGCTATGCTCCAATTCTTTCTTTGGTAGGCTCTATTTTCCAAGTGCGCCCCAGGGTGTTTTGGAGGAGGGGAAAAAGGGGGGGGGGGGCTGTGGTGGGTGGGTGTGTGTGAGAAAGAGGGTTGGTTCAGGTCTCGCAAGGCAATTTCATCATCGTCCGTTCAATCCAATCTGATCTGACCTGCCGTCTAGTCCCGGAATTGCACACCCAGCTTCCTTTCTGTCCCCAATCGCCTAGCTCCAAATTCCGAGTTTCGAGATCTGGATGCCTCGGTGTCTTTGGTTGCATCAGAGGAAAGGCTGGTCCTCTAAGGAACAGACGGGTGCTAGACAATGCCGCCTCCCCAGGTGGGATCGTCGCTCTCTGACAAGACTGCACGCACCTCCTGCAAAAGACAAATCGTCTTTATTGGGCGCTGTCGCTAAATACGTACTTTCTAGATGGGGGGGAGGGTTTGCGCCATTCCTCTGAAGCTCCATACTGGGCTGAACACATACCAAGGTTTACCCAGGGGCGCCAACTGTCGTACACCACACCTAGCAGAACCAATACTGACCTTGTTAGTCGCCACGGGATCTGGTCGAGCTCGAATCCTACTTAGTAATACTGATCAATCAACCACAGCTTAGCTCGGCCTTTGTTAATTCTCGCAGCCGACACCGTGGTCGGGCTCCCCGTCCAGACAGTCACCTTTCTTTCTAAAAGAAACAAGAAGAATTTGGGGAGGATCCATGTTTTGAAGAATAGCCAATCAGCTACTCAAAGACTCAGATGTGCTACATGCATGGTAGCAGTAGTTAAATCAGCCGTGATCTCGGCGGTAGGGAAGCAGGGACGGTGCCTCTGGATTGGCAGGCCATGAAAGAGAGAGAGAGGGAGAAAACTAAAAACTGTAGCAAAAGCGCAGGTCTCCAGTACTTTCCTCCAACTTTGGTCCTGCCCTGCCGACCAGCAATCCCGGCCCGGCCCGAGCTGACTAAGTCATTCTAGCCAATCATGTCACTCCTGTTTCGTAGAGCAGCCTCTCCCCATACGATTCGGTGATGCGTTCGAAGCAGCAATCAAGCAAGTTGCTCTCCCTCCACTATCACCACCAACAGAGACCCCATCTCCAGTTCCTCTCCTCCCCTAACAGCCTACACCATGGCTTCCAAGGCAGTAGTGACGGCTACCGCGAGCCATGTGATCCCCGTAGCAAAGGTAAGAAGATCTCTAAACTCCCAATTGGGATCGAATTTCCCACGCCCCAACCTGTCTACCCGCGAGCAGCCAGACAAGACTGACATGCCCCTCTCTCTTGTCCCCGTCCAGAAACAAACCCTCCAGTCCGTCGGAATCTGGGAACGTATCCGCCGCGCCACCGCTATCGATGCCAACCGCTCCAATGGCGTGCCCCTCAACCCCTACTACCGCTGGCCCACGCCCGGCGGCAACGATCCTCTGGCCTACGACGACCCAGTGACCGTCCCCGCAGGCGACATTGCCGACAACGCGTACTGGAAGCGCGACACCCGCCGCAACTACCCGCGCCTCAGCGTCGTCTCACAGGCCGACGCCGTTGCCCTGCTGACCGTCGGCAGCGCCGAGGCCCCCAAGGTCGAGCTGATCGGCGAGGAGGGCAGCAAGGCCCTCGTGGCCGCCGAGGCCGAGGGCCAGGAGAAGGGCCTCGCAAGGGTCTTTGAGGAGAAGGGCGTCGACGTTGCCAAGGAGTTGCTCGTCGACGGCCTGCCGCCCCTGCCCAGTGGCCAGAGCCTAAAGAAGGGGGAGTGGGACGTGCATCCCTGGGGGCTGACGGAGGAACAGAGCTACCCGGACAAGTGAGTTTTGATCCACGACCGTTGGCGGGGGGGTTTTGGTTGGCTGTATGGTGTTTGCTAACATGATGGGACAGATACCCATGCCGGACGTTCCAGTAAGGTTTAGAGCATAGAGGGACGGGCAGGGCAAGCAGGACATGTATAAAAGTCGCAATCTATCGCGACAAAATGATTAGACAATGATGATTTTTCAAAATTTTCAAAGCCAAACTTTCTCGCGGCAGGCGCTCTACTGAAAGTCGAGACCGTGGAAGACCTATACATAGGCTGTATGAAGAGCTTGTCCACATCTCGGTCTTGTCACTTCGGTCCCGGGGCATTTCAGATCATTGCCACTAAGCACACAAATTTTAAGTGATTGGACGTTTGTATATTGTAGTTGAGAGGATACGCCACGATCAACCTGTAGACCACTGCGCTTGAGCCTTCGCCTGAGGAGCGGCCAGATACCGCCGCTTTATTTCCAGACTGTAGGATGTTCCCTTCGTGCTCACAACCTCGCCTGCCATGATCCAGCCGAAATACTAAGAAAGCCGACTCATCTTGCTACATCACTTGGGCAGCGTGCAAGGGACGCTTTAGATACGCCTCCGAGCCTGCGCTGGTGAGAGGGTCTCTTGCTGAATATCAATTAGTTCATGTCTGCCACCGGTAGCTCCACACCTTTCTTACATACTTCAACGTAGTGTTCTTTGAACTTCTAAGCTGTGCTTCGGCTCATTTCTTGGACTGGCAGAACCAAGGAGACGCGAGCACAAGTCCAGTCGGTGTGGTCTTGGCTGATCTGAGGTGAGCATTCCACCATGTGTTTCCGTGAATTGCCCGTCGATGCGGAGTTTCTGCAGTGCACAAGCCCGAGCCAAGTCAACACCCTGATGCCTGCATGCAGCGGCTGCTCGCGGCGAGGTAAGACATCTTCTTCCATCCCGTGCCTTCTCGTGCTGTTTGGAAGCTTCGATGACCACTGGAGGTCCTCAGAATTGGATGCCTGGCCCCTGAGGTGGAGAGGTGGATGAACCTGAAGGCTCACCACGGTCGCCAACTTTCGCCGCTGTGGTCGAGGGGCTGCTGCCGTCCGCCTTCGCGGTGTCGGCACCGCCATCCTCTCCAACATTCCTCTCAATCACTCTCGCCTTTCCCTGCGCCCTCTTCACCCGATCGTCAAAATCATTGACCGCCTCATCCGTGTTCTCCGTCGACAAGGTATCCGGTTCCACCAGTGCGTGGAGGGTGACAATGTTCTTCTCCAGTCTCGAGCCTCCCTTGTCCAACTTCGGCAAGGTCCTGCCGGCTGTCGAGGAGGCCTCAGCCGGAACAGTAGAAGCAGCAGCAGCAACATCTGATGCCTCCGACACCTGAAGTCTGGCCTGAGACTGAGGGAGCCTGTTCGCCCACACCACAGACCTGCTGTAGAGCCGCCCCGCCTCGACAAACTTTTCAAAGCCCTTCTCGATGCCGAACGAGCGGCCCTCGATCCTGCCCACGCGGGCGCCGTCGGCGACGCCTTGTTCATACCCTTCCGAGTAGAATCTATCCTCAAGATTGAGGACGTCGTCGAACGGGTCGCTGGATGCCATGGTCGCCTAAGATTATTTTGTGTTTCTCACGAGGACTGAGGTCCGACAGTGAGGCAACGGCCGGTTCTCACTGCTATTCTGAGTTTGACCTTGGATCTTGATGTCGGAATAAGATTGGGCAAGTGTGCAAGTGTGTGCACGAGTAATCTGTATTGCTGCTGAATGGAAGACTTGGTAAGGTCTGAGAAGGAATATCGTTTCCGTCCATCCTTAGTACATTCAGTAGCTGTTTCGGACCCGTGCCGTCGGACCCGGACTCGGCCGATGAACCATACATTCGGCAGAACTGTACCTACATAATTACGTCTTTACCCTTCCGCTTCAAATGTCCATGTAGAGAGAATATTACAAAGACGATACAGGAGACTGATTCCTTCGAGATGACATACGGATATCACCAACGGCTGTCAAAAGCAGCCGGTACGAGCGACTGACGAGACTGGTCCAAATCTCTTCCTGTCCATTCCCTTGATCCAACCAAATCGAAAGTCTAACATGTTACTTATTAGAGGGTCGTTATGTCAACTAACTACATGAAAGAAATTACTCCCACAAAAGGTTATGGACGGCATCTTCTAACCTGTACTTGTCAGCCATCTTCAAGCAACCGGAAACATACATGCACACATAAACACTTAAACACATTATCACGCACACATACCCGGAGGTCTTCTCTCTTATAGAGAGACAGAGAAAGAGAAGAGATGGAAGGAAGAGAGAGGAGGGGGGGGGGGGGGGACGAAGAAAGACATGAGATAATATAATAATGACATTCCTCTCAATTATACTTGTACCCCTCTTCTACTTGACAACTTCAACAAAATCGCTGGAGAGCAGCTACGGCTTGACGTAAATATCTATGCAACGATACCTTCCAGGGAGGATGTATCAATCCATTCAGCACGTATAATTGTGCGTTCAGGAAGATTGAATTCTATGCAATCGGGTTCTTAATTAAGGACAGAACCCCAAAATATTCACTAATGTTATAATTGAAACAGTGTCTTTTTCTTGAATGAAAAAATGACCAAGTTACTTTGCATATAAAATGCGTGAAGCACAACACAGTCACGACGACCGGATGCCCAGCATCAGGACCACCATCCTCGAAGTCCCTGATATTGGTTCAGGACTGGCTGATCCCCCTCAACCAGCCTTCCCACACGCCTTAAGAATTCTCCTGAAAGTATTGTCTTCAATTTGGTCTTGCCGTTTTGTTTGGTTTCCGCTGTTTTCTTGAAACTTCTCGGCACAGTGACCAGAACCCTCGATTCAACGACGTGTTCCTCAACGACTTCCTCCAGGATATTGATGAAAACGCAGTCATACTTGTCGCATCCTTCCTTCTCTCGTTTTTTCTGCTTGTCCACGACACTCTTGCAGTACTTCGTCAACACCGGTCGGTCATTCGTCCAGAAGCCCTGGTATAGAGCATCATACACACATCTGTCCATGGGGTTTGTCAAGGTACGATAGGCAAGCCTCGCATCTTTGGCATTCGTCGCAGTCGCCTTGTCTCCCTCGGTGCGCGCAATTTCCAGAATCTTATCGTAACTCTGCTTGATCTCCTCGTTGCCGGCATGAGGCGGGATGTTGAGGGTCCAGTAGTGATCCGGAAGATGCAGAGTTTGAGGTTGGGTCGTGCTGTTCCCAGGAAGTCCCGAGTTCGATATCGAGGTCCAGGGTAACTGATGTCCCAGAAACGTGATATGAGAAAGGATGAGTTGGAGTACGAGATAGAACACAAAGAACTTGATGCAAGTACTCAAGGTGCTTTTCCACCAGAGATTTGGAGTTGAGACTCCGCGCAAAGTGTCTTCGACAGCTACATAGTCCCGGTGTAACTTTGCGGATGATCTGCTTCTATACAGAGCTTCTTGCCATCCCTCCACCTTTCGTTTCCAATGATCTTCTTCCTGCTCATTGGATGTCATTGAAGTTGAAATTGCATCTGATTCAGAAGCAATACCAGGCTGGGAACCATCCTCTGGATGGGCGGTGTTTTCAGACTGAGCATCATCCTCAGGCTGGACGTTAGCTTCAGATTGAGCAGCTTCTTCAGGATTGGAAGGGTCCTCGAGCTCGACATCGTTCTCAGACTCGACAGTGTCTTCAGGCTCAGCAGTGTCTTCAGGCTCAGCGGTGTCTTCAGGCTCAGCGGTGTCTTCAGGCTCAGTGATATCCTCAGGCGTAGGATCATCCACAAACTTAGAAGCATCCTCAGAATGGACAATGTCTTCAGCTTTAACACCTCCGTCTGGCTGGGGAACGTCTTCTGTCTGAGCAGTATCCTCAGCCTCAGTAGTGTCCTCAAGCTGCACAGTGTCCTCAAGCAGGGCAACATCTTCAGGCTGGACAGCTTCTTCATGCTTGGCATCGTCACCTAGCTGGGGGATGTCTTCTGACTGCGTGCAATCACCTGCCTCCTCTGTGTCGCTCTTCGGGATTGATCCCGTGGCAGAAAGGTCGGCTGTATCCTTCACTGTGATCGAACGTGCCTCTGAACCTGTGGGCGACACTGGCCCCTTGTCGTAGTTGCTGTCATTATTACTGCTCATCGTGTGGATTTTGAGCGTCTGTTCTGCCAATCGTAAATAATAGCCCGATATGTTTAGTTCGCAAATAAGATGGTATGTCGAAGTTAAGTATCAGTCCTGCTGTTCTGACCTCGGAAGATTCGAAAATCTCCAGTGCTCTCCGAAGGGTACAGCGCAGGATGTTTAAGAGTCACGCCAGTGATGAAAGATAAGAATGCAAGTCTGATAAAAATAGAACTTCCTTTTGCCTATTGTTCCTCCTTATGGACAATGCACTTGAAGAACTCTCCATGACAGGCGAAAAATAATTAGGCATCTTTGTTGCGATGGTGTCTTTGTCCGACCTCCATCGCTTGGTTCTCGGGTGGTGGAAGAGGAAAAAGGATTTATGGTGACTGACAACACCCTTGAGATTATTTCTGATCTTCTTCTGCAATGTTTGCTAGATCATCAATCTCATTACAATAGGCAGGTTTCAATATGATTGTCTTCGAATGCTGTAGACGAGAGGTATTCTGAACTTGGATCCTATTGCTGATCATCCGGAATTCAACTTTCATTGGCGAAGCTCGCACATTCCAGGCTGCTTTGTTCTTGAGCAGCTGAGCTCCATCTACACAAAGAGATTGGACCCGAGAAAGGCGCATTGAGGAAGCGTTCCTCTGACCAAGGTTGAATTAGGTCGCTCGTGGGTCTCTAATTACAAGCCCCCCAATATTCTGCAACTTATCTTCTCACAAGCCACCAGGAACTGTGCTATGCTTGGTAAATTTATGCCAGAAATGATCGTAGCCAGCTTGGAGATGTTTGAACGTATATTTCTCTGAGATGGGAGTTGTTACATTTCGGAGTTCAATCTGATAGCCAAGTTATTCGTCTGTGAACTTTCCCCCCCTCTTTTCTTTCGGGCATCACAGTGCAATCCGATCGTATGATGATTTAATATCGCCAGGTTACACATGCAGCAGCCAACAGGGCCCAGTGAACGGCACACTTTGGATCCAGCTGCAACAGGAGGCATCTTTGAGTGCAGTGCTCGTCAGCGGAGGGGAGCAAAGACTGCGAATTCGTACAAGGTCCAATGACCGTACAGTAGCCTATGACACTGACCTCGTCAGTGCATCAGACCGTCAAGGATGCGCTCACGAAGGCTAAGAGCAACAACATCGTCGTGTTTGCAGCCATGTCCAACGATGCCAACGGCGACGGGCCGGCGTGACGCGCCCGGGACCCCAGCCTGGCGATAGGCATACAATCGTGCAAACTTGGAGAAACCAGGACGTCAGACTTCACGGCATTGCTAATCCACAACTATGACAACTTCATGGCAGTGGGCGAGCGCATCGTTGCACACTGGCCGGGGGCAAAAGGAGGCGGGTTCCGGTCGATCGCTGACGGGACGTCATTCGCAGCTGCTTTGGCCACAGCTATGGCAACGCTGGTACTGGTATTTGTCCTGGCAGAAGAGATGCAAGATGAACAGGAGAGTGGCGTGTTATTAGAGCTGTGCTAGCCTAGTCCTCGCAAGCTTCTGCTACACACGCTTGCTTCCTTGTCTAATGCATCAACAGACCACCGTTCGCGCAGACCACCTGCCCGGTGCACCACGCGGCATCTGGCGTGCACAGCATGCCCACGATCCCGGCGATCTCGTGGACATAGGCGGGCCTGCCACCACTCGTTCTTGCCTCCTCGACGACCTCGTCAGCGTCCACACCCTGCCGCGCCCGCATGAGCGGGGCGTGCTCGATCCAGCCCTTGATGCCGGCCTTGAACTCGTCACTGTTGGCAGCATACATGGGTCCCTCGACGGGGCCCGGGTTGACGGCATTGACGGTGGCGCGCTCGCTCAGCTCCCTGGCCCAGACGCGCGTCATGGCCTCGATGGCGGCCTTGGACCCGCCGTAGATGGACTGCCCCAGGAAGCCGCAGTCGGACGAGATGGACGAGAGGTTGACGACGCGGCCGGAGCGGTCGGTGGGGAGGTAAGGCGCGGCGGCCTGCATGAGGAGCAGGGGCCCCAGGACGTTGACGTGGTAGGTGAAGTCGAAGTCCTCAGCCTTGATTCCTCCCAGCTTGCCGTTGCGGGCGACGCCGGCATTGTTGACAATCACATCGATCTGGAACTTGGCATCTGGGCTGGGCGGCGAGGACAGGAACTGGTCCTTGGTGGCGGCGATGAGGGCTGACGGGCCCTGGGGCGTCCCCAGGTCCGCCTGCACGCCAAAGGTCTGGATGCCATACTTGCCCTCGAGCTTCTTGGAGAGCTCCTTAGTGAGCGAGGTTGAGGATTTGGACGTGTAGTTCAGCACCAGGTTGCAACCTTTGGAAGCGAGGTTCTCTGCGATTGCGGACCCGATGCCTGTTGCATTGTTTAGTGATGAGAACCTTTTGAGAGGAGGGATGTCAGGTATAGGCTTACCTCTTGAGGCTCCCGTCACTATTCCCAGCTTTCCTGCTAATATTCTGCTGGCCATCTTTCTGCTGCTCAATCAATTGATTGATCGTGAATAAAGTCCGCAATGCTGAATGACACAAAGCCAATGACAGTGTGTCGGAAACCAAACACCAATCAACACCGAAACCAAATGTGTAAGAAGGAACAGACAGAGATTAAAGAACAAACGAAACAAGAGCGTCAATTCAGATGAGTGTAGACAGGTGGTAGACTGTATGTTAGATATGTAGTACGAAAAAAATATGTCAGAAGAAAACAACTAGGCAAAGTAACGAGGAGAGAGACCCTGTTCATGAACCGGCAACATCGTGAGACTCCCTCCCTTCCTCCCACTTATATATTATCGGTGTCCTGCTTAACCGAGCTACAAGTGTTCTGCTACGTGAAGCTCCCAGGCGCCCCCCTCCCACTAGGCTCCCCCGCTGCAGCCGACAACAGCATTGGAGATTGTTCCTTCTGGGGGCCCCTTCCCCACTGTCTCAATGAAGCACGCCCAGCGTTTAGGCGCTCCAGTCGGGTGAAAGTATACCGGCCGCTGCCGGCTACAACAACGAGGAAGGGACTTGGGGGGGTGGGGATTATGGGGGGAGGGTTGCTCTAGCGGGAGCCCCTCCAACTTTTTTACTGTTGCTACTTAGTTACTGAGTAAGTAGGCAGGCAAAGGCTTAATGGATGCCGTTGAGCTGGACCTGCAAAGCATTACACGATTGCTTCTATCCACCAACAAACTTCCCAATCCCGTAACTCTTTTCTCTGGCTACCCTCCACCGCTCTCAATCTCTTCGACCACGACAGACACACACACGAGAAGCGAGCAGACCTGACAGAGCTCCTCCTACACAGCTCGTCGTTCACTTTTCTTATTCTCTACTTGTGCTCTCTTTCTTCTATCCTTCATACATTACAGTAAACCCCCCCCCCCCACCAACCATGGACATCCGCGTCCTCAGGTCCTCTGACCTGCCTCTTATCCAACATGCCAACCTCGAAAACCTTCCCGAGAACTACTTCCTCAAGTACTACCTGTACCACGCGCTATCATGGCCCCAGCTCAGCTTCGTGGCCGTCGACATTGCCCGCCCCAAGAAAACACCGTACGATTATCCCAAGATCGTGGGCTACGTCCTGGCCAAGATGGAGGAGGACCCTGCCGACGGCGTGCCACATGGCCACATCACCAGCCTGAGCGTTATGAGGACGCACCGGAGGCTAGGCATTGCCGAGAAGCTGATGCGCCAGAGCCGTACGTCTATCTCTCCACACCTAGTACACCAAAAAAAAAAACCAACCAAAACCCCCCCCCCCCTTTTTTTTTTTTTTTTGAATGGTGATGATGATGATCGGCATTGTGTGTGTGTATTTGTACGTGTATATGTGTGTATGGTCAAACAATGCTGATAACATAGGGGGAGGGGGATTACCGATCAAACAGAACTGGCAATGGTCGAGACCTTTGGCGCCATGTACGTCTCCCTGCACGTGCGCGTCTCCAACCAGGCGGCCATCCACCTCTACAAGGACACCCTGGGCTTCCAGAACGACAAGACCGAGGCCAAGTACTACGCGGACGGCGAGGACGCCTACAGCATGCGGCTCGACCTGGGCACCATCCGCGAGCAGCTGCAGGACCAGGCCGATGCCGAGAGCGAGGGTGTCGACGAGGGCGATGCCGTGGGCGACGTCGGGAGCGACCCGGCGAAAAAGAAGGCCGGCCCGGCCAAGAAGAAGAAGAAGGCTGGCGCCGACGGTGCCAAGGAGGAGAAGAGGAAGGTCAAGGTCGGGAGGGGCCTGGGCGTGGGCGAGCTGGTCGAGAGGGACGAGAGCAAACATGCGTCATAAAGAGGGGGGGTTTCCATGATGATTTTGTTGTTTACAACTGAAGCACGGGGAGGAGGACATACATGTTCGTGGGCAGCACACACATCGTTTTAGGTGAGGCGCTGGGGACTCCAATAGATATCCAGACGGGGATAGACAAAAATGGGAAGAAGAAATTTGTAAAATGCACAAATGATGGTCTGCAAGCGAGGAGGTCTGGCTAAAGTCTTGCCGGCTGTTGACGACGAGGAGGTTGAATATCATTTAATCACTGATAATCCATTCATTCTTGGCACATCTGACTTAAGTTTTGCATGCATAATCACTGTCCAAAATTCTTGCTACATATGAAAATATTGACCATATAATCCATTCACTTGAAAAGAGAGACCCGTCTCAACTCATATGATTGTACGCACACACTGCCCTGATGAGCCCTTCCCATCTACTCCTCCGCCTCGAGCGCCATGAGTTCTAGAGCGTACTGCTCATCAGCCTCGACACCCAGCTTCTTAACTGTGCTCTCCAACTCCTCAATCTCAGCCAGCAAGCCCACCAGCGTAGGGGCGCCCGGCTTCTCCACCCCGTCAACAAATCCCATTTCTCCTCCCTTGTCCTTCTCTTGCCCATACGCCGGCTTGTCGCCGTCAAACGCAGCCAGAGTGTCTCTCTTGCGCTGCAGCTCCTCCCTCTTGGCCTCGAGCTCGCGATATTTGGCAGCTGACGTGGCATGTGGCCCATAATGACGAGTGTCCACACCAGCCTGCTGCTCACCAGCATCGGCACGAGGACGAGGAGGAGTTGTATGGAGGTTGCTGTTGTAGTCATCCGGCGGTGGCGGCGGCCACGCACCAGGGAATCGCTGGCCACGCCCTCCTAAGTCGGCCTCGAGACCACGTCCCCACTCGGCCATCCGCCGGCCCCAGTCCTCCATGCCGCGCTGGAAGGCGACGTGCGAGCCCTGAGGCGGAAAACTTCCTCCTCTGCCTCCCCCGAACCCGAACATGCCTCCTCTTCCTCCTCGACCGCTTGGGTGTGGGCCACAAATGTTGTGGGGTATGGCGCCTGGCGGTGGTGGTGGAGGAGGTGCTCCCCCCCTGAACCCACGAACAAATGGAGGCTGAGGGGGAAGGTGAGGGTGAGGGTGAGGGTGATGATGGCGGTCCCAACCGCCCCAGCGACCACCACCACCACTACCACCCTTCTTGGCCTCCCGCTTCCTCTCCCGTCTGGCGTCCCTCTTGGCGTGCCGCAGCTCCCTCTTCGTCCTACGCGCCTCGCGCTTCTCAGCCCGTCGGACAGCCCTCTTCTCGCGCTGGACCTGGCGTCTGGCCTGTGCCTGCTGGCGCCTGACGGCCTTCCACTGAGCCTTCAAGTCGCGAACCTGCTGGCGGAGGGCTCGTCTCTCCTCGTAGGTCGAGGGGAGCGGGCCGTAGCCTTCGAGAGGGGTGGTCCTGGCCTGGCGGATGGCGGTTCGGGCCTGGGTGACATGGTCCCTGGTGACGCCGTCCTCGGGGTGGGCGAGCCAGCGCTCGAGGATGGAGCGGGCTACCGGAAGTTGGGTGTCGCGGAGGTCGTCGTGGTCGGGGAGAGAGCCTATGTCGCTCTCGGCGGAGGAGGATTTGCTGCTGCTGCTGCTTGATGAGGATGATGAAGACGATGAGGAGGAGGCTGAGCTGAGTGACCTGTGCCTGCGGTGGCCGCCGTGCCTGAAACCACCACGACCGCGGCCGCGCCCTCGTTCGCCGACCTTTTCATCTTTATTCTTATTGTCATTGTCGTCGTCATCGTTGTCATCGCCACCGTGGCGATGGTGATGATGATGTCGATGCCAGCGTCCCTCACGTGACTTCTTCTCATCTGGCCATCCAGATGGGTTGGGCTCCTCAAAGCCAGGAGGAGGAGGAGGAGGAGGCGGCGGATGAGGCATCCCAGGGTACATGGGCGGCATCATGGGAGGAACAGGCCCCTGGTGGGGCCACGCACCACCACTCGGGTGATGAGGAGGACCACCTTGCCCGGGCGGAAAGAGTCCACGTCCACGCATTCTGACGCCGGCACTGTCGGCCACCAGACCGCCGAGGCGCACGCCCCTCGAGTCGGCTATAAAGTTGTTGCCGAAGGCGACACCGCCTGCATCGATAGAGAGGCCGCCGATCTGCAGGCCGCCGCTGGAAGCCTCGAAGCGGTTCAGGGGGTTGAAGCGCCACCACCTGCTGCCCTGCTGCTGGCTGGGAGTACGAGTATTGTTGCCGTTGTCGTCGTTGGGCAGGTTAGCAGGCTGGTCGGGGCTCGGGCTGCGGCTGCGGTTGAAAGACTGGTCCCAAGCGCCTGGCATCTGCGGTCTTCCCCCCTCAACATGATCTGCTGGTGTCTGTTCAAGCTCGATGGTGATGCCCCGCCGCCCAAAGAAGCCTTCGTTCCACTCGCGGACTGTCTCCTCGGCATTCTGCACCGAGTGGTGGCTCGCCGACCGGATCCGCTCCAGCTGCGCCTCGACAGGCGTCCTGTCGCCACCACCAGTGACGACCTTTTCCGACGTCTTTGTCGCGGTCTTGTCATCATCGCCCTCGCCGCTCTCGAGGCCTTCCGCCCTGAGCTTGCGTTCGATGAGGTTCTCGTTGCTCTCCGCGGCGTGATTCGGCAGCAGATAGTTCAGGAACGTCTGCCAGTCGTCACGTCGGACGCCCCGGTCAGCCCATCCCTGCTGGTAAGGGAAATCCTCGGGCTGGCTGGCCGCGTGGACGGCGATGGTGTGTATGATGTGTTCCTCGACGAGAGGAAGAACAGGAGCTGGGCGTGACTCGAAGTAGGCTTCGGCCGAGGCGCTGCTGAGGTGATCTGACACGGCGGCGCTCGAACGGCGGCGCTGATGTTCTGGATAGGACGGGCTCAGCAGACCTGTGTTGTTGTTGTTATCTGGGCTCAGGGAGTGGGAGGGTGAGCTCCGAGGGGTCAGAGGAGGTGTATAGATGACCTCGCTGGTGGACGTGACCGAGGAGGCGTCGTCAAGGGCGGAAGCAGCATTCAGACTGTTGTGAGAAGCGGCGCGCGAGCGGATAGGGAGAGTCTGGGATTGGCCCAGGACTGGGGAGCGGCTAGGATTTGAGTAAATGTCCGTCTCCGAGTATGGCGGCGGAGGGGCGTCGTGTGGTCGTGGTGGTGCCATGGTGATGACGATGATGTTGTTGATGTTATCGTTGTCGTTATTGTTGTTCCTGTGTGAAGTTTTGTGATGAGGTTGAGTGCCAAGTCAGGCTCAGTGAGAGAGGGAGAGCATAAAACCAAACGTTGGATTTCAGGTGATGAAAGATGATGATGAAGGATGGAAAGTATTATTGTAATGTATGTTGTTTGCTTTGCTTGCTTTGGAGGATGGGAAGAAACACAGCCACGCACGACAAGACAACAACCCCTCCATAAATATGAGTGGACAAATCTCCGTTCGCTCTTTTCGAAAAGGCCGTGTGATGACGATGACGAGGGATGTCACACACTCTCTCGTTTACTCACATAGCCCTGGCCAGAAATGCTATTTGCCTTCGACAGGTGTGTTGTTCAGGGTCTGGATAAGCTCATTGGGGAACCTCCCCATGCAAAGGCGGAGTAGCACTCGTGGGGCTGCAATAGTGGTTGGCGTCGTGTGTACTAAGAACTTAGACTTTACACAGTAAGACGGGCAGAATGGATCAGATACACCCCCCGGACGGCCTCCAATGAACTGCAACACTTGTTGCTGACAGGCCCTGCACGTAAAAGAAGAAGGAACCACCACCCCACCATCACAGAAACGATGACTCCCACCGGCAGCAGTCGTGGCGTGCGAGCTGACGTGGCCCCGCAAGGCAACAGAACGAACGACACCTTCGCAGAGCCACCTGGGCCGCCTAGACGAATGATGTTGACAATCTAGAGCCTGTCATTGATGATCCTCCTGCAAACATTTGATTCTTTGACCTTCTAAAGACGCGCGGTCTGAGATATGTCTTTGAGTTGATGTTGCCGAGCCTTGTCAGAACTTACAACGATACAACAACGTCGGAACTTACAAAGACCATATCGGAGCTTATAGAGATACGTAAGTTTACTTGCAAGTAGCTCCACTGCTGCGCTGTACGTAGCCTTGCGCGCCCTGTCAATCTCGACGTCGATAAGTCGTTAATAGAACTCCAAAGTACGTAGGACGCGCAGTGTCACTTTGTCAAAAATTGTCTGCTGACAACTCGTTGGCCTGCATCTTGTAAAAAGAAACAAGAAAAAAATAATAAGGACTCTTCCATCCTACACGAATTGTATTTCTCATAACAGAAAAGAAAGACAAAAACAGCACTGAGAGAGAGTCCGGGTTTGGACAGTCCCTGATGGTATCGTCAGGCCAAGAAGCCTTGCAAGAGATCTGTACTCCGTGTCTGCCTGTAGCTCTATCTGGTCCAAGTGTGAAGTCAAGGAACAAGATCCTTCCCTTCAGTTTTATTTTGTTTTGTTTTTCTTTAACCAACCCTCAACGCCAGTTGCTGACCATTGCGCCGACCGCCGTGATCGTAAAATTGCATGCGAAGGCCCAGAATAGTCATTTGGTACCGACTTACAGCCTACATCAATAAGCTGCTTCGTGTTGTCTCAACGCCTTCCTCACTGCGCGGAAAATTCGACGTCCTCGATCTTGTAGTGGTCGCCTACGATACCCTGAAGGTGGTCTCGACAATGAGGGCCCCTTGGACAAAAAAGGCTGTTAGCGACCGCAGCACAATCACGCCTCCTTCTCCTTACTTCTGAGCTGCTCAGTTGAAAACTTACAGGTTGGAGATGTACAAGTCGACCAGCTCTGGAGAGATGTATTCAGAGCTCATAGCACTGACATCCACCTCGACCATCTGCCCGTGGTAGCTCATGAGACTCTGCGGGTTGCCCAGGTCGACAAGGACATCCAGGTCTGGCTCGTCCTCGGGGCAGAGCTTGTAGACCGCGCCCAGAACAATCACCGTCTTGTTGTACTCATGAGCAGCTCTTGCCGCAACGGCGGCTCCACCGTCCGCCAGCACCGCGCCATTCGCCGTCACTGCCTGCGAGTTTAGCACCACCACGTTGACCTTGGGCATGTATGCCATGACACCAGTGCCGGCCATGACTATGGACTGGACGCCAAACTTGTGCAGCTGCTTTCGCAGGGACGCATACGGGGCCGCCTGGTGGTTGGTGGTAGTGGCTCTGGAGGGCCCGACACCAGCAATCAGAACTGTAAACTTGCGTCTCTTGGCTGCAGCGAGCAGAAACTTCTCGACCGTCGCGTTGGGCCGGTAGACCAGCACGAAGGAGCCGGGATGTATCTGCACCTCCGCGTAGCTGGAGATCTGCTCGTCGCCCGAGACAATCTCGTCCTTGAGCTCCTCGATCCCCTCTATGACCTCGGATCGCAGTGCCGAGATGTTGGCCACCTGTGAGTGGGACATGGGCGTCGAGGCGCCCGAGCCCCGGCCGAACGGCGTGCCCATCGAGCTCCCTGCAAACCGTGGCGAGTCTTGAAGCATATTAAACATAGACTGCGGGACGTGGAAGGAGCCGGTGGAGGTCAGAGTCGTGAGGCGTGGGGGTAGTCGAGGGCGGGGCGAGGTGGGCATAGAGCTAGTCGCGTGCTGCGGCTCGTCGCCAGGGAGGTTCGACACGTCGGACATGGAATCGTCATTATTCCCACCGCGGTCCTCCTCTGCCTCGTCGCGGATCAGGCCGAGCACGCGGCGCACGATATTGCCTATGACTAGCTCCTGGGGTCGCGCGAGGACAAGCTTGCGGCCGACATTCTCGATGCGCTGGAGCAGCGAGTCGACGTTGGACCATTTGGACTTGGCGACGACGTGGAGGAGGATGTGTGCAGTCGCAAGCGCGCAATCTTCGGGGCCACTAATCTGTCTTCTCTTGAGGAGTCTGGAGAGAATGGAAAGGGCTTTCTGGTCAGGACCGTATCCACCACGAGCATGGAACTTCTTACTACAAGCCTGTGTGTGTGGTCACGTATGTCTGTGGAGTGTACTCACGCCACGAGTGACTCAATCGAGGCATCGAGTGGTCGTCCCTTGAGGGACTTGAGGAATTTGTCAAGATCCATTTGGAAAGCTGGAATCCTAAAATGGTAGTGTTTGCTCTGCTGGGGAGAGATCTGGGCCTTGTTGTCGTCACTGGATGGGGTTCGTCGAGGCAGGGCAAGGCACCACGATGAGGTGCTCTTTGGTATTGTACATTGTATTCTACCCAGGATGTGACTCAGTAGGAGACAAAAAAGTTTGGTGGGGCACTTTAGGTATGACTGCATCCTCTGTCGGGGAGCTAATCCCTGCTGCTTAGTCATGAACAGGTCTGTCTCATACTGCAAGCAACATTAATAGTACAGACTGCAGTAACTAATTATTCCTTGACATGCACTCATCTGCCTCAGATGTGATGTGTCTCAATGGTCCTCACTCTGCTTCTCGTGAAGTGTTGGTGGCACTTCTCTGGCCATCTCTGGCAAAGTGACTTGGTGTAGACGGCCTGGAAATTGTGCCGACTTTGTGTATTAAAAGTATCCTCCGATTCATTTCATCTACGTTCTAAAATATTGTACACCGAACATGTACACCCACCTCCCCCTCCTCTTACCTCTGCCACGGCTAGTCCCCTATAGCTTCTCCTTGGGCATGAACTTCATGGCCTGCCTTACACCAAGATCACCCAGAACCTCCTCAGCACCGCCCTATGAAGGTCAGGTTAGTCCCAGGTCTTCAAATCAAAACCTAAGGCAGGATCGTCACATTAGGAGGAAGGGAACATAAAGACGTACCAGGATAGCATCAAACTTGTACCCCCTGTTGAAGTTCTCAATCACGCGGCCCATGCCAGACTGTGTCAGACCCCGGCCACCCCAGATCTGCACGGCCTCGTCTGCGATCTCGTGTGCCATCCTCGTGCAGCTCATCTTGAGCAGCCCGATGGGCCCGCCGAGGTGCTTGGCCTGCTCCGAGTAAGGCATGTTGCACATCTGGTATGTGACCGTCTCGAGCCAGGACTGGTGGGCCTCGACGAGGGCGATCATCTTGGCGAGCCTGCCGGATGGATTAGCTGCGTTCATCACATTGGGCTCAAGACTGTGAGATGCGGGATATTGAAAACACTCACTTCAGACGGATGACAGGCTGGTCGATCAGTCTCTTGCCAAAGACAATTCTCTGGTGGGCCCACTTCAGACTCTCTTCAATGATGATCCGAGAGTAACGAACAACGGCACCTGATGGGTTCTTTGTCAGTCTAGGTTCTCTCCCTCCTCAATTCAGGGACAAGGAAACACCAGTTTCGAGAGGAAGAGATAATCTTACAAGACATGGTCCAACGCTCGTGGTTGAAGTTGCTGAGAATGACGTAGATACCCTGGTTCTCCTTGCCCAGAAGGTTCTCAACAGGCACCTTGACGTTGTCAAACGTGATGAAGGTTGTGCCGGCAGCCGTCGAGTAGCTCGTCTTGATGAGCTTGGTCTCGACGCCCTCGCCCCGAGGGATGAGCAGCACAGACAGCCCCTTGTCGGTCTGGACACCCGTGACAAAGTAATCGCAGAATACACCGTTGGTGATCCACTTCTTGGTGCCGTTGACGATGTAGTGCTTGCCGTCAGGCGTCTTCTTGGCCACGGTGCGGAGGCGGGCGACGTCGCTGCCGGCAAAAGCCTCGGTAATGGCCAGGCAGATCTTCTTCTTGCCGCTGAAGCACTCGTCGGCGATCCTCTTCTTGAAGGCCTCGTCGTTGGCAAAGTTCAGCACGACCGTCAGACCGATTTTCATGCCGGCCATGTTGCCGTCCTGGAAGCCTCTGGCAGCGGCCCGCGTCATCTCCTGCGACACGATGAGGTCGTGGAAGTAGTCGAACTCGTCGGGCTTGACGGCGCCGCCCATCAGCGGCGGTGCGGACCGCAGGTGCTTGCCCGGGCCCAGGCTCATGTGTAGGAGGCCCTCCTTGGACATGCGGTCAATCAGCTCCTGGCTGATGTAGGTCCCATCCTTCTCCTTGGCCTGGGCCTCCGGGGTGACGTAGAGATCGGTGAACTTCCTGACCGCTTTGGCCAGGGCGCGGTGGCTGTCGTTGTAGTAGGGGCTCTTGAAGGGCGGGCTGAGCCAGAGAGGCTCGGCGTAGGGGACCTTAGACAGCTCGCCCGGGCCCGGGTTGACCACCTGGGGCGTCTCGCCCTGGACGGTACCGATCGCGAGCTCGGCATACTTGCCCGTCAGGACCTCGTGCCTGTGGAGGTTGTAGAAAGCCTCGGTGGCGTCGGTGCCGGCGACCTGGCGCAGGACAGCCTCGCCGCCGGGGTGGGCGTCCAGGAAATCCGAGACATCATAGACCTTGCTGTCGATGATGAACCAGACGTTATCTTCACTATTTCCCTCCTTCTTCACCTGCTCACGGGTGAATGTCTTGGACGGGGTAGCCATCGTGTAAATGTAGTTCGGCTCAGGAAACGCACAAGAGATGGGAGGAGGTGGAGGAAGAGGAGGAGGAAGAGGAAGAAGAAGAAGAAGAGAAGGGCGCTGAGTAAGAAGGACAACTATAGAAATGTTTCCAGGCCCAGTGTGTCAGTTGATCAATCTGAGCTGCTGGGATGGGAATCAGGATGATGAAGAAGAAGGAGGAAGAAGGGGAAGTAGATCTTGACAGAGAGATAGGAGTGAACATTAGCAAGAAAGAAGAAGCATGGCCGCATCACCCAGACCCGAAGCAAAAGATCGTGGGGGACATGACTACCAACCCAAGGCGGTCGAGATGCCTCGGCTCAAGTAATCTTTTCTCCAAGCACAGCTGCAGTGCTGGTCCTGGTCTGGCAGGTCGCAAGTCCTGGGGCCGCGGTGGCCCGCTGACAACTGGATGGGACGCTATTGGCTCGCCTTCGCCCTGAGCGGCCCCTCCCCCCTGTCTCTTCCCCAGGTCCAGAAGGACCAAACAGTACGATGTGTACATACCCTACTGGTGCCACTTGCCCGCAGCAACTTGTACTGTAGTATTGTGGGCGGTACTTATCCACTAGGATCACCTCGCCCGCCCGCCGTCGTCGTGCTGGACCCTCACAGGGCCCCTGAATCCAGATATCTGTGTGTTGTACACACATACTATGTACACGCAAGGCAATATTAGTAGCAGCAGTAGTAGTACTAATGATACGTAGTAGTAGCTAGTGAGGACATGTGAGCATGGCGGCGGGGGAGGGTTTCCTCTAAACCATCTCAAACTATAAACTGTTCTCAGCCGGCACGCGGATCGTCGTACAGTCGAAACGGTACCTTCGTTTTGCCAAAAAAAAAACCATACTCTTGATGTTCTTTTTGTTCTCCACCTGCGAATGGAAGTGTGTGTACGTGGTGTACGTGTGTGCTCCAGGAAGAGAGACCGAGGAGAGAGGGGAAAACAGAGTGGACGAGGCTTAAGCTCGAGGTTGCCCGCCGGCTGTGGGGACCATCAAGGATGAGCCCACTTCACCCATTGGTGACGCCGGGAAGGCTTTTTCTTTCTCTATTCACGATGGCTTCATCTCAAGAAGTTATCACGACAACCTCCTTTGGTGTGGACAGGCTCTTGACAGAAACAGCAGAATTGCGGTGTTCGAGCTGTTGGACAAAATCAAGTCTTCTTCATTGAGCCCCTAGAGACAGAGCAAGAGAGATATACATGGTTCCAATCACGTCTTTAGATATCAGTTCTGACTTTTTCTTTTTCTCTTGGTGGTCCTCTGACACGGCTTCTTGCCGTTCATTTCTTCTTTTTGTTTCTTTTTCTATATGACAAGGTCCTCAGAAATGGTACGTCCATAGACTCCCCTTCCTCTGTTATGCCGACTCGAACCACATGCGAAACCAAGCCTCCTTTCCACTTGACCCCCCTTCCCCCACACCATCCAGCCCCTTATCCATTACACATGGCTGGTCTATAAGGCCCATGTCAAAATATCATGCCAGATCTGGATAAAACCAGGGTAAACCATTGGCTCATCGCCTCTTGCTCTTCACGTCTCTCTTGCCTTCAGGCCTTGTGGCCTTTAAGGTCTTGAGCGTCAACGTCTAGGACAAACCCCCCTCCATCCCATCCCTCCCACCTGACCCACGACGCTCGGGCTTGGCTTACACTAGTTCTTTGTGTTCTGGCCACTCTCGCTCAAGTGAGCGCCGTGGACTACTTTCGACCAACACGTGCGCCCCTTGTCCCTCAGGCTCGAGGCTCCTCATTTCCATTTCGCTGAGCAAATCAACACATCGTCGTATTTGATATCTATTTATATACACGTGTGTGTGTGCATAGCTCTTGTCCCATGCCACATTCTCTTGATTTTTAATGGTTTACTTGTTTATTTTCCTTTTCTTCCGTCTGCTCCATAACCCCCCGGAACAGAAGTACAGGAGGACTCGTTTGCACGAGATCTGATCCGGCCGGCTTCCTATCGTCTCGCCTTGTACAACAGTCCAACACCACGCACCACATATGACAATACCGTACTATACATGGTTTCACATTGGGCCGTCTCTCCATCACTCGTTGCATACAGCCACACAACATGGATGCTTATTCCATGACGTGTACTCCTCCAGCCCTTCGTCACATGTCCCGAATCTATCAGGACCTGACATCAAGACACTTCCAGAGAGTATCCGGTTTGGGTCCAAAACAGCTGGAGGTCCCGCAAGATCTGCGCTATGAGGAGGGGGACGAAGACGAGGAGGAGACGGCGCAAACGAGAGTGAGTTCGGCAGGGTGACAGATTGAGGAGTTCCAAGTGGAGCATTTTGTCTCTACCGCCAGCGTGACTGTTGATGGCGGGTGTTTTACAAATTATACTTACACGAGGCCACGCGTGCAGTCTTCTCTCTTGGAGACAACACATCAAAGGAGAAAGGGGGGAAAATGTGAGCTCTTGTACAGTAAGCTAATTGTACATCTTTGAACCCCAACAACAAACAGAGTATAGTGCAAGACGAAAAGACACCCCACGTCGGCATAATAGGTGCAGGTATCGCAGGCCTGCGCTGCGCCGACATCCTTGCGCAGCATGGCTTCCAGGTAACGATTCTTGAGGGCCGCGACAGGATAGGCGGCCGGTTGTACCAAGACCGCCTCGCCAACGGACAAACCATTGACATTGGACCCAACTGGATCCACGGCACCAAGACCAACCCGATCCTGGACATCGCCAAGGCGACGGGCACGGCCATGGGCAGCTGGGACTCAAGCTCGTACGTGTTCGATGAGGAGGGCACGCTGTACGGCCTCGAGGAAGGCGAGAAGCACGCTACCATGATGTGGGACATTGTGCAGGCCGCCTTCAAGTACTCCAACAAGCACACGGCCGAGATCGACCCGGGCGAGAGCCTGCTCGACTTCTTCAGGACCAGCCTGCGCGAGCTGATCCCTGAGACCGAGGACGGGTCGTGGCAGAGGAAGCGCGAGGTCGTGCTCCAGATGGCCGACCTGTGGGGCGCCTTCGTGGGCAGCCCCGTGGACCGGCAGAGCCTCAAGTTCTTCTGGCTCGAGGAGTGCATCGAGGGCGAGAATCTCTTTTGCGCCGGGACCTACACCAAGATCCTCGAGCACATCGCCGCCCCGGCCCTGCAGACCGCCACCATCGAGTACAACACGACCGTCGCCCAGATCCACGGCCGCGGCGCCCAGCCAGAGGACGGCCCTGTCCGCGTCACCCTCACGACCGGCGAGCAGCGCGCCTTCGACCACCTCGTCGTGACCTGTCCGCTCGGCTGGCTCCAGAAGAACCCACAGGCCTTCGACCCGCCCTTACCGGCCCCTCTCACCCGCGCCATCAACACCATCGGCTACGGCTGCCTCGAGAAGGTCTACATCGCCTTCCCGCGCGCCTTCTGGCTCGACCCAGACCCGGCCCTGGGCGGCCGCCACATGGAGGGGTTCGCCCAGTGGCTCGCCCCGGCCTTCGCCCCGGACACAAACCCTGCCCGCTGGACCATCGAGGTCGTCGAGCTCGCCTCCCTCGCAGGCCCCGACTCCCCCCACCCGACCCTCCTCTTCTACCTCTACGGCGCCCAGTCCGCCCACCTCGTCTCAGCCCTCGCCGCCCTCGGGCCCGACAAGGACGCCCGCGATGGCTATCTCCGTCGCTTCTTCGCCCCGTATTACACCAGACTCCCCAACTTCCGCGCCAACGACCCGGACTGCCGGCCCACCTGCACCTATGCGACCTCCTGGCTGGCCGACGACCTCGCGGGCAACGGCAGCTACGCCAACTTCCAGGTCGGCCTGGAGCGGGGCGATCGTGACATCCGCACGATGCGGGAAGGGTGGCCCGGCGCGGGCGTGTGGCTGGCGGGCGAGCATACCGCGCCCTTTGTGGCGCTGGGCACGGCGACAGGGGCGTACTGGAGCGGGGAGAGCGTCGGGAGGAGGATCGCCGAGGTATACGGTAGGCGGGTCACTGGTAGTGGTGGTGATGGTGATGGTGACGGCGACAATGACAACAGCGCCCGCGCGGAGGGCACTGACAGCGGCGAGAAGGTACTAGTCGACTAGCAGATGCAGAAGAGGGGCACATACACATCAATGTATCATCATAGCATGTGTCTTACCTAGTCGAATACCCATTCTTATGACACTGCACGAAGGCATCCAAGAGCGAGACTTGCCATCAGCATATCTCTTGACATGTTGTCGAGACGATCAACGCCTGGACTCGTGGTTGAAAGCAGGAGGGGGGGGGGGGGGGAGAGACAGCTGTTGCATCTTGCATTATATGTCACTTGCTGTCAGCAGCAGTGTCCCACTTTTCCAGTGCAGGTAGATAGGCGGTCATGTGAGAGAGCGAGATGAGAAGACTGTTGATGATAAGCCATCGCGCCGTCAGCAATAGACGTCTTAAGACCTCCCCTCAAGAAGACATTGTAACCTGCTCACGGAGCCCTGGCGCACGTCACAAAGTTGAGATTGGAAAACGAGAGACGGTTGTCATACAGATGACTACAATTTTGTCTTCTTCGACTTCCTTCACTATCACTTTTATTCCTCTTTTTATGTGGAGATCACACCATCTTGGGAGGTCCTCAACTAGAGCGCAGAGTCCATTCTCGTCCATGTGTTCCATGCCGTGGAAGGGCAAGTCATCGTGCCGCAGATTTTTGATTCCCCCTGAAGAAGTCCGTCGAAACCGAAAATGTCTTGGTGCCAGAGTCATACTGATCATTCCGGCAAAGGCTGCAACCCATCCCTGGATTCAACCAAACAGGCGACACCCGCCTCGCAGTGTCGCGGTCCCGACATCTGTCGAGAGAAAGAAAGCAAAAAGAGAAAGATCATGTCCGAGTTGTTTTTTTCGAGAAAGAAATCAATAAGGAAAAAAGGAGGGGAAAAAAAAGAAGCCATGAATCATGATCCGGGGTATCCAGACGACCATCATCACCACAGGTCCCAAGTATCGGCCCCCACTCAAAGAGCCGCAACTTCGCATCCCATCGCGCGCGCATCAACAGCCTCCCTCCGATTGATCTAGTGCCGGCGGGTCATCGTTCATCGATCGGCAGCACCACCACCACGTCGACGTTATAAGGTCGGTTGCAAAGGTAGAAGAGTCGTCTGTAGGCCACACAGCTCACTTAGGCCGAGGGGCACTCGGACTGGATGTGGCCGACCTGCTGGCACTTGTAGCACATCTTCTCACCAGGCTGGGTACCCTTGGGGCAGTCACGGGAGAAGTGACCAGCCTCGCCACAGTTGTAGCACTTGGAGCCGTTGTTGCAGTCGCCTAGAACAAGAGGGAGAGTCGTGGTCAGCTGGATGTACTGCAGAGGAGACCGAATGGTTGATTTCACTCACGAGACATGTGGCCGTAGCCACCGCACGAGTAGCAAGTCTTCTGGCCCTGGCCGCCGTAGCCACCACGACCACCGCCGTAGCCGCCACGGCTGTAGCCACCGCCTCCGTAAGAGTCACCACCCTGAGGGCAGTTACGGGCGATGTGACCAAACTGGCCGCACTGTGGTTCTCCGTAAGTAAATGACCAATTGGGCGTTCGTTCTTCTTGTTGAGCACGCACCTTGTAGCAGTCCTGACCACCGCCGGTGTTACCGCCGGACTGAGGGCACTCGCGCGAAATGTGGCCAGCGGCACCGCAACGGTAGCAGGTCTTGGTGGAGTTGTAGTCGCCACCACCAGCACGGGGCTGGGTGCACTCACGGCCTAGCAAAAGGTCACGAGGGTCAGTGGGATGGGTCGATGGCGATACGATGACGGCATCCTAGAACGGGGTTTGGGACTCACTGATGTGGCCGGGCTCTGTTCGCGAAAGTTGGTCAGCGCATTGCTTCTAGAAGCAGTATCATAATGGGTGGGTGAGAAAGAGAGAAACTCACGGCCGCAGTTGTAGCAGTTGCCAGCGCCGGTGTTGGTGGATTGAGGAGCATCCATGATGAATGATTTGAGGTTTTCTTGGGCGGAGGGGGGTTGTGAGGTTGGTAAGTAGTTCTGGATTGTCTAGAGAGCACAAGAAAACGAGGTCTTGTTAGCAAGTTGGTTGATGTTTGAGTGTGCGCAAGTTGAGGCTGCTGCGACAGTGTGGGTTGCAAACGCGCGAAAAGGGCAGGAAAAGATAAAAAAGTCTAGGTAGGTGGGGTGGGATGTGGGCAAGGTCGAGGTGGGGCGAACTTGCCCTTGGCTGCTCTGTTTTGGGTGGGGCAAAAGAGCCGAGTTTTCCTCCGCTTGCGCTCGGAAATACGGAAATTTTAACTCTCTCTTCTGCTTGGAAGAGAGAATTCAGTTGAGGAGGAGAGGCAAATTTGGTCCTTTGAGCTTGGAGAGGAAGAGTGGAAGTGGGGGTAAGAGGAGGAGACGTGCTTGTCAGGCTGCCATATGAGTGTGTGTACAGCTAGTGAAGACGTAGGTGAGAGAGAAAAAAGGGTGGGACGCGATGGCGGAGGGGTTGGTTGGTGTATCTTTAAAGTGAGGGGGAAAGACAGGGAAAAAGCAGAAGGAGGAGGCTTGAAAGTGAGACACACAGACCAGACAGATTAGATTTGGTGTGTAACGCAAACAAAACCTACTTTTTTAGGTGAGAGTAAGGCAAGGCAAGGCACGGCACAGAGCAGGGCCCAAGGGAGGAGGCGAGAAGCAAAAAAGAGAGAAAAAGGGAAGGAAGCAACAGTGAGAGGGGAAGATGGTCTGTGGGGAGATGAGGATGGATCTGGGTAAGGCGATAAAAAAGCAGGTAGAAGGAAATGGGATTGAGAGTTAACTTACCTGTGAGATAGACAAGGCGGAATTCAGATCAACTTCAACTCAGATTCTCTCAATCAATCAGTAGATGATACAAAATTGGGAGGAGGAAATATGGAAAGAGAGCAAAAACTCGTGGAAGGGCAAGGTGGAGGTGATGATGGCTAGTCATGGCAGGGAGGCCCTGGACAGAAGAGACCAGTGCTCGTGCAACCGCCCTCCCTGGGATCATTTTTTCTTCGGGGTTGCTTGCAGGTGACGACAGATGACAAACACCAGCGCCAGCACCAGCAGGACGAAGGACATGGGCAGGTACTACTACTATACAAGTAGATACTGTGATAGGGTGGCAGGGTTAACAATCTGCAGCAAGACTAGGCCAGGCCAGCCGAGTTCCACTGGTATTTTACTTCTGAACTACCACTAATGACAAAGGTCCAGCAATTGGTAGAAGAATCTGGAGGGATGAAGAGACAGACTAGGCCTAGCACAATCACAGCCAGGGAGAACAGGGAATGCGTTTCCTTGCTTGTGCAGCAGGAGGTATCGGGTGAATGGGGAAGACATGGCCCGACATGCAGCAGTACTTTGATGCAGGGGTAAATTAATTAAATAAATAATAATATATACCAAGAAAGAAAAAAAAGAAAAAAAAAAGTAAGCATTTGGGTGTGGCTCTTGTGAGTGGTGGATAGATTGAAGGAGCAAGAAGTACAAGTTTCAACGAAGAAGAAGAAGAAGAAGAACGAGGAGGGTGACAATGATGCTCGTATCTGTCGGGCAACATTCACGACCTCCAAACCCCCTTAGATTCTATTGTCCATAGTGTCTCTGTATGTGCTGACCTGACAATGCTCAGAGCTCAGATCAAATGATGTGAGGAAAAAAGGAAACGGGATTCCAACTTTTCCATCCTCCTGTATTGGGAAGGTGGGGCTTTTGCCCCTGCATTTCGCCTATACTCACAAGCATGAAAGCATTTTTGTTGAGCTGAGTTGTCGAGCTCTCGTTGCTTGCCATGGGGCCCGCACTGGCCGCATGTGTCCCAGCGTTCCTTGCAGCAGCACGTGAGGTCCAGAGCTTGATACTAAACGATAGTACACCATCATCCCTCCCGAATTCCTCTCCATGTATCTAAAGGAAAGCGACTGCTAGCTAGAGCGTATTCATCGAATGTGTTCCTATATGAGATGTATGTTCTTGTGTATTTGAATTTGACTTGAGAAACATCCTGGTGAGGAGAGAGAGGCTTGCCGTATTCGCTCTTGCAGCATAACATGCGCTGTAGCACACCGAACAGCACTGACCAATCCCCCGCCTCACCTGCTAAGGACTTTCGAGCCTTTGGGTATAACGCTCCGCCAGACGTTGCACTAAGAAGATTCCCTCGCCCCTCCCCTCCACCGCGGCTCCTAGAGCACCGTGCCCGCCAAGCAGACATATGTAGCTACTTCCCACTGTGTGCATCTGCTGAGCCTCTTTCCCCAAAGTAGTATCTTGTCCTGCTACAACGCGCACCACCAAACATGACCACGCTTTCCTCCCTCCCTCTCCTCCCCCTCTCCCTTTTCCCCTCTGTCTTCTGCCCACAACCTCGACGCACAAGCTCACGTGCTGCAACTAGTAATCTCGGGCACTTCAAGTTACCCCTTCATCGGGTTTCAAACTTACATAGTACCTGCAGGATTTCATGTTACCCGCCTGGCTCGGTCACCCAAAGACTTTAGCAGCCTGTCGTGCCACCGACGATTACCCGACTGGAGCGACGTGTTGCTCTTTAGCAAAAAAAAAGAGGCTTTCTGTTCTCCGAGATTGACTGATGTGCTAACATACTGGACTGACTAATGGTAAACTATGGGAAAGCAATTATGTCCCGTGCGACTTGAAAGTAAACGAGAGAAAACAAGACGATGCTGCGGCCAACACTTTTCCGTTGATGAAACGTCTTTCTAAAAATGACATACTTCGCACCCGTCCGTCTATGAGATATCATTCTGATAGATTATCACGAGAAAAGAGAGAAGGAGAAGGAAAAAGAAAGAGATATGGGGAAAGAGAAGAACAAAAAGGATATAAAAGTATATGCCCGACTCGCATACAAATTCTCAACAACACTCACAAGAACGGCCGAACCTGCTCCTCCTGCCACTCCCAGAACTTCTCTGCCTGTCCAGTCCCACCTTCAGACACCGGCCTGCCTCCATCATACATATGTTTTCGAATCCTCGCAAACCTGCCCCATGGGACGACTAGACCAAACGCACGACAAGCAGTCAGTGATGAAATCATTTCGGAGCACGCGACACAATCTCTTAGGGCAGAGGGATGCAAAAGGAAGTCAAGGTTTTCAACTCACCCCACTTTCCAGATCTCTCGATCGTCACGTCAGGCGATAGGCCAGCAAACAGCTCCGTGTATGCCCCATAGACGGGCGGGTTCAGCACGAGAAACGTCATGATGCGCACGACGAAGCCCGGCAGGTTGCGCCAAAGATCCGAGCTCAGGTTGCCTGGGTTCAGCGGCACGCTGACGACGCCATCGGCCCTGTGGCGGCGGGCAAACTCAACGCCCTGCAGGTAGTTCCCGGCCTTGGAGGTGGCGTACTTTTCGAAGGCGCTCTTGTCGACGTGGTAGTCCAGATTGGCCAGGTCTACGCCGCCCGTCGGCACCGAGGGCGACTCAGTTGCCGACGACGACACCCAGACGACGCGCACCGAGGCCTCCGACCCAGCTGTTGCGGCGCTCGCTGTGCGCACCAGCACCGGCGTCAGCAGCTTGGTGAACAGGAAGGTGCCCACGTTGTTGACGCCCAGCTGCAGCTCGTAGCCCTGTGCGGTCCGCGACCCCTGTGGCGGGGTCATGACGCCCGCATTGTTGAACAGGACGTGCAGCTTGTCTTCCTGCGCCAGGAACTGCTCCGCCGACGCTCGGATGGTGCTGAGATCGGCGAGGTCTAGGTACAGAAACCGCAGCTCGCCGCGGGAGCCCGGCACCGCAGTCCGAATGGCCTCTATCGCCTTCAGCGCCTTCTCCTCGGACCGGGCAGCGCAGTATACCCTGGCGTGCTTGGCGTACAGCACTTGGGCCACATCCTTGCCCACGCCTGTGTTGGCGCCTGTGACTATGTAGACCTTGCCGTCCAGGTCCCCGATGTCCTTGTCTGTAAAAGTTGGTTTTCCTGGGAAGGCCTGCGAGATGGAACTCAGCAGGAAGGTGAAGAGGTTGTCGCCTCGGAACATGGCTTGTTGGAGCGATTCTTGTGTGGATGAGTGAACAAGGAGACGACAAAGTCTTTCGTTCAAGTTCTCGTCTTGATGGATGAATGCTAAGTCTTCCTCGTAGGTAAGAGGATGATGGTGGGCTTGTGTATCTCAAAGCGTGGATGAAATCCAACCCCTATGTATAATGATAGGTGCCGCGGTAGAATTTAGTTTATGATTTAGTATAAGTGGACCGGAAACATCGCGTGCTCAAATTATCTTGTTCTCAGCAGCCATGGAGCAGAGCCAGCACCCCGTCATTCTTATATACTTGGAAGATCGAAAAGACCAGGGGGTACTAACACCAACAGAATGCGAGAAAGATTGTCATACCACTGAGGCCATAGACACACACACACAGAGAGAGAGAGATGGAGAGAAGACTAATCATATTGTCTGCATAGCAAAGAAACCCCCCGTAACCCCCGTCGGCTGAGGCGTCCACCCGGGGCCCAAGTCTCCCGCCCACGCCCACTGACATCCGACCCAAACCGGGAGTAGGGGTTGGTTGCGCCGACGGTCTTTATAAAGTACTAGCCCATCCCCCCCCCCCTTTTTTTGCGATTGCGAGGTAAAAGCAGCCCACCCGGAAACGGCACCCCTACCTCGCTCCCTCTTAGCCCGTCTTGGTGGTGGATTTTTTTTTTTTATTTATTTCTGCGAGGGTGGGCTGATCGAGACGATGATAGTTTCTCAAGGTAGAGCGGGCGGGCGATTGATTATCTAGACTGAGAGGTAAGGCGATTGCGAGATGGTTCTTCCAATAAAGGAATGTCCTTTCTTCTCTGGAGTGGTCTGATGATATGAGGACAGTGGCGCCAGTCAACCACAACAGTTAAGAATGAGTGAAGTGAATGCGCCAGATGCAATCAACGTTCCTTGGGGGCTCTGGGAAAAGAAGATGAAGGAAACACATCACGTCGCAAAATGATGCTTGAACGATGCGCCCTAAAAGATCATCACCACCTCACCAAGCTCATACTTCAGACTGCTCAAGCCATCATCTAGTTCAAGTTCTAAGAGTGACTTTACAGTGACATACATCATCCCACGAAACCCTTCATACATGCCATGCACGAGCAGGAGGGCCATCATACATCTCGTGGCAGCAAAATAAAGATTTCATAAAATAGAAACCACTAAAATGGAAAAGTGACGATATCTTCAAACACAGCATGAGCACAAGATGTTATACTAACCCTCAAATTTGCAGGCCAGACCCGGTCGGGATGCAGGCAAATGGCACGCAACCTCGTCAAGTCCAGGCCTTTCATTCCAGCAGCGCAGACCCGGGCTAGTCTGAACCTCGCCCACATTTATTCAACAACAACAGCCTTGTTCTTCACGCACAAAACGCAGAAGGCAGAACAAAACACCAACACCCAGACGTACACATATTTGGGTCAAACAAACCCAGATGAAGGAGTCTTTCTAGCCCTCATCAGACTCCGATCCATCTCCATTCAACCCCGTACCACCACATATCTACCGTTTGAACAAGATCTGGCTCCAGAAAACATACCGTCGGTCACACACGCAAGCCATCTCCCAGCTCAGGAAGCCCAACCCTCAAGGAATGAAAATAATGGCCGGTTTCGCATACCTGCAAGAGGTCTTCCTCTTCCTCATAGACCCCTGGCTCTTCATGCTCGAATCCCTCAAGCATCTCCCCCCCACCATCTTCTCCCTCCTCCTAGCCGGCCACCTCACCACCCTCCTCCACCCCTCCCGCCTCCAGTCCGCCTGGTTCGGCCGCTTCTGGGCCTCCGCCGCACCAGGCGTCCGCGAGACAGGCGAGGCCCGCGTGATCCCCCTCCTCCAAGGCCGCGTATCCGCCGGCCGCGTCCTGTCCCCCGCCGCCGCCGCCGACGACGACGACAAAGACAAAGCTCGCGCCTCCCCCGTCAGCGGCGTCGTCCTCGAGGTAGGGCCCGGCACGGGCATGTGGGCGTCCGTCTTTGCACACCCGGCTCTCCGCCCGGGCATCACCAAGGTCTACGGCGTCGAGCCCAACACCGCCCACCACGCCGAGCTGCAGCGCCGCGCCGCCGACGCCGGCTTGTCGGGCATCTATGAGGTGGTTCCCGTCGGGATCGAGGACCTGGCCGCCAGCGGCAGGGTGCAAAAGGGCAGTGTGGACTGCATCGTGTCGATCCTGTGCCTATGTAGCATCCCGGACCCGGAGGAGCACGTGAGGCAGCTGCATGGCTACCTCAAGGAGGGCGGGAGGTGGTTTGTCTATGAGCATGTGCGATGCGAGAGCGAGAGGATGAGGGAGTCGGGGCTGGCTATGAGGGTCTATCAGGGTAAGTTTCTTTGGCCCTTGTTTTCTTTTTTTTTCCCCACTTACTCAGTCTCTCCAACTTCCTTGTCGTTGCACCCGTCTCGGGCATATGGCATCGTCTACGCAAAACCATACGAAAAGTCATGTCATCTCTCAAGTGAGGGAGGAGTGGATGTACCAAACAAGAGTCGCGAGGACCAAAAGTGCTAAGAAGAAAACTTCTCTCTCTTCCCACACAAACAAACAGCCTTTGTCAACCTCTTTTGGCCACACCTCCTTGCCGGCTGCGAGCTCTGCCGCAACACCCCCAAAACGCTCGTCGAGGCCGGGTCCTGGACCACCATCGACCTGGCCCAGCCCGAGGGCGAGCCTTGGTACCATCCACTGCCGCACATCCTCGGTACCCTAACCAAATGAACGCCTGCTTCTCCTGCTCAGAAACTATGCTTCCGAGCGCTGCGCCGGAGCCACCTTCGAGCAGCAGGGCCAGTCTGCGGTACCGCGTCTGCAAGACAAAATGGTGAGATGAGACAACAGATTGGAGGGCTAGGAAGCACCCTCTCCAACTTGTCGAGCATACAACCCACAATCATGTATGCCGTGGGCATGATCAACAGAAATGGGGTTACAGGAGCCGAAACTTATCAAATTTAATTCAGCTGCACGTTGGCAGCCAAGGGTAGGCTTTCTCAAGAAAATATCACCACCAGTAGAATCTGCCACCGGCAGAGAGAGCATAATTCAATAGATCCCCCCTTGTGAATTTCGACAGCTACCTGCATGCTACTGTGTGAAACTAACCGTATGATTAAAGGTGCTCTCATCTATTTTCGAGGCACCTGCTCCAGATTCTGAGCAGGTCTTCTTTACAAGACCAAGATAAACAAACCGGCAATCACCTCATCACGGCAATCTCCAAAACAGTCTCTCGAACTGGGCTAGGGTAGGATCCTGGGAAACGTGTCCGCAATTCTGTATTGGCCAGCTGGATCGGACGGTGCGAGCCAGCAATTACCAGCCAGTGCCGCCGCCAAAGCTTCCACCAGCACCAAAGGCGTCGTCAGCCAAGCCAGCATCGCCACTAGGATCCTGGAAAGGATCCTCAGTGACCTGAGGGTTGGGGCACTTCGACTTGAAGTGACCCATCTGCTGGCAGTTCTGGCACTGGACACGAGACACTAGGAACACGTCAGTACAGGTGCCACTGCCTTGGTCAAGAGGCGTATCTGCTTACTGTCGCGAGGCTTAGGACACTCCTTGGCGGTGTGGCCCATCTCATCACAGTTACGACACTGGACGTTGGCCATGTTGCGGGGCTCGGTGCACTCCTTCGCAATGTGGCCCTCCTGACCACAGTTGCGGCAGCCGCGGGGGCCAGCCTTGGGACAATCTTTGGAGTAGTGGCCCATCTCGTTACACTTGCGGCACTCGACATTCTCAGCCGAGCGGGGCGAGGGGCCTGTATTTGTCAGTCACCCACCAAATATATCCAAGGCAAGGGGACTCACAGTCGGCAACCTTGTGGCCAGCCTTGCCACAGTTCTTGCACGCGAACCTGTCAGGACGGGGCTTGGGGCCTGAGGGTGTCAGTGACCAATTCATAACATGGTTCAGTTTCTGACTTACAGTCACGGACGCGGTGACCCTCCTCATCGCAGTTGAAACACTTGACAACGACACGGTCGACATTCTCGTTCTTCTCCTGAGGGCAGTTTCTCGAAATGTGGCCAACCTCACCGCAGTTGCTGCACTTGGGAAGACCCAAGGGAACAACATCGCCAGCATCGGCTAGACGAGTCAGGACTTCCTCGTGGTCCTTGGGCCAGATCGCCTTCTCAGTCGCGCGGCGTGGCTTGTCCGAGAAGCGGTAGCTGACAGTATATTTCTTACCGAGATTGCCCTGCAGATCCATGTTGCACAGGGTAATCGACAGAGCGCTCTTGAGCAGGGGGATCAGGAACAGGTTGTAGCCCTGGGCACGAAGGGCCTTCTCGAGCTCGACGAAGGTAGTGGTGGGCTGAGCCTTGACATAAATCTGTATCTTCTCTTTGACCTCGTCCATGTCCCGCTGGACGATTGCCTTCTCAAGGAGCTTCCAGGCCTCCTCGCCAGTCATCTCGGGAAGGTGGCTGCGATCAACCGCGCGAGCGTTGGTACAAGCAGAAGCCATGTGGTCTCAAACCAGGCAACCGTTAGCATTATCACAAGAAAAGGTGATGGAGTTGGCCACTCGGGGAGGGGGGGGGGGGCTTGGGACCTTACTCTCCTGACCGCAGTTCTTGCAAATGGGGACGTAGGTGGGACACTCCTTGGCCATGTGCTCACCCTCACAGTGGCGGCATCTCATGGGCTCAGCACAGTCTCGCAACTTGTGTCCACCTTGGCAGCGAGGGCAGACAAGCGGCTCGGGGCAGTCATCGATCCAATGACCCTCCCGCTTGCAGTTGCCACAACGGGGAGGAGGCGCGGTTGGGCAGTCCTTGACCAAGTGGCCCTCCTTGTTGCAGTTACGACAGGTACCGGTGAAGACAGAGGCGTTGGTGCACTCGGATTTGTTGTGTCTGGAAGCGTCTTGTCAGCCGCATTTTGATCAAGATCGTTGGGAGCAAGTTAGGACGAGTACATACCCGGGCTCACCGCAGTTGAAGCAGCCGTGGTCGCCTCCTCCAGCACCCTCGCCGACATCGTCACCGAAACCAGAGGCACCATTGTTGTCGTCAGCGTTGTCGCCAAAGGGCGTAGCGACTTCGGTGTTGCCACCGTCACCACCACCCCAGCCATTGCTGGCACCGAAAGCGTTCCAAGACATGACTAAGGCTGCCTTGTCTGTTGTCAGAAAGATCTGGAGATGAACTGGTCAGAGCTGCAGCATGAAGAGATATATCCCAACCGGGCCAAAGAAGCATATTGAGGGCAATGATATACGAGCCAGGGGATGAAGATTGATGACGGGGCGTTACTACCCCAGCATGGCTGTGACAGCGTGACGAAGTGATCTTCTATCCAGCAAAGAATGACCGAATCTTGGCTGACTCTTTTTGAGCCTCCGTGGAAGAAGGGTGGACAAGGGGAGGAAAGTCTGAGACGAGGAAGATGCTTATGGGAAGGGATATCCAAGGCTTACAAAGCTCTTACCAGTCTCGACAAGAAAACTGTGTTATGACTGCCAAGGAGATTGAACCGCGTTGTTGTTGTGCTAAGTGGAAAAAGGGGAAGGGAGAGTGTGTAGGAGTGGGCTTCTCGAAGGGAAATGCGATCTAGCCAGAGGGAACCGCGGCAGAGGTTTCTGCCTACTGGAGGCAATACATGAGGACAAGGGCAGCGGGGCAGAGAAACAATAACAGCCCAGGAGGAGAGCCACTTACTGAAGGTAAATATCGTACGCGAAGGTACGAAAAGACGTGGTTGCTGATGCTCCAGATGGGCCACAAAGGTCAGTAATGGCAAGCAGGCAAACGTGGACGGAAGGAGGTTCAGATTACATCAAAGGAACGCGGAGGTCCTCCACTAAATCTGAGCGATGATTTGGATAGTTGGGCTTAGGAGGGAAGGGGTGAGGCTGCAAAAGAAGGAGGAGACAAGAAGTGCAAGGATGAAGCTGAAAGAAAGGCTTGAATGAACTTACCTCTTTGCTTCAGAAGATGCAAACAGAGAATGAAGACCACACTGTCTTCGGTTGGAAGGTCCCAAGGTTTATTGGGGCCAATAAGGTGGATGTTGGTGTGGTTGAAAGAGGAAAGGGGAGGAAGGAGGTAGGGAGGGAGAGAAGGAAGGAGAGAAAGGTGCAGATTTGCCTGCCCTTTTGTACCGGACAAGAGATGGCACTAATGCGCCCTTCCCTCTCTGTTGTCTACTTATTAAGCGCAGAAGATGTCGTGGTCTCATTCAGGGTTGCCTGGCTGTGCTCACGACAATCCGGAGCATGCTCGTTGCTGGGTCACTATGGGGGCAGGTGCTCAAGGCAAATCTGGTGCTTCAGCATGTGGCCAAGGGTAAGACAAGACGATCCAGATCAAAGCGTTGAAACGACAAAGGGCCCTCTGGGGATGAAAGGAATACAGTATCCTGCTACTAGATTCTGGAGAAGAGTCTCAGAGAGAGCCTACAGGCCAGCAAGCTTTACCCAACCGGTTCAGACGATACCGGAGGTTGTCAAGAAGCAAGGAATTGCTATGTTACTACAGAGCACTTCCACCTTAGGGATAGCATCGCGATGGATGGATCCCGGCGAAGAGCTTAAGAAGCTCGAAGACGGCACCAACAAGCTTTTGAGAATATGTTGCACGGGCATAGCGAGGCATCAAGCCAGCTTCGATATAAAACTCACCCCTATGCGGACGATACGCCGGCTTGGCTAGGTGGGCTTGGGAGAACTCTAGGAAGCCGGATGTCAAATTATCACGGTGTGGAAGCAAGCCTCTCCCCAGATTACCTAGGCAACGACGTCATAATCCTCGAGACGTACAGAAGGAGGAGCCCTTCACAATAGTAGTACAAATATATGTGCGTTCTGCTAGTCTTGCTCAAGTGATGTATGAGAAGTTTCCAGCCTCGGGCGAACGGCTCTCCAGACGCGCACAGCCACATGAGGTCGGCCACTCAGCCCTCAGATCGTGGGAATGTAGGCCGAGTACAGGAAGCATGACATATTCTCGGCATGGAGCATTTGTGGTTGGCATTCCAATCATTCCTCGTGGGAGGCTGTGTGCTGTTGAGGGCATTCAGCGGGATCAACGTAGTTTGTTTAGCCTCTGAGAGTGTTGCAGACTGCTCTACGACGAATTCACGCTCCGCATAGAAAGTATGTGGTAGCAGAACAAGCAGCCTCTGAAGCCACCAGAAGTCTCATGATGACGATCCTGCAGTCACGAGCATGCTGGTGATACCATGCTCTCTATGCTGCTTGGTGAGCATCATCGAGCTACCTCATTGCATATCGAGGGCGTCTTCTCTAGTCCCATATCTCGAGGCTTCGCCCCAAACAACAACCTTCCACATGTAAATCAAAGACTATCAACTTTTTCGACACCACGACTACCGTCAAAAAGGGCCTCTCAAGCGAACAGAGGTTGTCATGGCACCCACCGCCGCTACAGGAGGCGAAAGCGATTGGATCTGCCATCCGGAAGGTGTTCTTGCTGGTCTGCTGGTGTATCGCTGCAAGCCGGACTCTCACTCACTGTTCTCGGCTTAGTACGCCGCAGGAACCCCTGGAATTTGCCATGTGGCACCGCCCAGGGTAGGTTGATTGGTCAGAGCTTCAAGCTGGGTACTATGTACATACTGTGGTGTTGCAAGTAGCTTATTAGGGGTCCTGCGGTGTGCTGCCCCGCAGGGGAGGACGTGCAAAGAAGCAATCACTTATCAGAGAGTTTCAACAAAGGCAATTTAGCACTGCGGAGGACTTCACATCCGAGCGTCTTACAACAACGGTCAACTTTTTCTGGTCTGCGAATTGGTAGACGCTGTTCTTCTCTTCCTCCTCTATAGCAACCCAATCATCTTCATTTTTTGCCTAGCCTATCATTGGCCTGCTTGAGCCAAGAAAAATATTACAAAACCGGAGCAATTGGCTCGGTCCTCTTTTTTTTCACGCCCGCCCCCCGGGGCCTGTGTTCTGGGTGCTGCTGGGTACTGTTGGGAAGAGCTATCCTGACCGCCCGCCTTATTTTGCCTCCGGCTCGTTCCAAAGTCGCCCCCGAATCGCATGATCTGGAACATACCCTTCCGACTTGTCAGACCACAGCTTAGGCAAGCTCCTCCTTCAGAGCAAACACCCACTTTGAAGAGGCAACAGATCTCAAACAGCTTTGGTCGTGACCCCCTTTCCTCGACGACCAACTCCGAGCCCATCATAGCGCACAATGGCCAACTCATCAACGACCACGACGAGCGCCAGCGCGGGGAGGCGCAAGGCCGTTGCTAATGGCAAGAATGCTTCTGATGGCGGAGAGATCAGGCTGAACGGCGCGGCGGCGACAGCAGCACAGACGCAGGACGAGGTTGACAAGAAGATGAATGATTTCTTCTGGACGTACACGGAGGAGCCGCATAGAACGCGGAGGCTGGCCATCATCAAGGCGCACCCCGAGGTTTGCCACACAACCTTTCCTTCGTCTTCATATCTTGAGAGAGGGGTTTCAACACATGCTGACCAGCTGCCCTCTTCCTCCTCCTGACAGGTCACGAAGCTCTGCGGCCCTGAACCATTGACCAAATACGTCGTCGCCTTCGTTGTCTCCCTGCAGATCTTCTGCGGCTATCTTCTCCGAGACACCTCCTTCTGGTCGTGGAAATTCTGGGCGTTGGCGTACGTTGTCGGCGCGACTGCAAACCAGAACCTCTTCCTCGCTATCCACGAGATCTCGCACAACCTCGCCTTCCGGTCGCCGTTGGCCAACAGATTGTTCGCCATCTTCGCGAACCTGCCCATTGGGGTGCCGTATAGCGCCTCTTTCAGGGTATGCCCATACCCTGCCCCAATGTTCTCATGTATGCATTCATTGTTGCAGGAAAAAACAAGTGTACTGACGAGAGGGGAATAATACAAACAGCCCTACCACCTAACCCACCACAAGTCCCTCGGCGTTGACGGCCTCGACACGGACCTACCCACCGCCCTGGAGGCCGTCGTCTTTGACTCCATCCTCGGCAAGGCCTTCTTCTGCACCTTCCAGATCTTCTTCTACGCCATCCGGCCCATGTGCGTGTTCCAGGTGACTTTCACCTGGGTGCACTTCGCCAACCTCCTCGTCCAGGCCGCCTTTGACTACGCTCTGGTGACCGCCACCGGCTCGTCCAAACCTCTCCTCTACCTCCTCCTCTCCTCCTTCCTCGCCGGCTCCCTGCACCCCACCGCCGGCCACTTCATCGCCGAGCATTATGTCTACGAGACCGTTCATCCCGAGGCTCGCGACCCGGCCAACAATCTCCCCATTCCTGAGACATACAGCTATTACGGTCCCCTCAACGCCGTCACCTATAACGTGGGCTACCACAACGAGCACCACGACTTCCCCGCCATCGCGTGGACCCGCCTGCCCAAGCTGCGCGAGATTGCAGACGAGTTCTACAGCCCGCTGCCGCGCCATGACTCCTGGGTCCTGGTGCTCTGGCGCTTCGTGTGGGATGCCAACGTCGGCGTCACCAGTCGCGTCAAAAGGAAGAACGGCGGCCGGAAGGTCGGTGGTCAGCTCGCCAAGGTGGCTGCCTGGACCCCGCAGGAGATCGAGGCGTGAGCCAACCTACCCACCTCACTCCTACCCCAGGGGAGATTGGAACATGGGTATAGATGAATCGTAGAGGCGTTCATGATGTCAAGAAGGATATTGTACATGACAGGGAAAGAGAAGACGGAAAGCTACGAAATGAAAAGTGGTTTCAAGCACATACATGTAATAAGGCGGTTGGTCCTTGAGTTCTCGGCGTTTGCAAAGTGCTAGAGTTATGAAAGAGAGTTCCCAGATCTGCGCAGTGGTTATGTCATGCTCTGGAAGCGCATAAAAGATGCTCACGCCATATGAAAAATAGAAGTCATATTTGTCCTGTGTCACCATCTTCCCAACTAACATGCTGCAGCAGTTCTGGGCTGCTCCGAGGGCGACATCATTGTTGCGGAACATTCAATTCAGACCTGTACAAGTTAACATAGGGAATGGCATATCATTAGTAGGCGCAACACAAATCATACACAGCCTAGTATAGACCGGTCGAGGCTGCCAATGAAATCAACAACGATAAGAACAGAAATACAAAGGTAAGATACAAAGACTGGAGGCCGCGCCGTAAAGAAACGATTGGTCCACCCCATTTTCCCATCCTACATCATGACAAGCAATGAAAAGTTGTCCTTGCCCGTCTCGAATGTCGGATCGGTGTCCTCGGCCAGCGTGAGCAGCAAAGCGCCAGGTTCAGGATGATCTGTAGGGATTCTCGTGCGAGTGATGATATCTCTCTACGCCCAAGGTTGGACCCGCGGACTCGTCCCGCAACGCCAGCCTGCTTCGTCTCGCTTGCCAGATGCCGCCCTATCCTATCAGGTTTCTCCTGCTACTCTGTCGTACAACTCGTGCTCCGCAGTCTTCAGACCAGATGATGTCCTCACAGCTAGAAGAAGAAGTATGCCAAGAGGAAGCTGACAAGACACAATATCGCGACGAGCTGAATCGGCACCCCCTCCGTGCCCTGCGGCCTGACGGCCGACGCAACGGCCGCGGCACCCGGCTTTTCATCTGCAGGGGCAGCAGTCTTGCGCTGGCGCAGCCCCTCAGTCGCGACAGAGGCACCAGCCAGCTCTCGCTTCAGATCGCTATCCGAGGCCTGCTGGGCTACCTGGGGAGATTGCGCAATAGGCGCAGTGACCTCTGGGTCGTCTCGGGGCTCGCTGATCACTTCGGACGGTGGGGCATTGCTGCTGGCCGGCCTGTGCTCGTCGGGCGAGGAGTAGGGTGGAGGGGTGTCCTCAATCTGTAGGGGGTTTGTAAGCATATGACGAGCATTGCTCAGTGTTATTAGGTGAAAACTTACGCCGTTCGCAAGCTGCTGTTGCTTGACGGGTGTGGCGGCAACAGCAGGCTCTGAGCCGCCGGCAGGGAGGAAGGTGACTCTTATTTTCTTCTCCTGAACGCTAGACTTCTCAACAGAGTCCCACTAGTGATAGGTTGCATTGTTAGCATTTACGCGTGACATGCGGACGGGTGAGGAACCAGGAGGGAACCTACAATCGTCTGCACGTTGCTGAATTCGAGATCGCTAGAAATTATGACGGACTGGACCAAGAACTTGTCGCGGCACTTTGTGTCCAGAGGAGGGTCCTGCTTCATGGCCTGGAGAAGGACTGCCGAAGTGAATATGTAAGCCTCGATGGTCGAGTGTGATTGTACAGTGTGGGAACTCCTACCAGTGACCTCGACTTCATGACCCGGCTCGATACGGCCGGAATTCGGTCGCACGCAATACCTAGATAGATGTCTTGTGAGCCTCCTCTTCTACCGGATCACTATCTCTCTCATTGTTCGGGAGTCGTACTGCTTGGGAGCGGTGGTTTTGACCTGGGACCGTTAGCCAATGCCTGAGGATCGGTTGCGGCTTGGTGCCATAGGGGCGGCGTACCTTGAATGCGACAGGTTGCTTGTTAGTGTTCTTAAGCTTCAGGATCTGTGAGACCTCGACGGTGAAGGGCCCTGTGACATAGATCGATCAGCTGTTGGACCTCGGGTCATGCATAGGATCGTGGGGACGGGCGGCATACGGCGGAAGCCGAGCTCAAAGGGCTCGATCTCAACGGACATTGTCGCAGTGTTGATCGCTCGATTAGGATACCGTTTGAGAGGGAAGCCCAAGGACGTAAGCCGCCAAGGTAGACGGAGGCTGCTTCGTTTTGCTGTGTGTGAGAAGAGATAAAGCTGGACAGGCTTGACGGGGGAGGTCTGAGCGCTAGACCTGGACGTGGGCGAGGGGCGAGGGCGCCAATTTAAATGATAATTTGCGAAGACAGGGTGGACGAATTCGTTCGGGTGACGAGCGATCGTGAGTGGTTCTCGATTCTTGGTCGTGGAGGGTTGTTGTGTGGTCGTCGTCGGCGAGAAAAGTGTCACGAGGAAAGTAGGGGCAACGAGGTGTGCAGGTGAAAAGACGACAGGAAGTGCAGGCCGGTTGCGATTGGGATGACGGCACAGGTCTTACGACATTGTCAACGCCTGGGATCGGGTTGGGCTAGTTGGCATAGGGCAGGGCAGTGTGCTGGACTTAAGAGTGGCACACTTGGCACAGGTAAAATCTGGGAACTGCTGCCGTTGGCCAACTTGTTCTGCAAGTTGAAACAAGCTCCCTCCCCTAAGACTGCCTGCTCCGAGGTCCCAGTCCAATCCGATCCCAAAAGGTGCAGGCCAACAGGCCAGGTTTCAACTACCATCTCTCCATCATCCACCAGAATTGCGGCCATGAATAAAGGAACAGCGCTTATGATTATTCCAGCCCCATCTCGGCAATCTCAAGAGACCCCACAACGTCCCCTGAGGTCATCACTAGCTAGCCACCTTACCAATTATGCTGTGCTATAGTAGTAGTCCTACTAACATTGATCTCCCACGTGTCACTGTCTGCTATGCTACTTACCTATTTGGTTTTCAACGTTCTTCAACGTTCTTCAACGTTGCATTCTCAAGCCAAGTTCGTAGAAACAACGGTCGAATAAGTAACAACGGTCCACTAGGTGAAAAAAAAATTCACTGACGACTCGGGACGGGCAGGCGACCTGTCACTCATACTTGGGACCTGAAAACAGGCCTCCCGTGCTGAGCAGCCGAAATTCCCACCAGATTCACAAGATGGTTTGCTGTCAAGAAAGTGTCTGGTAATTGGCTTCATCTCAACAAGAATACCATAAAATTGTCCTGTCATGGCTTGCCATCCACTCCTACTTTCTAAAAGCTGTCTGTTTGGTCAATGTTAGGAGCCGTATTGTGCATAATGGTAGGTTTGCTGTCCACTCCTGCCCATGGACCCAACCTAAACCCTGCTCGGGCTTGTGCTCAGCGCCCCGGGCTGGACCAAGCTATGCCCCACAGCAGTGTTCTACTGCTATAGTACATAATACGTAAGGGCAGCTGCCCCTCCATTCCGCCCCTACTTAGGACCCAGCATCTTCCCCAAGGTTCCAAAACTCAAACACCTTTTACTATTTAATACTGTGCATGTCACACAGAGGCAATATTTTGTCGTCCCTGCCACAATACAATTTACCGATTACTTCCACCATCGCTTACGTTGCGAAGACGACGACAACAACTGCCGGTCGGTCGCGCATACTAGGCACTATCACCTCAACTCTCGCCACATCTCCTCCTCAAAACACCCCAACCTGCCCAATCAGATCGCCAGCCACCATGGCTTCGGACTTAGAGACCCTGCTCGAGATGGGATTCGACAAGGCCCGTGCCGAGATGGCCGTCAAGAAGTCGGGCGGCCTCCAAGGCGCCCTCGAGTGGCTGGAGAAGAATCAGGACACACCGCTGGAGCAGCTCGAAGCACCCGACGAGGACGATGCCGAGGCCACCGCGGCCGCCATCAAGGGCCTGGAGGAGGGCCAGCTGGCCAAGTCTCTCATCTGCGACGATTGCGGCAAGCAGTTTCGCACCACGGCCATGGCCGAGTTCCACGCGAGCAAGTCGGGCCACGAGAACTTCTCCGAGTCGACCGAGGAAATCAAGCCCCTCACCGAGGAGGAGAAGAAACAGAAGCTCGCCGAGATGCGCGCTGCGTTGGCCGAGAAGCGCTCGCGGCAAGCCGAGCTAGATAAGGAGGAAAGCAAGCGCAACGAGGCCATCAAGCGCAAGGCCACCAAGGAGACGCAGGACATGAAGGAGGAGCTCCAGCGCAAAGAGCAGATCAAGGAGGCCGCTAAGAAGAAGCAGGAGAAGCTCGAGGACCAGGAGGCCAAGAGGCGTATCAAGGCCAGGATTGAGGCCGACAAGGAAGAGCGACGCCGCAAAGCGGAGGAGGCCAAGGCCGCCAGGGAGGGCAGGGCCCCTCCTGCTGCCGTATCAGAGCCAGCTGCGCCTGCTGCTCCGTCACAGCCCAAGACGAGTGCCTCGTACACCGATGCGCGGCTGCGGTTTCAGACGCCCGGCGGTACGGTGCAGAAGAGCTTCCCTGCTGATACCACCCTGTTTGAGGTGGCTGAAGCCCTGAGGGCGGAGGGCATAAGTGTGCAGAACTTCACCATGACGTTCCCACGGAAGGTCTTCGAGGCTACCGAGTTTGGTCAGACACTTCGAGAGGTGGGACTTGTTCCCAGCGGTGTTCTGATCGTCAAATAGGCGATCAAGCCCGGGACAGCACTCGAGCACAGCACGAGACCTGCGGTGGAGAGAGGTCGGATCCCAGCTGCAAGGGAGGAGGAGGAGGTATCACAAAGGCGCAATGATAGAAATATGGCGTTCTAAAGGGAAAATTGGAAGACCATCATTCGGGTACGGGACGCATCGCTGAGCATTAACTAGCATATTCCGCCGACTTGTGGTTGGCTTTGGCAGATCTCGGGGGCTGCATCTACACGGCGGAGCTGGTGCCGTCATGTAGTGGGTGTCAGTGACCCAAGGGCATCTCGACCACTTGACGAATTAATGAAGAAAACCCTGGGTCTAAAGTCTGTCTGACCTGGATATTTGTTTTCCAGACATTTGTGACGAGTTGAGGGTGGGCGGCACCTCCTTAGTCTTCGAGCTCCTTTTCAAGACAGCTTACAAGTATATTCAAGAGGTCTATCCGTTGAAACGCTCGAGAGTTTCCATATTTCGACGTCGGGAAGGCGTTGATCAACTCAGTCGATTTTCACGGAGCAAGGAAGCGCACATTCACGTGGACGACCGGATGGACCCCTCATCACAGTACGACATGCAACGAATTCACGTACAAGGAACCACGCAATCACAACAAGGACGCAGGTTCTTTTTTCTTTTAAGTTTGCCTTTTCAATTTGCAAAGGTCATCAATTTCCGGATCCTTCTACTCCATTCCTGCGACCAGATACCAAAGGAGAAGAAACCTTCCTCCCCATCCCTTTTTCGTAGATGGCTGGTATTTGCTAGACTAAGAAGCAGCGTAGCATTGTGAGAGAAAAAAAAGACCCGCAACCCAATGCAGATACCGTAGGAAGTACAGCGGAGCGGGAGGAGATGTCGTGAGGATATGTCGGTTCGGTCGGATTGTGCTCGTAGGTTTTGTGCTCGTTTTGACGGCGGCAGTTGGCGGTGGGATTGAAAACCATTTAGTCGAACAGACCGAAGCCCATGTCGTCGTCGGACTCCTCCTTCTCTATATAGGGTGTCAGTCAACTGATCATGATCCGGGGGTACAGCCCGGACAGAAGTATGATGGCCTGGGTACTGGTACGAACCCTCTTCCTTGGCCTCCTCCTTGGCCTCCTCGGCAGCAGCAGCACCGCCAGCAGCAGCACCACCGGCAGCGGGGGCAGCAGCGCCGCCACCGGAGCCGACGTTGGTCAGGAGGTCCTTGACGTCCTTGCCCTCAAGAGCCTGCGTGATGATGATCCTCGTCAGCATCCATGTCCCCAATAGGTATCCTCTCAAGAATATGAAGAGCCCCGTCAAAATTTCGAGGTGGGTCACTTTGCGTCTTCGATGGGAGTTTCGTTTTCATGGTTGTCGTACCTTGGCGAACAGAGAGGTCCAGATGGGCTCAACCTCGGGAACGTTGGCAGCCTTGATCAGGGTCTGCAGCTTGTCGGCCTGTTTTCGCATTTCAACCAAGTCAGTACTCTGCTGTCATCTCCCTGTCGTCGACATCGTTTGCGACTGTCTTCGTGGGGTCGGATGGAGTTTTCATACAGTGATCTCAAGACCCTCATCAGCGAGGATGAGGGCGGCGTAGGAGTTGGCCAGCTCAGCAGTAGACATTTTGAATGTGTATGTGATGAATTGCGGAATGCAAAGAATGAGGAAATTCGAATGCTGCGTCGCAAAAGAGTGGTGACAATTCAAAGTCTCGCTTCCAGTGGTTGGGCGGTTTGGTCGGTATGACTGGGTCGCAGCATTTTTCCGCACGCACACCACGAAAAATCTCGGAAAAACCCTAACGCCGACGCTTGCTGACTGAGCTGGCTCTTTACTTTAGGCTTGGCCTGGTTTGGATGCGTCGGCCCGCCCAAGGCCGCCTTGACTCCGATCTTATCGATTACGAGATGAACCCCACCTTTCTGCCTTGACCCAGGCCCCCCACTTCTAGACTCACTGACGTCTGTTGGTCCCCATTAACGACCCGTGGGGCTCAGCTCTTCCAGATCGTCGATGACACAGCAGATACCACTGTCAATTTTACGTCAATTTACCAAGGTCTGTAACCCTTTTTCCCCTCTTCCCACAGCCTTGAGGTCAGAAGGTAAGGCGTCGAATCCTATATGCATGCATGCATCTAGATGATTGGCTAATCGCGTCGTACCATAGCTAGGCTTTAACTTCTCTTATCGGCTATCGCCATTCATCTCTCAGCTTCTGTGGCCTTCTCTCAGACCATCTGAGTCTTTCTCACAACGTATCTGTTATCCTCTGGCGCCGAATATCCCGTAACTCTGGCCCCGATTGCGGTCTAAACGCCGAACGAAACAGTCACGGTGCGACCCTTACCACGAGTGCCAGCAGTCTGCGGAAAACAGGTCGATCGGAATCGGAGCTTTCAAATTTGACATTCATACAACCTGTACAGGTTACCACGACATCATTTCTTCCACCAGATCTACCTTCAACGAGTGGGGACGGCACAACCCATAGCCCAGCATGGAGACACCAGTAGTGCCTCCTCCCCAGGATGCTCGGGAGACAGAGATCATGGAGCGTCTCGTGGCGGTACGGGACCAGCTGCTCCTCCTCAAGCAGGACCGTACCAAATATATCCGCTCTCAGGATGTCATGGGCTTGTATGACCAGACTATCGAGGAGGTCCGCAAGGTCACCGAGATTCGGGCAGTCAGCAACGGGGATGCCGGCGAGAACCGCCTTGATAGAGTCATGGAGAGCTGCTTTCAGCTGCTGTCGCTCTTCTTCATGACGATAGGGAGGACCGGAGAAGCTCCCGCGGCCTATGCGCTCACGTCGACCATCAAGAGGCTGCTGGGTCACCTTACCGAGGCGAACGTGTTCTCTGCTAAGGATCTCGAGAGCATGAGCAAAACCCTGGTCCAATTGTCCGGTTCGGTCAACGATGCTGATGGTCGGCATTCGCCCTACTTGATCAAGCTGTTGTCGAAGAGGGTACAGTTGTGTCAGTCGTCACTCGCAAGGCTGCAAAACAAGTTGAACATCCTCGACGATGCATTGGTGGATGTGCACGAGAAGCTGGTTTCCATCATCCGCTCGATGGCGTTGGCAAACACTAAGGCTAAGGTAAGCATGATCCAGCGGGTTAGTGACAAAGTGCGATGATGGCTCACATGACAACAGTTCAACCGAGCGGAGGTAGAGAAACTCAAGGCTCAACTGCAAGACATCGATGCTCGACGGGTGGGTGGCCAGTTCAAGACAGCAGACGGTGGGATTGCCAAGGGCAGCGAGGAGGTTTCGGATCTCCTTGATCGTTGTCTCCTCTGGTCCGATGTCGTTTTAGAGCGGAAAGGAGTGATTCCCGAGCAATGGAAACCAATCTACGACGTCTTGATTGGCATCCGCAACGATCTCGACAAGTTCTCGATCACGCCAGCGTGGTCCCTTCGAGAGACAGACCTGTATGACTATCAACGGCAACTCGACAAGATTGACGAGGCCAGAGTTGATGGCAACTGGCTGGACGACCAGGGCCAGCCGGCGGAGCTCTATGTGCAGAGGGTAGGTTGATTACTTTCAAGGTCAGAAAGACCCTTCTTGCTGACGATCTGCTAGACGTTACTGTACCTTATCCGACGGAGTTACGGCTATATTTATCATCTCATGCTCCTGTCGGAGCCAGTTTCGGAGGCACTCCTCCCAGTATACAACCAACTGTCAACCTTGAAGCGCTGCCTGCTGGAGGTCAAGGATTCTGGAGGCGTTAACTCAGCAAGAGAACTGTATCCTTACAGCATGAAGGTCGGTCCACAAGAACCCATTGCCCCCACATGACCCGCAACGACTGACTTTTCCCTCCCATTAGCTCAACTCCATTGACAACATGCGGTCGGACGGGAAATTCGAGATTAACGGCGACATCCCCGAAGGTCAAGGAGCGGTGACAGACCTGCTGGCTGAGTGTTTTGAGCTCAACTACGAGCTTCGCGTTGAGGCAGAATCCCGCGCCGAGTCGGCAGCGGGTGCCGAGGCTGCAGCGGAGACCTAAAGGCCACACACCTCTGCAGAGTGTTCGAGAGTACTTGTGTGTGTCTGGCTGACTCCCACAGCGCCCATTGGAGTCTGTTCAGCTCAACAGCTGCCGAGTTTGCGTGCAACCCAGGACGCAGAATCCTATGCTGTCGTATCCGTGAGAGGGAGACAAGGATATAATCTTCTTATCCTGGGAAACGAAAAGCCTGCAGGGGCTGTCGAATCAAGCGTGGATAACACGAGCGAAAGTGTAAAGTGGTGTGTGTGGCTGCGATACGTGCACTTCCTTTTGATTTAGCCGGGACTGGTATGGTACGGAGTATGGTTATAAACATGCAGTATCAAGAAATCGAGGAAGGAAAAGGTGTCCTGGGCATGCAGCGGATAAGGTCAACTCGAAAATGGGAACAGCACGGGTGGCAATAGGGCATGCATGCATTCACAGTCTGATTCTTCTTCTTTGGAACCGGCGGTGGACTTTGGTATTCACAGAGCATATCCCAGTGAGAGAACAGACACTTGTTGAGAAAGGAGGAGGAAGCTCGCAGGCTTGTACTGAAATCTTGTAGCGCTTCGTCCATAATCGATTTGAGACTCGCGGTCATACCCCCCCCCGCCTTGTCATACTCTTGACATCGAATCCCTCTCTGCCGCTCGTTGGCCACATACATGCCCCCTCCTGATCCCGGACCTACGCATCTGCCTTAAGGAAGCCGGAAAGCAATCTTGGCCGGCCAGATCATAGCCTGCAGAAAAGAAGGAAAAGGTCAGTTGAGCCTCATTACCATCATCATAAGTCACTCTCCTCTTCCCAACTAGACTCACCTTCTCCAGATCCCACACCCCAGACGAAACATAGACGTCGTCCTTGAGCAGATCAATCACCGCCTGCCGGCTCTCTGCAACGACTATGACCGTGCTGCCCGCAAACTTCATGCTCGAGACCTCGTCATCAGCAGGCATGTCCTCCAGCACGGCGCCTAACATCGTCATCGCGATCTCTCCGTCAGCAATAGCAAACAAAGCCTTTACACGGCTCCAATAGGGATGTTGGTGTGGATGTGGATTACAAGGGAACACTTACCACCCATCTTGAAAAGGCCGCTCTCCTTCATCTTGCTCAGACCGGCGAAATGTTGCCTGAATGAAGCATCACATGTTAAATCCTCAGAAGCCTTTTTTTCCCCTGGCTCTTCTCCCTTTTCATCACAACATAGGGGCAGGAGCCCAGAATATAGCCACTCAAAAAGGGTACTAGAGGATGATGGGGATAAGCGAAAGGGTGAAGAAGGCAGCGTGGTCTCATCTCGAACAAACACAACCCACCCCATCCCTTCTCTCCTCCTCCTCCCAAGACAGATTCTCCCTCCTGATCGATGTATAATAAGATAAGAATAAAAAAATAAAGATAAAAACTCACGGCCGAACCTCCAGCCTCTTCGCCAAACTCCCCGGCACATCTGGCACAACCACAAGCCACTCATACTTGCGCGGTTCCGCCGCGGGGGCAGAAGCAGAAGAAGCCATCCTCCTCGTCGCTGTGGTGAGTGGCAGAGTCCGCACTACTGTCGTAGCCGCAGGTCGTCGGAGCAGTAGTGACAGTCGTGCAGAAGAATATGTCGGTCGTCCAAAGGCAGTTGGGGCAGTGATTGTCCTCGCGAGGGCGTTGAGGCTGGGTGGCATTCCTTTTCCGATGAAGAGGGAGGAGAACGGGGAGAGAAGGATTGGTGCTTTTAGAATTCAAAAGAAGACGAAACTACTTGCGTTTTTATTCGTCGTGTGCTCCTCGGGCCAAAATAAAACACAATATGGAAGGTAGTGAGTGAGGGAGGCACAACTCGCGATTGCGCAAGTGCGACGGTGTCGGGGGTGGGTGGCATGTGGGGCAGCCCCTCCGCAGCTGCGCGGGCTAAATGTACTATAAGTACATACTGTGACAAGTCCATACTGCATTCGCCCACATCAGTAGTATGGCCCCAATCCAGAGTGCTTTGCTCTGTAACGAATACCTGCCTCCCAAGCCCACTCTCCTTTTGTACCTTCTCTGTTCCACAATGGTCTGCGATTATGGTGTTTTTCAATTGCTGCTCTGTAGCAAATCTCAGTTTGGATATCTTCAATTGTCGAGGCTGGTATGGGGACCTCAGGTGCGTCATATGTACAATCTGTCCTTCCTACTATCTCTGTCCATGTCTTGTTCTCCCGTACTGCCTGCATCGATCTGTAAAGACAACTTGTTTTTCCAAGAAAGAAAAAAATAAAAAGATTAACGGATGGGGAGACCAAGAAAGGTAAAAGAGAAAGAAGCCAGAGAAGAATAAGCCCCGAAAAAAGAAAACAAGAGCCAGCGCTATTTGACCCGCGAACTCCACGTTTGAAAGCAGTGACCGGCAAATCAGTCACGAAGAGAGTCCCTTTGCAATTCCTTCGCCCGTCCCTGAATATCCCTTCTGGGTCACGTAGCCCGAGCCAGATCTAAAAAGCAGTCTCAGATACTTCTCTGACCCCCCCCCCCCTCTTCTTCCTTTTCCTGGCCACGCCCGTAAAAGCATTCCACTAGTCAATCTCGATAATCTCCACGGGGCCTCGTTCAGTGAGCACAGTCTGCGTAGGCTCTGCAGTACCCATGGACATGCTTCGTGGTCTTCCAGCAGGACTGTCGCCACTATCGTCGTCTTTAGGCTTGTCTGCCGGGCGCCAGCTTCCATCTGCCGCAACCAAGATAGACTTGGTGTCCAGCTTTTTCTGTTCCTCCAGCTGTTGGCGTACCTTGTCCAGGAAGCTGTCAATGTACAGGCTTCCTGGTCTCGCATCTAGGAAACATATAGGACACTTCCACTTATCAGGCTCCGAAGGTTCCAAGCGCTTGGGGCATGTGCAGCCGCCCTGGTGGCTGCACTTGATCCGCTGTTTCGCGGGTCGCGTGTTCAGCCATGTCTCGAGATCAAAGCACTCCATGTGGGTGCACGCAACGCTGCGGGCTGGGATGTGGAAGATGGTGGAACTGAACGGATCTGTCAGGTCAATGGACAGCTCACGTGCGTTGTCTCCAGTTCGGTCAATCACCGCGATGCCATCCTTGTCCGGTGCAGCCGTAACCCTGGACCGGATTTTCTCCAGAGTCTTCTGGAGATCTGGCCTGTGGGTGTCTTCTATTTGCTTCAGTACCCGCGAATGGCTGACAGTCTCAATGATTTCCACCGCCAGATAAAAGTTATTACCCCTCTTGTCAGCGGCACTGGGACCTGCGTGCGGTACCGTCGCTTTCAAGCTATTCTTGCCAGGCAGCACGTAGTTCGTCAGCTCCACGGCCAAGTCTTTGCCGTTGTGAGTGCTCCTCCTGATGGGAAGCTGATGGCCATTGAACTCGAGGAAAATATGCTCAGGCCACAGGGCCTCCTTGAGGACCCAGTCTGACTCCTGGACTGGTCCGTCCGACTGCAGTCTGCAGCAACGAGCGCGGAAGCGCAACGAGCCGTCCGAGTATTCGCAGACATTCATCAGCATTTGGTGTCCGCCACAGCCCGGTGCTGCTTTCTGCCTGCAGGCTCGTGACGCTTGTTCCGGGCTAATCTCAAGCTGCAACTCGTGATGATATGTTAGACGGAATGGAGCTAGTGCAAAGGATTCAACGTATTGATAGTATCTTTCGTCCGGCTGTGCGATACATCTCGTCCGGTCGGGGCTCCGCGCCTGGGCTTGGTGAAGTGACATGAGAACCGACCTCCTTGACTCAGACGTATGGGGGTAATCGCGTCGGTCGAAGACCTGGCCCCGAGGCGGAACGAGACGTGACACTGGGCGGGGTGCACCATTCATGGCCACCGCTGAAGCGTTATGCGGTGTCGATGGGCGCAAGTATGGCTGCTGCATATTGCCAGCGAGAGCGGGAACGAAGCCATTGGCATGTCGCATCGGGCCAACGTTTGGCATGGCGGGTGTCCGAGGGCTCGGAATCATCACTGGACCCTGCCCCGCGGCCCATTGTGCTTGATATTGCGCAGAATGAGGAACGGACTGCCATATGCGGTGCTGATTTCCATCTTGCACCTGCTGAGGAGCGTTGAGCTGGCCCTGCTGGGGAGAGAATATGGCCAAAGGGGATTGCTGTGGACTCGCCGCGGCTTGCACCATAGGCCCTTGCATAGCAGGTCCTTGCAGCGCAGGCCCAGCATTTGGGAGATTGCTTGGAAGGAAAGAATGCTGAGGCCCTTGACTGGAATGCGACGGCACCGTCGGCACGCTACCCGTCGGCGAGCCATATGACATCTGGGACACGAACGGACTTGATGTGTCAGAATATGCTTCAAAGGGTGATGGACGCGCTGAGTATGAAACCGTAGTTGGTACATTTTGTGGATCCGAAGTTGTCCTTCTATTTTGGCCCGACATCGCGTTCTGCAAATGAGCCGGCGACCACTGTGGTGCAGGAGGGGGCATGTGCTGAGGATGGGTGCCGAAGGTCGCGCCGCCATTCGCTGCCTGTAAAGGGGGCAGCTGTTGTTGCTCAGTGCCAGGCGTTGTTGGCTGCAATTGTGGCAGTTGTCGGGCCTGCTGTGTGGCGTTTTGTGTCATCGTCCTCTGCTGGCCCTGTTGTTGCGGTTGCTCTTGTGGTGGCCGTGGGGCTTGTTGCTGGGCCCGCTGCTGATGCTGCCCAGCCTCTTTCTGTTGACTTTGTTGCTGCACAACTTGCTGAGCTCTCTGCATTTGAGCTTGTTGCATTTGAGCTTGTTGCATTTGAGCTGGGCGTATTTGAGCTTGGCGTATTTGAGCTGGGCGTATTTGAGCTGGGCGTATTTGAGCTGGGCGTATTTGAGCTTCGTACAGCTGATTTTGTTGCATCCAGGCTATTCGGGCTCGGGGCATCCGAGCTTGCAGAACCTGTTGCATCTGCTGGTCCTGGTTCATTGGAGCCTGCCGCAGCTGCGGATGAGGCTGTAAGTTCTGTTGCTGCGAGTTCTGGTGCTGAGACGGCGGGTTCTGTTGCTGAGGATTCGGGTGTTGGTGCTCTGGGTGCTGGTACGGAAATTGATGCTGTAGTTGCTGCTGTTGGGAGACAGGTTGCTGGTGAGCCTGCTGCTGCACATATTGCCCCACCTCGGCCTGGTGTCGCTGAGCCTCCTCCAGCAGCGACCTCTGCGGCCCCATGACCGTCCGGTGCCACACTTGCTGGCTCTGATTCCCTACAGTACGTGGCTCCGCGGCTTGGATCTCTGCCATCGCATCTCGGTATTTCTGGATGAGCTTTGCGTTCCGGCTCGCGAGATCTACACCGCCAGCGATGTTGGGAAGGTCCAGAGCACGCAGTACGCCGCGTTCATCACAGTGACTCCTCAGATCTTCGGCGAAAATATCCTCAACCTTCCGAGCAGGGTCACCGTCTCTGATGTCGAGTTTCCGTCTGCACATCGTGAAGAGGAGCTTCTGCATGACACGGGACTCACACTTGATTCTGACCATCAATTCGTCCACCAGGCAAGGGTAGCCGCGCTGGCGGACTTCCCCGAGGAGAGTGATCCAATGACGGACAAAACCTGCGAAGAAAGCTGTCACCTTCTCAACGGTCTGGGGACTGACAGTGTATAATTGGTCGGGGGGAAAGTGCGCCGCCCACCTCAGTGTGCCTTCACTAAGCTCAGCGCTCTCCTGCTTAAGGAGAAGTCCGAGGTACACGAAGCCATTAAAGATTTCGTCGTGGTCTCGAGGAGGGCAGGGCGGGAGCGAAGCAGAGCCAAGGGCCCACTTGCAAATTAACGAGTGTAGATTGACGTAGAAGATGTCTCGGTGGATACAGGCATCCCTCAGGAGCTTGATTCGTGGTTCCTCGCAGTCTTTAGGTAAATACACCTCAGGTCCCGGTGCAACGAGCATCTTATCGAGGTACTGGATAACCTGGATGAATGCATGTTGGTCCACATCGAAGCTGTTGTCATTAGGCCCAATACACCTCCTCTTGCCCGGAGGCTCCCCGTCTCCCGCCGAGTTCGTCCGCGCCTGCATGCGCGGACCTTCTTCTGTCCTGCCTGTGCTCGGAGGCAAGGCGCCCGGTTCGTTTGGTGGAACTGCCCGGTTATTCTGCGGCGGCCAGAAGGAGGCGGCTTGACCATCATCAGGTCCGACGTTAACCTGCCGGCCGGTGGAAAGTGGCGCTGCGGCAGCATCCTCCACAGCTGGCGCCCTTGCGTGCGGGCTGGCTAGCAGCAAGGCATCTGAGGCTGTGGCGTCTGCGGCAGCCGTGGCGGGCACCGTATCTCTTCGTTCTGGTGGACCAGCCGGCCGTGGCACAGAGGCCGGGTTCGAGCTATCCTTGGTGTTTGGTCCAAGTGGACTTGGCTCGTCGCTGGGAGCGGGCGAGGGGAGGACATTCAGGACTGTCCTGCAATTTTGCGCCGACTGTCAGTCTCTGCTCTCTTCTCGTTGATTTGTTTGTTTTCTTCCTTCCTTTGGCCTTCTTCCAACTATACATGTGTGCGTATATTTTTGCGTGAAGTAGATGAAACCGCGTCTAGGCGCGTCGCCAGGGTAACGTGGTGCGTTTGGCTCGATACCTCTGAGCAGCAAAAAGGCCAAGGATAGAGACGTGACTTACTCTGCAAGCTCATGTGCCGGAGGCCCATCCTTCTGCCCCGCCGGCTGCTGAGGCCCTGCCACCCTGACGTTGTCTTGAACCTGTGGGTGAGGTACACGGACATTTCGTGGTCCCTGAGCTCGAGGCCGCTTCGGGGATGGCTGCGAAGGCGACTGTGGAGGCATGCAAGCAGAGCTGGACTGAGCAGGCGTGGTGCTTGTCATCCATGCCTTTTGCCTGCCTGGCATGAACTTGTTCAACGTCGAGTTGGCATGGGCGACCTGGGATGAGAAGGCAGCATCCGCTCCCATCAGCGGACTGGGCATGATTCACAGACCAAGCATGCGCGTATGGATCCTGGTCGAGGGTGCACAGAGGGTTCGTTTTCCAGTGGCCAGACTTTCTCCAGACTGTGTGAGGCGCGTCAAACCGTGTAACCGAACAGACCAGGTTCGAGTGAGAATATCATGCGCAACAAGAAGGGGAAGATAAGGAGGAGGGAGGGGGAGAGGTTAGAGAGAACCAGGTATGATGTCTGTATTATGGTCCCAACAGTACATAAAGCGAGCCTCAAGGAGAGAGGATTTCTTTTGTAAGAAAACCAAGTACATCCAGAAGCAACAACACAGGTGGGAGGCAGCTGTTGTTGTCACGTCCTTCACAGCAAAGCCAACGGCAGCTGACTTCCTATAGCTGAGGAAAGTTGCTGATCAGCAGCTGCAGTAGTCAAGGGATGAGTGGTGGTTGCCTTCTTGCTCCCTCACAATGTCTGGATGGGAGATGATAAGCAACAAGATGCCCGCCCCTGAGGCTGGTGTGAGAGGGCACAGCACTGCACTTATGGAGGGGAGGGGAAGAAGGCGGGTGCGTTTGTCAAGACGAGAAGGTGGGTATTCATGAATGGCAAAGAAACCCTGTGGCGAGGCTTGACAGGTGATTGGACAGAGACAGTGGGGGTCCACACATTCCCGCCTGTCATGTCAGAGCTAGTCTGCCCCACTGTTTTGTCTTCAGAACCTTCCTCTCCCTTCATTCCTTTGGTTCAGATCAAAGTTGGGAAGGATTAAGTGAGACGAAGAAGAAGGAAAAAGAGATAGTAAGAGGGGGGGGGGGGGAAGAGGGGAAGCGATTATATGACCAGTCGAACAAGGACGATGACAACAAGATGGGTGGCAGAGATCAACTACTAGTGCCTTCTTTTTTTTACCCACCAGCTCTGGCCCTAATCATGATGTCTGCTCGATATATCTTTGATTGGCCGAAACTCCAACATGTGGCTGACCATGGACTTGGGGTCCAAGAGGAGCAAGAAACAGTCCATCCATTGGAAACAAAGCCGATGTTGAACCTGCTGTTTGATCAACCTTCCTCCCTGCTGCTCATCATGACTGTACCTCCTTACCTATCATCTGTCAAATTTGATACAATACTGAACACTTCATGATACTGTGACAGTAAACAAGAGAGGGCCATCCCCTCATCCATACTCTCCTGTCGCTGTAACCTCAATAAGTCTCAGACATTGCCAGCTGGCTAGCACTCGACAAAAGAATGAGAAGAAGCAAATCATGCATGCATAATAACATGGGACAGGCCTCGCCTCGCCTTGGTTGGGATATTGACACAGCAACAGCTCAAAAACTGGGCTATTTATGAGAGAAGACTACTTGCAAGCCTGGTTTAATCTACAGAAGAGAATGTCTCATCCACCTTCCAGCTCAATGGCACAGTCTTTCGCATTCGCTCTGACTTGAGGGCTATGAAGCGTCTTCGTCCTTCAAGAGAGCGGGTACCATAGCACATGCTTGACCTCTGGATAAGACTCAATATGTTCTTAGGCATGCACTATAGTCACTATAGTCGCAGTACAGCACATAGACAGACCCTAAAGACTTACAAGGTTGAGGGCCCTTCCCTACTATCACTGCCAAGCAAGGTGCTATTGTTGGTGCTACCTCAAAAGAGGCATCTTAGTCAGCCATCTTATCGATAACTCAAGTGGGCTGCCCAAAAAGTTTCCATGGCGCCTTTTCCCCATTGACCTCCTCCACCACAAGGAAGAACAGAAGGAGGCTGTCTCATGTGAAAATCACACTTCTCTTTTTCTCATCTTCCTTTTTTTTTCATCCCTCACAAACTAAGCACTCACGACCACAGCAACACCTGGCCCTTCTTCTTCAAGATGGCAGCAGAGGTCAGGCCGCTGCCACAGCTCAAGCTCCCCTCGGCACCACAGGCCATCACCGCCGAGCAGCGCTACTGGAAAACCTTCAAGAACCAAAAATCCCACACGACCACCGCCTCGTGGGGCGTCACCCACATCTCCTTCCCCTCGCCCTCCTCCTCGTCATCCTCATCGTCCTCCACCGCCGCCAGGAACAATGATCTCTTCGCCGTCACCGCCGGCCCCCGCGTCGATGTCTACTCCATCCGTCGCCGCGAGCCCCTCAAGACCATCGGCCGTTTCGACAGTGTCGCACGATCCGGTGAGATTCGCGCCGACTCGCGCGTCCTAGTGGCCGGCGACGATTCGGGGAAGATGCAAGTTTTCGATGTCGCAGGCGGGGCCAGGGCCGTCGTTCTCAAGACCTGGCACGTCCACAAGCAGCCCGTCTGGGTCACCAGGTGGAGCCCGTCGGACCTGACCACGCTCATGAGCGCGAGCGACGACAGAACGGTGCGTCTCTGGGATCTGCCGGGCCAGGAGGCCACGAGGCAGTTTGTCGGCCACCAAGACTACGTCCGCAGCGGCGCCTTCATGCCGGGCGGCCTGGGCGCGAGCAGCAATATGCTGGTGACGGGGAGCTACGACGCCACTGTCAAGATATGGGACGCGAGGGTGCCAAACGGGAGCGTCCTGACCTTCAAGCACGCCGCCCCCGTCGAGGAGGTCCTCCCCCTGCCGACGGGCACTACCGTTCTCGCCGCTGCCGACAACGCCATCTCTGTGTTAGATCTGGTCGCCGCCCGCGTGCAGCGGGTCATCACCAACCATCAGAAGACGGTCACGTCGCTCTGCCTGGCCTCCAACGGCAGGCGTGTCGTCAGCGGCGGCCTGGACGGCCACGTCAAGATCTTCGAAACAGGCTCGTGGAATGTCGTCGCCGGCGCAAAATACCCCTCGCCTATCCTGTCCCTCAGCGTCATCACCGCAGGCGCCAACGCCGCAGATCGCCATCTGGCCGTGGGCATGCAGTCGGGTGTGCTCTCCCTCAAGACCCGCCTGACAGGCTCGGCCGCCGAAAAGGAGCGTGAGCGTGCCCGCGCCGCTGCCGTCACGGACCTGTCGCAGCTAGACGTGGCCAAGTCCACCAAGCGGAAGCGCAAGGAGATCCTCACCCGGTCCCTCGCCGCCGTCGACCGCGATGTCGACTTCCTAATCGACAAAGACGCCCACGGCCGTCCCGCCAAGGAGCGCCAATGGCAGTATGACCTCCGGCACGGAAAGTACGCCGCCGCTCTGGACGGCGTCCTCGACACCGCCGCGCCCGACCACAGCAAGCTCAACGTGTTGACCCTACTCCACGCGCTGCGCCACCGGTCTGCCCTGCGCGCCGCCCTCGAGCACAGGGACGAGGTCTCGGTGCGGCCTGTCATGCACTGGATCAGCAATCACATCATCGACCCGCGCTACCGCAGCGCATGCGTCGACGTCGGCCTGCACCTCCTCGACCTGTACGCCGAGCACGCCGGGGCCAGCACCGAGCTGGCCGCCGCCTTCAAGACTCTGCGGAAGAGAGTCACCCAGGAGGTCGAGAAGGCCCAAGTCGCGGCGCAGACGGGTGGCATGGTGGAGGCGTTGATGATTGCTGGGGAAGAGGCATGATGATCATCGTTGGTTGGATAGTCATGTGGCTTAGAGTCCTTGCGTATGTTTATCGGGGGGCTTGGAGGAAGGAAGGAAAGAGGAAAGAGGAAAAGAAGGCTGAAATTCTCATCATCCGGGTTTTCTACTTCATTTGGTTGGTTAGTATGCATTGTTCCGGCGTTCAAGGGATGAGGAGGGTCATCAAAAAGAAAGAGAGAAAAAGAAAATTTGTACATAGGGAAGGGGTGTCGATTGTGAAAGTGCTTTTTTTCCAAGAGGCGTAATGATTTGATACCAAAGTAGATGATGGTAAGCAAGGCCCAAGTCGTCTGCCTTGAGTCTGACGACAAGAGAGATGGTCCTGAATGATCTCTGCATCACAACAATATCAGATAATTAAGATTGTGCTCTCACAAAGCAAGTGAGAAAGGCAAGATTCATGAAGGCCGCATGCAGACAGACTGGAGCAGTTTACATAAGTGAATGGAGTCGTCAACTTGGACATTTTTTTGGTGTTGAGTGTTTGTTGCATGTTTATTGGGATGAGCAAGCAATGTAAAATTATAAAGGAACCCATCTAACCATGTATTGGGTATCGATAATTTTGGTAAGAGAAAGAAAAGAAAGAAAGAAAACTCTTTCTGTATGCGTCTTTCTATGAAGTGTCGCCCCCAGTCATCAATCATCCATCCAAACGCAGACTGTCAAGTCGCGGTAATAATGTATGCCATGCAATAGCCCTCCGACTTGAAGAGGGAGGAAGAAAAAAAAAGGAAAAGGGAATGAGCAGAGCAGTGCATCTCTAAAGCCTTCCTTGTCAACCCCAAATATCATCATATCATGGCAAAGAAAAAGAAGTGGAACTCGATGGACTGTGAGGAATGACTTGCTCAGGAGGGTCCATCTCCACACCCCCCTTCCCCCAATCTTGCCTTTGGGAAATTTTTATCTCCTTGCCAGCATCCACAGCCGAAGAAATGTATCGTCCGTTTCCCATCGATTCTGTCCTTTATCCCATATCTTACAATTCCGCCGAGGGCGAAAGGAGCCGAGTCACCCCTAAGATCGACTCCTCGCCATCCCATCCTCGTCTCTGCCCTCTCGCGTCGGCGCCTCGGGTAGAGGCTTCTGCGACGTCCCACCATTGACACGGGATTCCTAATAACCTCCAATGGCAGACCTCTGGGCATGTCTCCTTGCCCTGCCCGAGCCGATATCGATTCTGCTCATCTCCTCCATCAGCGCCGCATCGCCCCCTGCCTCCCCATACCCCATTGGTACCAGAGCGCCCCCTGAGGAGATAGGGATTTTGGCTGGTATTGGCGGCGCCGAGGCGCTGTGGTCCCTTCCGACCGGCTGCTGAGGTGGCATATCGTACATTGGTGCTGGGGCGCGGTTCTCATAGTCAAGAGTGCTTGCTCTGGCGGGCGGCCGAGCCATGAAATCATCTCTTCCATGCGGTTGCGTCAGAGGCGCGAGCGGACTGTGTCCAGATCCGTTCGCACCCGACATCATCACCGGCATAGCAGAGTTGCGGTTCGCCTTCTTTTGCAGACGGTTGCGGCCGGAGCCTGGGGGCGGCAGGGCACTACTGCCCTGGGCATCAGGCATAATGTATGTCGATGGCGCCATAGAGGAGGCTGGCCTCTCACGAATGCGGAGAGCCTTGCGACCTGAAGATGGAAGCGGCTGTGGACCAGACAGAGCGGGCCTTGAGCTCGTCGCAGCACCTGGAGTCTTGCCCGCCTTTGGTTCAGGCTCTGGGGCCCACGTATCCATGGGCAAGTGGTCTGACGGGTCAACCTCTCTCCCATCGTGGGTGATGATCACACCGTCGATCTCGTCATACTCCCGACTCGCTCGGCTCTCCGGCTCTTTCGGTGCTGCAACAGCAAGAGCGGGGTTCAGGGCGTTATAATCGTCAGGGCCGAACGGAACACCAGACAGGCGATGGCTTTCGGGTACTGGAGCTGGGCTGACAGACTTCCTGCGGATCGTGCTATGACCCATCGGACTGTGGCCTGGCGACACCTGTCTCCGTGCATCTCCGTGCTGGGACGACCCTCTCACAGCGTACGCACCAGGGCTGCGATTACGTTCATACGCATCACTATGGTAGGCTGACATGCGGAGATGCTGTTGTGGCATCTCTGGGGGCGCAACGTAGCTCGGCGGACGATCGTTCATCTGGCGGCCTCTCATAGAGCCCACAGGCGGTTGCTGAGGCGGAGGCTGGGTGTGCCGCCTGTCATGACGCCCTGCCTCGTTAACCCTCTGAGATATCTCCATGGACAGAGCTGGGTCCATCCCTGGGATCAGAGAAGCAGGGATCGGAATACTGGCAGGGGCAGCCAGCTGCGTGTCTGGCAACTCATATTCGTTACCCATGGGGCGCGGAGAGTACCCACTGGGCGAGTGGCCTGGTACATCATCGGACCGTGAGTAGTCGGGCGACCCGCTCTGGCGGTAGGATGCGTTGTATGGGCTTGAAGGGGCGCCATTTCTGCCGCTGAGGTTCAGTGGCGGAGGAGATGGGTTGTGCTGGTAGTCTGCCTCGACAAGAGAGGAGGCGCGAGATCCACCGCGCCTGTAATCGTCGAGCCCGGGTCCTGGAGAGTCTGGGACATCCTCGACGGTGGGCTGCAAGGATCTGTGGTGCGCCTCGTACGCCGCATCGTAGGATTGATGACGTGGTGGGGACGCCTGTTGTTGACTGCCGCCAGCATGGGCATCATTGCCAGCTGACACTGCAGCAGGCGAGGAATCGTATCCACGGTAGACGGGACGCCCCGGGTAGGCATTAGGTGGAGCAGACTGACGATGGGCCTCGTTTCGTAGGACATCCTTCCTCATGACCGGTAGTGTCTGGGCCTGGTGCTTAATCTCTGGTGTCCCACCAGGCGTGATCCGGTGGGCTGGGGGCGGAGGTGGCCGATCACCCTCGAAATCTGCACCAAAAGATGGGTCGGTCGGCGATGGCCCATAGGGTGAGGACGGCGTGTACCTCCTGTCAGGGGTGTGACCTTGATGGCTGGGTGGGAAGTCCAGGTCGTCGGGGTGCACCGGGTACCTGTCTCGGTCTGAAGGGGTCTGATAGGTGCTTCCCGGCACAGATGAGTAGTTGTCAGTGAGACGCTGACGGGGCGACGCGGTATTGCCATGGTGTCCAGCAGAGGGTGAGTGTGCATGGCTCGTGGTGTACGGTGCTGGTGAGTGTTCAGGCGTCGAGAGCTCAGCGACGTAATCCCTCGGTACACTCGGCTGTGACCTTGGAGGGGTTGGGATGTGGCTCGGGGCGGGCTGAGGAGGCTGAGCCGGAGCCTGACCGGTGAAAGGATCCGACGGTAGAGGTCGCCTCTTAGGAACCTTGTGCTGGCCTGCGACGGCTTCAGGGTCGGAAGTCACGGGCTTTGCTTTGGCGGCGGGCTTGTCGGGTTTGGGGCGGCTGTCATAGAAGGTGATTTCGATCCTGATATCTCCGGCATATTTGCCCTTGCAGCTCAGGTTCTGCCACAGGTCTTTCTGGCCGCCACCAGTTATGATGATGTCGCGCAGGTCGATCCATGCCTCCCCTATCAGTTCTGTCTTTTTGTCGTCGTTGAAGACAGAAAGCTTCAGCTGGAAGTAGTCCGGTCCATCATGGACGGTAAATCGAAGTTCTTGGTCCCTGTGGGCTTCGTTTTAGTAACTGAACCTGGGCAGAAAGAAGTATAGGACCTTGAGAGACGAGCAAGACCATCTTGGAAGGAAGCTTACCATCTGGGCGTCTGGCCTCCTCGGATATCGGTGGTCGTCTTCTTTGCTTCCTTCCCAAGCCTCGCAGCACAGTACGGGTCCTGTTTGCCAATGGTCTTCCTGTTTGGAAGGTTCTTGGCTCTGTCCACGATCAAGACCAGAGTCCCAATCTCAGGACCGTCTATGCTCATGTCGGCGAAGATGCCCGCCGAATGAGGACCATTGACGAGATGTGATTTCACCATCGTGACGGGGCGGGGTCCTTATGACCTCAAAGCTGGGGCCCTTCTTTCGCTATCTCGTTATCGGTTGGCTGCACTTGGTGCTCGTTTCGGTATACTGCAGTCTCTTGCAGAAGCTCGCGGGAAAGAGAGAAAGAAGAAAAACAACCAAGCACTATGCCCAAGCGTGGCCGAATTACTGATGCCGTACTGGTATTACATAGGAGGAGGGGTGGCTGAGCGAGGTCGACTCTTCCAAAGCAGGCGAATCAAGAGAGTCAAAAAGGAAGGACGAGCATGGGTCTGCTGGGCTCGTTGATTGATTGACTGTTTGTCCGTACGTCACGTAACCGATATTAGGACCAACGAATGTGAGGTGTGACGAGGTGAGAGGAGAAAGGGAGAGGAGTGGTGTGGTGTGGAGGGAGGGAGAGGGGTAAAAGAGGTATATGAAGAGAGGGTGTAGATAGAGACAAGGTATGTGTGCAAACGGGTGTGTCGACCTCTCAAAAGGGTGGGCTGTGCGTTTGCTCTGATGATGGTGACGGAGGTTTTGTTTTGGTTCGTAGAGACAAAAAGCAGCGGCCCGGTCAGGAACTCCCTTAGCACATGCATGCAGCTCTGCGGTGCTGCTAGTGGGTGCTCATGCTGCCGCTGCTACTGCTGCTTCCGCTACGGGAGGGGGGAGAAGAAGAAAAGGCACTGCACGCAGAGACGAAGGCTGGGGTTTGGGGCGGCAGGCCGAGTTTGGGGGGGGCTGGGGGACCAGGGACAGCTGACCGTCTCAGCCAATGGGCGCGCTCTGTGCAGTGCATGAGGGGTCCCGCTTCAGTGCAACTGGCAGGGGTTACCCATAGTAATCCAGGGGAGTCATGGGAAGTTCCACGGGCTCTGGCATGGGGAGGGGCCGAGCTACTAGCATAGATATGGCCCCGTAGCCCCAAAACTGGATTGTTGATTGACGTCGATGGTCCAGACTCAAAACTTTGGGGGCCCGGTCTCTCTCTCTGTAGGGCTAGCTGGCTGGCTGCGACTTGAGAAGCATGATGAATTTTTTTCCCCGTTACAAATCTCCGAAGAGTAGGAGGTGCGAGTTCTGAGCTGGCATGCCCCATCTAAAAACTCTATTTGTTTCTGACAATTCTTCAGAGTGATGTAATAACCCACACAGCCTGCATGCATGCTGTAACCTGCCATAGTACTTGCTACTGTATGATTCAGGGCATGAGTGTAGGGTGAGATGAACCAAGCGAGGCTGAGGCTGAGGTGAAGGCAAGATGCTCTACTGCTACCATGGTATGACCGACTGATATCTTCCCCACCTCAAACAAACAACAGCCCACCTTTTTTTCACCCACTGGATCCGGTCGAGATTCCCGATCTTGACGGGGTGCATGTCCTTGCCGAAAGACGATCCACAGCGTGCGTTTCTATTTCCCAAGGACAAGATGACTGCCGGGACGGAATGGCCTCTGCAGTAGTCATCTGTAGTCCGACCTCTCAACCAAGCCAGATCATCGCTGCTCCTCCACTTGGGGGAGGCCCTTTCACCCCTCCAGATGCAGATAGCCCAATCTCCAATGGGATAGTTTCCAATGCTATGACCTCCTGCACGATCACCTGCCTGCCCTCTTGGGGGAAGCTTCCCAAGAAACTTACCACGGTATGCTCTCTTGGCTTCTGTTGTTGTTTCCAATCTTCCCTTGGCAGCTTGGTGTCTACAAGGCACACATCCTGATCTGAACCACAGCATCCCAGCTGCGATAGTACTGGGCACAAATTTAACAAACCCACTTCGAAGTTACTCAGTCGGCCATTCTCCGCCACGAACCTTGCGCATGCTGAGTCAAACATTCCCAGCCTTACGTTTTACGACGAGGCAGGGTGTCTCAGCCCCGGCCGCTTGCGAGGATCGATGGCAGGATCGATCACTGGATCAACTAACTATTCCCAAGAACTGTTGGTCGATCTGACGCCTAAAATAAAAATATAGACAAAGGAAGGGGCCCTCTCTCTGTCATGGGTTTCTTTGTAGTCAACGCAGGGCTGTCTGGTGTACGGAGAGATGGCGAAATTGGCGCAAAACAATTTGTGCTGTGGTTGTCATCAGGTTGCGAGTCCCCAGAAAAAAAAATCCACGCAACAAAACATGGATACCGCCACGAGGTTGGGCGCAACACGAACGTCCAACTATGGGGTTGTGGGCTGATCGTAACGGCCAGCTCTCTCCCTCTTGGCAGAAGTGAGAAAACGTACTCGGTGATGACGACGCAAGCATGAAGAAAGTCCCTCGCGGTGGCCGAGAAGGGGTTGTGCGAGAAAGTGACAGCTGACGACGGGAATAAGAACGCCGGAGATGTGGTGACTGACGACGGCTCCATGACGGCCCCGCGGAGGGCATTGGCAAATTTAGCAGGCAAGCAAGAGTCTCTGCCGCCTCCTTGGCCAACCACCCAGCCAGCGCAGCCTGCCTGGAGGACGACGCACTGCGGCTCTTACCAGCTTAGAACTCTGCACGCAGGACTGCGCCCCCAGGGCAGGATAAATATGCAGCATCTCCTCTCTCTCTCTCTCTCTCTCCAGGCAGACGCTCAATAGGCTAGAGAAGCAGATCATTTCTGCCTTTTGATCGATGGGATCGCGTCCAGGTACGGTGACATTGGCCAATATAGATAAAGTTTGCCGCTATTTGCTGCACTTTGCTGCTACTATCATAGTACACAATACAAACGAGCCAAGGCTTCGTATCGATCGTGTTGATGCAACAATGGCCCTGTGTGGCTGTTTTTCCCATCTTCCAGCATGTATCCCTGTTACTGCTCACCACTCACCACGGAAGCGAGCTTGCGGCATTGAATCCCTGCTGTGATCTGCAACCCCCTGCCGCACACAGGGCCAACCCACTGAGTGCCCTTCCCCTCCAAAACGAAACCCCAATCCCCAAAGCTGACCCCACATGCTGACTACACAAATGTCATGGTACAACTGACAGCAGGGGGGGCCGCAAGTCCAGTTGACCTCACCCCATCATCGTGAGGCTGAAGAGAAGGCGCCCAATTCAGTATTGTTCTGGACCACCTATTGCACTTGCACTACACTGTCTAGTACTTGACCTCCTCGACTTCAACCCACCCCTTCAGCCTTGTGTATGTGTGCATATCTAGCGTTTCCTATCCACATGCACAGACACTAGACACACAAAACCCTTCTACACAAGTCAAGCAGGCGCTCAGACTGTCATCGGGCAACACGTCTCCGCCTGTTGACACATTCTCTCCCCACCTCAGGGCGGATTCCCACGGGCTCATCCTCCTCCCTCCCCTTTTTCCCACCCCCCCCCCCAATCTTTGCGCTGTCAGACACGTGTCATATTGTCACCACCCTGCCTGATCCTCGAAGCCCATTCATTCCAATCCTCGATCCAATCCTCCTCCATTCCACCATCATGTCAGACACGTTATCATCATCTTCATCAGCAGCAGCAGCAGCGGAGGGGCCGCAGCAGCCAGGGCCCCTCAACTACATCCTCGGCTTCACCCTTGTCGGCATCGCCTGGGGCCTGACTACCCCCTTCATCCGCCGGGCGGCACGGGATCACCACCCGCCGCCCCACCCGGTTCTAGACTCCGACGCCGTCCGGGCCAGCTGGCTCAAGTCCAAGGTTTACGGTGCCTTCTTTGCCGTCGTCGACCTCCTCCGCAACCCACGCTATGCCGTCCCGCTGCTGCTCAACCTGACCGGGAGCGTGTGGTTCTTCCTGTTGATCGGGAAAGCGGGTGAGTCCCTTCTTCTTGTTACCGTTCCTTGTGCTATCTATACTTTAGTGTGGATGGACGAGATGATGATGCTGACATCTCTCTGGTATCTAGAGCTGAGCTTGACCGTGCCCATCGTCAATACGTTGGCGTTCCTGTTCACCGTTCTCGGTGACTGGTGGGTGGACGGCAAGGTTATTGACCGGGGTACGTCTCCCCCCCCCCCTCCTTGTGTTGGTCATAGATTACTTCACATTGCGAGACTGACTATCACACCTAGGTACAATGATGGGAATGATACTATCCCTAACAGGTATCGCGTTGTGCGTATACAGCAAGAATTGATCAAAGACACGTTGTGCATATTCTGCGTCGTTGGAGTGGCGGCGTGTAGGGTTAGAATCAAAAAGGATAGATCTCGAATAGCACCAATTTTCCCCGTTTCAAATACTACATTCCATCTTGTTATAGTATCGGCTTTTCCGTCTAGTCTACTCTGTTCGCGGAGTGATCGAGCGGTCTCGCCGATGCAACATTTTGTCGGTACCAAGGAGAGAGAGAAAACAGACGTGTGGTCCATTTATCAAGGCCTGAGCACTTCTCTTCTCATCAATCTTCATCCTGACTAGGCGCCAGACACAGTGAGTTGTTAACAATATTATGAACGAGGCTAAAGATACCTTTCCATATTCGAGGCGCTTCCCAAGCATACTTGCTGAAGATTAGAATTTGAGCCTCAAGACCTCGACAAAAGCGATCGAGAGCCATAGGCATGACACAATTATTATTTCCGATTCACCAGAAATCAGGGCTACTATTCACATGAATAAGTTTCTCTACTCATCTTGCTGCTTCGCCGCGCCAACTTTGTAATATCAAACGTGGTCCCGTTCAGTAGTATTACAAGTCACGGTGCTCTTCAACTGCCTCAAAAATCATCATTACAATTAACGACCAATTCCAGATGCCCCGCCCAACAACCTCCATCAATGAACTGTCTCCTCCGCAGGCCGAATCACCACATCAATCCCACCATCTCACAAGCTTTAGTCTGAACATCATAACACAGTTAGCCGTGCTGTCGCAGCATCAGCTGCTGTCCAGAATATATGGGCGCCCGACTGAGCTGAGCAATAATACAACACAGCCTTTCAATGGATGGGATTTACGGAGGATAAGCATGGTCATCCGGGACGGGAATTCTTGGGGCTTTTAAATGCGAGAATTCCTCTTTGGAGAGAACGTGAGACCGGGTGGGGATGGTGAGACGCCTCAAGAGGAGGCGGAGCACCGGGCGCAGCACTTTGCAAAAAATGAAGTGATCACTGAGTATCATGACTCTTCACTATCTTTCCATTAGATTGACTGAAGAGAAAAGGAAGAAATAGTCATACTGTATTTTGCATGAGGCCATTCTTTCGGGCACAAATAAAGAAGAGGGCCCCACCCTCAATTCTCTCAGCCAGAGCATAGTCAGATGTGGCGAGGTGTTCGAGTAACAACCCCAAAACGCCTTTTTCATCACGAGGCGGATAATCAAAGGTGATGTTGAGTCGCTTCCTAGTTAAAACTCGGTCTACGAGGCGTTGACCGATTCTAAAATAGGGCTGCGTCTACGCGGACAAGTCGGGCATCAACGACTTCTGCCATACTCCCCTTCAAGAAGGCTCGTGTGCAAAGCCTCGCTAAACGGAAGACCTGAGCTTCTTCGGGGAATTAAACCATTCGAGCAGTGAGTTACGTATGCATTACACGAATCAAGTAAATGATTTTCACTCATCAGGCATACTCCAATATGGCTGACGAAGCCACCACGACAACAAACTAATAGTGCAAAAGTGTCACAATATGGAAGATAGAGAGAGAAAGAAAAAAAAAAGGAAGGAAATGAAAAGGGAAAAAATGGCCCAGATATCAGGTCAATCTTGAGATGGTTGATTTGATTACTGGAAAATAGGGCGCCTCAGGTTGTACAGCTGATCTCTGACGAATACGAGCCCGACGCCCAATCCCCTTTTTTCTCTTCCACATCAGGATTTCTCACGTTCAGCTGCGTCCAACAAAATTCAGCCAATCAAGAACCATTTTACGCCGAACCTCCTCAGGGCTGAACTTTATTATCATCTTCTTTTTTCCTTGTTTTGAAAAATCTCGCTTTTTCGGCAAAAAGATGTCTCGTCGGAACGCTCAAGTACCGATCTAGACCATATGCACTTCAGGTTGCTAGCATTACCACAGTAGACTATAGGTGTAGAAGTTTTTTTTTTTATCCTCCCCCCTCCCAGATACTATCGTCTGAAATCGAAAGAAGCATGTACTGAATATTATGCATATACAGTTTGTACTGTGTGGCGCGTCCCCAATTGTCAGCACATGCCAATTCGCACGCGATGTTGCGCCAGAAAACATGTGTGGACCAGCAGCCCCACAGCTAAAATGATAATGCTTGTTCGTGGAAGAAATGATGGGTTATTAGAACGACAACAACTATGTTAAGAGAAGCCACCATCCGAGACACACCGCCAGACTTGGTTTTTTTTCTTTTTTTTTTCCCCCTGTCGAAAATCACAATTCTTTTGTGAATCTATACTAGTCTTTGGCCTGATTTGATTCTGTCCTGCAGAAGCCCTGTTCCCTGGCGCCCTTGCTTATAACAACCCACCCTGATATTGCCATCGGTTTGCACTAGGCAATGCTGATGATCATCATGAGGGGAAGAAGGAAAAAAGGAAAAAAGAAAAGAAGAAAAGAAAGAAGTCATTAGTCTCATGGCCTACTACTGTACACGGCGAACGTGCCAGTCGTTGCCATATATGTCCCACACTTATCGTGACAGTGCCCAGCCAAACCGTCTGCAGGGAGAGGGGCCTGGTGAATTGAAATGCCTGGTTTACTCCTTCTGAACCACTCCAACCGGTCTTTTTGCTCACATGCCGTCCAGACGGCATGTCCAATCTATCGTGTCCATCGTCATGTTTTTGAGCAAGCGTAGTCGAAACACCTCTCTCGTTCCCTCTAATTAGACAGTTGTCCGAAGCGACATGCGTCGCAGCCAGACTGATTTAACAAGAGGACATCTATCGTCGGGTACGGACCCAGCGCTGCACGCTCCGAAGACTAGGGTCTTCGGCCGTCCAGCGGTTCAAGTTCAGGTCTGAACCCTGAAGCGAATTGTAGATTGTCTCGTCGGTGATGGAATGGAGCTCCTACGCAAGACCCAAGTCAGTCATTTGTGCCATTCGAAAAAGTGAAAAGAGAAACGGAAAAAACGGCTACGAGGATTGTTCTTGGGAAGAGGTTGTGTCAGAGAGGAAGGGGGTTGGTGTGAGGAATCCATACTGATCGCAGTCGGTGATCCGCCTGGCGGAGCATCGCTTGGTTCTTTGAATTGGGCCGGCCGCCCATGAGGATCTGTTCCCGGCACTCGATCCATCGCTGGGCAGCAGCCTGGCGCAGGTAGATCTTCTGTGCCTCGTGACGTCTGGCGTAGGCATCAAGAAGGACCCTACAGAGCAGAGCAGGCAGTTTTCGATTAGCCACACGTCCAATAATGCATCGTCACAAGCGCTTTATGTGTGTGCTTCCCCCCCCCCCCCCCGAACGGGTGGAACTTACTGCTTTAGCTCCGCTTTTGCCTGCTCGTCTGGCCCTCCACTTGTGACGGGCACGCTCGTGTCTGCACCGCAGTTCAGGATGCGCTGCCCGTCGAGGTTGCACTGGCGGAGGGTAGCCCAGCCTTCTGTGTAGTAGTCGTCCATGTTGGGAGGATCAATAGGAGCGGCAGCGATGTAGTATTGGATGTTCTGGAAATCCCCCAAGATCTCGGCCACGCGGGCTGTTCGGAAGTTGTTTACTAGTGGAGGAAGACATGGTGTGAGCATCATATCAAGGACAAGCTAAGTGCCCGAATGGCATAGAGACGCCCTTGTCCACCTGGATTGTGGAACAGCGAAGATTGGGGGGGGGGGGGGGCAAGGGGATAAAAAAGGGCGGAAGCCACATACGTCCGTCCATTTTGTATGTAGTATAGCCTAGACAAGGATAGGCAGTAGAAAAATTGTGAATTTTTTTTAGAGGGAAAAAACTCTTTGGAAAGGGGGAAAGAAGCAAGGCCTCTTTCTTGTTTGGAGTCTAGAAACCCAGTGTAGTGTAGTGCGGATATGACTGTAATTATTAAAGAGGGAAGAAGAGAGAAGAGTTGATATAACAAGAGGAGTTCTGGCGTGAACAGTTGAACGAGGACGGCGATTATGAAAAGCAGAGGATGGATGAGCCGCAAGCGAAGTACAAAAGGAAAATCAATAGTAACTTCGTGACGATATCAATATGGGTCCGGATCGGCGGCCTGCTGAAAGGAAGGCTGAAAGCAAAGAGATGAACTATTGAGAAGACGTTGGGGTCGCTGGCGTCGAGCACATTCAGCAACTCTGCTAAGATGACGGCGAAGGGAGCCGCCTGTATTATAGGGGAGGGGGAAGATGAGGAGGGCGGGTGGTTGGTAGGAGAACAGCCGCACTTGAGGCCATCATGAAGAGTTTGACCGAAGAATTGAGGTCTCCAATGGCATGCCCACCGATTGTCATGATCGACCTCGGACGCAGACGTACTCGGCCGGAGTAGAGATGACGCTATGACCTCTCCAGGACAGCTCAACCCACAAAGCAAAAAGGACGCAAGAGATAGCATAGTACAAGATATGACAAGGCCCCCATCTGTCACCTAACCCCGCCGCCATGCAGAGCAAAAGCGGCAGTTTGGCAGACACACCAGCCATGATCCCGGCGTAAATCTCATCCCACAGCTGCACGAACCTGCAGGAGATCACCGCCCACCAGGTTCCTGACTGATGTGGTGGGGCCCGTCACAATCTGGAGATGAGCTGCTGTGCACAGGTGAGCAGCCAAGGTGCGTTAAAAAAACAAATATCCATTTTTCCCTCTCCTTTTCTCCTGCTGTGTCATGTCGTCAGGGCGTCTGTCAGCGAATCGGGGGCTGCCATCTTGTGGGAAAGAGGGGGGGGGGAGAGGGGAATTGAATCTGTCGGAAGACCACACCGTCGGGACGGCAATGGGGACAGGGCTTAGAGAAACATCCCGGGCCAGCTGTGATGTACATGATAGCCGCTATTCTCCACATGGCGTGCAAGGAACATTTCTGTAGCCTGGCGTCCAAGAATAGACATCACACGCGGGGAAGAAGGGTGGTGAGGTACTATGGTACATAGTAAATCGACGAAGGAAGAGAAAGTGTGCCTGACAAGCCAGCACGGGGCACCAGGGGCATTGGCCAAGGTGCATGACCACCAATGCAAGAGCGACGCCATGTTGGAACTACCAGGTCGCCGTATTAGTGATACTGGTGGTGATGGTGGCTTCAGCGTCTGACGGCAATGGCTTGAGGAGGGAGGCAGGGAGGGAGGGGGGAGGGAAAGGGTGTGAGGCGCCAAGAGGGGGGGAGGAGGAGGCCGAGGACGAGGGCCAGCCACCTTACCAATCTCTTTGAGAGAAAGAAAGATCATAGATCCACACACCACACACAGGTTCGCACTCGAGGAGATGGCCGAATACGTCGTTCCCAAGGCCAGAAGAGGATAGATAGACGAGCATTCAGCTAGCCCCACACGAGGCACTAAGGCGCGACAGCAGCCCGATCTGGGCCCGAACAGGGGGGCCTTCGTAACCTTGACAGGTTCGCCCTCATCCGAGATGTGCAGGGCTTCCTACTACAGCAGAGGAGATTTTTTTCTTCCCTACCTCTCTCCCCTGATCTGACCAGGGCGGGTTGCCAGCCAGTCGCAGCTTGGCGTCGGGCGCAGCATGCCGCGGACTCGATGGACGATCTCAAGCTGAGGTTCCCCTCTGGATGTGCAAGGGTGGCATTCAGCATTTGACAGTCCCGTCGACGCGCAGGTGGGTGGGTGAGGAGACCCCAGGCACCACGTTTTTTCGACGCCCCAATTGCGATTCAGCTGGTTGCCCCTACCCTGCAACCTTCTCCCCACCGGCATCAGCCTAGAAGCGAGTCTGCAGACGACACATCTGAGAAAGAAGACAGACATAAGACGATAGATCATACGCATTTGACGATTTAAAAAGAGACCCCGGGGGGGGGGGGGAAGAAGGAGGAGGAGGAAAAAAAAGAAGTGACAAGAAAGAGGCCCCTGTCCGGCGCAGCACCCGCTCGGTTCAGTCGGAAACTCGAGCCGAGGTTACGAGACAGTGGAGGAAAATTGACATCTAGGCGGGGCGGACAAGACCGGAGTTGTCCAGCTGGACCATCCCGTCCCGCCGGCGTCTATCGCTACCTCGTGAGGAGGTATGCAGTTTTCAGCCACAGTGGAGCGGGGTGAGGCTCTTCGGACAGGCCTCCGGTATGGTCGCATCACCCTCATCCCCACGAGTTTTGCGATGGTCCATGGTGCTGAGGTGCTGAGTTTTCTCTCTTTTCCCCCTGGTTTGTCATCTCTGGAAGCTGGGAGGTCTGCTCGCTGTGTCTCAGATCGGATCTGACGGCGGTAAGACAGTGGTCCTCGCCTCTAAACACCATCATTTCCACCTCGTCCCTCCTCCGACCAAGGAAGGTCAATAAAGCAAATATTAGGCTTTCTTCCCATCCTCGCCACCTAGTCAATATTCGAAGATGGAGAGCGGTGAGAACGTTGTCGTGTAGTGGCGACGAAATGCCACGTGCGACCCCTGACATGTTGCATTAGGTCACACTAGCCCTGCCCTGCACTCAGCTCATATTGTGCGGAGCTGAACCTCTTCGCCAATCGGACCTCTGACAGTGAGCATGTCCCAAGAGAGCTGTATCAAAATGCATGCTTCGATTCTAGAAATGACATGTCATGGCTAATAGAACATGAAGGGCCGAATAGATTGGGTATGAGCTTCACGTCGGCGACGAGTCCATACCTCGAATCAGACGGTCCTTTCGGAGAATGGCCCCCTTCCGCGCGGACCTCTCAATCGTTGCGAGTCCTCATCGAGGCTCCAAGATGACCTATTGTCAGGTCAGACTCTATCGATTCAAATCTGAACCGGCTGAACCGGCTTAGTCCTTCTCAGCGATCGCCTGAAGACGCTCATCAATCTCATCCTCGGTCAATTTCCTGAAACCAGGATCTGTGCCCTCCTTGCCGTCCGCTCGGGGTCCGCCCACAATGCCAATTTCGATCTCGGTCTTCTTGAAGTCCATGCTGAGGACGGTGCTGAGGGTGGTGATGGCCAGCTCGACCACCTCTTCCCAAGAGCCCTGAGCATGGTCTTGGTTTTTCAGCTTCTTCTCCAGGTGGTTGAGAGCCTCTTGCTGCTTGGGGCCAGCGGCGGTACCCTTGTAGCCGATGTAGTAGCCCGCGGGATCGCACTTGTAGAGTTGTGGACCAAACTCCGAGTCGAGTGATATCAGAGTCGTCGCCACACCGTATGGACGCATGTATGCCTGAGATGGGTGATCTCCATCAGCAACAAGTTCTCACCGATGCTCACTCACAGAAGGGGCAACGAGTATGACTTACGCGCTGAGTGTATACTTGTGAGATGTTTGCCAACCTTTTGGCCACGACATCGCATGGCATTTCATATCCATACTTGTATTTGAACTCGGCAGCTTCGCCCTGGGCCCGCTGGGCAAATGCTCTAGCATCGGCGATGGAGCCCGTCATAACGCAGCCGACCGAAGGAGAGATCTGGAAGATGTGTGACACGGAAGCAGGATCGATCAGCTTGTCCTGTTGGCGGGTCAGTCAGCACCACGGACAGCGTGTCAGTATACAGGTTCACGGCAGGCACGTACGGGAACCTTCTTCTGAGACAGCACAACTGCACAGTCCTTGCCCCGCACACCTATCGACATGATATTTGCGGCGGTGATGGCCTTGAATGCATACTCTGTAGAAGGGCGCCATGATCAGTCAAATACGCATCTAGGCTGTATGTCTGGCGCTGCGGCCGGCCATTCGCTCGATTTCGCTTCCGACGTGCTCGGTGACGCAATGGTTGGGGCTGGAGAGTTCATCGTACCGACTTGATACAATCGTCCCTGGTCAGAGAAGATCGTAATGTGTCTGTCGAAGCCCGCACTGCCTGTCGAGAGTATCTCTTGTTAGCCATGATGGCGGGATAGACGCTGGGTGCTTCGGTCAGCTAAGCTCAGCTCAGCGTATTACATACCCGACATCTTGACGAATGTGTTTGATTGTTAACGAATTAGCAAGAGAAGAATGGGCGTTGTATTTGTGTTTGAGTTCCGAAGCGGACAGGAGGAAGAAGAGCAGGCTGAGATCGTTATTGTGGAAGTTGTCTGTTTTGGTTTGGTCGTGAGGCTGGAGGTTATCAACTCTGTCGTCAGGGAAGCTCTTGCCTGCTGGATGGACGCGTTGGCGTAGCTTGCCTGGAGCAGTTGGGACGCTAGCCTGCCGCGAGGAACCCCCTACCGACTTGCTGTTGGCCCAAGCTCCATGGTTACATAACACATCACTCAAAACCCCTGTACAAAAGACGACTGGGTATGAATTTACTTACTAAGTACTGTAGTACTCTTTGGCCCGCCTGAGACTCACCATAGTAGGTATCATGTACTACTGTACTACGATGGTACACACCGAGTAGGCGTACTTACAACACACGATTATCTCAACAATCGAAGGTGAGTCCTTTTCCCGAAAGTCGCTTGGCGATTGACACCTTTTTTACGGAATTGAATACTCCATGTTGTCATTTCTTGCTCTTCCGGTGCGCGTATTTCATTATTTGCTGGACGATCCATACAAGAGTACAGCCCACTGTGCGTGGTGCGCATATTGAGTGACCTGGGTTTGATCCGTCCTGAGATCCCTGCTGGAGCCCCGCGATTACGATAAGGCCAGAGCCAACGAAAAAAAAGTTCAGGAGTCTGTCAGTGTCGTGTGTGGTTTCTGTTTGGACCGGCAAAAGTAGTAACAGCACCGTCTATTTGATCAGGCCTCAATACATACCAGTGGTCCTCCCTGCGTCCGCCACCGCATCAGGCACGCACACAGGCCCTTACCATACCCAATCAGAGCGATTCGACATTGCATGAATTGCCCCCCTCTCTGCGATCTGCCCCGGATGTCCTACTACTGCACCACCACACAGCAGCGTTGACCATACCTTCGCGACCACGTCTCTTGCACCACCCGAATTCACCCTCCCTCTTCCCTCTTCTCCCTCCTTCCCATCATGTCTGCGGTCCCGGCCTGGAAGCGATTGGGTCTGAAGCTCAAGGGAGCTTCATCCGACGGAAGCCCTGTTTCTGCCCCTCCGCAAACCACGACAGCTTCCGCCCCTCCTGCAGCTCGTCATCAGTACCAGCAGCCTAATCCGTCCGGAGGTGGCCCATTCGGCACACCTGGCTTCAACAAGAGGAAGCAGTTCGGCTCTGGGTCTTCCTTCCCTATATCTGACAACAAGCGTCCGCGCTGGGACGATTCCAATTCCACGCCGTCCAAGAAGTCAGTGTCCTTTTCGCAAGACACCAAGAAAGCCGCGCCCAAGAAGCCAAAGCAAAAGAAGGCACCCAAGCCGCAGGCCCCCAAGGAACCTTTCGACTTCACACCGGTAGTCCAGTACCTCCGCACGTGGGACAAGGCCCGCGACAGCTGGAAGTTCAACAAGAATCACCAGACGCTCCTGATCAAGCACCTGTACAACAGCGATGCAATCCCCTCCTCCGACATTGACTCGTTCTACATGTACATCAGTGACATCAAGGGCGCCTCGCGGAAAAGACTAGTGGAAGAAGCCCAAGAGGTGAGGAAGAAGGACATGGCGACCGGGTTCAAGGGCTTCCCAGAAGGCACCAAGGCCCCGGAGGAGAAGCAGAAGCAGTACGAGGAGATGCTGGCGGAGCTGTTGAGAAACAAGGCAGACATCAAGAGCGGAACGTCTTTGGATGGCACTGGAAAGCGAAGCTTCGATGAGGCGGACTTCGTCATGCGTGACGCAGATAAAGATGTCCAGCAGCGTGTGGTCAAGCGCATGCGGGCCGAGACTGTCATTGACGAGCTCGCATCCTCGGACAGCGGGGAGACGAGCAACCTGTCCAGCTCGACGTCTACCAACACGGCTTCCTCGAGGGTCACCGTCCCCATCATTGACGGTGACGCCACAGCCACCAATGGCGGTGATGTACCGAAGCAGAAGGCCAAGAGGAGGAAGAAGCTGCGGACTGCTGATGTTGATAGCAGCTCGGACTCGGAATCGTCAGACTCGGATTCAGATGCGGCCAGCTCTACTGGCAGCAGCTCGTCATCTGAATCTGACTCGGACGAGGAAATGGCAACTGCAAACAGAAACGAGGATGCTGCGTCCTCGTCATCCAGCAGTTCTTCCTCCGAGTCAGACTCTGACTCTGAATCGGAAGGCTCAGCAGAAGGCGCTGCCGTCGTGGAGGATGAAGACTCGGGTAGTGACGGAGATAGCGAGAGCAGTGACAGTGAGAGCCAGGATGACGCTTAAGAGGGCAGTCATCCAGACTGATTCGGCTACCGAGCAGTTGAACGGCTTTTGGCTGCTGGGGAAAAGGCCCTGTGTGGACCAAATCGCAGATGTTAGATGTGGAGGATTCGACAATTTGTGGGCTTGTCACTCTCATCAAAAACATCGGCAGACCAAAGGCTAGCTTGTTCGAAAGCCAGCAACTGCCTTCCGAGCTCTTTGGGACACCGCCCATCGGCCAACCTTCGACAAGTAGGATACCAATGAAGCTATTTCATGGCGGTGACAACCATCCTTGAGCTGCGAGCACAACTTGTCGGCCTCTCCACTTTGCGAACATGCATGTTCGACTGCTCGAATGTCCAGCCCTTCGAATTGCTATTTCCATGCTTCTCCATGCACCTCTCCCAATATTTTACTTCCCTTTGAGCTATTCAGGCACCTGTGTATGTCGTGAAAAGCACATCCGTCCACGTGAGCAGCTGTCTTGTGCGTCTCTAGATCATCATGACTGGCGCTCTATCCTGCCTCTAACGAGTCTTTCATCGCCTGAGGGACGCATATGGTTCGCGGTAGTATAGTGATACTCCTTGGGAGCCAGGCGCTTGGAAGGACGAATCATACGCGGCCGTCACCTCTTGCACGTTCGACCTGTCCGCTGGGATTGCGTCGTGACGCGTACTTGGTCTCTCGCCATGCAAGGGGGATTGTCGATCTCGGATGACCCTCGCGAGCCTCGAAACACGCCGTCGGTGTCGCACACGTTGGAGTCGAGTCCATACCGATTCTGCTCCCCTATTCTGATGAAAGTGAACGCCCCCTCTTCGCAACTTTTCCTGGACCGCATAAAGGGGAGGTGGAGGGGCGGTGTCCATGACAATGCCAAGCCTGAACCTCACCCTATTTCCTTACCGACATTGATCGTTCCAGCATTATCATCCACGAGCACGGGTTGAAACACTTGTTCGACAACTGCCCAGGTTCTGTTATCGCCCTTCTCCACCATGAATAGGGTCTTCCGATGTGGGCGAGCGCCGGCTCATCTCACACAGACAGACAAGCTACAAACAAGGACGCTGGTGTTATGATTGTACCCTCTGTCTGTGTTATGTTATCTTGTCTCGCTCGGGGTTCCCCTTTCCAAGATGCAGTATGTGCAACGCGACGGGTACCTCAGGTTTCAACGAGGCGGGTATTCGGTCCTATCTGCGCTTCAGGCGTCGTCTCGACTTGTGGTACTATAAGTTGGGCACGAGCCAAGCACAACCCTGCTGAGAAAACACACATACACACACTTCATCCCTATTATTGTGATATGCGAAGAGGCTGAAGGGCCGTTTGGCAGCTCATTGGACAGTCGGAGACGAAAGATCGTCCTCAGGACCCATCCGGAGTTGTCCCAGCGGTGGGAACACCCAAGCGACACCGCAGGGTCGGTACCGCTGCTGAAGAGTTGTGGGAGCTTGGCCATGAGAGAATTTGTTTATCTCTGACGTTTATGACGCTGTGGCCGGAACTCTGGGCCTTCTCTCTTTCTCTCACTCTTACGTTCTATTTTACCATTTATTGCCCAAGCGCCCGGTGTTCGTTTTGGGTGAGCGGATACCTATGCAGCTCCGGATTGTGGCGCCGTAGCTCCCCTGGTTCCGCACTGGGCGGTACTGCAGGGCCCTTATAGATGGTAGCGAGTGTGCCAGCAGCTTATCATTTTACCAAGAGAATAAGACACGGCAGCTCGTTTTACGAGGCGGTTAGGCTTATAGGCAACCTGCCGCAGAAAGAGCCGCGAGGGCGTTGAGTGTCTGTAGGAGACAGATGCTCATTACTGCAGGTCTACAAACAAGAGCATTATAGGGACATTTAGAGTGTGCGCCTAGCGTCCGTCAGCCAGTGTCAATTCCAAGCGCAACAAACAAATGTTGACAATTTTAGCTGGTGGGCGTTTCTAGGATTGACCTGTTCGGACGGGTGTCTCATAAAAGGGGCCGGCATAGATTGCTCAGCCTGGTCCTGACGATGATGATGTTTCCTCGGGTCTCCTGGCAAAGATCGACCATGCAGAGAGAGGATCATCATGATTTTGGTATTGGTGTGATGTCTCTTGCTCCCGAACCTCGATCGAAACGAGTTCCAACAAGAATCCTGAGAACAATCAATGCGCACCCTCTCGGGATGGTGGGCAGGGTTCCGAGTCCAGGTTCCGGGCCCAGATTCCCAAGATAAAGGGCCCTTGTATCGTGCTCTGACGGAGGGGTCCGCCAGCTCGAAACATTCTTGGTTGCATGGGGTATCGCCGACAGAAATGTTGTGGCAGGGACTCTCAACTCCTGCACAGTAAACTATGGGACCTATGGGTACGGCCAAGAGAATAGAAAAGAGAGCCAGAGACTCTGTGGGTTCGCTTAAGGTAAGTCCTTACTTTTTGTAAAATTTCCGACTACAACAGCGATGAAGAAAAGATGGGCGAATGTTTCTCGCGGAGGATCAACGCCCGTGTTCTCCCATGGTTACCCAAAAAAGAAAGAGCGAGGAGGGAGAACGAAAGAAGGGATCAAATGGATCAAAGGAAAACCGCTAGGGTCTTTCTTGTTGGTTGGTGATGAGACGTGGCCTGTGCGCGAGTGGTCGACATATGAATGTCCTGCAGAAGTGCGAAGACACGTGCAATGGATGATAAGTGGACGGGACGTCTGGGTGATCTTCCCCCTGGCGGCTGTTGTGGTTGGGTGAAGTGCGCGCCCTTATGAGGCTGACGTGCTTTTGACATGTGCGGTGGAGTGCTGGCCTGGCACGGTGAGTGAGTCGGGATTAACCTTATGTAGCATCCTACCAGATTCTCGGCACACTGACAAAACTAATCTGTTAGTTAGTTTCCTCGGGGGTCGTCTATGTAGTACCAAGTGCTCAGATCGCCAGCGATCTCCTGTCACGCCAACTCGATCCCGGGATCGCGAATTCAGTACACAGAGTAACATGACGGAGGTACCGGAAAACCGACCGGCTGCCGTAAAATCCAACATGGTAAACGCCGATCGATAGCTTAACGTACTAAGTCTTTCGGATCGACGGTTTCTTTCTTTTTCGGCTTGGAGATTTGGACGGGACCACGCGGGTTGGGAACAAGCCGAGACAAGAAACAAAAAAGGGTTTTGAGAAGCCCTGCAAAGAAACAGTACTGACCTTCTAATAAGAGCAGAGGAAAAAAAGCTACAATCAAGGTGGGATAACACATACATACACAGTTACTACTTATGATGATGGGCAGAGAACACATTGGTATCTGCGTTCTATGGGCCTTGGTCACGACTAAGGTACTAGGTACCTAAGTTACGTACTCCTGGCACTACTACGTTGTATGTACATGCAAAGTACTATGCGGATGAGTGGGAAGGAGCAACCACCAGAGTCGATACTGCTTGCAAGCAGATTTTTGTTGTTCTTTTTGTTTCGGGCAGGGCCAGCCTGCATTTGAAGAGTTCCCATCATCAATAACATCATCATCAGCACCACTGTGGTAAGTTCTCTGATTCTCCACGTAAACTTTCGGACACGGTTGTACCCGCTCACGTCCGTGGGTAATGATTCATACACTCTCGACCAAACATGAGGATCCCTGGCCCACCCCTCTCTCAACATAGCTTGTCCCTTCAGTTTTGTCAACTCTCGATCCAAGGACCAAGGCAACCGCCCATTTTCCTCCTGCCACATCGACACCAGCGTCTTTGACCGTCTCGGCCGTTTTGGAGGGGGGGAAGGGAATCCCCAGTTATCAAGCTCACTGGTGAAAGATACCAGTGATTGGTCATCGCTTGTCTTGCCTTGGAAATTGTGTCAGAAGAACGAAGAAGCCCGGCTGTTCCGGTGGGTCCAAAGGACAAGGACAAGACAAGGTTGGTGTTTCTTGACAGTCTCTGCTCGGCAGCTCTCTAGTAAGGTTGGTGCAGCTGTGGAGGGTCAGATCAGATCACGCAAGAGCTGCTATGCTTGAAGCAGCCAACGGGATATCCAATCTCAAAGGCTAAAGGCCCATGACCCCAGTCTCGATTCGTCTATTCTCGACTCGAGCTCGAATCTTTGCGACGCGATGCTCCACGGGCATGTCGGAAGGCGATCCATCCTGTTGAAACGAGAGTGCCTCGCAATTTTTCAATCCCTTCTCTTTTCAGGGTCCTGGCAAGCAAGAGAAGGTGGAACAGGGGGACAAGGCATGCGTGCTTCTAGCTTCACGTTCTCGCGACTCCATCCCGCAACCATCATCTCTCCGTCTCGTCTCTTCGTCTCTCTCTTCCCCCCCCCCCCTCCCTTTCTATATTCTATAGCTCTTCGAAATACTACTACTTCCCTGCCATCCAACCCAACGGCTCCAGTCTTTTTCTCTCTCCCCCCCCCCCCCCTTTCTTCCCGGCCAGGATTTGAAGACACAAACCTCAAACCTGCTTCAGGACAACGCGCGTGTGCGAGACAAGGACGAAGCGGAGGACTAATTGCGGTCAATCCACAGAACAACGTTATCGATCTGGTCGCTGCTCAGTCAAATCTCCTTTCAGCACGCCCCGCAATCTCCATTATCTCCCTCGTCCTCCACCACCACCAGGCACCCCCCCGTCCGCTCTCTGACATTCGTACCCCGGCTTGCTTATGATTCATCAGAAACTTGGCCCGCTATCTAGCTGCGACCTGACGCGGCGCAGCTCCACCAGGCCGTCCGATATCACCTTGGGATTCTATACATATCCTGTGCAGCCAAAAGTCGAGCAAGGAAAGATGGGGTCTTGAGGAATGAAAGAAGAGAAGAACAGATATCTTTGCGCCAACGGACGTACACACAAGCGGCAGAGGTTTAGGAAGAACACGCACTTCTACTCTCTGTCTCTCTTATACACACACAACAGCCCTCCACTCGATTCTCATTGTCCTGCTATTATTACTACGGCTGCTTATTGAACTCCTATCTGGGTATCGGAGCTCCGGACGTGCCAGCCACAGGAGAGAGAGCCAGAGACAAAGCCACACCAAAAGATACATACTCTCCGAGGGATATTGGACATTTGCTCGGCCACTGAGCTGGACTCTCCCCATTAAGAGCCTCTCGCGATTTACCAACATAATTGCAGGAGAAAGGTTCACCATAAACCTCATCAACGCTCCGTCATGATGGCAGGCCCAGTACATAACAGTGCAGTCTATGTCTTGGGACAGATGCAACATGCGCCCGCCTTTCCTCCACCGTCCCCTCCGTCACCTGCCACAGCCAGCGATGGCCCTGAGCTGTGCGCGCCCATAGAAGAACTCAGCCTGGACAACGACGTGATTCCTCCTCCCTCCCCATCACCACCAGAGACGCCATCCACACCGAGAACGCCCGCCTACGACGCTGCGCAGGACAGGGCGCCCGCCTCGGCCACGCACTCTTCCTCCACATCCCAGCTGTTTGACGACCGGCTATCAAGCGCCGTCCACGTCCTCAACACCGAGGCGACATCTCTCAGCTCTCTGACCGAGTTCTACGCAACCGATCTAGCAGCTCGAGCCGCCTTCAACGCTGCCGTTGAGACTATCACCTCCCGGTCCCGCGGCAAGCTGGTCATCATCGGCGTCGGCAAGAGCGGCCACATCGCCCGCAAGCTCGTCGCCACCTTCAACTCCCTGTCTATCTACGCCAGCTTCATGCACCCCACCGAGGCTCTCCATGGCGACCTCGGTCATGTCGGGCCAGATGATACCCTCATGCTCATCACCTTTTCCGGCAAGACCCCGGAGTTGTCTCTGCTCATGCCCCACCTGGACGAACGGCTCCCCCTCATCGTCCTGACTGGACGAACCCTAGACGCCGACGTCGTCAAACAGCGCGAGCGAGAAGCCTCGGGCACCACCATCCTCCTCCCAGCGCCTATCCACGAGTCCGAGACCGTCAGCTTCGGCGTCTCGGCCCCCACCACCAGCACAACCATGGCCCTGGCCGTCGGCGATGCTCTCGCCCTGACTTGCGCCGGCGAGCTCAACCCTAGCACTGGTGGCGTTGCCGGCGTCTTCGGCCGTAACCACCCGGGCGGCGCCATCGGAGCCAGCTATCGCAAGCCTCAGACCGTCAGGGACATCATGATTCCCTATGCCGACATCTCCACCCTCGAAAGCGGCGAGACCCCACAATCCCTCGTGGGCGGCGACGTCCTCCGCGCAGCATATACCTCCAAGACAGGCTGGCTGCGTGTCGGTGCCGACGCCATTGTGTCGCCCACCAGGATTCGCAGGATGAACTCGGCAGAGCTGGCGCGCGAGCTGGCCGACATGCCGTGGCTGACCGTCAGGCGCGCGGCCTTCATCTCGCTCGGCGCTGCCACCCAGCTGAAGGCCGCGGGCGAGTGGATGCGCAGCAACATGGCTAAGCCGCGGGATCTCGAGGACGACGAGGAGGTTTGCACCCCCGAGTCAATCGTCGCGGTCCTGGAGGAGGATGGTGAGGTCGTCGGTGTTATGGAGGCGTCTGCCATTCTGGACGTTACCTCTTGATTTGGGAGAACAAGCAGCCTCTGCCTTCCTTTTCATCATAAGATTTCTTCCATCATTGTGTCAACGAGCGGGCACTTTGATGGACATTTCTCTCTCTTTTTTCGCACCCCTCCAAAAAAAAAAAAGAAGATTCAAAGTCATTTTACAACCATCAATATTTTTCTGCACATATCGCATACGGCGGCATCATCAGCGAATCCTCATCTCTCGCTCATACATCCCCTCTCCTGGGCACAACGAAAGGGGCAGGGGTCCCAGCAGGCATGGACCTCTTTCATCATCACCCACCAGCTACTATACTCTTCTTCTCTAGACAGGTCAGATGTTAGCCCTGGACCTGCTTTTAGACCATCATTGTCATGATCATCATGATCATGATTATCACTATAGACTTGGTGCGGTTCAACTTTCGTATTTCATTGGTACGGGCGTTTTTCTTTTGGTTTTAGGGACGGCCTTTTTTCCGGCTTTTTTTCTCTTATATTTTCTTGGATCTGAAATGAATGGGCTCTCTGTCATCAATGAAAAGAAGCTTCGACGAAAGCAGAGCATGTAATGTGTCCACCAAGGAAGGAGGGGCGGCGGGCACTTGGATAGAATCTTTGTATATCTTGAGAGACGATTCGGTCGATCAATAAGATGCTTGACACACACAAAGTTGTGTGATGAACGGGACGTATCAATCCTTCTTGGCCCTCTCTTTCGGTGAAGGGAATTCAATGCTCCTTGACTTGATATGTGATTGATTCCTGCTGATGATTGTTTTCATGTCTGCGCGAGTAAGTTAACATGAAACGTTCTCCCCTAATGGCTAAGAAATTTGGATGTTGAAAACAAAAGAATATTATTTCCGTGTTAGTAAAGTCAGGCCGTGTACTTCCAAAGTTGGTAGTAGCCACGCTGGAAAGGTATCGCAAGATTCATAAAAACAAAAATGAAATTTAGATATAAATCCTTGATCATCATAAGTCATAAACAGTCGTCACAGAGATCCCCTTCCCTTGCCTTCTCTTGACCACTCAACTGCTATCCGTCCAAGTCATATACCCCCCCCCCCCCCGGCCACCTCCCTCTTACCCATCCATTATTGCCTTTCGTCTAGATAAAGATAAAAAGTACCAAAATTCCTTTCCTTCCTCCCTCTTCGTACGTATACCTGCAAGAACGAGTTTGATAGAATAGACCACCTCCAGTTCCAAAACAAACATAAAGAAACAAGAGGGCTTGCTTGTAAGGAAATCGTCATAAAGGCCGTCAAGAATGGTCGTCATCATCCAGATCAATCCTCCTCTCTCATTCTCCTCCTTGTCCTCCTCCTCCTGCTGCGCCTCCTCAGCTCTTCTCTCTCGTCGCTCTCGTCATCGTCATTATAATCATCATTATATCCATGATCGTCATCGTTCCTCCTCCTTCCTTTGCCTCTCTCGTCACGACTGACCTCGCTCCCCCCACCGCCATACCCAACCGCACTTCTTCCTCCTCTCTCGTAGTAGTCCTCGTCGTATCCACGTGTACGACCACCCCTCGACTCGCCAACATCCCGCCGGCGCCGTCCGTCCGCCTCTCGCGTCCCTGCCTCTTGCTGCTCGTCTTCCGCCTCTCTATCAGGAAGCAGTCCATGGCTGCCCGCCATCGCCCCACCCAACAACTTTCCCGCCAGCCCAAGCCAACCGCCGACGCCCCTCGGCATCTCCCCTGAGAGCATTCCCGTGACATCCCGCATCATCCGTTCCACATGCTCCGGGTCCGTTCCCGCGACGCCCCACGAGCCCCTGACCTGTGGCCCGCCGGGCCGCGGGCTGCGATATTCAAAGTCCCCGCGGCGTTGGGTCCACCCGCGCTGACGGGAGGCTGCAGAAGAGCCGCTGCCGTCGAGTGGGTGGCCCTGGGGGTCAAAGCGGGCAGGGAGATCCTCCACCTCATCCTCGTCGTCCGGCGACGAGCGGTCCGACTCGACCGGCCCGTCGCGGTGGCGCGAGACAAGAGGACGGTTGGCGGAGGGGTCAGAGTTCCGACGGCGTTTACGGAACCGTCGACGAGGGGCGACAACGGTGCCATCTACGCCGGGGTCGTGGTTGTGCTGGTCATCGGCGAGGGCGGTCTGGTGCTCTGTGGCTTGCTGCTGGTCGTCGTCACCAGGGGGAATCTTGTCGACAGCGTCACCAGAGCGTGTTGCGCGGTGGCGAAGGAGGGTACGAGAGGACTGGGGGGACAGGGGCCCGAACTGCACATGAGATTGTGTTGGTGCTGGTGGTGAGGGCGTCCTGGGAGGAGATGGCGGTGATGGTGGCGTGTGATCTCTGGTGGTTGATGTGGTGATGGACGATGCTGGTGAGGGCTCACGGGAGCGGTAGGGTGGAGGTTGGCTTAGACCATCTGCCGAGTATGTTAGTCTTCAGGCTTGTTGTTGTTCAATGCTGAGGCGGATCCTGTGTTCACGAATGCATTGAGGTTGGGCGTGAAGGATGATCTCGAGGATCCAAGCCTACTTGACCAAGGCCCTCAACGATCGTCTGCTTTAGAGGAGAGAAGAAGAGGAGGGGGGGGGGGGGGAGGGGGACGAGTGTAATCAGTGTGATCAAGTTGGCGCCAGCTGAGTCCTATACAATATCACTTCCTTTCCTTCCCCTCCTCTTTCTTGACCTCCCACACACACAGGCCATCCTGTATGCAGGAAAGATGTATAATATGTAATAATAATAATAATAGTAAAAAGACTAAACATTGACCGAGGAAGACGAACTTTCACTACTCACATGGTCGGGGTCCAGCGGACGATGGCCCCCCGTCGGCGGCGGTGGCATTCCCGTGGGCGTCGCCGCCGAGTTTGGGGGAGGGCCCGGCGGCGGCCCCGGGAAAGCGGTGTAGTCCTGTGGGTTATAGGGACGATACTCGTGGTTGAGGTTAGTAGAGGCCACGTTGGGGTGCTGCGTAAAACCCTGGGCAAAGGTGGTGTTGGCTGGTGCTGGTTCTTCGTGTACAGCTGGCACCGGCGGTGTCTGTGGTGGGCCGTAGTAGACACCCCCCGAGGCATTGGGCGGTGATGGGGTGCGCTGAGGGCCATAGTTCTCATACGTATCGTCGGTGACGGAATCTTCATAGCCTGTGGGTTGGGAAGGAGATGGATGTGTTAGAGTCCACACAAAAGAGACATGAGAGAGGCACACGGGGCAAAAGTGTGCTGCTGCTGCTGTTACTCACGGTTGCGAGCCTTGTCCCTCTCCCTCCGTGCTCTCTCCCTCTCCGCCCTCCTCTGCTCTCTTGCCTCCTCCGAGACTGGTCTGTCCCTGCTGCCTTCCCTCTCCCTCTCCTCAGCCTCCTTCTGCTTCTCTTTGTCCCTCTTTCTCTCCTCGAACTTCTTCATGCCGATCGCCGCAGCCCCGGCGGCCACGGCACCAGTCGCCATATCCCTGAGCCGGCTGCTGCTCCTCTTGGTCGTCGCCTTCTCGCCGCCTTCGGTCCTCTTCCTTCTCCTCCTCCCGCTGTCGTCGTCGTCGTAGTCATCGTCGTCATCGTAATCGTCCACCGAAGAGGCACCGCCGCCCCTGCTCCTCGGCCTATGATGCCTCTCCCTCTCCTGCCTGGCCTTGCGCTCGGCCCTCCTGCGTCTCCTCTCCTCGGCAGCATCTACAGGGGCCGGGCCGTACCCGCCGTGCTGCTCCTCGATGGGGTACGGCGGCTCGGAGTAGAGGGGGTGGCCACCGTACTCAACCAAACCTAGTTCAGGATCAGCGGCTGCGGTGGGGTGGTGGAAGGAAGGGGGTCGAGAGCGCGACCTGCTGCTGCGCGAAACGGACCGGGACCGGGACCGCGATCGTGATCCTCCACGACTATGGTCGCCATGCCTGGAACGAGACCGCTCCCGTACGCCTCGCTCGTATTCCTCGTCCGAGAGCTCCCGCTCCCGCTCTATATCCTTCTTCTCCTTGTGCCTGTCGTACAGCTTCTTGCCTGCCGCACCTGCCAGCCCGGCAGCTACAATCTCAGCGCCCGTGCGGAGGCGCGACCGCGACCGTGACTTGGACCCGCCCTTGCTGCGCTGGCGAGATTTGCTGCGGAGGTGGTGCACCAGACCTGCGACGGCCGCCGTGCCCGCTGCAGCCTTGGCCATCCCGCCGACGCCGCCACCACGAGACGGTGATCTCGGGCCAGGCCCGCGGCTGTTGCTTCTGCTGTAGTACCCTTCCTCACTGTCTGAGTACCCGCCGCGCCGGTTACGGCTGCGCCCGCGGCGCAGCTCTTCCTTTTCGATCTTCTGCGTCTGGTAGTACTTGGCGGCGCCAGCCACAGCGAGGGCGGCGGCGGCGAGCCCGAGCCCTGTCTTGATCTTGGAGTGCTTGTCCCTTCTGTCGTCGTCGTCGTCGCCATCTGAATAGTCGTCCCGGCGGCGCGACTTGGAGCGACCGCGGCCGCTGATGGGGCGGTCGTCATAGTAGCGGTCGTCATCGGAGCCGTAGCGGTCCTGGTAGGCCGAGCGGGCACGCTTGAAGACCTCTGTGCCGAGGGCGCCCAGGGCAGCGCCCGCCAACACTTTACGACCGCGTCCGCCCTGGGCGTGGCCGTCGTCGCTGCGACGAGAGGCGGCAAGGGCGGCGATTCCTGCACCGGCCACGGCGCCCTCGGCCAGGTGCAGCCTGTGGTGGTGATCTGGGGTCTTGCTGCGCTCGCGGCGGATGATGGTGCGCCTCACATAGACGTCGTCGTCAGATCCGTAGCCGTCCTCGTAGCGGCCACCACCGCCCCTGGCTCCGCGCTTGTACATGGCGTAGTCCTCGTCACGCTCGCGTTGGCCGTCGTAGCGCTCGATCTCCCTGCGGCGGTAGTAGTAGTCGTCGTCCTCGGGCGGGGGCTGCGGGCGGCGCACGACCATCTCGTGGTTGGTCTGTCTGTAGGGGACGACGATCGGAGCGGGCTCGGGGGCCTCCTGGACGATGATGCGCTGCTCAGGGGCGCGGGGCCGAATAATAATGGGCGCTGGGTCGGGAGGCGGCGGCTCATAGTACTCCGTTTCCCTGCGGTACTGCTGGAACTCGCCGTGGGGAGTCTCGTCGCGGCGCTCCTCGGTGCGGCGCTGGATGGTGACATCGACGCCGTCATCGCGGCGCTCCACCCGCCTCTCGAGGCGCACATCGACGTTGTTGTTATCGTTGCGGTCCCACGGCGAGTGGGAGTGGCGGTCCCAGTCGCGAGGGGAGTGTGGTGACATGGGCCCCCGCTCCCGCTCGATCTCGGTCGATTTCTCGTAGACCATGGCGCGGTCCCTGTCGTCGACCCAGTGGCGGTCGTCCCCACGCTCGACCACCTTCTTCTCGACAACGGTGCGGGACCTGTCGCCACGGTCATCGTACCAGCGGTGGTCATCGTCGCGGTCTCGTTCCACGACCTTCTTTTCTACCACGGTGCGAGACCTGTCACCGCCGCGGTCGTCATACCACCGGTCGTCATCGCGCTCCCGCTCAACCACCTTCTTCTCGACAACGGTGCGCGAGCGCTCCGAGGGGGGCGGGTAGGGGTCGTCCCTCTCGATCTCCCTGGTCTTCTCGTAGAGAACGGTGCGGCCATCGTCCTTGACGACGCTGCGGCGTGTAAGGTCATAGAACTCGGGCTGCACGTGCTGTGGCGGTTCTCTCTCCCTCTCGACAACCTTTTTCTCGACGACGGTGGTGTTGCGAACGGGCGGCTCAAAAGCAGAGCGCGGGCGTTCGGGCAGGTAGACACGACGGGTTGTGTCGACCTCGAGCAGGTCACCAGACGAGCGGCCTGGGTGGCCTCCTCCTCCACCACCGCCACCGCTCCAGGCGTGTGAGGAAGAATAGCGCGAGCGGCGATCGTCGTCGTAGTCAAAGTCCCGCTCGACGATGCGCTCGGTGCGCTCAAACTCGACAGGAGGCTGCGAAGGAGGAGGGGGAGGAGGAGGGCCACCTCCTCGGTTGGTAGTGGTAACCTTGTAGCGACGGACAGTGGGGGCGCGGCTGTAGCGGTCGTCTTCTTCGTCGTCGGAATGGTCGTCCCGCTCGCGAACGTAGCTGCGGGACTCTCGGTAGACCGTTTCGGGCATCTTCTGGGGGGAGGGGGGTGGGTGGAGAGATGCGCTCGAAAGGCGAGGAGAGGAGAAAGAGGGGGGGTGGTGTGTGAGAGGGTGAGGGAGTGTAGACGAGGTGGAAAAGACAGAGAGAGAGAGAGAGGTGTCGTCAGGTGGTTTGGTTGTTGATCGAGATATGATGTAAGTGAGGAAAAGAAGGTAACAGGAAAGGTAAAAGTAGGTTGATAAGAGATTGGGCCGGGTGTATGACTCGACTCGAATGGGAAGGCTCGAGGGCCAGGTTGTTGTTGGATTTTGGGGAAGGAAGGAAGCAAGTAAGTATTAAATTAGGATGGCTGGGCTAGTCAGAGCACCTAAGCCCCAGGATGTGCTGCCTTCCCCTCTTCTCTCCTCCTTCCAAAGCGCCTGCCTTGCCTTGCCTTGCCTGCTCTCTAGCGCCTGGTTTTGTGTCGTATTGTAGGGTTTAGTGAGGTTGGGATGATCTAGGAGTTACAGTCTGTTGGTTGTAGCTGCATCAAAGTAGTGGTGGACTGTGGATAGGCAAAGAGAGAGGTGGTGGTGAGAAGGAGAAGGTCGAGAATCAAGAATGAAAAGAAAGTAGAAGGGGAAAGTAGAAGGGGAAAGAGGAAGGGGAAAGAGGAAGAGGAAGAGGAAGAGGAACAATGAGCAGCCAAGAGTTCACAGCTGACGACGACGGCGAGGACGGCAACAGAAGGCTGTAGAAGGCCTACTCTCTCTCTCTCTCTCTCTCTCTCTCTCTCTCTCTCTCTCTCTATACTCATGTGCCCGTTCAGCATGCGTGTGTGGGAAAGAGTGTGGCAGAGTGAGAATCGACAGGTGGTCATGCAGCGAGCCAGCCAGCAGCCAATGTACTAACTGTCCCATGTACAATACTGACTGTACTGAACTGTACTGCTACTGCGTCAAGGTACCTCAAAGACTCGACAAGCATGCGCCCGTAAGTGGTGAGACCTGTGCGACCAAGAAAGTATGTACTTGGAGTACGTACACTGACTGACTAGAAGATGTAAGATCTAGTCTAAACTTGGCACATGGCTGGCCTCGCTCTTTATTTTCTTTTCTTATTACCGACCGCCTGGTCATGTACCTTGTTACCCCGTAAGGACCCGTATGCCCCCAGATGGTCTGACAAGCTGGAACAAGGCAAAGGAAAGAATAATAAGAGACGAAGAGACAGAGAGAAAAAAAGACAAGGGGGACTGAATAAGAATCCTTCCTGTTTCCGGCAGTGTTGCCACTTCCTCTTCTTTTAGAAACTCAGAGGGGGCCAGGAATGAACAGGATTCATGTGCATAAAAGGGTACATTGTTTTCTGGTTATCTCTTTTCTTCCCTGTCTTTTCCAAGCATTGCTTCCAAGGTCGGGATGCAGCAGCCCCAGATGCGCCTCTAGTCTCTCTTTCAATTTTCCTCCGCTTCATTCTATCCCCCCCCCCCCCCAACCTCCCCCAAGAGATATAGTTTGAGACAGCAGATTGAGGCTTGTGATCACTCCCCAGGAAAAACTTCTTCCTCGATGATGATCATGATCACCCCATCCAAAATACAAGTCACCTATAAGTCATTTCACATTCATGCGCATCATGCCGGTGCTTCCTGGGTGGGTATGGCGGGGGCAGGGAGGGGGAGAGACTTGAGTTACCGTAGTATTCTCGGCTCTTGAGGTGCCACTCTTTTCTTTTTTCTTCTTTTTTGTTTTCCCTGCTGAACCCCGAACCCACTTTACGCACACCTACCCCTCCATTTCCTTGCCTCGTCCCTCATGTCACCACGCCATGTTTTTTTTCTCTTCCTTTTTTATTGCCTCCCACCTCCGATCTCCTACAGTAACCTTTCAGGTACATAGAGTTACCTGTCAAGCCTTTCCTCTACATAGTCCTTTATTCAAGTTTCAACCCCTCTCTCTTCTTGTCAAGAAGAGCCCGACTCCCCTGCCGGCCTTTTCCAAGAGAAGAGGGGCAAGGCTTGTTCAGTGCATGTGCCCTCTGCATGCATGACGTCAGTCCACATTGGGCAAAGATGGGACCCCCCCTCCCCGGTAGAGCGAGCTGCATTATACATAGTTTGTACAGAACCATAGCAGCAGCTATAGGTCATGCTGTCTGTGTGTGTGTGTGGGTCCCCAAAGAGCGTATCGTTGTGCGTGTGTACGAGTTTGGACTGGCAGCGATTGGGAACACCAGCCTCAACCTGCACCTCACCCCACGGTCTGAATTCCCTTTTCTTTATTTTTGATGATTATACCTAGGAGGATAAAAACCAAAACACTCGATCGCACTGGAGTCGCACATTACAGAGCCTTCCAAAGCACTGCAGGAAGAGACGGTCGGATGGTCTCCTTGCATAGTGTTGCTCCATGAGAACATGGAAAGTGCCCATGCAATTCTGCTCTGACCGTACCCAACACAGCATATTGCGATCTAGATCATGTAGAAGTAGTGCATGTTGTCCACAATGCTAGTAAACCCCTTCCTTTTCTTCTTCTTCCCCCCCTCTTCCTTTTATGATGGTGATCCTGCCCCAGGCTATCGGTAGTTATTACAGCGAAAAGGGCCATCTTTACCCCAAAAAGGAAAGCCGTTGAGCACCGAGGTAAGTAATTGCATTAAACACGGGGCAGAGCAGGACAGACACGGTGAGGAGAAAAAGAGGAGGAGGATTGAGGATTCTCCAACACCAATTCGTGAGTGGACATGTTGAGCCCTCCTCCTCCTCCTCCTCCTCCTCCTCCTCCTCCTCCTCCTCTTTCTCCCTCCTCCTCGGCTTGCTTAAATATTTTGTACTCCAGGACATATAATATAAGATAAGCCAGATGATTTTCAGTTGTCAAAAACTCAACTCAATGTCCAGCAGTATTCATATTGCTTGTTTGATCTAGATTTTGAGGGGGAAAAGACATCTTTTGTCCTATAATATACATACAGAAAGACCCCATCATGCCAATCTTCAAGAGCAAGCATCCAGGGATCCAAGGTGAGCACCCATCTGGGCGCACTCTTCCAGGACCGACAGCTCATGCTCATACTGACCTCGACTCAATACACACATGAAAAGTTCCCACAGACGTGACAGTATGGCAATGGCTGTTCGAACCAGACTCCCCAGCCTCCCCCCTGAACGGCCACATCGCCGAGCCCAGCCTCGCGGGCTACACTGACGCCCTCACCAAAGAGCGCGTGTCATGGCGACAAGTTCGTGACAGCGCAACCTACATCTCGACCGCCCTCGTCCGTAACTACGGCCTCCAACCAGGCCAGACCCTCGCTCTCTTCAGCAGGAACACCATCTGGTATCCCGTCACCCTGTTTGCAGCCGTGCGTGTGGGTGGCATCGTGTCGGGGGCGTCCCCGGCATACACCGTTGACGAGATGACCTATGCTCTCCGCACCGCCAGGGCCAGGTTCATCGCCACCCACCCGACCTCGCTGCCTATCGCTGAAGAGGCAGCCCGACGCGTGGGGATCCCAAGGCGGCACATCTTCCTCCTTGAAGGTGACCAACAGGCTGCTGCTGCTGCTGCTGCTGCTGCTGCTGCTGCTGCTAGGGGTGCCGACGCTGGACGGGAGGGAATTTACCACTACACCACCATCCAGGACCTGATCCGCCTTGGGAAAAGTCACGGCGGCCCTGAAGCCCAAGTCGCCCCGTTCAGTATTCCCCAGGACGGTGATAGAGGCAAAGGCAAAGGAAACAGCAATGTATGCGCATTCCTCAGCTTCTCCTCCGGCACGACAGGCCTACCCAAAGCTGTCATGATCTCCCACCACAACGTGATCGCCCAGGCCCTCCAGATGATCCCCCTCACGCCTCCCGACCACAAGAGAGTATTAGGCGTCCTTCCGCTTTTTCATATCACGGGTATCGTCCACGCCATGCATCTCCCTGTCGCCGTCAACGCCGAGGTCGTCATGCTGCCCGCCTTCACTATGCCCTCCATGCTGGCCGCCATTGTCGAGTACCAGATCCGCGAGGTCCTCCTCGTCCCGCCTCTCCTCATCCGCCTCGTGCGCGACCCCATTGTCAAGGACTACGACCTGTCCTGCATCCGCAGGTTCAGCAGCGGCGCCGCACCCGTGTCGGACGAGATCCTGGTCCTGCTGCGGGATCGGTTCCCTGGCACAGGCTTCAAGCAGGGCTACGGCATGACCGAGAGCTGCAGCTGCATCACGGCCACGCCCCTGGACGAGCAAGCCCGCTTCGACCGCGCCCGCACCGTCGGCACCATCGTGGCTGGGACAGAGGTGAAGCTGCTGCGAGAGGACGGCGCCGAGGCCGGCACAAACGAGCCTGGCGAGATCCTGGCGCGCGGGCCCCAGGTCGTCATGGGGTACTTGGGCAACGAGCAGGCGACGAGGGAGACGTTTGACACGGACGGGTTCCTGCACACGGGAGACCAGGGGGTGATTGACAAGGAAGGGTTTGTCACGATTACCGACCGCATCAAGGAGCTGATCAAGGTCAAGGGGGTTGGCGTGGCGCCTGCCGAGCTGGAGGATCTGTTGCTGGGCCACCCAAAGGTCGAGGACTGTGCTGTGCTGGCGCGGGCGGATGAGTGGGCGGGGGAGAGGCCCAAGGCTTATGTGGTTCTGAAGCCAGGTTGGAAGAGAGAGGAACAAGGAGGTGCAGGGCAGGTTAGCGAGGAGCAAATTGGGCTGGAGATTCTGCGGTATGTGCGGGAGCGAAAGGTGCGGACCAAGTGGGTGAGTGAGGTTGAGTTTGTCGAGGAGATTCCCAAGAGTGCTAGTGGGAAGATCCTGCGGCGGGTGTTGCGGGAGAGGCAGAGGAAGGGGCCGCATGGTGTGGTGGTGAAGAGCGAGCAGGAGCCATCCTCCAAGCTATGAGGTGACGTGACCTCCTTCTAGACTCTCTACGCAGGACATAAATCCGACGTCTTGGTCATTATCCTGTTCCCTTCTGCCTTCATGAGAGAGAGACCTCGACTGAGGATTCGCCATGAAACCGATAGAGGCATGTTGCTAAGCGGTCGTGTCAGTATGAGGACAGAGGTTCTTTCTCGGCGAGAAAAAATAAAATAAAAAATGACATGACAAGCTCCATCGATGAGTCTACAAGAACGGGACAAGTAACGAAAGCTACCCTCTGTGGCCAACTTGTTGTCCTGGAGGACTCGTATCGCCCACAGGCAGCGACAGGCCCATTTCATACATCAGTAAGCAATCGGATGGGACATTTTGCATGCAGAGGGAAGGGAGGGAAGCCAAGTGTGGCGTTTGGCTATGCCTCTCGAGGCAAACGTCGCCTGCGCAAGACTGCATAGAGTTCCGAAGGCTGAGAATGCCATGCTTGGGTCGGGACTCGTATCCTTCATCCACCTGCCCAGGAGGAGCCATCTTTTCGAACCACAACATCCTAACAGTACTGTGACCTTGTTCAGGCTGAATGGAGTCTTCGAAATGAGGAAGATTGGCCTCGCGCATAGCTTGTGGCGTACCTTGGAAAAGAGGCATGTGTGATGCGATAGAGCGATCAAGCTCCGAATGCGCAGTGAAGAATGGATTCATCATTCAGAGCCTTTAATTAACGTCCTGTCAGCACGTCAGAATGTGCAAATATCCCGCGTCCCACCCATTGTACATAGCTCCGTCTTGACTGTGATATGCGCTCAGTTCTAGCAACACCCGATGAACGGGGAGGAACCAACCCACTCCTCCCGAAACAAACAGGCAAGATCGTCAGGGGTTGAGCGAAAAACATCGAAACAAGAGAAAAAAAAGCAGACCATCGACAAGGAAGGGGGGGAGAAGAAATCACCCACTCACAATTCTTCCAGCCACGCACGTACTCGGCTGATTGTATTGCATCTTCCCTCCTGGACAAGACCGGCTCGGCACCACCCACGATGATGCCCTCTTGTCACGAATAGGAAATTTATATTCCTGCCTCCGTTTTCCGTATAGCCTTGTAACAGACATAGTTTCCGTCCCCCACCCCCCCTATGGCAGAAGCCAAGGCCGGTCCATTTACTTACTAGTACTTCTCCATTTTCATAAGGTGTCGCTGGAAGCTTTGGTGCCGAGAGACTAGGGAGGCCCCTGGAGGGCTCATATGTGCCGGTTAATTTGCGATATTCTCTCTCTCTCTCTTTTCTTCAAGGATTACATGTTTCAATGGGACCTCATAGTACTCGACAGGGCAGGATTGTGTTTGGGTGGTTATTCCCTTGTTTTCCCTTCTTTATTTCCTTCCTTTTTGGTGTTGAATAAATACTTGGCGGCCCATCTTCCCGTCTTTGCCCTGTTGCTGCTGCTGCTGCTGCTTGGCTGGGGTGTTTCCTCCCGTCTCGGCATTTCGGTGGTGGGCCGTTCAGGGGGGTAAAACACCCGCTACGGGATGGACACCCCTGGCCCCTGGCGTTCCCCCACCCCCCTGTTGTGTGCCGCTCGCCACAGAGTACCATGTGTCAACCTTATTCAGCCCTCAAACTGCGGCTCCAACTGAGGGCCCCATATTTATATTGACGTTTGGGCTTCTCTACTTTCCAAGCACACGCTCACACTACTGCACCAGCTATACAAGGCACCATCCACCACGTCCTTTCCACCGGTGAGAGATAAGCAGGACTCCTTTGTCGATCCTTTTTCTTTGTTTTTTTTTCGCCTTCTTTCTGGTCCTGCCGCCGTGCTGCGTCTCATCTTTAGCCTCTTGATTTGTCTTGGCCGCGCGTACCGGATTCAGCAGGAGATGAGCTGAGAAGGGGGGGGGGGGAGGGCAGCCCTGCCTCTCTGTCTTTCTCAGCCAGCCAAAGGCGAGAATATTTCAGCTGCGAAAGGGCCGAGTTTCAATGGAGGATAATCAATTCTCCATCTCTGGTGCTTCATAAACCGACTTGACTGTTGATATCACTACTAAAAAATGATGAATGAGAGATTGTATGTGTGTGTGTAATCTGCACTATGGTGGTTGACCATAGAGCCACACGACAAAAGCCGAGTTAACCATGTATAATATTACGCATAAACTGTGCAATCTGCATTATACCAGTGCAATATATCTGACCCAACTGCAAGTCCATCGCCACGTGACTCACCTATTTGCTGCTGCACTGCTGAACCTTTCCCATTCCCACTCGTCATCACTCTGGACGCACATGGCGTGACTCGGCCCAGCCCCTCTATCTGAGATGGGGAAAAAGTACAAGACTTGTCTTCTGCGATCTGCACTCTTGGTCCAATTTGTATACGCGCCGAAACTCCGTAGTGAGGTGCTCCGCCAAGGATCTTAGCTCTGCAAGAGAGAAAAAACAGTTCGGAGCAATCCAACAAATTATCGTCCCCCTGCGTCAAGACCGTGAGAAACCCGATCGTCAGGTCCGCCCCCCCCCCCCCCCATCACTCCATCCCCCTTCTCTACCCACGCCTAAGTTGAAGAAATAGTCTTCCGCCTGACATCGATTTCCCTATTGTCACGCTAAAGGAAGTCAATCGAATGAAGATCCACGAGAAGTTCTCTCGTAGGACTGAAAATCAGCTCTCGTCATAGCTGCCGTGGATCGCGATCTCGGACTAACATAATATCAAGATCCAAAGAAGGCTCTCCTCCCTGCATCTACTATGAAGAACAGACGCAGCAGCCACAGCCAAGAGGATGAACAAGGCTAGCCCTGCACAGTGGAGAAGAATGTTCCGCCTTGGTTTTTTTTTTCTCTTTCTTTCTTGTTTCTAGTAGGACGGAGAGATCTGTTCCTGGGGAATGTTTTCCTCCGACGGGTGTCTTTCTCTTGGGTGGATGGGACGTGACTAGATTGTGTTTAATCTCCTCGAAGGGTCCAGAGTGCGGTATCGGTAGTGCTATAGAACAGAGAGTGAGAGGGGCAAGATGCCATGAGAATGAGAGAAACACTCACACATACACATACAGGGGGAGAGAGAGCACGAGAGAGCGAGACAGTATGAACAATCGAGAGTCACAACGTGGCGGTCTGAAAAGGTTGGTCTGGCCTGGCCTGGTCGTCATAAACCTTGGTAAACGGTACTTGAGTAGATTAATGAGTTGGCCACCTTTTCAGACGGATGAAGGTTGCCGGTCTGGAGGGTGCCCTCTTTCCCCGTCCCTCCTCTGGCTCCATTGTGTATAAATTACTCTCACTCCCTCCCTCCTCCCCTCTGCCCCCCCAACAAATCCATACTGCTTCACCAGACTTCTTCTCTGCCTCTTTGTCTCGTCTCTCTCGGGTGCTAGACAACCGCTGGTATCATCATCAACAATCGTTCTTTTCTGTAAGCCAGCAACACTCACTCTCTTCCTCGTGTATACCCAACAAACTTCGACACACACACACACACCGTGTTCTCGAAAACAATCTATCAATCATTTTTTTTTTTTTTTAAAAAAAACCAATCAACCAACCAACCAGAAAGAATACCCCATCCTTCAAGATGCAGTTCAGCCTCTTCGCCGTTCTCCTCACCGCCACCACCGCCCTCGCGGCGCCCCGGCTCGCCAACCGCCAATACCCAACCTCCGGGCTCCCATTCCCCTCGGGCCTGCCCACTCCCACCGGCCCCTTCCCCACGGGACCTTATCCTACGGGACCTTTCCCTACCGGTCCTTTCCCCAGCGGGCCTTTCCCCAGCGGCGGCCTGGGCCAGCTCCCGCGCGACAACGCCATGGAGCCTCGCGGTGCCGCCAGCCACACCGGCAAGCCGTCTGGTCACCACCATCATCACACCTCTGGAGGGCCGAAGCCTACTGGTGCTCCTGCTGGCGGCATCTAGGGGAAAAAAAAGTCTGAAGTGACTTGGAAGGTGGAGGGGGCCGGGGGCTGTGTGACTTGGGGTCATGGCCTGCTTCTTCCGAAGTTCCGTGGTGCCTTTTTTGTTCTCTTTCTTCTTCTTTTCAGAGAAGATGATACAGACATGGTCTTTGGGAAACATTCGAGTACCTTCTCTTCTCATATATATAAAGAACAATATCATTGGCTGTTTGCACTCGGAGCTGTGAATACTTTCCTGCCGCATCTGTTTACTCTCTTGCTATTTCGTTTGCACTGGAAAAGCAGTAGGCTTACCTCTTATCACGCATGATATATTATTGAATGACCGTGATCTATTACGTGAACGTTTTATTTTATTTCTTTATTCTGATAAAGAGAGATCCTCTAATTTCTCCAGATTATTTCCCCGTCTATGCTCTATAACTCCTCGTGCTGGTGCTCGTGCTGTTCCTGTACCTCGACCTTGTCGGGCCTGCCGCTGTCCGCATGCAGGTCCACACCGACCTTCTTCCTCCACTTCTCCCAGACGGACCAGAACTCGTTCTCCATGGCGCTGTCCATCTGGTCGGGCAGCACAACCACGTACTCGACGTACAGGTTGCCAAACTCGGTCTTGTGGTACACACTGTCGCCGTCCTCGTGCCATTTGGGCATGCCCTCGCCCTGCACCCTCTCGACGTGGCCCGGCTGGACGACCTCGCCCCTCGCGCGGCCGAGCTTCACGACGTGCCCGTCCAGGTGCGTGATGTTGCGCTCCCAGTCGCCCATCCACGCCTCCCGCAGGCTGATCAGCTCCCGCCAGAACAGGTCGTCCCCTTTGCGCCGGAAGAACACGCCGTCCACCCGGTCCGGGTTGTCCTGCTCCAGGTCGGGTTCCTTCTCCGTCAGCGTGACGATCAGGTCGCCCGCCTCGTAGTCCGGGCTGGCGTCTGCCTCGTTCTCGTACACCAGCTTGGCGTCCCGCGCGGCACCCCTCTCGATGTTGAGCGGCACCGTGGTCGCCCGCCGCACAACCCGCTGCCCGCCGCACACGGGACACTTGTGCTTGATGATCTTGCCGCGCCCGCCGCACTGGTCGCACTGCGTCTGGATCTGCTGGAACATGCCCGGCGCCAGCTGGTGCTTGGTGATGCGCACGCCGTGGCCCCCGCAGTGCCCGCACGTCTCGACCACCCCGTCTGCCGAGCCCGTGCCGTCGCACTCCTCGCAGAGCTGCTGCTTCTCCCACTGGAACTCGGTCGTCCGCCCGTTGTAGAAGTCGCGCAGCGACACGCCGATCTTGACCTCCACGTTGGGGCCCCTGCGCACCCCGTGCCCGCCAAAGTGCCCGCCCCCGCCAAAGAACCGGCTGAACAGGTCGAAGGGGTCGTGGTGTCCGCCGCCGCCGCCCTGCTGCCGCTGTTTCAAGCCTTCATGGCCGTACTGGTCGTAGATCTTGCGCGATTCTGGGTCCGAGAGCGCCTCGTACGCCTCGGAGACCTCGACGAATTTCTCCTTGGCCGTATCATCGCCTCTGTGTTGGGGCGTTGTGGATGGTTAGTTGGGTGAAGTTTGGTACAGTAAAATGGGAGAATAGAGATAAGAAGAGGAAGACAGGTCAGGGAGCACCAAACATACGGATTCTTATCTGGGTGGAATTTCTTGGAGAGTTGTCGGTACGCAGATTTGATTTGCTTGTCTGAGGCTCGTCTGTCTATTCCCAGAACCTATTGAGGAGTGAGGGTGTCAGTAAAGGCGTGCAGACTCAGATACCACAGACAGAAGTGGTCCCACCTTGTAGTAGTCCTCAGCGCAAAGGGCGACTTGAATCAGGACAATCAGGAGCAGCAGGGCTGCTCCTTTCAGGGAAAACATTTTGCTGCGGTTCCCTTTTGATGGCAATGTCCTCTTGGGCAGAAAGAAAACAAAAAGGGATGGTGAACTAGGAACAGTGTAGACAGGACATTGGAGGGACAGGTCTCTTGAAGGAGCGACGAGAGGTGAGGGTATGTTGACCGAGATGTCTTTGTTAAATCGAGCTTGAGGTCAAGGGAAGAGAGGTATGCTTGGACGAGTTGGAGCTTTGGTCGTCGCTAGAAAACACCAGCGTGTTAAAATGCCTGCGTGTAAGTCGAGTCATTGACAAGGGTCTTGATAAGATAGGTCTTGAGTTGCATTACAGGGGACAAGGAGACAAGGGACACACACTCTTCACTGTAGACCTTACATGGTATATAGTGGCTGCATTCCCTGAAGTATCTAGCACGTACCTCTGTACCGTAGTACATACCATCCGTCTTTCAATCTCAAGCCTCTCTTATTTATTTAGGGAAATACTGATGAATCGAGTTTCTCCTTCACACATGCAAAACATGAACTGCGGTATGTTACCTGCACATGACATACATTTTCCTATTGAATGACCCAAAACAGAAGTCTGGTGTTGCTTTTCCACAGTAAAGGAAATCAGCAGGTTTGGTCCCAAAATTTCCGTGAGAGATCAGGAATTCAATGGACGACTATAAACTCTCAATCACCTTGTGGATGGGTAGACAATAATTTCAGGGAAACTACTCACTGAATTTGTGTCTTATAGGGGAAAATATACTATCTCGATGTACAATTCAGAATGGGGACTGGCAAAGGTGGTACCCAAGCATGTACTGCACCAACTTTTGGCTAGTCAACTGGCTTAGTCACCGCCACATGTACCCAGACTGCCCCCCCCCCCAGGAAATAAATGCTAGTATTTACTATCAATTCATGACTGGTAGGCGTCCGTTTTCCTAGCCTCGTCAACAACGCGCCGCCGCCGCCATCACCACCACCATGGCTTCCAAGAAATACGCCTTCATACCCATGGATGATGAGCCTGCTGAGGCACCCAGAGAAGAGAGAAAGAAAAAGGACAGGAAGGACAAGGACAAGGATCGACACAAGAGGTCAAAGCATCACCGAAGACATCGCGACGACGATAGATGGGCTGACGAGTCGCCAGTGGAAGAGGAAGATGAGGAAGCCGAGTTCCAAGAGTCGGCTTCCAAGCGCGTCAAGGTCAGCCACCACGATGAGGACCCCGTCGAGGACCTTTCAGACGACGCCCGCGACAGGGAGGAGCGTGACGCCCTCGACAGACGGCTCCGGGAGAAAGAGAAGGGCGACCCGAGAAGCAGCAGGCGCGACGACCTCGCAAGGGCTCGAGCGGATGAGAAGCGCGATGTCGACGACCTGCGTATACGCTCCCGACAGACCTACATGCAGAAGCGCGAGACGGAGAAGATCGCCCTGCTGAGGAAACAGGTTGCTGACGAGCTTGAGGAGGAGCGCTCCAACCCGCGCCTCTCCGAGAGGGAGCGCCGCGAGTTTGCCAAGAACAGGGAGCTCCTGCGGCTGGCCGAGGAGAGGCTACGCATCGACGACCACAGGGAGGGCTACTACATGCCCGAGGACTACATCACGCAGAAGGGCAAGATAGACAGGAAGAAGAAAGAGGAGGCACTGTACAAGAGATATGTCGAGCGGGACGAGTACGGCCAGGAGAAGTTTGTCACGGAGCACGAGGAATGGGAGAGGGAACAAGCGCAGAAGGCCAAGACCCAGATCCTCAAGCCCGAACTGGAAGATGATGGCAGGTACGAGCACCTCTTTGACGAGGAGCAATACGTCAAATGGATCCAGGACGCCAAGCTGGCCGGCACGGACCCGAAATTGACCCAGGAACAAGCCTATCTCGCGGCGCAGATAGATGCCGCCGAGAAGAAGCAGCTGTCGATACAGGAGACGCGGAAAAGCCTGCCCATCTACGCCTACCGGGACGAATTCCTGGCTGCGCTCAAGGAGTATCAGATTCTCGTCGTGGTCGGAGAGACAGGCAGCGGAAAGACGACCCAACTGCCCCAGTATCTCCTCGAGGGTGGATTTGTCAAGGACGAGACCAAGGTCGGCTGTACGCAGCCCCGAAGGGTTGCTGCGATGAGTGTTGCCGCTCGTGTCGCCGAGGAGATGGCGGTCAAGCTGGGTAACGAAGTGGGCTATTCCATCCGATTCGAAAACAACGTCTCCGACAAGACGGTCCTCGAGTACATGACGGACGGTATGCTGCTGCGGCATTTCATGACGGATCCGCTGCTCAACGACTTTTCGGCCATCATGATCGACGAGGCTCACGAGCGAAGTGTGAACACGGACATACTGTTGGCCCTTTTAAAAGATCTGGCGAGAGAACGGCCCGACCTAAAGCTGCTCATCTCCTCCGCCACGATGAACGCAGCCAAGTTCGCAACTTATTTTGATGATGCTCCCATCTTCAACATTCCTGGGCGCAGGTATCCTGTCGACATCTACTACACGCCGCAGCCAGAGAGCAATTACGTCGCCGCCATGATCTCGACGGTCTTCCAGATCCACAGCACGCAGGGCAGAGGCGATATTCTGGTCTTCCTCACCGGCCAGGATGAGATCGACTCGGCCGAGCAGCAGATCAGCGACATCGCGAGGAAGCTTGGCAGCCGCATCAAAGAGCTGATCATCTGTCCGATTTATGCCAACCTGCCGAGCGAACTTCAGACCAAGATCTTTGAACCAACTCCCGAGAACGCACGCAAGCTGGTTCTGGCAACGAACATCGCAGAAACATCACTGACGATTGACAATATCGTCTATGTCATTGACACGGGATATGAAAAACAAAACTACTACAACCCGGCGACTCGCATGTCCTCCCTCAACGTGGTGCCGTGCTCCAGGGCGGCCGCCAACCAGAGGAGCGGTCGTGCTGGACGTGTCGGGCCCGGCAAATGCTTCCGGCTGTACACCAAGTTCTCATACATGAACGAGATGGACGAGTCACCGACGCCAGAAATCCAGCGCACGAACCTGAACAGCGTTGTGCTGCAGCTGAAGTCACTCGGTATCGAGAAGCTACTCGATTTCGACTTCATCGACCCACCGCCCACCGAGGCCCTCATCTCTGCCCTCGACAACCTCTACGCCCTACAGGCCCTCAATCACAAGGGCGAGCTGACGCGTCTCGGCCGGCAGATGGCCGAGTTCCCCACCGCGCCCGAGATTGCAAAAGCAGTCATCGCATCCGGCAAAGAAGGTGCCGTGGAAGAGGTCCTCAGCATCGTAGCTATGCTGGACGAAGCAGCGGCGCTCTTCTTCCGACCCAAGGACAAGAAGATCCACGCAGACTCGGCCCGACGCCGCTTCACCGTCAAGGAAGGGGGCGACCACCTCACGCTCCTCAACATCTGGAACCAGTGGGTGGAGAGCGACTTCTCGCCCATCTGGTCACGCGAGAACTTCCTGCAGCAGCGGTCGCTCACCAGGGCGCGCGACGTGCGCGAGCAGCTGGCCAAGCTGTGCGACCGCGTGGAGGTGCAGCTGTCGTCGTGCGGCGCCAACAACTTCCGCCCGATCCAGCGCGCCCTCACCGCCGGCTTCTTCAGCAACGCCACGCGCATGGACAGGCGGGGTGACGGGTACAGGACGCTCAAGAACAACTCGAGCGTCTGGATCCACCCGAGCAGCGTCCTCAAGGAGATCGACCCGCCGCCCAAGACGGTCATCTACCACGAGCTGGTGCAGACCAGTAAGGAGTACATGCGGAGCTGCCTGCCCATCGAGGTCGCCTGGCTGCGGGAGCTGGCGCCGCACTTTTACAAGAAGCATGAGCTGGACGCTATGGAGGAGAAGAAGATGCCTAAACAGAGGAGGTAAGGTAAAGTAGGTCGAGTGGTTGGAGTAAATAGTGATGGTGTTGGTTTGAAAAGAGTAGTAGCAAGAATTTGAGAGTGACAAATTGGTACTCTCAATGTTTGGGTCTTCTGTATGGCTCTGCTTGTGCTGGATGATGACGGGTGTCTCGTGTCAGGCATCTCCTTCGTATATGACGATCGGCCTTTTGCCTTGGACTCTCTTCTCATGTGAGATCGTCGGTATAAGGGTTTTTGCCCTCTAGGCAATTCGCATCTTGTTCAGCGCCTGGCTCTTCATGGGCATTTTTATTGTGATATTGCCGAAGCTACAGATTTTGACCTGCTTCACCCGCCCAGGCAAAGCAGCTCAAGACAGAAGAAAGAAGAAAAAAAGAGAAAGCCTCCTTGTAGTGATTAGAACCCACAACATTTTCAATGCTCTCCCTGCATCGGATTTTCAGTACACACCCATTGAAAAAGCAGCTCCGTCTACCTAGAAGAGAAGGTACACAGCTGCACAACAACTATGAGACCGGCTCACTCAACCTCGAACCACCCCCGTGCATGCACAGAACAGTCCACTACCACCCCCCTCTCTTCTCAAGAACTAGAGCCAGATGTCCTCTCGTTCTTGTTGTACTCATGTGCCTTGTTTGCCTGTTTAAGTGGTTTAGCAGAAGTCGTCTGCGGCAAATAGCAACGCTGAATTGACACATGAAAGGTGGTGGTGAAGGGGGAGTGGGGCGGGGACGAGGTGAATGAGACGCACCCGGTTGACCTTGGCAGCTTGGATGGAGGAGCGAGTCCATCTGTGGAAAGGTAAAAAGACAAATTAGACCGGAGAAGTTAATCATCTAGCTTTGGAAAAGTTTTCGAATTCGTAGAGTGTGAAATGCAATTCCTTTTCCCCCTTTATCTTCCTCTTTCTTCTCCTTCTTCTAGGAAACTCGGTAGGAGGAGGTTGTTGTTGCTGTAAAGAGCTTACACGAAAAGGACGGTGGCCATCGTAAAGGCTGCTAGGGGAGCCATGATAGTCTGCAAGAGTGGGTTAAGCAAAACTGGAAATGAAACCTCCTTTGTGCTATGAGCAAGCAAGGAAGGGAATGAATTGAGGAATGACTTACCCTTGGGTTCAGGTTACCTCTGTGAGGGGCCATGACGATAATCTGTGTGTGTTTTGTTTGTGGGCTGAAGGTAGAGAGAGAGAAGGACCGTGGGGCTTTGAGGAATGAATCAGGCGATGCGCGGTAGACATTGAGAACAACCCCGAACCCTCCTCACTTACAATGCTGAATAAATGGAAACCTACTTCTTCACTCCCAACAACCCGTTCCGGAAGAGGATTCAAAAGAAAAGGAAATGATACTACCATTAGTGTATACGTATTAGAAAGAACAATGTATTGGATTTTCACTTCCTTCTCATACCTTTTACTATAATGTGCTGGGATGATCAGACAACTGTTTTCTTCCCTTTCACCAAGAGATCATGGCTCTAGCGGAAACCAGCCTCCTGGCACCCCGTCCGTCAAATTAATTCTACTCGTTGATACCTGGGCACGATCAAATTTCTGCTTGTCGTCACATGAATTATGTACATTGCCTGCCAAATCTCCTGCTCATACAGGTTCGAGAAACACCCGCAGACGCCCAAGTTTTGATGACATGTTTCGTTGAAATGAATACATTTGCTCGTATCGTATTCATGGGGTATCTGTAAAACAATAACACGAGCTACAAAGTGCAAGTGTCCTACCGCCCCTCCATTGACGCCTGTCCAGTGGACGAACTCCACCACCACTTTGATGCTCTGATGGTCCAAATCTGCTGGGAAAGCTTCTCTGACTTCATCAACGCACCGTTCACAAAGAAACAACGCATGTGCGATTCCTCTTCTTTTTCCTTCTCCTCCTCAATTCTTCGATGCCAGGGTATCCGGCGCATTCTCATTCGTGACGCCACTCCACGCAGGCCGCCCCTCCACCGAGACAGGTGCCAGGGCGTCCGCCATTGCCTCGTCGTAGCTAGGTGGTGCCTCATCATAGGACGGAGGCGCAACTCCCTCAAAGGCCCCGGCGCCTGCCCCGCCACCACTGCTGCTGCCCACGGCAGGGCTTCCCAAGGTCGAGGCCTGTGCCGGCACCTGACCTGGCTGCAGCTGGGGCGGGTAGAGCGGGTCGTTTTGTTGCTGTCTTGGTGGCAGCGAGGGGCTCGACACCGACGACGCAGCCGCGTTCGGTCGCGGCGATGGTCTCGAGCTTGGTCCTGCATGTGACGACGTGCGTGTCTGCTGCCGGCGGCTCGTCATGGCGGCTTGCGCCAGTCCCGCGGGCGGCGTCAGACCCGAGTAAACCTGCACTCCGCTAAAGTGCAACGGCAGGAAGAGCGTTTGGGTCAGATCGGGCACGGCGTGGTTTTTGCCTTTTGATCTCCCCTTTTTAAACCCCTTTCCTAGAGTTCCGGAAGAGATGGAGACCGCGTCGTCGGGTATGGCCGACGTCGTTCCTGGTGGTTTTCCCCAGCTCACCCCCAGTCTGAGCTCGAGGGCATATGTTCGTTTGAGGTTGCATGTGACAAAAGTAGGCATCACAGTGTTCGGAAGCGGCTTTGAGTTCCAAAGCACCTCGTTGACCTCCATCTCTCTGCCGACTGCATCGTCGGGGCCCCACTGCAGAGGCACAGCAAGACCATGTCTCGAGACAACGACCCATTTTGTGACCTCGGTGTTGACGAGACCCTGGGCTCGTACGGTAGTTGCGCCCACGAGCTCCATCTGCATTGACGTCAGGTAGCACTCTGCTCGGCTGTCTGCGAGCTTCTTGGCGATGAGGCGAAGCGGGACAGGTTTATTGCAGGTCAGTACCGCGGGATGTGGGAGACGTGCAGAGAGCTCCACCGACGGCGGCTGATCGGCGTCTGAGGCACCGTTGACGTCGAGCGATCGGGCGCTTGCCTTGCGCCCAAACATGGAGCTCCTTTTTGGGTTGAGGGGCGGTGTCGAGGGCCCCCCTAGACCAGGGCTCTTTGGCCGGAATGTGAAAGGTCGTCTCGCATAGGCCTCCTGGTTCGTGACTGGTGGTCGTGGCGGCTCAATGGGCAGGAATTTGAACCCGATCTGATGCCTCAGGTTCTCCTTGAAGAGTCCCGGCCGCTGTATTGTGACCTTGACATAATAGCGAATCTCCGCCTGCCCTGGGAACCCCGTGAAGCTGGGAGGCAGCGTCTTGGTGACATGCTTGTAAAAGAGCTGCTTGCTCCCGTCCATCAGCCTGATGCCGCCCATGCCGAAGAAACTGGGCCCCGCGAAGCCTCCTGCCCCTGCCAGACCTCCTATCTGTGCCATGGCGTTTGGATCACCGCAGGCATTGTTGAAGGGCACCTTGAACTTGAAATTCCACACATGCTGGCCGGGATTCAGCAGTATAGACGGGGAGTAGGCCGGGACGCTCTCGTCGGGATAGACCTGCTGCACCTTGTACAGGACCTTGTGGTTCTCGTGGACGACCTGAGACTTCTGAAGCCCAGGTGATTTCGGGTTGAGACCTGGATAGTCAGGCGCGCTCAGGGCGGTCTTGGATTCACCTTCGAGCTTGACAATGACTGCGCCGATGTTTTCAGGCCGGTTGATTCCTAGCATCACCCTCCCAGAGATGATGTCGAGGTTGGTATAGAACTCTGGAGGATTATCGAAAGCTATGCGGACCGACATCTTTGAGGACTGACGAGGCGACTGGGCGAGGCTTGTGGAGGTTATGTTCGTCCTGACGAGGACGATTGGCCTGGAGCCAGCTCAAGATGAATCCCTTGTTAATTGTGTAGGTGTAGATCACACAGCTGTCGACTAAGTCATGGCTCCAAGGCTCCCAAGTAAGAAAAAAAAACCTCGTCATAAGCCCAGGCCCAGCAAGCACGTCGAGACCGTCACTAAGTTTTCTGAGTTTTTTCCTTTGTTTGAGGGGTGACAAGTCTGATACACCAAATCTTCCGCGGCGAGACAGAACCAGGGTGGTGGATAGGTCTGTGTTGATATCCTAGGAGACACACGCGTGAAAAGAAAGAAGAAAAAGTGAAAGTAAAAGTAAAAGTGAAAGCAGGAAGAAGTATTGAGACCTGAGGCAGTAAGAAAAAAAGGATCCGACGTTTGCGCGCCTGAAGTAAGACCAAGAGATGCCAAGTTAGGTCCAGGGTCCCCCCTTTGCCTCCTTATAAAGGCTCAGCCAGGGGACGACGCAAGCAAAGACCTGCTGAGCCTCACTGGGCCGCCTGATCGGATTTTGAGACGGACACGCCGGAAGTGAGGAAGTTGGTGAGCCGACAAAGCCGTCCAGCCCTTTCTTTGATCTTGCGGAGAGAGTCAGCTCTGCTGCTGCTGCTGCTGCTGCTGCTGCTGTTGTAATATTGATGCTGCTGAGGGGATGGGGCGTCCAACCTGAGGTGCTCTTTAAGCGCCCAGGTGTTGATGATGATGACGGCGTTCGTCAGCTCGAAGAAAGTTGCCTCGTCTTGTTCACAGTTCAGGAGAGTTTGTTCGCGTGAGGGTGTTGTTGCAGCCTTGTGGATGGAGAGCGGCCGTCAAAATAGAAAGCCACAACGGCCAAGTACAAAACACACAAAAGAAAGTGAAGAATGTCTGGTGGAATTGAAAGACTTGGATCAGATTAGATTCAGGCCTGAGTGACGTACTTCTCACATACTACGCACGCTGGTTTGGCTTCTAGTAGCACGGTACAATGGGTGAGAATAGCAGGGTAGCACGCATGTACTATGCCGCCCATCGCCCCCCCCCCCCCGGAAACCCCACTGCAGCATACTGGAACCGTAGCATGCAAGACCCTGGTCTAGATCATCTGCTATCGATAAGCCGCCCAATTTATTTTTTGAGGTTTCCAAACCAGCAAATACATTTCATTCTCTCTTGAAGAACGATCAATCCCAAGTGATGAACATCATATTATAACCGTCTTGATTTTCTTCCAAGCACCTCTCCTCAAATGGGCAAGGCCAATACCAAGCGCAAAGGAGGCGCATCCTCCTCCTCGTCGACACCCTACGACCGGCCCTCCAAGAAGTCCTCGACATCGGGCGCCGCCGCCAAGAACAATGTCTTCAAGTTCAATACGAACGTGGGCCAGCACATTCTCAAGAACCCAGGCATAGCAGACGCCATCGTGGACAAGGCCAACCTCAAGCCCACCGACACGGTCCTCGAGATCGGCCCGGGAACGGGCAACATCAGCGTGCGCATCCTGGAGAAGGCCAAGAGGCTCGTGGCCGTCGAGCTGGACCCGCGCATGGCGAGCGAGATCACAAAGCGTGTCATGGGCACCCCGAGCCAGAAGAAGCTCGAGGTGCTCCTCGGCGACGCCATCAAGCTCGACTTCCCACCCCACGACGTGTGCATCTCCAACACGCCCTACCAGATCTCCAGTCCCCTCGTCTTCAAGCTGCTGAGCATGCCGAACCCACCGAGGTGTTGTGTCCTCATGTTTCAGGTATATAAGTCTCTTTCTTTCTTTCTTCTCTTTGCCCCCCTTCTTCACTATTTTCTCCAACCCGGGTTCGGTGGCTAACTCTTTACAACTACAGAGAGAATTCGCCCTCCGCCTCACCGCCCGCCCCGGCGACCCCCTCTACAACCGTCTCTCCGTCAACGCCCAGTTCTTCTCCAAGATCACCCACATCATGAAGGTCGGCCGGCAAAACTTCCGCCCCCCGCCCCAGGTCGAGTCCTCGGTCGTGCGCATCGAGCCCAAGCTGGGCAAGGACAGGCCGGCCGTCAGCTGGGCCGAGTTCGACGGCCTGCTGCGCATCGTCTTCAGCCGCAAGAACAAGACCGTGCGCGCGAGCTTCGGCACCAAGGAGGTCCTCGCGCTCGTCGAGAGGAACTACAGGACCTGGTGCGCGCTGAACAACGTCCCCGTGGACGAGACCATCGTCGAGGACGGCGGCGGGGACGTGGTGGACGAGGACGCGAGTATGGATGTGGACGGGCATGACGGCGACGGAGAGTGGGGGGGGATTATGGATGTTGATGGCGCTGCTGAAGACCAGGAGCTGGAAGACGAGGAGGACAACGACGACGACGACGACGACCTGCCTGCGTTCTTCAAGGAACAAACTGCAACCCACACGGCCAAGACGCCCAGCAGGAGGAAGAAAACCAAAGTCGCGGAGCTCGTGCGATCCAAGGTCACGAGGGTCCTGCAGGGCACGGACATGGCGGACCAGCGTGCGGGCAAGCTGGATGAGAACGCGTTTTTGAAGCTTCTCTATGCGTTCAACAAGGAGAACATACACTTTGCGTAGGCTTCAGAGGGACGAAATCCGGTATAGGAGAGGAAGAGAGAAAGTCGGTGGGTCTGCAGTCATCCAACCGAGCACCATCAGTTGCATCAAGGAGGCTCGGCAAGAGGGAGGGAGCAAGTCTTCTCATCACTTAAATCTTTGGCGTCATGGTTATTCAGGCACGCAGGCGTTCAGGTTCAAGATGAAAACGTCCCACGATGAGAGGGACGAGAGGAGCATTTGCTTAAATAGTTGGCGATGATACCTGGGAACGGAAAAAAAAAAAATTTCTAAAGCGGTGAGTTTAGTACGAGAGAGAGACAAGACGATGATCAGGCAGCAAGAGTTTCATTTTGCTGTAGCCCAATGTACACTGCTTGTGACGGTTTTAGGACTTGGATGGCAGTCCAGAGCAGAAAGTTGCCCCTTGACGGACAGAACATTGATGAGTCCCATAATGCTTGAGATTGTCTGGATCCTGAGATGATGCTGAATGCTATATGTATATGATATCGTCGTGCAAAAATTTCTTGAACCGACCAGCCTAATTCCCGCCCTCAGAACGCCGGATAAACAATAAAAGTGAAGATGTTTACTGTATGTGTCTCATATCATCTTTATGCAGTGGAGGAAAAAGAAAGCAAAAATACATCTCCAAACGTCACCTCCCAACATGTGTTCACCACGATGATACGTGTGCCTTGATGACTCGCCCAAAGGAGAAAAGAAATGGCCCTACACCTCCCCCCAGCTTCCCATGGGCCCAGTGCTGGCGATGAGGCTACCAGTGCCGATGCTCCCTGGGCCACCATTAGCACCGATATCCCAATAGTGCCGGCTCGAGTGTCTCGAGCTGGAGACGCTCAGACTTCCCCGCCTGCCCGACCGCCGCGTGCTTTGGCTTGCGCAGCTGCCGTGCACTACCTGGCTAGGCACGCTCGGCCCGCCGCTGACCTTGAACGACTTGCGCCGCTGGTGGAGTAGCGGGTGGTGTTGGCGAACGCGGGCGGCGGCGCGGGCGGCGGCGATGTCAGGGGAGACGGGGGCGTAAGACTGGGAAGGGGTAGTCGAGGCTGCGCGGGAAGTGAAGCGGCTGCGGAGGTAGCGAAAGACGAGTCTGATATCGAGGTCCTGTTCCCACTCTTGCTGGGTAAAAGTACCGCCGGGTATGTGTGAAGATTCGAGTCCAGAACCTGCAGCCGGGCTGTCTGCATTATTTCTCGCCCCGGGAATATCGACCGGTCTTGTGTGAGGGGGGATGGTCTGCAGGGTGGGTTGGAGCTGTGGCACCGCAGGTAACATGCTGGCACCAGCATTTGAGATTGACGCGGCACGGTCCATTATATCAACGGTATCCTCCGTATTGATGTTCATTGACGGTCTGTCTGCAGTTGCGGGCGCAACCTCCGGGATTGCTGGCAGTCCTGCATACGGTAGCGGCTGCTGTTGTATGCGCGCGTACGTCGAGAAAGCGCCAGGGTGAGGGTGTGAGGACAGCTGATTGACCAGACTGCCGAGCTCACGAGCGATGCGATCGAGGACGCGCAGCTGCCAAGGACTGTCTGGCTCGGCGCCACCAAGTGCAGAGACTGGGGCGGAGGCCTTGGGCGTAGACGAGAGGTCATCGGCATCCAGACCAAGCTCGTCCGGCAACGCCTCGCCAAAGAGCACGCAAAGAAGCTTGTCATCGATCCCCATCAAGTCGCGGATGACCTTTCTTGTGATGCGCGACCACATACCGGTCTCATTGCTCTCGCCCGCGCCCAGCTCAAGCTCGGACGCGTCCTGGTCGTGCCACTCGGTCCCTGCGAGTGAGGCGTCTGGCGTGGGCACACTGGCGGAACCCATAGTTGCTTCCTCTGCATCGGGGTCTGTGAACACCTGGCTGCTGCTTCCTCTCCTCACTTTGCTCGTCAGGGCCGACACGGTCGACTCTCGCCTTCGCCTCGTCTCCTTCTGTATCTCCTGCAGCAGAATCTTGCTTTGCTCAAGACGCCATTCCTCAATGCGATGCCTGCGCGCGGCATCCTGTGCTTCTTCGTATTCTAGCGCCAGTTGTCCCAGCTCCAGGCTCTCTCGTCTCCTCTTGACTCTGCGAGGGTTGTAGCGCTCGAATTGGTACATCTGCTCCTGCATGTCGGCGGACAAGCCCTGCGTGTCTAGTCTGAAGCTCCCGAGCCCATCGTGACTTGGTAATATCTGCATCGACTGCATGGGCCCGCCCTGCTGCCTGAACTCGGGCAAGTGGCTGTCGAGGCTGTCGAGCTCTGCATCGTCCTCGGCGGCGGCGGCGGCAGCAGCATCCTCCTCTGCCTCCTCGATGATGTCAGAGTTCGCAGGCTCGGAGTAGAGGTGATCCGAGTACGCGATCGTCTGAAGGCTCCCAAGGTCGCTTATCCTTGACCGTCCAGGTGTGGGCTGGTCATCTTGGACGGAGGAGAGGTACGAGGTTGAGGTTCCGGCATCGGTGGCAGGGGAGAACAGGACCCAGGTCTGCGACTCGTGAGGCTGCGCAAGTGGTGGCGGGGCGGCTACACGAGCTTCAGACTCGGAAGAGGTCGGGTCAACCCGGATGACACGCTGGGAAACATGTCGGGTCGGTTGTTGGAACGCCATCCTGAGGACTGGTATGGAAGAGAAGCTGGGTGAGGCAAACGAAGGTGGGCGGAGGAGCTGCTCTTTTGAATCGAATGGTGACTGACGGTGGAGGGGTCGCCGGATGTGGACAAGGCGCAATGCAACGCTCTGCGATGAGATGATGAGGCGACTAACTGCGCTGCAGAAGAGAAAAGATAGACCGTCTGGTGCAGCGTTTTAAGGAGGAAAGAAAGACAGCAGATGCCACTATCTTCGTAACCACCTTGTGTGAGGAGGAAGTCGTGTATCGGCGACAGAAAGGGGGGAGGTTGTGTAGCGCAGGCGGGGAAGTGGTTGTGGTCGCGTAGTACAGGCGTAGCACGACGATCTTTCTAAGTCTGGTGTGATGGCATGCTGTATGTACGACAGATATCGTCCACCAGTGAGCGCCCCTGCAGGTCGAACCAGTCTCTGTGTGCCACGGCGATCTCTCGCTGTCTGAGTCAACAACAGCTCTCGAAAGGTGGCGGTTGTCTGTTCGAGTCAACCCAGTCCTACCCTCACGATGACTGGCAGCGATGTCAGGTAAGACGTTGTTGTTGTTGCACAACGTAAGGTTCTCGAGTCGGTTGTGTACGGGCGTATGTGATAGGAACGGCGGTAGTAATGATAAGAGACGTGTCGTGCCGTTGTCTCCAGGTAGCTCCAGGGTGCACGAGTAATGAATTACATGGTCTGGAAGGAGTACTTTTGGTAATGGTTCGGAAAGATGGAGCAGGTCTTTGCGAGAATGTATCGGGAGAGGCAAACCAGGGAGACGATCGAGGAGATGCCCAAAAACCAGGCCAGTGTCAGTGCTGAGTTTGGGAAATGAGAAGGCTCGCTCGCTCTCTCGCTCGTTCCTAGTCAGCAACACACTGCAGATAAGCAAAAAAGCAACATGAAATAGTCATCATACAACAAATAAGTTGAAGGATTACAAGGGTGATGAACCAGGGCGCATAGAGAATTGATGGGAATGGGAGGGGGGTTGGTAAAAGGCTCGTGGACTAAAGCGCCTTCTCCCAACAATCAGCTGCATGCGCCAAGTCAAGTTGGGTCAGGTCAGGGACCTCAGGTCCAGAGACAAGACGAGATGGGATAGACCACCTGAGGGTTGCAGATGCTCGGGTGGGAAGAGACGGGGGGGTTGTCATAAGAGACAAGGAAAAGGCGGGATGGAACACAGACACACACACACACTTCAGGCTGATGGAGTGGTGATGATGTACTATAGTAGGTGACTGGGCGCCTTGGGCAACCCCCCACTACCATTAGTACAGTCAGGAGGTACTATAGTTAGACGGGCGATAGCAGATCTTCCACTTACGGTACAATACCTGCCGTAAACCCCTCAAAAACAAGTACAGCTAGTTCCCAAGTACCAAACACGTCAGCCGCCCAACTTTTCTTCTAATGTTTCATACAAAAAAGAGTGACGCACATTGCTATTGCCCCTTCGTAGCACACACCGGCAGCTGATCCATGATCAACTTATGGCATACGTCCTCTATCACAACCTCTTTCCCCTTGCTACCCCCCCTCCCTCTCCCTCCTTGACCGTCTATCTTTACTTCCAGCCCATCAGTCCCTTCCCCCACTGGCCCTCGTCTCGCGTCAGCACAGACGCGGGAGACCCGAAGGTTGTTGTGGCATGTTTGACAGGAACAGGATGGTTCATCCTCTGCTATCTTTCTTCCATCACCTCATACTCCTTCCAATAAACTTCTCGAACAGCCCACACTACCTACTTATGCAAGTGCGCCCCCTCATCGCAACATAAGGGACCCTTTCTCTGGTGGCATGATAAGATAACCTCGACAGCTGAGATCCACATTTTCGCGTCATCCCGCCGCCTTGTCTATCGACGGCGATGTACCTCCAACTCTTTGAAATGAACCCCACCAGCCCACCTCGTATGTCGTGCTCATCGCCTGCGGCTGTTGCTCGAGCCTAGATTAGAAAGTCCCTGAGTCGTAGCACTTAGAGGGAACCGCTGGTCTGAAAAGCTTTTCGAAATTGATGCGAGGAGAGCTATTCATGATGTCAAAGCGACGTTGCCAAGATGGACACTGCTAGATAACAGGAAGCGAGAAAGGAAAAACGCGCGCGAGAGAGAGAGAGAGAGAGAGAGAGAGAGAGAGAGAGGGTCGAATGGACCATCATGAGCCTTTTTTTTGGGTTTCACTGGGCTTTTTGGCCCGTATGAGTATGTATTGTCGATCCAGTCTTGCTTAAATTTCTTGGATTGCGAGTCTGCGCCTTATCCGCGAGCATCAACCCGATACCGGTCATATTTCTGCACACAAGGCAGGCCAGAAATGGCACGGTCGCATGACATGCTAGATCTTACGATAGACGACTGACTGGTATGAGCTTGCTTAAGCTTTGATATGGAAACTTATTCAGACTGCGATCGGTACTTATCGGCATCTTGGCAAGAGACGCTCAACTGATTACTGAGCGAGGTTGGGTGCCTGATATTATATTTGGCAGTCGAGAGCTGCTCAATGAGTCAACAGCCCTTAGATTTCAAAGTCACGTTCGTTCAGCATGTCATCACATTGCAGCCACGCTGCTAACAAGACCAGATTTGACAGTTGATACCAGGCCAGTCTTGTAGATCAAAATCCGAATTGCATGTTTTGTGTCGTAAAGCTAGGGGCTCCCGCATATGAGAGTGGATGCTCTAGTTCAACCACACAGCCGTATCGGCTTCCTCCTCAGTGAACCCTGTTGACGCCAGCCCGATTCCCAAATGCAGTTACGGTTTTCCCATGCAAGCACAACAAGAGAAGAGACGCCTGGAACCCTCTAGGCCTCGAAAGCCTCGGGGAAGCGCTTCATGTTGTACTCAAGAGGACCGTGGTTGGCCAGGAACTGCACGTAGGCACCATCCACCTTGACGCGGCCAGCAGCCTTCTTCTCCAGGTACTCGTCGCGGCGGAGAGGGGTGAAGCCCCAGTTCTTGGAGATGATAATCTTTTGGCGACCGGGGAACTTGTACTGAGAACGGCGGAGGGCCTCGAGGGCGACGGCACGGTCTGATGAGAATTTGTCAGCTCATGGTCTGTTCTGCGGGACGAATCTACTCTGGGAGGGACGAGTCTGGACATACTGGAGTCACGAGTGCGGACGCTCATGATGATCTGACCAATGTTGACACGGGCGACAGTGCCGTTGGGCTTGCCCCAGGCACCACGCATACCAGTCTGCAGTCTATCGGCACCGGCACAAGACAACATCTTGTTGATACGGACGACGTGGAAAGGGTGGGCGCGGACACGCAGGTGGAAACCTTCCTTTCCGGCGGTCTTGACCAGGTACTTGTTGGCGCAAATACGGGCGGCCTCGAGGGCCTCGGAACTCAGCTGCTCGTACTCATTGGAAACAAGGTGGATGCAGAGAGGGAAGTCGTCGACAGTCGCACGCTTGCGGCCCAGATCGAAGATGCGAATCTTGGGGTCGGGCACACCACGGTTGAACCGGGACTTGGGGTAGGGCTATTGAGGAAATAACTGTTAGCAATTTATCTTCCTTTCCTTCGGTCTATCTCTTTCTCTCTTCACGTGAGAAAGCCCGTCGTTGTCTTGGGTCTCCCTCCCCAGACGTCGAGACCGAGCCTCTACGGTCTGCAAACGCATATCCATCACTGAACAACCAGGACGTCAAAGTAAATGAGCGTCATTATGATGTCGTGGCCATTCTGATCCGGCAACCCCCTCGCGTTTGCAGACTTTTCGAGATCGACTCATCTCCGATCGGTTTTCCATCGCGCAGCAATTCTCCGTAAATGTCGCTTACCTTGTTCTTGCAGTAACGGTAGCAACGAGCCGGACGACGCGCCATTTTGACTGATTGATGGGGGTCGTGATAAGGGTGTTGTTGGTGATGTCGTTGCTGGAGGTTGAGGAGGAAGAAAGGCGGCCGTCCCTCTTTTTTACTGACCCTGCTTTGAAATCAGACCCAACGGCAAATCGAGTGTCCCATCTGTCAGCAGTGGCGTAGTGCGAGGTTGGTCCGCAGTCCGCAGAACTGGTGAAAATGGCCCGTGCTCACCCACAGCACGTGATGCGGGCTGCCCCAGGATGGTCTTTTCGGTCTGGCTTACCTAAGGCACCTACACCCGCCGAAAAGTTCAAAGCATTAGTCGAATTTACTATTTCCAGTCTTTTCTTTCTAAACCCTCTTCTTCGACAACCCAACAACCACCAACCTTACCCCCCCATCATCTTCATCGCAAATCCGTCAAGATGGCCCCCAAGAAGAAGACCAAGACCGGTGACACCCTCAACTCCCGTCTCGCCCTTGTGATGAAGTCGGGTAAGGTCACTCTTGGTTACAAGTCCACCCTCAAGGGTAAGTTTTTCTTCTCCCCCCTCAAGCACTATCGAGGGTCCCCCAACGTCGCAAAATTCCTAGATGTTAATGTTCAATTGGTACAGCCCTCCGCTCTGGCAAGGCCAAGCTGGTCCTGATCTCTGGCAACACCCCCCCTCTCCGCAAGTCCGAGCTGGAGTACTACTCCATGCTGTCCAAGGCTCCCGTCCACCACTACGGCGGCACCAACGTGAGTGCATACACATTCTACATCTCGACAGACAACCTATCTTTCTTCGGAGGAGGCTGGCAGCATCGGCTTTGCCGTGCGGGCACGACCTCCTCCAACCCCGAGAAGGAGAGACCTGTTTTCTCTGGAGGGTAACAGTCTGAGCTGACTTGATTCCTTTTTCTCCTACCTCAGATTGAGCTGGGCACCGCCTGCGGAAAGCTCTTCCGCTGCTCCACCATGGCGGTCCTCGACGCTGGTGACTCCGATATCCTCAGCGAGCAGGCGTCGTAAAGGAAAATTGCACGACTGCTGCGCGTCTGATGTGTGTTGGCCCGGCGTTTCGGTTCGGTTCACGAAGGCAATGATGCACCAGAAGCATGGATGGCATTTGGTTTGGGAACAATGAAAGTCTTGCAAGGGAAAATGATACCCAGGTTGTTGGATGACAACCACAAGAAGGGGAGGCATGTCTTTAGGATGGCCTTCAGATAACATCATGAGATACGCTTCGCCCACTCCAATCCATCTGGTCGCGTTGCCGACTTGACCGAGCACTTTTTTTGCGGTTATGTAGACGTGCATGCCTTGTCCTATGTCGTAGCCCTTTTTCTTCGCGGCCCTTTTCTTTTTTTTCCAGGAAACTGCCAGCCTTGTGCGCCTGTGCACATGTCCGACGTTGCATCACAGTCATAATTCGGCCGACGGGCCTGTGAGTGAACCTAGTTTCGGGAGCAATTCGCACGGCGTCCCATCACACATCATTAGTACCGTCCTATATTCTGAGTTCGACTATAGTCGTTAGAGTCACGAACAAGGCTCTGCTTTTGGAAACCGCAGAGACGGAGAGTGTTCCGAGTAATACATGCCCGTCTACGTGCCTTCCTGTCCTTTGTTGAGTGGGCTCCCCGAAACATAGTCATGACCACTCAGAACCAATGCCAGAGGACATCTCCAAGCCTCAAGCCTGGCAAGAGTTCTATCAATGCAAATTGGGCCAGCATTGTTGCGGTTGGCGGTTCTTTGGTGGGCATCTTCACCCCTCCCCTTGCCCGGATCTGCGAACCACGGTCAGATCGCGATAGCCTCGGGAACCCCAGTCATCCACACGGCTCACGGAAGAATCCAAGCGTCCGCAGACTCGGAAGGAACATCGTTCAGCCTGGGTGGGAATCCTCGCCCGCACTGGAACGACTAACGGTCATTCCCATCTCCAACGCCCGGACACACGCACACGCACAGTCACACCCGGAGCAACCGATGTCTTTTATACTGGAGGGATGGGAGGGATCATTCATTTCACTTTTCAATGGCCCTCTGCGGTGGGGCAAAAGAACGTCCATCCCTTTCCCCCAATGACCACAGCACAGGGACTGGCAAGATCTACGCCGTGTCCATTCGGCTCTTATGCGGCATAAACATCCAGATGAGGCGACAAATCAAGAGGGAGACCATTGACTATTTACCCCCGTTCAAATCTCCGGCCCTGGCAATGCACGCAGAGGCCTTGTGTGAACAGTCGCATTGCCGAGTTCGTCTGCCAGACAGAAGTGTGCATACTGATCGAGTCCACGAATGCAAAGAAAGCACACCACAGGACAGGTAGATGCTGGAACGGCTGGGTATGATACCTTGAAGATTGGCATAGCATGGAGTGAATTGAGACCGGGATAATGGGGGGCTGGTGTTTCAGCGAGACATTGCTGATTCGCTTCATCTGGTTGTCCTGGATAAGTCATAGTGTCGAGCCTGTGACAACAGCAAGACTCTGTAACTCTGTTGGACTAGGAAAGGGAGCCAAAGTCACGGTGTTTCGGCCTTGGGGGCATGTGGACGTATCAAATCTACTGATTCAGCAATGCAGTACAGCGCTGCAAGTCATCGGGCCTCGAACGACAAAGCACTGCCAAGGTACTTCCGTACCGTTCATCGAAGGACAAACCAGACCCGGTAGGGCCTTTCGTTCTGCCTCTTAGGTACTTCATACATATTAAATGCACAAGTATTCGTCAATCTTATGCACCCGGTTGAAGGTTCTCTCAAATGACAAATTCCTATCAGTACTATGTGTAGTCAATTGTGAGGGAGAGAGAGCGAGGGGAGAAAAAAGGGGGTGAACCTCTCGGGCGCAACGCAGGTAGCCTGTCCTCACTGTGGGCGAGTGACGGTTGCTGGGCAGTGAGCAAAAGGTACGTACTCAAAGAGTACCGCCAGAACCCATTTTTGTTAGATGGGGCTAGCAGTCATAGCTGCAGAGGCTTAACGCGCTAACAATTTTATCGCTGGGTTGCCTCGGTGTGTGGATGATACATGCCTCCCCTGCTCTCGCGGTGTGATGGCTGACTGGGTTGCTGGGCTTGTGATTGATCCACAGCCCTCGTTTTTGTCCTCTTCCTGTCTTATGTTTTGCTGGGCGTACCCTCGAGTCTCTAAAAATCGCACTTCTGCTGGACTTCTTACCATATTACATAGGACCTACGCGCAGCCCAGCAGCACACGACCAGCTACGCCACCTGCTGCTACTAAGAATAAACACATACACACACCACACACGCGCAAGACCTTGGAAACCAAACTCCCTTGGTTGCCGGGGCGCGCATCTCATTCCAGTCAGTCAGTCAAGCGGTCTCTTTTGGTCAAGGGTAAAACGTCAGGCCAGGCGCAGGCATTTGCCGCTTCGCTAGTCGCATAACCCCAGGTCGAACTCCATTCAACAATCCTTCCCGTGCCTGTGTGTGGTCACGGCTTTCCCTTGGGCTTGGCTTGGGAAATATTGACTCTGGACACACTGGATACCAGCCAGAGATCCACTTGACAACGCTCTGTTCAGGATCCGGTACCACTGGATCCCCCTCACCGCATCTTGCCCACACGCCATTTACCGACTCGATCTGTTTATAAACCACCTCGCGATAGCGCGTTTTCTGACCGTCTTTCGGCTGTGTTCCTTCCTGTCTTTCAGCCCGTCCGACGAGTGAATCCGCCGCCTCTCGATACCCTTTTCCTCCCTCCCTCTTGAGAATCCATCACTCGCTCGACCATGTCAACAATCGCGGCCAAAAAGACACCCATCTCGGGTCGGGACCCCAATTCGACGTCCTCGCCCATGTCCACCCCGTCGAGAACCACCCCTCGGTCCTCCACGCCGAACGGCAACCTCGCTGAGCGCCCCGCTGGGAATCACGCCAGAACACGCTCCTTCCGCACGAGCACGCCTGTGTCTGCTCGAGCGACCGCGGGACAGAGAAGGGAGTCCTTGGTTCCCAGCACCAGCGGCTCGTCTGTGGAGGAGGAAGAGGCCGCTCGCGCCGAGAAGCTCGCCATGCTCGACGACTTGAAGGACCGCCTGGGCAAGGCCGAGATCTCGTCCGAGGAATACAGGAAACAGGCCGAGGTGCTCCAGGCCCGGTTCGACGAGGTCACCAAGGAGCAGGTCAAGTACGAGGAGAAATGCCACGAGCTCGAGGAGCAGTCCGAGGCCCTGCAGAACGAGAAGAGGGAGGCGACCCGCAAGATCAGGGAGATGGAGGCCATTTACGAGGCTGAGCGCTCCGCCATGGTCAAGGAGAAGGAAGACATGGCCAACAGGGAGGAGGAGTTGCAAATGGTCATTGCGCGCCTTAAGGACTCCCTGAACCAGCAGAAGATGGCTGGCGAGGACGAGCAGCCTAGGCCGTCGAGGTCAGGTAAGTTTTCTCATGCCACGTCCCAGCCGGCCTGGACCTCATTGTCTTCTAACTTCCTGGCAAGCGACTAATCTATCGCTGCATGCAGTAAACCCGGCATCGCCATCTCTCGAGGGCGGCAGCTTCGCACCACCCGCATCTCTGCAGCGCAGCGACTCGAGAAACCAGTCCAAGCTCATCCTCCAGAAAGACAAGCTCATCGAGTCGCTGCGGCTGGAGTTGGCAGAGGCACAGATCAAGCTCGTCGAGTCGGAGAACCAGGGCGGCGGCAGGCTGCAGGAGGTCGAGCGCCTGCTCATGGAGACTCGCATGGCCAACGCACGCCTCATGGAGGACAACGAGAGCTACCAGCTGCTGCTGCAGGAGAAGACGCTGAACGGAGACTTTGGCAAGGACGACTTCAGCTACATGCGTGGTGCGCAGAGCAACGAGGACGCCCTGGCTGCTCTCGAGGGCAAGACAGCCGGCGCCAGCCTGGCAGACGAGCTGAACGACGTAGCCGAGGGCGAGGAGCAGGAGCAGAGCGAGCACACCCGCCGTCTCGAGACCGAGCTGCGGTCCATGAAGGACCAGAACAAGGCTTTGACGCTATATATTAACAGAATTATCGAGCGCCTCCTGCAGCACCAGGACTTTGAGCACATCCTCGACCAGACAGACAGCACCGCGAAGCCCAACACCGAGAAAGACCTGCCACCTCCGCCTCACGAGCTGAGGCAAGCCTCGGGATCTTCAGTCCTGCAGCGCGCCAAGTCGATGGCCACTGGCGGTCCAGCAGCTGCAGCAGCTCCTCCAGGCAAGCCCAGACCTCGTCCCATGTCGGTGATGCCAGCAGCGGCCAACAGCGCGCACTTCAACCCCGAGACGGCACCTAGTATTCCGATCGGGTTGGGACGGTCGCAGTCGACGCGGCGCTCACGGCCCATGAGCGAGAACTTTACGGGTGCGGCTTCACTCGTCAACCAGATGTACAAGGGCCCGGAGGGCCCTTTATCCCCAACCCTGCGTTCGTCCCGGGACTTCTTCAACACACCGCAGCGCGAACGCAACACCTCTGGGGCCACAGCGGCCTCGGTGCCGGGCAATTTCCCTGGCAGCATGCGCAGCGAGACGTCGAGCGTCAGCGGCGACTCGTCGTCGATGGCCAACGGCGATAAGGACACGATCAGCAGCACGCCGAACCAGAGTCCTCCCCGCGAGAAGAGGGTGACGCAGACGTTCGCCGCGGGCAACAAGCCGAGGCCCCTTAGGCTGGTGCAGGAGAACAACGAGGCCCAGGCCGCGGCGAACAAGCGGCAGAGCTGGATTGGCGGGTGGTTCGCGGGCGTCGGTGCCAAGAAGGACGAGGTCGTCTCTCCCCGTGAAACGACGACGACCATCAGGGAATAAAGAATATAGAAGGAGAAGCTATTACTACCGACCACCATCGGCTGGGCCAAACTTCTTCGATGTGTAATGAGTCATGGATTTTTAATACGTTGTTTGAAAACACGATAACGGCAACAAAGACCGCATGGAAAGTCTGAGACGCACGACAAGAAGAAGCATTGGGCTACGACCACTACAAGCAACCCGATATTTATGCATCTCAACCGGGCTGGAGCCGGTTCGACATCCTCCCCCTTCTCTGTCTCTTCTTTCGGCGAGACATCTGGCTACGCCTCCTCTGCTTAGCTATTCATTTGGAATAGGGCAACAAGTTTTCGCTGGAGTCGGTCGCTGCTTGTTTCTGGGTTGCTGATTATATATACACACCACCCCACCACCACAACAACAACACACCATCCTGTATCCCTCTCACACACACAGGTAGACTTTTTTTTTTGTCTCTTCATCTGTCTCTCGTCGTCTTTACTTTTCTGGAAGACTTATTAGGATAGGATACCCCCCCCCCCTTCTCATATCCGGGTTACTCCTGTTCAAGGACAAGATTGTTCGTATTCAGGTCTCTCTTGTGTCTTGAATAGTCTCGGGAAACTGCCCTCCCTTTCAGGTTTTTTGACAGTTGGTAGAATAGTACGGAGTCTTCTCTCATCATCAGGAATTATCATTCAAAAGACGGCCCGGGAATATGTAGCTTCGAATAGAGAGCAGTGTAATGAGTTTGAAGTGTCCTCCGATAACCCTTTCCTTTTTCTTCCACACAAGCCAGAAGCCCTCTAGTACATTCTATGTACGTGTGAAACAGTCAAACCTGCTGCAGTAGGGATACGACTAATTGTGAAAAGCCCCATCAAGCCACTGACGACTTGGGAATCGTCACGCCGTTGCGGTCTGTCTGAGCAACGACGCAGTCGGAAGGTCTCGGCGGTGAAAACTTCCTCGTCCTTCTCGAGACATACATGCTTACACATGTATTCATCATGTCCGCTGTTACACGAGACTTAAGTCGTGGAATGAAGACGCACGTCGACAAGCCGCACTCCTTTGCCTCTAGCCCTGAGGACGATCGCGCTCATGTCCTCCTCCTGGATGATGCTTCAGGGTGAGATTCCTCCGACCCTCTCGTGTTCGTCCTCGAACCCAGGCCTCTTCTTTTCTTTTCTCTCTCTCGATCCTGTCCCCTTCCGTCTAAAGGGCGCACATGAACGCAAGAAAGAATACTTGATACACAGCCAAGAGCCCTCCCAGCCACCTGCAGCAGCACCCAGCCGCCGCCATTCATTGTCAGACCAGGCCTGCTGGGACAAGGTTTCGCACGTGTCGCGTCGCACGAGAACGATAGTTCCCTATGAAGCCGGGCCTGTCGTTCCCTTTGTCTTCCTTCGCTCGCTAACCTTATTATATTTACCCATCTTCCCACCTCTCCAGGGTGGCCCCTCTTCCAGACTGCAGCCAGTCCAGCCTCGACACAAGACAGCGCATATGCATCGATACACGCCTCGGTTACACACATACGTAATTACAGCGGCGACAAGTCAAGACCTTGGCCAGTGTCACGTCTTACGAACTCCCGACTGGCAGGTACATAGGGGGCACGTAAGCAGCCCCAGGGCGCACCCGACCCAGCAGATCCACTGGCAAATACTTGTCAGAAGCGCCGCGGCGGCGAGATGGCGCCATCGTTTACCGGGTTCTCGTTCTTTTGTCCCCTTTTTTTGTTTGCTCACCAGCTTCACTTGGCCCAGCCACTTGCGCCTGTCTTACCTGATGCGGTGAGGGTGAGAGGAGGAAGGGGAGGAGGGGGGGGGGAGGCGCGTGGGGAATTGTTTGTCCTGTGGCTGGCTCGGGTGTGGAAATCACCTGAGAAACAATGACTGCTGATCCAGCCGGTTACCGAGTGTGGCTTGCCTAGGGGTGTGGGAAAGGGCGCGTGGGGGTTTTAATGCTACTGCCAAGTGATGAGAGGGACGGTCATGGGAGATGGTGATAAGCGTTGGGTGAAGAGGTAGAGTCGGTGGAAGGGGGCGGGGGCACTACACGATACAAACAAGTAGGGAAAGAGGAATTTAGAAGATGGGAGGGGGGGGGGATGGGCTGGGGGCAAACCCATGAGGTCCCGTCAGCTTAGGACTTGTATTACTCGGCCAATTTGTGACACGTTTTGTGCTAGATTCATATGTACAATCACGGAAGGAAAGAGAAAGTTGGTGTACAACGAGGGCAGGATACGCTCCCATTGCAGTGCTGTGGTTCTAGATAGGCCATCTGCCCAGCTCTTTTTTCTTTTCCCTTCCCTTTTTTATTTATTTATGTTCACATTCCTCTTCTTCTGTTCTTATTCTTTCTTTCTTTTCCTTCTTTCTTTTCAAATCTGTTGACCGGTGGCGCTGCTGAATCAACCTCGTCAACCTCGTACACGGGCTATTATATGTGGACTGGTGGCTTGCAGGGTGATGTCCTTTCTCCCGTCCCAACCCATCTCCCAGGGGGTTGAGAAACCCGACCACTTTAGTTGAAGGAAGGTCCTCTAAAGGAAGAGAAGAAACACAAGAAAACAAGCCGGGTTCTGAGAAAACTCGGGTGTTTGTACGGCTGGTCCTTTTGTGATCGGCGACTTGGGGCAGCCGGTTATGTCGAGGATGAAGCCGAGAAAATACACCGAGCGGCCCGAGCAGTCAGGTTTTAGGGAAGGGTGAGGTAAGACAGCATCAGGGCAGGACTGCTGGGTTTGATCCACCACTGTAGAGCAGACGTATTTGAGGAGTGTGTATGTGTGCCGTGCCGATGCACGAGGAAGCCTTTGTTGAGTCTTCCTGCTAACTCTGCAAACCTCGACGCACTCCCACACGAGCTCGACGAACTCATCTTTTCTCGTGGGAAATCTGAACGTGAAGTCCATATCATATGCGACGTGCTCACACCAAACTGACAACCTGCTTTGGTTCGTCACTCCTCTCAGACCTCAGTGCCTGATCTGGTCATCCTTCGCTTTATCGTCAGATACATAGTCCAGTCACACAGTCCCCAAAATCCAGCCATACTATACAGTACTTTGGTGTGTACAAAGGTAGTTCCTAGCGTTACGTCGCTGCTACACACTCGCTCAGCCCGAAACCCCGGCCACCCACGTGTCATCTCCCGGCTGGACGGGGCGGAAACATGTCATCTTTTCTTTCCCCTCCTACTTTTCTTCTACTCTTTTTCTATCCTCTTTATTTGTCGCGAAACTTGTATTTTGCATAAGCCAAAAGTCCTGCATAATTACCCAAATGACGGGGCTTTATGCGAGAACAAATGAGAAGGCAGAGATAAAGAAAGAACAAGGGGAAGGGAAAAAAATGAGGAAAAAAACCAGCGCTGTCACCTCCACCGCCTGCTTTACCGCTCTTCACCCGTCCTTTCCCCGGCCGGGGTTCACCTTTCAGATGAGGACAAGTGCCACAGCAGAGAGAGAAAGAATAGGGCAGGGCCGTCCGCATTTTCTTGTTCCCTTTTCCCTGCCCATGTCCCCTATCTCAACGTCGTCCCACTTGGCGGGGCGGGGCGCTCGAGGTGAAAAGAAGGCATTGGTTTGTTTATGCATTTTGTTGGGTGGATTGCCTTCTAGTTGGTTTTTTTCTTCTTTTTTTTTCTTCTTCCTGCTCCCTCCCCGTCAACGAGGGAACGCCAGGGCGTAGTATAGTATGTACTTATGGGAGTGCCCAGTGAGCTACTTACTCTAGAACTACTTAGCTAAGAAGCTAGCCACCTACAGCCAGCAAGCGGTGATCGAGCTGGATGTGCTATCCTGTGTGGATGCGCGAGGCGGTCGGGGTTCTAGAACTTTGCTCGGTGGACCACCGTGGCGGCCATGTTGATAGTTACCATTGTAGTAGCGTAGCACAGTGAAGGTCAGGGCGTGCGAGGGGCCAGGTCAGCCAAGAAGGACCCCGATCCATCACGGAGGACTTTTGATTAGGACTATATGGAACAATACCATAACAGGTACTGTAGCATTTTTTCGGAGTTGAGTGGGATAAAAGCCCATGCTACGTAGTACTATGGTCAAAGAGTCTTGCCCCGGATGCCTCGGTAGTGATCAGCAACGCTGTTCAATGCTACAGGAACGAATGAAAGGCGTCGAAAAAACGGAAGAGGCCAAGGCCGGGGATCGTCATGACGATGAGCCAAAGAAAATCAGCGCTTGTTCCTGGATCATCAACGGGGTCACCCGCCGCCCGTCACTTGCATAAGGCTCGGACTTCTATTGCGTCAGTCCTTTACGTCCAGTTCAGTAAAGTGGTAGTAAAAAGTAAGCATCGGTCACCTAAATCACACGCACACACAGGCCTAGGAGGAAATCGACAACACGCACTTGCTCTCTCTCTCTCTCTCTCTCTCTCTCTCTCTCTCTCTCTCACTCTCTCACACTCGCGCTCGGGAGACAAGCATGTAATTCGGAGGATGAATGGAGGAGGAGGAGGAGCAGGAAAGAGGGACAAATGTGCCCTATAGTCTTAGTACATGATCCTGAAGGAATTTCACCACGTTTCGAGGAGCCAGGTAGGCTGCAGCTGGTCCCAGAAATCAAAGAAGTGGGAGTGCCGGCTGTGCCTGAGGCCTGATGAGCTTTACCCCCTTCACGATTGCCAGCTCCTGTCCCCGTCACTATCACTGTCACATCGACGAAAGGTGGTTGATTCAATGGCGCTGAGCTGAGATGCCCCAGCCAGAAGAGGTGGGACACGCCTGTGATAGCATAAAAGGTGGTTCCTATTTTGGGTGCCCGGGTGGCTGCCCATCTTTCTGTCGGTTCCTGGCCCCCATCACAGGCTGTGCGCCTCGTCAGGCCGTCGCTTATAACTGCTGATGCTACTGTTACTGTGCATACATGCTGTGATGGTAATGATATTCTTGGGGAAGAGATAGAGTGCGACAACAGTCCTGCACGTCATCTTTCAAGATCTGACTCATTTGCCCAACTCTTCTGATGGGGGTCTTGTCAGCTCCCTCTCTTAGGGGGGATGCGCATTTCTTGACCTCGTGACCAGAGGAACAGATCGGTCCAGATCGGTAACGAGATCGAGAGCCCTGGTGCGAGATTTGGGCCGCATGACCGCGACGAGAGAAATCCTCTCTTGGGCACCCTTCCCCCCTCTCTCTCTCTCTCACACATTTCTCGTTGGCCTCTTTGATATGTTCCCTGTTTACATAAGTAGTCAAATAAGTACTCAATGTACTATGGTACCTAGCATAGGCAGGAGGACGACCTCGGCAGCGTTGGCAGAACGAAAAAGAGCCGACGGCGACGGGGTGGGTGGATGATGTGATTCCAAACCACACTGTGGACGGGCGGGCGGGCGATGGGGTGGGGGGCGAGGTGGAGCTGCAGAAGGAATTCGAAGGCGGATGGAAACAAGGGGAGGGCTGTGTGTCGCTCGGGCAGGGCTGAAGCCCAGGAAAGGCGGGAATGGGGGGAGAGGAAGGAGAGGGGGCCTTGGGGGAACAACCGCGACAGTGGCTCAAAACCTGCTAGGGGAACAAAACGTCCGGGCGAGACCCAGTGGGAGGGAAAGGTACGATGAGACAGGGCAAAAATCTGGTGAGACGGCGGGTATCGCCCTTCTTTCATGCCGAGGGTGGGCACTCTACAACTCACTACCAACTAACAGCTTGTAGTGCTACGGTACGTACATACCATAGTACACACATGCAGTAACTCTCTCCTCTTTCCAACGTGGTATCGAAAATGTCACTCTGTATTGCCCATGTTTGTTTTAGTTTTTTTTTTTTTTGGTTGGGGGGGGGGGGGGCGGATGAACTCAGTTTCTACTGGGTCGGCAGCACAACCACCTCGGGCTGCCAGCCTCTCTTTGGAAGGATTCAGGTACGGCTGGAACTTCTTGTGTTCTACAAGTACGGGAGGTTTATTTCGGCGCTACAGAGTTATACTACATACCCACTGCCAATTCGAAAGTCACTCTATTCTGTAGTGCTGTCCCTTGACGGACGAGGAAATGCCGCGCGCGATGCGTCCTTTTGGACGACTGGCTCGAGGTGAAAAGTCACAGAGTCCATCCGTCCATCCCGAACAGTGAGAATGGTTATCCAACCAAAAAAAAAAAAAAAAAAAAAAAAAAAAATTCTGCCATGTCCTTGTCGCTAGTGGTTATTGTTCTGCCGCATGCGACAGAACATACGTAGCAAGTATAGTAATGGGTACGTAAGGAGTTTGAAAGAAGAAAAAAAGAAGGAAAAAAAAGAAAAAAAGAGAGGGACTGGATCTTGCACCCCAATATTTTGCTGCTAGCATGTGATGCTGTTGCTGCGGCCAGTAGAAGAAGAAACGTTTGCCCATGTACCATTAATTACCACCTATCCACTTACTGTTGTACCATAGTAGTCAGTACTACGGTGCGGGACCGCAAAGTAGTATATCAGAAGATCAAAATTATGAATAATGAGGCATGGAAATTCGTTTTGTTCCACCGTTGATTCCCAACTGGGTCTTTGGGCTGCCAACACTCACTTTTACTCTCTGCCATTCCATCCTCTCGAATGGGCGCCCATGTTTTTGTGCGAAGCCACCTGTTCGCTGCCCCTGACGGGTATACCCTTGTCCCGTCCAATCCGGGACAGCCTGCCGGAATCAGAACAGCACGGATTATCCTTGCCGTCCTCCTACCTCCCATTTACCTGTGCCACGTACTATGTTGCGCCACAGTACCTTAGTACTGTGCTACATGGCGACATGCGAAAACCAAGCAGGCACTGCGGTACCATAGTACTGTAATGACCAACAGGCTGCACTGCCCATGCTGATTTGCCCCCCGGCACTGGGCCTTGGCACCTCCTCCCCCAAGAACCGAGCGTGGTACAAGGCACTAAGTACCAGAATACATAGTAGGCAGAATGAAGCCCAACCTTGCACACCTAACCATAGTACTATACTATGTACGTACTGCTGCAGTATTGTACATCCATCCCCATCCTGCCCCGTCATCTCTGCCTCTTGTCTTGTGTGTGTGTCGTTCATCAAAATCTGGACACAGTCTGCCCACCTGACACCTCGACGTATCCCCTTCCTATTATTCTGGTCAGTACGCAGATACGACACATCACCACACAATCAAGTTTACCGAATTTCTCGGCCGTCTTGTCACTGGTGCCCGCCATCACATCACAGCAGTGCAGATCAAGCTGCCACAACAACGATCCCCCACCCTCCCCTTCCTTCTCCCCAAACCCTGTTAGTTCCAACACGGGCAGCCGACCTCGTCGCTTCTGGATCAGAGTGACCTCACCACCCGAGAGCCCGTCACCACCACCCAAACACTTTTCTCCTCCAAAGACAAACCCATCCTGCAATCTTTTTACAACCTGAATTTTTCGCAACAAAACAGCCCTTTTTACACGACGCCTTCTCAGGTCTTTAGATTTCTTCTCTTTTCTCTCTTCTTTTTCTTCACGTCTCCACTTTGAGAATTTTACCCCAGAGCAGACGTATGCGAGCCGTTGCTGTCGCTGCAGCAGCTGCATAATCAATCTGGGGCAGATCTGCTTCCGCTCTTCGCTGTTGACTCCATCTACGCGGCCCACACGACTAGACGACTTTTTCTTTTTGCATTTTGCCGCAGCGTCCCTACAGGTTTCGGACTGGCACGACGGGGTACGGGGCAGCGAGCACGACGGGGAATCAGCGCTGGCCACGATTACATGCCTCACGCCCACTGGCCACTCGCGCGTTTGACTCCAGCCATGAATACGCCTCTGCGACAAATCATCGTCGTTGATTCATCACCAAGCCGTTGAGACATTCCCACGGCCCAGGCGATCCCTTCATTCCTCACCTGCCGCCCGCCGCACTGAATCCCTTCGGATGGTCTCTTTTTGGTAGCGCTCCATTCCTCTGCTTCCGCAAGAAAAGAAAAGAAGGAAGAGAAGCAAAAAAAAAAAAAAAAAAAGATGGACACGAAAGCGGACAAGGCGACTGGCAGCGATCCCACCGCCAACGCACCACTGGCATCCCGCCCCAACCGCGAATCATCGTCGGGCGCCTCCACAATAAAGCTCGACTCTAGCACCCAGCACCCAGCACCAAGCTCTGTCTCGCGCACCTCCTCCCCCTTGAGCTCGCGAGAGACCTCACCAGACAGGCCGTTGGGGCGCTCTGGATCCACCAAGCCCGCATCTACCCCGGCCAACTCTGCCAGATCTCGAAAGGGCAGCCCACAGGACACGAGTCCCTCGCGATCCTCGAAACCTTCAGCGCCCGCTCCCTCCTCTCCCTCCTACTCCTCCGGCAGGATATCTACCGCCACCACCCCGAAGCTGGGGCCCATCGCAACCGATTCGAGCACACGCGTCTCGGGACCCCAGAAATCTCCCATACACGCTGAGCACCTGAGAGAGTCGCCCCGTTGGCCCGTCTCTCCACGACTACGCTCTCCCCCTCCAGTACCAGGCCAAACAAGCCTACCGCCACCGCCGCGCAGGTCTGAACAGGAGCCCCCCTCCATCCAGGTCCAGCGCTCGTCCCCCCAGCTGCCCCAGCAACAACAGCTCGAGCCTGCCCAGAGCGACTCCGACGGTGACGAGGCACACCTACACCCTGGAATGAGAACACCTGCCCGTGGCACCAACACAAATAATAACAGTACGGCTACCTTGGAAACAGTGCAGGAGGCTAGTCCTCTGGCATCTCCACAGCACACAGAGAGCATGCTGGAGAAGATGGACGACAGTGCCGCCTCCGAGACGGGGTCCCAGATCGACCTCTTCGATTTCCCAACCCCCAAGGCATGGAAGCGCGCAGGAGGAGGCAACAATGACAGCGGCAGTGACAGCGGGAGCGTCAAGGGAGGAGGAGACAGGAGGCCAGCGCCTACCAGCGTGCCTCCCACCCTGGCCTCGCGGCAGTCAAGCGTGTCGGTGAAGACGATCGCCGGCAAGGCCAAGCCATCAGAAGGGTCCACCCAGCACATGACGGTGGAGACGGAAACAGTCGCATCCATCCCCCAGGTCTCACTCGCCCCGACGAGCATGAAAGAAGGCCCAAACGGCACCCTTAGGAATAAGCCAAGCTCGGAAACCATACGGCCCAAGAAGGAAAAGAAGAAGACGAACAGGAAACCCACTGTCGGATCTGGCACCGGTGAGCCATCTTTTTATGTTTCGTCTGCTGCTACAGTTCACGCCCCAAGGCTACGGCATCATCAGTCGATGCGATCAGTCTCCTCAACGACGGATGCACTGATCTCGCCGACCAAACCATGTGCCCAGAGCACGTACAATGATGAGTTGCCGAGCCCGCGGCGGTCCTCTGTGCCCAACACACGAGGCGGCCTGGGTCGAAATACCGTGTCCAACCTGCTAACAAAACCCCGCACAGCTTCATCCAAGGCAGACATCTTCGAGGCAAAGATTGCCAGCGCTGTCCATGAAGTAGACAGCTCAGACTCCGAGGAGACGTTTGTCTACGACTCGAATCCCCCAGATGTCAGCGATCGCCCGAGGAGGTATCACTCCAGAACCCCAAGCGCGACCTCCATGATCAGTCAAGTCGACAGGGGCGGGCTACGCTCACTCAGCAACATCATGGACAATGGCGGCCCGAGTGCGCTGAAGAAGAACATGAAGTTCGTCAACACCTTCAACAGCAGCGGAAACGAGGGCGCGATGGCAGACGAAGAGGGCAAGGGTAGCGTTCGGACAAATCCAGGCTCCGGCCGGGGGACAAGTCGTGTGCACCACCATCATTATAGTCGATACGGTCGCGGCGGCTCGAACGGGCACACGTCACTCTTCGACAACGACGCTCCATTCCACGTCAGCAACACGTCAGCACCACGCTCCAAGTTCTCGACCAACACCCTGCGGCAGTCAAGCGGGCCGCCGAGCCCGAGGTTTCTCAGCGCTGGGAAGCTGGCTGCGACGTCGAAGCGAGGGCAGCACTCGGCCAATTATGACCTGGACGATACGACCGGAGCGGACGATGAGGGAACGCCTCTGCTCCACAGCGGTACTGTGCGGACTGCGAGAAACAGGAACCGCCGGGCTCCGGTATCGATCCGCGCGCTCGAGGACCAGAGCTACCGGCGCAACCCTTCGATGCTGAATCGGTTCGCCAGCTGTCTGGTCCTTACTGTCATGCTGCTGCTCGTCGTCTCGGGGGCGATCGGGTTTATGTTTGCCACCTCGCAGCCGCTGACCGACGTCGAGCTCCAGAGCATCAACACCGTCATCGCCAGCGAGTCGGAGCTCATGTTTGACCTGTCTGTGAGGGCTCACAACCCGAATGTTGTTGTCGTTGTGGTGGATCAGGCCGACATTGAGGTGTTCGCCAAGTCACCGCATGCAGGAACGACTTCCGGATGGCTGAATCTCAAAGACGGCCAGAACCCAGATGGCACCTGGGGAGGCGATGGATCACGCCGTCCGGACGCGGAGGAACCGGTGGAAGATACAGCTCCGAACATGCGCCTTGGCACCATTGGCCGCCTCGACAGCTCGCTCTCTTTCGAGGGCTCCTTCTTCAACCAGGGTGTGTCTGCCTCTACTGGCGAGGTGAGACTCCTGAAGCCGGGCAACGGCACCATGGGTGGTCCAGAGCGCTGGGAGCGGATCCTTCAGGATGAGTTCGACCTGATCATCAAGGGCGTTCTGAAGTACTCGCTGCCTCTGAGCCAGCGCGTCAGAAGCGTGGCCATCTCGGGCAGGACGACGGTCAAACCCAACTCGGCGGACAACCCAAGCCTCCAGCCGAACCAGACAGAACCCATCAAGGAGCCAAAGAAGCCAAAGGACCGAGTGGTGGACAAAGACAGCATCAAACTGTTGTGGACGGATGTGGAAGACGAGACTGTCTAGCTTCTTTGGCGCTCACTCAATCTTGCCACAATTTCCACTGACTGTGGAAATTTCTTTTTCTCCATGTTTCAATCTGGGCTGACGCCTGACAAGCACCTGGCATTTTCTTGAAATTTTATCGTGGAATTCAGCGTCGCATCATGGCATTGCATCTCTCGGGAAAAGGGGGTCGGGGAAACCTTTTCTTCTTTTATCACGTTTTCCACTTTATTTCTGGCGAGGCGTTGGGATGGGGATCAACAGTACTACTACAGGCCACATACATACATACTTACACATACTATTACTAGTCTCAAAATGCAGAGTTTTAAAATGGCAACACACAAAAACTAGAAAGGCGGTTCTATTGCATTGAAACAAATGCGTGGTTTTTCATTGGAATATGTGATGCAAACTAACGAAGAGCCTTTTTGCATATCATATCCTTTAACCCCTCAAAAAAATACTGTCTTTCTAGGAGTGGTCTTGGGGGTAGACAGGATGGGGACGGGACAAGGTGGTGTGTTGGCGCGTGAGGCGGGGTGAGATAAGGCATAACTTATCATCATCATACTGCCAGACGGATGAGCGGCTCTGATTAAGTTGCTTTAGAGCTGATCGTAACCTTTTTCTTCTTTTCCTTGTCAAGCCCTTCCTTCCTTTCCCTCCTATTTCTTCAAAAGGTGGGGGGGGGGGGGTGCTATCTTTTGTGAGCATGCTGTGTAATTGATCAGGCTTTACATGCAGCAAAATTAATCAGACTATTGCACTGAAAAATAATAACCATACGAATTGAGCTGATATGGGTTACATAAATCTTGCATCGAGTGGCATTTTCTATTTAGTGGAGAGGAGGCTCAAAGCGATCCTAGAGCTCACCCTATCACCGTGAGCCCTGTCCGAGGCTGCGGGCAAGGCTGGCGGGAAGGCTAGCGAGCTACTAGCCTCGCTTACTAGAGCGGAGTGAATCTGTGGTGATCATGCTTGCCCCCAAGAGGCATGCGTCACATCCAGCACACTGCGCTCAGATCTGGTGATATTCTCAGAAATGGCAAGCTGCTCCGCAGCTTTCCATCCTCAAGTCCTTGATGAGCATTCTATTTGACCATGATAGATAATTCACTTCCCTTTGAGATCAATGTCAAGAACATAGCCAGCGTCTGGGTCTCATCTCCACTGACATATTTTGCCCTCCATCACTACTGCTTAATAAATAACAGAGTCTAGATAGACTCCTCAGTGGTGAAATTGGATTTTGGATTCCGAGGCTATTAATTTCAATCTCAGTCTGATTCCAGCTCACTGTTTACGATCCACATTTATTTGTACTTATTTATACTCCATCTCTCTAGCCTTTGAGTCTTCGAGTTATGCATCAATATGTAAAATCTTTCTTCTCACTTTCAGCAAAATCATCGCTGCGGAGAGAATGAGAAACCCTCACCGGATCGGGGTGAGCGAATTACCAAACCATCTACCAGCCACCATCCAAGATGCAATCTCGGTCACACAAAACTATAGAATACAATGCATCTAGATCCAACAAAATTGCACCCACCAAGATGCGAAACATGCCCACAAGCAAAAGGAGAGAGAGGCATTACCAGATCGGGATGATGCACAAGGTATACCCCTCCGAGATTGCAATCAGCGACCGAATCTTGATCTGCACCATTCCGGGTCCCCATTTTGATTGCCTTATCAACATAGCTATCACGCGACTGAAATACCATGAAGCACTGCCCTCTCGCAAGACATCGGGCTTCACACCCCGTTCAGTAAGTATATATTCTCAATGCAGCTGAATAGACGTGCTGAATTGTATAGGGTGGTCGGATCTTGTGCTCTGATTAATTACAAAAAGTCCTTGTGACTGAAAGATCGAAAAGGACGTGAAGGGGATCTTCGAAACTCAGTCTCTGCCATGACGAGAATCATGAGAGGATTGGTTAAGCTGTTATGCTGCGTTGTCACCTCACAGGTGCAAATGCTAAACAAAAGGCATATATATACCCTTTGGGCTGAAACTCCTGTCTCTTTGGCACACATGGAAAGCAATCTTTGTTACTTATATTCAGCTTTTAGCCATTCATTGTACGAACAGCAATCAGAACTCTGAATTATAGAACATATATTCGAGTTGTCCTTATTCAGTCCTCCATGTTTGTTGGAAAGTTACTCAATTTTCGGACAAGTTAACAAAGTGCTTGACTCCTGGATATCTGTATCAAATCAGGTCTCAGCCTGCTCCATGTTAGCGGAAGCATAAGACCTCGAATGAAGCTGCGATCTCGCTCATAATTTTCTCTTATCTGACGAGGATCACCTCGCAGAAAGCGCCTACATCGTCAGCTGCGCGTCGGTAAACCCTGTGAACGCGGCTGCGATCCAGCCATACGGGACAGCTCATGGCCCTCAACAAGGGAAGCTGTCAGGACAAGATACATTAGAAATCGAAGCCACATTGATGCCCAGAAAGTGATCAGCAGGTAAAAATAAAATTACAAAATCAAGAAAGTAAAGAGGATTTATCAAAGAATCAAGCCTTGATAAACTTTGTTCATTAATAATCGAAAGTAGAATTGTATGCGCAGTCGTGTTGTAGTGTATGTTGAGAGTAAATACTTTATTGATATTATTATGCAGCTGTTTGTTATAAGTGCAGCTTGGTTATTGTTTTAAACCACAGTGCATGCGCTGAGTGTGAAATCTTGCTGAATTTGGAAGCATTTCACAATAGTCAGATTTCGCTACACTAGTGCGGTTTTTTCTTCTTATTCTCTCGCGGGACATGATCAGAGGACTTTGACCTTCGCCGCGCAGCCCAGCAGTCTTGGCTCGATGCTCCACCCGGTGTGGCTTGTACCTCCCCAAAACGCTCGGCATGAGATTGATCTATCATGATTGAACAGAACCCCTCCATTACAATCTTACATGCATGCAGGGAGCTAAACATGGGACCGATCCTTGTGTCTGCAAGTAGTCTCAATTCCTCAAAGCCTTGTTCATGACCATGACAGACAGGGCAAATATAAAACCAGACCGCCCTCTTCTCTATTTCGAAGAGTACATTTGGCAACGTGCAGACTGGAAAAAGTTATTGCAAGATATGTTACGAAACCAGCAGCAATTTCCAAAAAAATAAAAAAATAAACATATCAATGTCCAGTCCTATTCTAAACTGCCTTCCTATCCCACTTGTTCACATGCAGCAAGCGCATGTCCGAAACTTGCATCACTATTTCCGCGCCGCGTCCCTTCGCACATCCTTCTACATAACTCTCTTCTTAAGTGTGCCGCAAAGGGTGAAATCCGATCAAGCAAAGAAGGGCTCGAACCAGGGCCCTTTCATTCTGTTTGAACGATCATCTTCTCGAAAGGTGCATTTATACAACCCTCAAACGTTTTGCCGAGGTCCAGGCTGTCTGACACTGATGCGTCCAGACAGATGACACCAGATATCATCTGCACGATTGTGTTTGGTATCGTAGCTTCAATTCTGGCCGTCATTGGTATTCTTCAATCTCAATCTGCAAAACGCAAAAAGAGTGAGTAAAATTCACAACAATCAAACACGCTATGTGCAAGCACCATGGTTTTGGCTGGTTTTCTGCTTCTTTTCTCTGCCTTTTTTTCTTTCTCTCTTCTTATTTTCTTCTCTTCCTTTTCTTCTTCTTTTTTTCTTCTTCTTCGTCCTACTTTTTCTTTTCTCTTCTTTTCTTTCTTCCTTTTCTCTCTCTCTCTCTAAAAAAAAAAAAAAAAAAAAAAAAAAGCCTGACATTATAAGACAGGGCCAAATCTGGAAGCACATCGGATATGGTATGGACGACAACTGCCCCCGGCGGCGCCTGTCCGTCCACAGCGGACCCAGACGTTCCCACCGCCTGGTCCAAGCGCCAACCTTATCAGTCCTACCTCACAGAGCCAACTAAATAGAGAATGAAATTGTGAAAGAAAAGAAAGAGAGGAAGACAGAAAGGGAAAGAGAAAGGGAGAGGAACAAAAATCAAAAAGCGAAATGGTGAGATTGCTGTTTACCTGCACTTCACGGCCACTGCGGCTCAGAAGCCTGTTGTCGTTGTAAGCACAATAGGAATGTAACTGACACAGGAGCGAATATGGAGCTAGGGTTAGGGGTAGCTGGAACTCTCGGCCAGTCAACAGCTGCATCGACTATTACGGCCTCCTTTTTTCCTTCGGTTATGACAGGAGCATCTTCAACCAATATATATATATACATATATCGAAGATACCACTCACAGCAAATTCACCTTCCCATTCCGTCAGAGTAACCTGAAATTTGATGCTATAGACGTACATACTGTCTACTAAGTAGAAGCCGTATGATAGCGTATCCTATTCGGAACGCGGACACAGAATGCTCAAAGTATCGATCATCTCACACCAAGACGTCAACAGGAAGACGCAGACACGCTTCTCTGACAATTCGCGAAAACGCACCGCAAAAAACTTACTGAAATGAAACCACAGACTCGCGAGCTTTCCGTCACAGTGCCCAATGCAAATCACCAGACCCACTAAACATTCTGCAATGATGCCTCTAACTGTCCGGCAGCAGTCGCCTTTTGCCCCCCAGCCAAGAAAAGTCGCGTCACCCGCGATTTGTTGTTCTCAACCAGGAACCCCGAGAATGAGGCAATAAAGATCTGATAATTGGACCAAGACACTCCAGACTACCGGCCGAGATCCATGTAGAGAAATTGGCTTGCTAGCAAAAATTCTGGATGACTTGCCTTACCTTCTCGGCGTGGGCTTTGTGTACGTGGAATCCGCGCTCCGGAATGGAATAAACGGCCCCGGCGCGCCCGCTTCTCATTCCTAGGCCTCCAAAACCCGTCCTTGTGATCACGTTCGAGTGAGAGTCTCGTGTGTCTCATGTCTCATTACAGTAACGATCTTATTTTTAAGGTTCTTTTTTGTGTTACTTCCCTCTTCTTTTCTGGAGTGATCCGAGTTGCCACAGAACGCGTATAAGAAGGCTTCATGTCGCCCTCCTTCCCCCCCCCCCCCGAGTTTTATGTGCCTTTTTCTCACTCAGCCAGTCACTCTTTTGGGCCGTCTCTCGCTTCCTTTCTTTTTCTTGGACCACCAGTCACTCTTTAATTTACATATAAATTCTCAAGGTCACTCGCTTTCCCCCCAGCAACACTATACCACTTACCGACCATGAAGTCCTATGCTCTGGCCGTTCTCAGCCTCGCGGCCCTCGCAGCCGCTCAGAATGGCCCTCCTCCGACAGGCGCGCCGCCCAGCCTTGATGACCTCGAGGCCCTCGAGGAGAGCTACGACAGCCAGTTTCCGGAATGTCCTCATGACTGTTGGCTTCCTGCCGCCGCATCCGTCGGATGTGAGGACAACGACTTCGCCTGTGCCTGCGAGTGCGAGGAGGAGATCCAGGAGGCTGCCGCGAGCTGCTATTCGAGCTGCAGCTCGTCGGATCTTGCTGGTGAGCCCACCCCCCCCCCCCCCCAAAATAACTTTCTCCCTCTTGACGATGGCCTTGTTTCTCTGACCACCCCCCAAACGTGTACAGCCGCCAGCTCGCTCAGCGAGGCCATCTGCAGCATTCAATCCCTCATCGAGGCCGGCCCGCCTGCCACGACTCTTGCCCCTCCGGTCTCGAGCTCGACCGGGCGCTGGCACCATCACCACCAGGCGTCTTCCTCGGCGGGCCCCGTTCACAAGCCCAAGGAGAATGACCTTTTGACCTCGGTTGTGGACTGCTTCGTCACCGTGTGCCCTGAGCCCACCACCTTCACCGTCAACAACGTGTGCTACACTGCTACCTCGTCCAACCAGGCCATCACGGTCACTGACTGCCCTTGCACCATTGAAGTTGTAAGACCCCTCCCATATATATATCCTTTTGCAAATTGCCATCTCCTCCTCTTTTCTCCGTACCCACTAAGACACCCCAGTCAACACACCCAGCTAACACTTCATCTCAACTCCCCCCCAGGCGTCCGCTACCCCAGCTCCCAACGGCGCCCATGCCGTGGCCACCGGCAAGATCGTCGTAGCCTCCGCCGCCGCCGTCCAGCTCCCCCCCGTGCTGCCCACTGCACCTCCCGCCGCACCTCCTGCCGCGCCCCCTGCAGCACCTCCTGCCGCACCCCCCGCTGCACCTCCTGCTGCTCCTCCTGCCGCACCCCCAGCCGTGCAGTCTGGTGCCGCCGCCGTGCCCGCCGCCCCTCCTGCCGTCGCCCAGCCCGCCGTCACCAAGCAGGGTGCCTCAGCAGCCGCCGCCAGCGCCGGTGCCCAGGCCGCTGCCGGTGCGCAAGGTGCTGCCGCTGGTGCCGCCGCTGGTGCCGCGGCTGCGGCTGGTGCGGGCGCCACGCCTGTCACGACCTATGTCCAGGCTGGTGGCAACATCAACGTGCCTCGTGCCGCGTTTGGGCTGCTGGCTCTGATCCCCCTGGGTATGGCCATGGCTCTGTAAGGGTTGAAAAGAAGGGGAGAAAAAAAATAAGAGAGACTTCCGATATATTAAATAATGCCGAAGGCCCCATTTGGGGGGCAAAGAGGTTCAGAGGGAGAGGGAGCATCTTCGACAGTGTCTGCTAGGATACTTTTCTGAAGAAAGATGCAGATCAAAGGAACAAAGGGCAGTAGTTTAACTCTCAAAGTGTCTGTATATACAGGACCAGACCTTAATCCTTGGGCCGAGCCCGGCATCTTAAGCCCTTTTGAGACGTCAAGGGATAGCGGTCCCCGGAAGCTTTGAGTTAGTACAGAACTTATATAATAATATCAGTGCTTCTAGGCATGATAATATTGTGGTCAAAAAAGATGAAGCAAAATGAAAGCCTGTACTGTTCTGATTTGCTTTGGTGCAGATGGAGATTCTCTTGTGTGTGCGGTGGCTTGCAGCCTACTTACTATTCATGAGGTACTTAAGTGGAAGAGATTTGATCAACTGGCAGAGGGTCTTGACTCACATAAATAGTAAAACCATCTCAGGAGCTGTTTGAAGGGTGTGAATGATGATGAGAATAGAGTATGTGGGATTACCTAGGTGACAAAGACACCAAGTGATGGAGTTGAAACTCACCCCTGCCTTGCCATAATTATCCAGAACCAAGGAAATGAAATAGGTATACACATACAAACTCCTGAGCCAACGCCTTGTTCTCTGCTAATATACTTGAACAAGACAGGATAGATGAAAAGAAAAAGAAGAAAAACAAGGCTCCAAGACAGCCCCAAAATGGTGTGTAATTGGAAAGAAGATGGAACGATGCCCCGGGTGCGAATTCAAAAGAAATGGTTCCGACACCAACCCAGCATCTCAACAGTAGCGGCGTCACCACTCATGTTGACCGTCAGATTCATCCTCACCCTCATCCTCATGGATATGGAATCCCGTGCTCCCGACCCCGGCCTCGTCCCCTTCGAGACCGTGCGTCATCTCCCTGCCCCCGCCGGCAGCCAGCAATTGCCATGCTCGCTGGGTGCTGGCATACTCTGATGGCTCGGACGAGGTATCGCTGCCGTCATCCATCTCGTCCCCTTCTTCAGCCTCATGAGGGTTGACATTCTCTTCATCTGACATGGCATTGTCTTCGATGCCAGGCCAGACCTCGTCTTCGGGGCCCTGTGGCTGTGACGACGACTGCTGTTCCTGCAAGGGTTGGTTGTGTGCTTGTCTTGGTTGGCTTGATGAGCGGCGACGGTGGTGGTGGTGATGGTGGTGATCAGAGTCGCTCTCTATGTTATCGAGCATGTCATTTTCATCTTCGTAGACATCAATGTCGGGGTCGTCATCGTCGTCGTCGTTGTCTGTAGAGCTGCCGTGGTCATCATCAGAGGCCATGTCCTCGTCGTCATTCTCGAGCAGTCGAACAGTGCGGTTCCGTACTCGCTGTGACGGGTATTCTGGCGGCGCATTGCTGAATGGGGTGGCGTATGCAAAAGAAGTCACGCGGCGTTCACCTCGAAGCGACTCCTCAGTAACCATGTTCTGGAAGAAAGGCGCTACGCTGGGGCTGCGACTGTACGACCGATGGCTGTAGCGCGGGGTGTGTTGGAAGCGGATGGATGGTGACCGAGTGGCCCTCCGTCTATCTTTTGTAATTATAGAGATTGGAGGAGGATTGGTGACCAGAGAGAGACGAGGACTAGGACGGCCAGGTACGAGGGGTGAAGAGTGACGCCCATTGTTGGACCTACTAGTAAATGTAGGAGGGATGGCGCACGACGACTTTCGGCGACTGCTGCGCGGAGATGACAGAACCGGAGAGTGAATAGGTGGTACCGAGACCGCCCGGATGGAAGGCGGCCGGGAGCCTCTCCGCTCCCTCTGGCCGAGCGGTGACTGTCCTCGCATGAGTATAGGGCTCATCGAGGACACGATGTTGGAAGGCCCAGTGAAGAACTGCTGTGTGGAGCCGTCCGACGTTCTGGAGGTAGTGAGCGCTCTCTCGCGGGCCTGATGTAAGTCCATGGGGGGCAGCCGAGGGCGCGAAGGCTCATCAAGGCGAGCATTATATTGCCAATACTCCTCGAGGGCGTCGGCCTCTAGTATCTCGGAGCCGCTGTTGCTGGCTTGCGATTCGGGATGGACGCGCGTGAGCTCGCGAAGCTTCTGCCACGTCCAGCCAGGCTCAACACCTCTGTAACTCGACAGGTGGCTGTCCTGAAGATATGCCTCGGGCTGAGTGATGTACAGCCGATGTATGCCCGTTGCTTTCATGACAACGTTCATCAAAAAGGTAGTGTCCCATGAGACAGGTGTCACAAGCTCCGCCGGGGACAACAAGCGAAGCCGAGAATCCTTGTGCACTTTTCGAAGCGGAACCCACGGCTGTCGAAAGCCGAAGAATCTTTCGACCCGTGGATCGGAGGCGTAAGGGGATCTGGGATCGGCAGGACTGGGCATCAAGCAAAGAATGCTCTCGAAGGCATGTCCCACTGCAAGCTGCACACTCCGAGCATCAGGGCCCCGAACTGATACAGTCTTGATCAAGCCACGGCTTCTCAAGCGCTGGTCGATCATGCGGCCGGGAACGCAAGCTCTAGGCAGCAGCCATGCCGAGTCTTCCCCGACCCATTCATCACACGCCGCAAGTGCCTGTGGGTCTGGTGTTGCTCTACTGTTAGTATTGGGTGTCTGTACCCATTCGTCCCGCCCTGCAGACAGCCGAGGTGTCTTAAATTCTTGTGCTGCTTGCCAGATTCCCTTGAGGGGGAACGGGAGGAAGACCACTTCCAGCTCCCAAGGAGAGCTGTAAGATGGCACGGAAGAAGCCGAGAGCTGCTTGACGCAGGCCTTCAGGGTCTCTAGCTGGCTGCTCAGAGCTGCGCTACCAGCAACAGCGGCTGCGTCGGCGACGGGGCCAGATACAACACTGATGGTGGCGTCGTCATCACGTTGAGTAGTGTGGCGAGTGCTACCAACGCTCGTCGTGTCGTCGCTGAGCTTCTTCTCGACATCGTCCATACGGGTTTCGAGTTCCGTCACCCGAAGATCAGCCAGGTCATGTCTATCTGTGCACTCCTCGTGAGCCGCATTATAGATGGAACCCGTCTCTAGCCTGTCGAGTCGTTGTTCGTGTTCGTTAACGGTATCTGCCAGGCCTTGCAAGGTCTCAGCATCTCGACCAGCGGGCAGGGCAGGGGAGGCAGGCGACGATTGCATGCCGCGGAGCAGCCCCGGGGTGAGGGTCTTGGTTCCAGATCCGACAGCTGGGTTTGACGCCGGCACAGATGCGATGTCTCTGTTTGCATTTTCATTGCTGATGTTATCACAATTCTTCAAGGGCACACTACTTAGTGTATTCAGTCCCTTTCCGCCGAATGGTCTTAGGTATCTCAATGAGCCGGAAGTGGTAGTGGAAGCTGCTTGTGAGTCTGGCAAGAGACATTGTGAGGGTAGAGGAGGCAGAGGAGTCTGGCCGCCCTGCGTAGACAGCACATTCTTCCAGCTCATGGTATCCGGCATGGAATCATTGTCCTGTGGCGGGGGTCCTGGTGGGTTGGCCGGCGGCAGGTCCACATCAAGTCCTTGGTCCAGCGGGAATGCATCAAAGTTGAATGCAGTGAGGTCCATAGCGGCTGCGTCCATGCTATTAGGCATATGAAACGAAGTAAAGTCCTGGACCGGGCTCAGTGGTGCCCTATTCGATTTTGGCCGCTCATTTTCCTGTCCACGCATGTTGTCCACCACCGGTGCGGATGTGGGCTGTCCTTGGGTATTCTGAACATCATCGTGGAAGCACGCATGGTGCGAACACATACACCAGCTCATATGATCCACTGCTGAGTTCCCGGCGCCAGTAACCTGACGGCTCCAGAAGCGGCGGCAGCCGCATCTTGGTCCATTTGGTCCATGGGTCAGATCGACGAAGTTGCACGGTCCTCCAGGCAGACTAGGGTTCACAGGTGGTGGCGTGTTCCTGGCGGCGCCGCCATCATTGAAGATGTTAAATGGTGAGAAGGAGGCGTGGAGGGGAGGTGGTGGAAACGGAGTAGCGGCCATCGAGCACGACTGAGCTCATCTCTTAGTCCCAACGAGTCTCTCGAGATGGGGCCAGCGTAGAGACGGCGCCAACACGGGCGCGCGCGGGACGGTTCGGGTCGGGTCGAGGAGGTCGAGGTCGGGTTGGAAGGTCGAGAAGTCCAGGTGGGAACTCTGGGCGGAGGAGACGAAATGGTCGCGGGGGGGAGAGGCGTAATATATAGTGGGCGACCCAAACCAGCACAGCTGGGTCGCATGAGGGGGAGAAGCGAGCTTAGCACATCGCACGGTCTCTATACTGCTGCCATTGTCAGTTCTCCAGTCCGTGACACGGAGTGCATGCACCTGTGGCGGGTCATTGTTTGGCTTCGAGGGGATCCTCAGGCAGGCACTGACCACATTGGGAGGATTGAATGGCGGGAGATGCTGCAACAGATACAGGCGACTCTGAATATTTATGCGTCGAGATTTCGTGAGGATGATGTGAAACGAGGCGGACGATGGCGCAAATGCGATGGTAGCTGGAGCGTGAATCACGAAGCGCAGGCGACTGGAGCAAAAGTGAGGCGCAAAGGGATCCAGTCAATCGTATCGATATCGGGTCGTGGGTGTCAAAGCTTATGCCTGTTAGAGTACGTGCTCGACCAGGGAAGGAACATCAAGGTGACGGATGAGGGTACGAGTGGGAGGTGCTGCAGTGATAGGCGAGAAGCATACATGAGTGGACCAGCGAAGTGGAGGAGCGGGGACGGGGTGGCCCTCCTGCAGTGCTAACAGTATGGTAATAGGCAGGAAGGGGAAGGATGGGGCCCGCTAGAGAACAGAATTGGGAATTGGGGGAGGATGCCCGGGGTGTTGGGAGGGGGGGGGGGGGACACAGCAGGTAAAAGTATCGTCATGTAGCCTATAGCTTTGTAGGCACCAGGGTCACCAAAGGTTCCCTCACCTACCCTTCTCTCCCTCGTGTCACTACCACTGTAAGTTACGGAATGAGGCCTCGATACCTTATCGAGGGAGACTCAAGGGTTACAGAACATAACATGACGGTACATCATGTGCCATCAGCATCCCGACCCCTCAAGGCTTCAATAACATTGCCAAACCGTTACGAATGGCTGACTTGCCTAGCCATAACGCCAGACAGACGCGTGAGCCCGACTTACAGGGCCCACAGGTGCAGAAACCAGTGGCTCTTAGTGGCCCGCCCCGTCCCGCTGGCAAAACACACCAACGCCCTCAGTATCCCTGACACGCCTTCCTGGCTTCCGCCTGGCCTGGTCTCATTGGACAGAAACCTCTTAAAACCCCTGCCTCTCACGACGCGTTTTAGTGCAGCTAACCAAGTAGGTTGCATGAGAGGCTGCACATCCTCGTCTTCACCACAAGGTCATCGCTTCACAGGAGTGAGGACGCTTCCGGAAAGAGATTCCTGCACTTTCTGCAAGACACTGAACGGCCCGAAGACGTTGTACATGAACAGCCTCATTCCGTCTACACCCTGTTATGACTCTTGTTATTTCAAGCCTGCTGGCTGCCTGTTCTGCCCAATGGGGTTAATTCGCAGTCTCGTTTTTTGACGCAAAACCCCTTCAGCCCTGGCACTTCCTCGGCGCTATGCTTGCAGATGCCCATCATCACATACATTGAGGCCTTAGAGATCAGCATCAATAGTCTGTCCACTCATGATTGTTGAGCCAACTTGTAACTGTGAAGGGCGCCTATTGTCCGCCCCCCCCCCCCCCCCTTCTCTCCCTCAGGACGTACAGCTTATCAGTACACATGCATGCAGCCTAGAAATGACTCACTTCTCAATTCACTACCTCCCCTCAGGACTCATCCTCGTTCTCAACGACACATTTGATAGGTCAATGGCACCCTTTTAGGGACTACACAGCCTGTGGTACATGTCCAAAGGCTGTAGATTCCTACCAGGACTTGCGTGCTTAGAAATAGCATATTCTAATTTTGGAATATCTGTCGAGTCATTTTTATTTTACGGAATTGAGCAGAACATTTAAGTAACAAGGGAGGCAAAGTGCAATAACATTGAAGAAAACAGACGCCTTCTAAGACAAATGGAAACAGAAAAATTAATTGGTAACATGGACTATTATGGTTCTCAACTAGGTGTCTTACAAACCCGTTATTTCAGTCATAGACTCGTAGCCTTATAAAGAGATGTGGAGTTTTCTTTTGCTATTGTCTTGCACTCCCTCAGCCGCGTTATAGAATCATGTTGATCATCTTGCACGCGAGAAACCCTGAATACTTCTCATGTCCATCTCGTGTTTTTATTTTGATTAGCTCGTACTTTCTATTCGATTAAACAAGTCTTTCTCTTCAGCACATAACATTCCACCCTCGAGAGCCTCATAGCCACCGAGTCAATAGAATAAAATACCAGAGATAAGGAAACAAAACATCATATCCCTTGCCAACAATTATCAACAACAATCAACAGAGTCCCCCGCCCGCCCCCAAGACCCAGAGCCAAGTTTCAACCCCCCGCCCCCTCTCACATGATCTCCAGGCTCCCCTGCGCCCAGCACATCCTCGTAGCAAAGTGCCAAGCCATCCAAGTTGTGACTCCGCGAGATCGTCTCAGAGAGGCCGGCGTCGTGGGCGCTGGCGACGGTGTCGACGGTGGTGTCGTTGGTGGAGCTGCACTTGCAAAGGGCTTGGTCGTGGGTGACGATGCCGGTTGTGAGGCTGTGGAAGGCGTCGAGGATGGCTTCACGGGTGGTGGGGAGGGTTGGTAGTGGTTGGAAACACATTGTTCTTTGGCTAGACGAAGATCCTGGACAGTGGGAAAATGATATCCGAGATCGAAGTGAGCAAGGAGTCTGTTCGCTGAGAGTGATGGAGTAGGCCTGCGTATATAGTTGTTGCTGGGGGGAAGTGATGTTCTTGCCCTCACAGTCATTTCCTGGTCTGCAGCGGGGCGAAGGGCATTGGTAGACTTTGTCATTCACCAACATGTTCGCAGGTCTATAGTTGAGAGCCCAGGCAGCCTAAAGGACAGTCGATTCTAGGAATCGCTGAGCTTATGCCGTCATCACTAAAGGGTTGTCGCCATGGTGCCGTCTTCATGCTCGTCAGGAATTCGGGATCCCGGTTACAATCGTTCTCACCCCTTCCATTTGTAAGACATTGATTGGCCTTTGGCGATGCTCACACTAATGCCATGCCTCATCCATGTCTACGCTACTGCCGCATTGTCAGTACGAAAGTACGTGCTCCATACTATCTATCCATCCAGTCTTGAGGATACCGGACCTATTGAGCGTGGCGGAAGTAGTGGGGGCCGATGGCCTCACCGCCTGTGCTTGTTAGGAATCCCGAGCACGGCGAGAAGGAACCTCTACCTGTGTATTCGATGAGATTCTCCCATTATTATGTGAACCTCTGACCCCAAGGAATATTCTCGGATGGGATGAATCATCACAGGTCGTGAGCATAGGTGTGCGGCAGGTGGCCTACGCCGTCGGTCGAAAATTTCTACGTAAAAACTACTGTGATATGCGATTGTCCGTCGGTAGAGCTATTCGCTCCGGGTCCTTTGTAATATTTCTGACAATCATTGCTTAATGAGTTCCGACGTGGTGAACATGTGGTGCGCGTTTCGTCGGAATAGCATACGGCCAACTGAGTGGGTGTATCAAGTAGTCGCATGTCTAAGAGCAGGGGTTTGGTTCGGTCTGGAGCGAAGAAGCTGATTGCAAGCGGATTTGAGGACCGGTTCCCCTTCGAGAAGGACAGAGGGGACCTTAGTTGCAACACGAGAGAGTCTTGTCTCTCTACATTGGCTTGAAAAAAAATACTTGTGAAGTAGTTAAAGCTGGATACAAGTGGATCTGATTTGGCGTCATAAAGTATAATAGAAAACGAGGGGCCTCTGGACGCTGTCCAGAATGCGGGACATGGGAACATTGCTTGGTATCTTCATTTTTGCAATCCATGTTAATATCGCTAGGACTACATGATATGCATACACTACTGCGCAGGCTCAACAGCCACATAGTGCAGGTAGGCACCCAGGAGCTTGATGCCCTCGACATAATTCCTCTTGTCCAGCTTCTCGTTGATAGAGTGCGCACCGTCCGTCGACGAGCCCATGGGCAGCAGAAGCACGTTCTTGCCCGTGGCCTGCTCGAAAGTGAGGGTCACGGGGATACTGCCGCCCTCACGCGTGAAGTCAGGCGCGACGCCCCAGACCCTCTCGACGGCCTTGGCGGCGGCGCTGAAGTTCCAGTGCTTGGGCGAGGCGACCCACCACTTGCCGACGTGCTGGGGGTAGACCTTGAGGGTGTTCTTGGAGCCGAGCTTGGCAAACTGCTCCTGCACGTACTTGGCGACGCACTCGTTGGTCTTGTCGATGTCCATGTCCGGCACGGTGCGGATGCTGAACTTGCCGGTGACGTGGGCGGGGATGACGGTCTTGGCGCCGGGGGAGGAGAAGGCGCCCTCGATCCCGTGGAGGGACAGGGAGGGGTATCGCCAGCGGGCCATCAGGGTGGGCTTCTTGTCCTCGAAGATGGTCGTCTTGCTGCCGAGCGACTCGTGCAGGGTCTCCATGGTGAAGCTGATGCTATCGTACAGGGTCTCCTCCTCGGGGCTGACTGGGGCAACCTGCTCCATGATGCCGGGGATCTGGATCTTGCCGTCGGTGTCGACGAGGGTGCCCATCACCCGTATCAGGTCGGTCATGGGCTCCTGCGCCGTGCCACCGAACACACCGCTGTGCAGGTCGGCCCCAGGGCCCGACACCTCGATGTTGTAGTAGTTGCACCCACGCAGACCGTAGGTCAGGCAGGGCTTCTCGGTGCCGAGCCAGTAGTTGTCGCTGATGCAGACGGCATCAGCATCCTTGAAGTACTTGTCCTTCTCCGCCATGATGAAGTCGTCCAGCCCATCGGAACCGTACTCCTCCATGCCCTCAAAGCACATGAGCAGGTTGACGGGGAAGTCGACTCCGGCCTTCTGGTGGGCCTCGATGGCGTTCAGCCAGCCCAGAACCGGTCCCTTGTCATCAGTCGAGCCGCGGCCGAGCATCTTCCCGTCCTCGGCAACCGTCAGTGTGAAGGGCTCGGTGGCCCAACCATCGGACTTCTCGGCGGGCTGGACATCGTAGTGGCCGTAGACGAGGATGGTACGCTTGTTCTTGTCGTTGCCATAGCGGGCTACCACGACGGGCGGGAGGTCGAGGTTGTCCTTCCCGTGCTGCTTGCCCAGAGGGCGCAGCTCGACCTCGGCACCCAGGCCTTTGAGCTCGGTCTCGAGGAAGTGGGCCATACGCACGACATCGGGACGGCGGGCATCCTCGGCAGAGACGGAGGGGATGGCCACAGCAGCAGCAAGGCGTTCGATGAACTTGGGAGCGAGGGTGTCGACCTGGCTGAAGAAGCCGTCGAGCTGAGGAGCACCGGCCATCTTGCGAGCTTGGTGGGCACGAATAGCTTCGGTGAGATAGCTTCGAGACTGCTGCTTGGGAGCACAGGGCAGAGAGAAAGTATTTAAGCTTGTCTGCTTCTTCTTTCTGCTGTGAGAGAGAGAGGAGGCAAGTCGACGAGGCGGAAGGGTACTGGTGATCACTCGCGTGATGGGTGGTAGTCGGAGAACGAGTGTGCGGGGCATTTGAAATAGTTGAGCATGGAGAGGTCAGTCAGGAAGTCCCCTCTCCCATGAGCCGGCCGCAGAACAGCAGAAGGCTACAATCGGCGTTGTGGAGGGGCTTGGGGCGTTGCTGAGGGGCACGCCAGGGGATCCACCCAGTGCCCGTCTGCAGTGCCCGTTGGTCGGGCGTGAAGCCCACTCAAGGTGCCTGCCTACTCGGGCAACTCCTTCAACCCGCCACAACCCACCGTGCCTTGAGAGCCGAAAAAGCATCATCACATGCAGAGGATTCTCATTACGAGATTGAGCAGGTGAACAGTAGTAAAGGCGTTTTCGCCTGTGCCCGTCTAGATCAGGACAGTAAAATGTCATTGTTCAATGGCACCAATAAACCCATTCAAGAATCTGTATCTAGCTAGTGCTATACTGGTATCGTAATGGGGCTGAAGTCAAATTGAAACGCCTTCCAAAACTCCCGCCGTGGCCTTACCATTCATTCCCCTACGCGCCCCTCCCCAAGATGAGATATCATGAAAAAAGAAAATGCTGGTCTTGGTATCAAATTATTACCCTCCCCCCCTCCTCCCCGGCGAAAGAGGGGCGGTGGTAAGGAAAGCAAAAGAGTAAATGAGAAACGTTGCGAAAAGAAGGGAAGAAAACGAAAGCCACAGAGTATGCAATGCCTACTGGGACAGTATCATGAGCATTCGACCCTCAACCCGAAAACTGATTGGGACGCCACTAGCGAAATCCGTTGGTAATCCGGCCTTTCTTCATGTCTTGACTGCTAGCTTTGGAATTTCGACGTTCCGCTACCGTGGCAGCATCCCAGACACCAGCAAAGATATCCTCACACTCTTCCTCGTCGTCGGAGTCGAAAACGATCTCTGCCTCGGTCTCACCCTCACTGCCCTCGGCCTCGACAACAAAGGCGGTCTCGCCATCCGCACCCTCAGACGAGCAGCTCTGTTTCCTATGGCCACCGGGAGTGGAGCTCTTTCTCCTCCCGCCAAAAGACCCCACAGGCGCGGACGAGCTGTAGAAGTGGCGGTGCGGGTCCTCTTCCTCGCCGGGCCGGATATCCTCCCAGCTGCGCAGGAGAGCTACCCTCTCTGTCTCGAGGATGAATTTTCCTACTTTGTACTTTTGGGCCTGCTCTCTAGCGTCCACGTACTTCCAGCCGATCTTGACACCACACGTCAAGCAGTTGATGTCTGCCACAACGTGTGCCCCCGTCACTAGGTTCCGAGGCTCGGGACGCCCGACCGTGACATTCACGAGGTTGGCGCTCTCGCGTGCGATGGCATGGTGACCAGGGGACACAGGCGTGTTGCTGTCGCCGTCGGCGGCCGTGGGAACGGAGGCGCTCGGCGGCGGAGACACGAGCAGGGCACGCCCATGGCGGCCCGTAAACCCCTTGGAGACGATCTGCAGCCCGTAGGCGATGTCTGTGCCGCACGTATTGCAGCGGAGGACGTCGGGGAGGCTGCGTGCTAGGCGGTTGCGCGTGGGATCGCGGGAGGCTGAATGCTTAGACTTTTTCTGAGCTGCAACAGGCGCAGGGCTGTCGCTGGGAAGCCCAGGGGTGTAGATCTCAACGCCTGCGGAAGGGCTGGTGGGTGAGCCTGGGCCGTGATCGGCCGAGGCGGTGGACGAGGGCGAGCTACTGAGCGAGGGGACCTCGTTCAACGTGGCCGGAGACGCAGTTGTAATTGAGCTCTGACGACGGCGAAAGAAGGGCACTTTCAGGCTTGGGAGGAGGTAGGTTGGAAAATGAGGAGCCGTGGGGCCCTTATTGCTCGTGGACGGACGAAACATGACTGCGGCTTCACGGGCTGTAAAATCTCTCTGGGATGATGATGTCTTCAGGCCGACCTAGACTGTCGTTCTTTCTTGTGGCCGCCGGGGCCGTGATGGATTCAGACGCAGGGTTACGAAATCGGAGCCCTTTCAGGGTTTATAGAGGGAGAGTATCATAATTAGGGAGGAGAAGGCAGAGTCGGGAGAAGGCTGAGATTTGTGGTCCCGGCCCTCTCGGACAAGTCGAAGGCTCACGACGGACGAGACTCCACACCTAAGTGGAGGGTAAATGGATGGATGGACATGAGTGGTCAGTAGATGAGAGATCAGATGCACTGTTATTTCAGGAGGAGGATTTGGGCGTTTGCTTGTGTGTGAGAAGTGGAGGAGTCACGGCCTCTGAGAGCAGAAGAAGGGGGAAAAGGAGGGGGGCAGGAGGGTAGGTCTGGTGTTGCATGACCTCACAAGCTAACCTTCCCCTCCCTGCAACCACTTACACGGCAATCGCGGGAAGCCCCACCGCGCCCCACTAAGTATGGATGTTTCTCTTCCTATCGTGTGTCACGATAGGACTTGCAGCCGTTTTCAGCTCCCACGATGGGAACTGGTCAAGTAAAAGCGATCTGAATGCGGTATGTGGATTGTTCTGTTGGGTTTTTGATCGCGTTTGTAAATTTAACATCAAGTCTCACTCCTAGTAGTATTCTTTTCTTGGTCGTCTTAGGCCATGGCTGTTCTATCTTATAGCAGTAACCCGAGATACGTACTATGTACCGTCAGGATTGAGTAGTATAGTACCGGGGCCAGTCGCGTTACTGCTCTTAGTGTCCACATTGGCCAGGACTTCTGACATTGCCATGTGATGGGATTGGCGCCACGCAGGTGCTGGCAACGAGAAAGAAACCATGACTTGTACCATCCTGCATAAGTGGACTGGAACTACTCTGTAGCTGAACAATTTGAATGTTGGCAAGGCAAAGCAAAATTGTCTTCCAAGTTGATGGCAGATTGTAGTCAAGCATACAAGGAAGGGGGAACACGAAGAGCAGAAATACGATCAGCAGGGAGAGTTGCAATGCGAGGAGGCTGTAATTGGTAGTGGGAGGTGATGGCGTTAGTCAATTGTTGTCTCTTCTTGTTCTCCTTCCGAGAGATAGAGAACGAAAATTCCCTGAAAGTCCCAGCTAGTCGATAGGGAGTATTACAGCACGCTCAGATACGTTTTGTGTTGTATTTCATGTAGCCGGAATAATAATTATGCACAGTAGTATCGCCGAGTGATTGAGGGAATTGTAGCGGCAGAAGCTGATGTCTCTCGCAGCTGAGATGGTACGCCATCATAGAACTTCCATGCTCCGTTGAGACGGCGTACAAGACTGTCTGTCGGTGGGGTCATGGCGAGATTGGACATTCTATCGTTTTGTCTAAACCATCTGTGCTCTCGTCCTAGTAGAGTTGCGTTCCATGACCGCAGGAGGAAGACATGGTACACCGCTTCCCAATATATACACTGTGGTGAGCCACAAGACTCGGAGCTGGCCACTGATCCCTTTCTATTGAGCGCATCTTGGCATCATAGGTGCAGAAAACCCAGCCCCTGACTCCGTCCGTCCTCCTCATACTGAACGAGCAACAGGACATCGTCCCTCGTTATGCCTCCATCACGGCCCCCCCACCAAACCTACACCCTCTCGCTCACCCAGATCGCCCCCCGGCACCCCGCCCTGATCACCCCCGTCAGCAACCAGTGCGGCTCCGCCTTCTTGGCATCGTGCTCGACCGCATGGTCAAGATGCTCCAGCTCCTCGTCCCGTATCCTGCGCAGCGTGCCGATCAGCGCCCGGAACTCCTCGCCCACCTCGTACCCTTCCTCCTCCCACCGCCCCACCATCTCCAGCAGCACCCGGATCTGCGAGTTGTAGTGGTCGCCAATCTCCGTCTCGACAGCCTCCGTGCACGCCATGGCCGCCTCCCGCCCCAGCACGGCCGTCGACCACCCCAGCCCGTACGAGAGCGCCGACCACACCGGGTACATGGCCGTCGGCCGCACGCGGTGCCGCGCCAGCAGCGCGTTGAACGTGTTCAGGTGGCCCTCCTCCTGCTCGTACATGTGTCGCATCAGCGGCCGCAGGTGTGGGTGCCGCCGCACCAGGGGCGGGGTCTGCGCCGTGTAGATGAGCGTCGCCGCTAGCTCGCCCGCCTGGTTCACGCGCAGGGCCGACGAGAGGTAGTCGCGCTGTGCCTGTGTCAGGGGTTTGCGCCGGCTTTTTTTACCTGTTGCTGTTGCGCCGCTGTTTGTGCTGCTCACGCCGCCGCCGGGCCGTGCTGGGTCGGGGTTGGTGTGGTCTGTGACATTGGCCGCGCGGGTGGCTGTGTTTGATATGAGACGTCGCGAGGTTGGGGGGAAGACCGCGGCGGGTGCGAGGAAATCGTAAATGGAGGTTCGTGGCGAGGCCTGCAGGGTGCGCTGTGCCTGTCGGAGCAATCTGGTTGACGATGCCATGTTTGGATATGTTGCTGTGGTCTTTGTGCGGCCCCCTATGATGGTGGTGGTGGGTGCTTGAGAGAGCTTCGAAGAAAATCAAAGACATCATCGGCTGTGGTCTGATATACGGAGCCGACCTCGGCACGACAGGGATGTACATGGTGCCGGGGGACTCCGGACTTGTACCCCTAACCCTCTTTCTATGAACAGCGCTCTACATAGATTGCCGAGGAAGACAAAAGAAAGGTAAGTCAGTGCTGGATAATGTCGAGAGGCTTGAGTTTAACGTTGTATTTCCTAATGCTATCCTGAAGATATACATCTGATGACCCTCAGCTGGGGTAGAACCCGTTGCTGGGATTTGGCAGTAACCGTCATGTCTACAGAAGAGAGGCCCCCAGCAAAGAAATCATACACCAGATGCAGAGATACACAACGCCAGTTGCTATGACCCATACCATACAAATTCTCCGAGTCCACAGTGTTGAGCCGTGGAGTGCCAAAGAAGTCCAAGAGAAGCTGCCGCCAGATCTGCTGAATCAGTACCTTCTCGGGATACTCTCCTACCGTGGCGAACCGGCGGCATATCCCACCATTTCGTTGTTTAGTCGCTATAGAATTGTTAGCCTGATGTTCCATGGCCGTCCTTGCTCGATCTTCGACACCGACAAGAGAAAGCTGTACTTACTAGATCTGCAGAGGAGCAGCCTGATCAACCAGCGTAAGCCAATCTCCCTTCTCCTCCGCGCCTGCGAGCCAGTCGTATGGAAACACAACCAGGTGGCCTTGGATCAGCCCGCAGAGGCCATCCATCATCTCCCGCGTCAGCAGGTTCTCCACCATTGGGCGGTGGCGACTGCCTCTAGTCGTCGCCCGCCTACGGCGCTTGGCCGGTCCTGTTGGGGTCGGGGTTTCCACGGCTGTCGTGGAGGACGACGGCGCGCATCCGGAACCGCTCGTCGCCGGCGGCTTTTCGTTCGAGCCGTCGTCCTCGGGCGTGCTGAACGTTGCCCGACGTTCGCGCTTGTCGGTCGGGGTCGCCTTGTTGCCGGGAACAAGAAGGCGAGGGTCGACTGCGTCATTCGTGTTATCCTGGGCTGTGGCGGCTTTCTCGGGCTCTGGCACCGACGTAGGCGCCGATGAAAATGGGCTGTTGGCAGGTGGCTGGAATGCAGGGCTTGCCATGGGCGAGTTGAGCGCGCGTGCAGCCGCAGCAGCCCTCTCGATATCAAGACGGGAGTTTTGTCGTGCATGGCGACGCGCTGGCGATTCGTTTTCGAGCGCTTCCTGGGCCTTCTTCAGAGGCGCCTTGACACTGCTTCCTTTGCTCTTGACCTTCTCTGAGAGGGCCTGTGCCGCTGGCACCGGACCAGGAGCAGAGATGCCGGCTCCGCCAGCTGTTGACTGCCGGCTTGGCTTCTCAGTCTCAGTCTGGTGACTCTGATTCGTCTGCTCGGGCCTATCGTTCTGCTCATGCGCATTCTGGGGTCCCTCTTGTGCCTCTCTGAGTCGCTTCTGGTGGTCCATGAATTCCATATACTGGGCCCAGTCAAGCACCTCGTTGTCTGGCATGCAGTGGAAGACCTGTCTGTAGATCTTCGTATTGTTCTCGGCGATCCGGTTCCAGACATTGTCGTAGAATTCCGGATCCAGTGGGTCCTTCATGCAATCCTTGTCGATGACTGCCGGCTTGATCTGGGTCGCCAGAGGGTGTGGGATCAGGACCGCCGAATCTCCATTAGAGTCACCCGGCAATGCTGGGCCGCCGATGTCCGTGTCATCACCCTGAGGAAGATCAGGAAGTTGATTTGCCCTGGGAAGCCCCAGCTGTTCGGTGCTCCGACGGTCAAATGGAGGCAAGAGATCGCTACTTGGTCCCTCTGGCGTTGGTTCGGTCTCAGCGGACTGCGGGCTGATGGAGTCCTGGCTAGCCGCCGGGCTCTCGATGGTGCCTTTCCCTTCAGGCAGGATACCGCGAGCGAGATACTCGCGCCCCTTGATGACGACAGTGTCCCTGCCTCGGTCCAACCCCTGTTTTTGTGCCTCTTTCCAATGGTCAGGCCCGTAGCCAGCCACTTCGCGTTTCTGTTCCGTATTGGGAGGCACGTCCTGCGACGCTTCTGAGTCGACAGAGCTGCTCTTGGAACTCGCCGAGGAACGACGCTCGTTCTCGGCGTTTGCATCCAGTTGCAGATCCACATCGTAATTGGTACTGTGTCCCCTAGACAATCCCGGCGGACGAGGAGCTAGGTGGTCACCAGAATGCGGGCCTGACTCGACCGACTCTTCGGAATCGCTGCCATATATCCGGTCCATCTCAGACTGGAATGCTTCTTCCTGCCCATAGGTGGCGTTCCTCTCCTCCTCGATGATCTCATCCACTGGCAGACCAACGTGCTCTCTCATGAGTCGCATGCGGAGGGTGTGCGCGAAGCGACCAACCTGGTAATCCTTGCCAGCCATCTGGGACCATATCATGTCCGTGTCCCGCACGATGGCAGCAATCTCAGAGTCGCGAGAGCCCAACATGGATCTCTCGTTGATGTTGGCTGAGCCTATCAGGGCGACACGGTCATCGACGATGATAGTCTTGGCGTGTATATACAGCTGCTCTGTGACATGGTCTTGGTTGGGTCCAATCTTGCCCCACTGGCGCAGTGAGAAGAATTGAATGTACTCCTCTGGGTCAATCCCAGCAGCACGGAGCCTGCCAAAGATCGAGGACTCTCCCCGGCAGATGCTTCGGTATTGGCATTGCATGATGAGGCGGACGCTGGTGCCTTCCACTTCGGCCACAGTGTTTTGAAAGCCAGGCATGAGGGGGATGAGAATGACACATCTCCAATCCTCGTCGTTCTCGAAGGCTCGCTTGATACGATCGACCAGAGCGTCTCCTATCTTGTTGACGATCGGGACGCCGAGGGCGTCTGCGCTCGATATGAAGAATTGGTTTTCCATGTAGACGAAGTGGTCAGATTTCTCAATCATCTGAATGTAAGCATTTTGAATGCTACACTCAGTATGCTGGGTCCCCAGCGACCAGGTAGTCGCAGATCGAAGAATCTGGACTTCACAGGTGCCTGTAAGACCAAGTGCCTCCAAATCCTCTTGACGGAAATCAGGTGGTGGTAACAGGAATGGCAGGGGCCTCGTGATCCGCCGATTGCGCCGGAGGTAGTTCCATCGCTGCACAAAGTGTCGCGTCAAATCTCGAGCGGGTTGTCCCACAACTTGCATGGAGATATCATGCCAGGGCATCCGTGGCGTTTTGGAGCGGTCGTACATTTCCTCGTACGGCTCATCCAACTTGAAGAAATCTTGTATCCTCGGATTGGAGTAGTCCTTACCGGGGAACATCTGCACATGTTCTGCATCCCTGGGAACGTTCTGAACCTCCTGCGGCTCGAAACCTGTGGGCTTGTCGTCGGAGAGAAGATGCTGAGGAGTGTCCCACCGCCCAAAGCACAAGTCGATACCCCCACAGAATGCAATATAGTGATCCACGATGCAGACCTTCTCATGATGAGCAAAGAAATACTGGTTCTTCTTGTATTGATTCGGAGATCTTTGCACGAAGATGTTAGGATGAAGGTTAAGCAGGGACCTCTTTGTATATTCCGAGTCGATAGGGACGGCAGCCTCAACGTTTCGGTACACGATCACAAAGATCTTGACGCCTTCCGAGGCTTTTTGTTGCAGGAGTCGATCCAGTCGCCATCGTTGGCTGATGCAAGATGGCCTTCTCATGTAGAGTTCTGGGCTCAACCACCAATCATGGATGTAGATTACATCCTTGGCCATGGAAATAGCACGCGACACATTCCACATGTAATCACGCCCATCGACAAGCCATTGGGCGTAAACATTCTGTCGGACCGGTGCGAAGCTGTCGAATCGAATATTGGGCGAGGCCCATGGCGAGTTTGCCATCATTAACTTGATCGACTCTTCGAACTGAGGCAGATCATGTTGCTGAGCGTAGAGATTGATCTTGCGCTCGGAGTTGATGATGGTCAACTTGTGGTGGTGCTTCCTAGATGAGTTAGGATCCTGGAGGAAGTCATCCTCGTCGCCAACACCGTCATCTCCAGCGGCTGTGGACTTGCCCTTCTTAGAGTTCTTGGCCGCCATTTGTCCGAGTTTCTTCTTCTTACAGATGATGTCGAACTTGGAGTCAACGAGATACACGTCGCAGATGTCGATGCTCTCAGGGGAATCGACACAGGCGATGTAGCTTTGTCGCACGAGAAACCATTTGCGATCCTTTCTCAGGATCTTCCTGGCCTGGTTCACGATCTCATTGGCCGGTCGCAGCTGCATGAAGCCCTCCTTCCCATGATAGCCTCCCTCGGCTGCGAGACGGACTCCGAGGGCCGACAGCTCAAAGAAACGACAGAGGCGGTTGCTGTCTGGCCTGAACATGAGCCAGCGCACCATCTCTCGCAAATACTTGTCCAGTGCCCTTCTCTGGTAGCCGGCGTACTTGCGTTTCTGCTCCTCGGGATCCTTCTGCGCTTCGAGCGCGGCTGCAGACCCTTCCTCGGGCATCGACATGTTGCGCCTTGGGCTCAGGATGTGCATCCTGGAGGTTTTCCGCCGGCTGTGTCCTGGTCGACCCTCGGCGTCAGTAGCTGTACCCTCAGCCGCCGTCATCTCGCCAGCGGTGGCCTCGCCAGCTGTAGCGTCGCCGGCCTCGTACTCGACGCCAGGTGTGGCCTCGTTGCCCTCTGCGACGGCCTCATCCTCATCACTGAAGTCGAGCCTTTTAATGTTTCGAAGGTAGGGGAAAGCTTTTGATGGGAACTTGGGTTGCTTTGGCCCGGCCCGGCCTCCTGGACGCTTTAGCCGAGCTGTAGTCACGCTGCCCTTGTACTTGAAGTGCATGCGTAGGATGTCACCAAGGCTCTTCTTGACCTTCCAAATCATGCGGTTCGGCCCATTGCCGTACTCCAGATGGATGGTGAAGAGTGTGTGCCGCTCGCTGTCGCCACGAACAACACTTTCGACAATCTGCACGCGCACCTGCTCCAGTAGCACCGGTATCTTCTTGTGGCCGTGTTCATCACGCTGCAGCATGCTGGCGAACATGACCACAGCAGGGGCACCAGCGCGTAACTCGCCCATCAGCTCTGTGGACTTGAGGTAGTCGATAGGCTCGCCTCTTCTGTGTTGTCGCAGAAGACCAAAAGTACTCTTAACTTGTTTCCATCTGTTGGCGCCGACAAGGGTTGAATACCGTTCCGTTCTGAACCGCGGTCTCCGCGGTGTCTGTATGGCGTCTCCATCTGATACGCCCTCTGCTCCACCTCCTCCTCCCACGCCGAACATACTGATCCGACGCAGGTGGCCTCTGCGCCGGTCGCCATGGTCCACGTCCTCGGCATCTGCCGATCTTCCCGCGTGTGAATATCCTCTTCTTGCGAACGGCCGACTCACCCGCCGTCCCTCTCCCTCTGATACCGCACCACGATCGTCCGGGTCCGGCATCGTCGCGCGCCGCGGTAGGTTGGGGAAGCGCCTGATCATAGGCGAGCCCACTGTCGCACCGGTCTGGGGGGTGTTGGGCATGGAATCGGACATTTGTTTCACGCGCCTCTGGAAGCGGCGCCTCTTCTTGAAGGCCGAGCCATTGGTGGCACCAGGCGTCTGCGCCTCGTCGGCGGTCTCCTCGACATCCGCATCGTCGACATCACTGCCTTCTATGCGAATAGGTGGGGGCGATGGTAAGGGCAACGGCTCCTCCGTCGCCATTGGGGATTTCGAAAGGATCTCGCGGTGATTCGGGTGTGAAGCTCGTGGTGGGATGAGGGAGCTCGGCCGATCAACGTATGGAAGATTCAGAACCTATGTGACTGTGGAAGAGGGCAAGCTGGCCAGGGAACTATTCTTGGGTCTCGTCTAGCGTGAAGCGCTTGCATGCGACGACGTTCAACGAGTCTCACGAGCTCTTCAGCAGAGCAAACACCTGGGTTCAAAGAGTACAGAAGTGACAGGGCTTTCTATCAAGAAAATTGTACAAAAAGGAAGGAAGGAAGCATATACGTAGCCAATTCGCTACTCGAAAGAGGTAGAGGGACTGGAGTTGTTTTGGGCGGTCAAGATATCCCTTTCCAGGAGATTGAGGTTGGAGGTAATCTCAAGGAGGTTGCTACCACCGTACTGCATATCCTCTGGTGCAGGTGCCATGTGGGGATCATCATATGGGTGCCGGGATCCAGCAGCAGGGATGGCTTCAGTGGGCTGCAGACAGTGGGGCATGGGCTTCCCGACCCCCTGTGCCCCTCAAGCTGCCCCAACGTTGCAGTGCTGCCGGGCTTTATTTCGGAGAGGGGGGGGGGGGGGAGGCATAAGCTTTAAGCTCATGACATCAGCAACGCTTGTGTGCTGTACAACTACAGCATTGCAATAAGATCCTCGAGACCCCACCGTTGAAAGCAGCATTTATTTGGATGAGAATGTCGGTCGTATTTTGAGACGGAAATTTCAAGATCGGTAACTTCCATGTACGAGCGCTCCGGTGCTCCTGTTCAGGGAGTCTGGAGGCTTAGCTGCAGACCGGATAGGAACAATTGCCAGACTACTTGGAGGGCGACATGGCAAGAAAGAGTAACATTAGCAGACGGATGAATTGTAATGGCCTGTAGTGCTCCCTTGTGCAAGTCACTTTCCTGTGAAGTCTCAGCAACTCGCAATGTGCACACAGCAAGGACCATGCCCTGGCAGTCATAAGAAGTCTTATATGTATGAAATCAACAGGATGATTCATAAGAATTTTGAGGATGCTTTCATCAATCATGGAAGTAGACAATTTAATAGTTTGCACACACTGCAAAGGTCTGTCGGGCTCTAAAGGCTGCCAAAGGCCAAAGGTCGGTATGGAATATCGTAGTTTTCAAGTGATTTTATCCAGCCATAAAAGGTGCGGGCCGGCGAAAAGGAAATGATGCCTTGAACCCGAGGCTTGATAGAAAGAAAAGGATAAGGATAGAAGAAAGGAAAAGCGTGGATAGAGATAAGTGTGTTAAAAGGACATGCGTTTTCTCCTACTACGGTGTTTTTGTTGAGGGAGCTGGGGTGTGGGGGCATAGTTTTATCCCTAACCCTTGGGTGATGTATCACCGTGTCAGAGCTCCTAGTAAAGTCTATAACCATCGCGTCGACGCGTCCCGACCATAACACCCAACACGACGACCGCCGTTTTCCTCGTGCGCCATGCCTAGGTACGCTCCCCTTCCTCTAGCACGGTTGGAATTCTGGCATTGACTTTTCAAAGAGAGATTATCACGGTCCAGGCAGGCCAGTGCGGCAACAGCAGTCAGTACCCCGCACCTTGTTGATGTCGAGCGGCGCCAATTTAGATTTAGGTCTATTAGGAAATCGTACTGACACCATCCAGTTGGCAGCCAATTCTGGCAGCAGCTTTGTCAGGAGCACGGAATCGGCCAAGATGGCAACCTCGAAGACTTCGCGACGGAAGGCGGCGACCGGAAAGATGTGTTCTTCTACCAGAGCGACGACACCCGATACATACCAAGAGCAATCCTGATCGATTTGGAACCTCGTGTACGGCCTTGCACATGTTGCCTCTTGATACTGACACACGTTGCTGATTCTGGCTGCAGGTTATCAACGGGATACAAACGGGGCCGTTCAAAAACATCTACAACCCGGAGAACTTCTATGTCGGCAAGAATGGCGTCGGTGCTGCGAACAACTGGGGTGACGGATATCAGACGGGCGAGTCTGTGCACGAGGATATCATGGAAATGATAGACCGCGAGGCTGATGGTAGTGACTCTCTTGAGGTAAGTGACTCGTGGTGACCGACTGCGTACGCGGGTTGCTAACTATATGGTCACAGGGCTTCATGATGCTGCACTCCATTGCTGGCGGCACAGGATCCGGTCTGGGCTCCTTTCTCCTGGAACGATTGAACGATAGGTTTCCCAAGAAGATCATTCAGACATATTCAGTGTTTCCCGACACCACCAACGCAGGCGACGTCGTGGTGCACCCTTACAACAGCATGCTGGCTATGAGGAGGCTGACGCAGAATGCCGACTCTGTGGTGGTATTGGACAATGGTGCACTGTCACATATCGCTGCGGACAGATTACATGTGCAAGAACCGTCGTTCCAACAGACCAATCAGCTCGTATCGACGGTCATGTCAGCCAGTACAACGACTCTGAGATATCCAGGCTATATGCACAACGATCTGGTCAGCATCTTGGCCTCTCTGATACCCACACCCAGATGCCACTTCTTGATGACTGCATACACCCCTTTCACAGGCGACCAGGTGGAGCAAGCCAAAACAGTGAGGAAGACGACGGTATTAGATGTCATGAGGAGACTGTTGCAGCCTAAGAACAGAATGGTCTCCACGGTGCCGGGCAAGAAGAGCTGCTACATCTCGATTCTGAACGTGATCCAGGGGGAGGTGGACCCGACCGACGTGCACAAGAGTCTGCTGCGGATTCGGGAACGCAGGTTGGCAACCTTCATTCCGTGGGGACCAGCAAGCATCCAGGTCGCCCTTACCAAACGCAGTCCATACATCCCAATGAGCCACCGTGTGAGTGGTCTCATGTTGGCGAACCATACGAGCATTGCCACAGTAAGTTCAAATCTGCCTAATTCTGTGTGACGTCCTGAAAACTGACGAGGCATGCAGCTCTTCAAGAGAATCGTCCGACAATATGACGGCATGCGAAAGCGCAATGCCTTCATGGACTCGTACAAGAAGACCGCACCATTTTCAGAGAACTTGAACGAATTTGACGAGGCACGAGAAGTCGTAGGCGATTTGATTGCGGACTATGAAGCTGCCGAGGATGCAAACTACCTCAACCCGGACCTGGGTGACAAGGCAACCACGGCAGAGACGGACAAACGTGTGGCTTGATTATATGGGGGCAGGTTTGGTATAAATTTCTGTAGCAGCAAATGGGTTGTCGGCTAGGGCTGAGGCGTTGTTCTCAAGGATGCCATTGTTGTACGTACTCCAACAAGTGGTGTTGGGATTGGGCTAGGTGGCTTGTTACTCTTCTCTATGCATGGGTCGGTAGGCGTTTTAAGGTGAGATACCTGTCAAAACTGACGCAGACACAACAATGAATTGCTGTTTGACATTTTATTGCATCTCCCACTCTTGTTCAAGCCTGGATTTGAGACCGGGCCATGCTCAGAAAGCGTGAAAAGATTCTCTCAACCTCCATCCACACTGACGTGCTTCTTGTACGATCGTCTATCAAAAGCCTTGATCAGATTGAGTAGGCGATCGCGTGGGGCGAATGATGCGGCTTAAGGCCCCATTCAATGAGGTGCTGCGGGAGCGGGAAGGCGATCCACTATTTTTGACGTCAACCCTTCTAGGAACGTCCTGTGGCGGCCTTGTACGTGACGTCAGTTAGTACGGAGCAATAGCTCCTATAGGCTTCCAGGACGACCTCACACCTCGACTACAAATAAGTCGTGATGCCCTTTCGATTCGGCGCACTTTCTCCTGGACAACCTCATCATCAAACAAATTGACAAGTTCGTCCTCACAATACATCAAAAAACCAATCCACTCAATCCCACCAAGCACCACACCTCACCTCAACCACTTCAACCAGTAAGCCTAGATCCTTTCTCCCTCCAAGCTCTATGAACGCGTATAGGGGTACTAAAACATTCAAGAAATGTCTTCCAACGCCGACAAGATCGCCGAGGCCCAGTCCAACCTGCCCCTCCCCGAGCAGCCCCCTGTTGCCTCGGACTGGCAGTCTGCAGACGCCCGGAACGTCAATGTTGGTGCCGGTGGCGTCGCCAGCGACATCTCTACTGGCGCGGGAGCCTCATCTGGCCTGCGCGAGCCTGCCTCCAAGGGGGCTGATGTTGATCTGAGTGGTGTCGGCCGCCAGGGCAAGGAGGGTCTGGACAGTGTGCCTAAGGATGCTACTGCATAAATTTCCTGAACCAAGGACAAGGGTTACACCAACGATGGTTGGGAGCAAGCATGGTCTGGCGTTTTATGGGATAGGATGCTCTGTGGACTTTAACAGCTGACAGCTGACGGTTGATGCCGACGTCGTTGATCAACAATGGATTTAATGACCGTACACATCCTCGTGCCATGTCTTAGATGCGTGTTTTGTGCTTGCCAACTTTCTTTCCGTTTGCAACAAAAGGCTTTTCTGTGTCGATTCTGTCGAAGGAGTATAAATATCGACTCAGTTCCATTACAGTAGTGCGGTATGGATGTGGCCTACCTGCGTCAAGTAGAGTAGAGAAGTAACTGCTCAGTGTTATGACATATTGTACGATCCATTCCCATGCAGATTGGACCGCAGGGATGTACGCCTTGGAATCTATAATCTTTTACGAATATTCCTATCAATTTCCGTGTTGTATGGTGTTCGTGAGGGTAATCTTCATGAACCTTGGTTTGGGGTTGGCAGTACCTGGGATGGAGGCCAATGTGGCCATTGGCCTTTGTCTTACTGCTCCAACTCATGCAGACACAAGAAAATGGTGTCTTTGTTCATGGAACAGAACGTTGTCCACTTCCAGCTCCGTCACAATATGCTCGCCCTTGTGCATCCGTCAAAGCTGAGGAAGACCTAAACTCAATGATCTCAAGAACTCTGTGTTGCTCTGCACAAAACCCAATATCGCTACAGCAGGTCAAAGACTCCCTCTTAGAAGACTGTGCTGACAGTTTCAATGTTAGGTACTGTGGACTAGGGTTTTCTTGGGGGTCCTTAACCCCCTCCCATGTGGAATAGATGATGTAGTTCACGGTACTTACCTGAGCAACCTCACTTTCCTGTATCGTCGTCCACGCTCCGTCGTCCACGCTCCGTCGTCCACACCCATAAGCTAGTTTTTCCCAGACTCGAGGTAATTATTAATTCACACCTCTTCTCTTCCACACTTCTCCATCAACACAAACTGTCTCCATTCCTTTTCATGCATCCTCTTGTACTCTTATTGGCACTTGGAACGGCACCTATTCAGCCTCTTTGTATGGTAGTAAACTATCCACTTCAAGGCTTCCTCCGTCTGTCTCCATGGTAGAAGGAACTGCTTTTATCCACCAAGAACACTTCATTCGGGTATCATTGCCTCAGCGCTGCGCTGTCTTGATCAGTCGGTTGTCAATAGCGCCAACGGGTCCAACAATATTGGCGCTCAGTTTTCTCGCGAGTCCTCCTCTGGAAAGGCAAGCCTGACGTGTTTCTTGTTTGCAGGACGACTTGGCGACCACATCGAGTGTAAGCAAGCCCTCCCACCGCGCCTTCTCCTTTCCTCCATCTCCTCTTGCCCCTACTTCCCCTTCCCGCCTGGATCAAAATTGATTTTGGCTTTCCTCTCAGCCTGGCCGTCTCAGTCTCGACTCCTCTCCAAATATTCTTCTCAACAGCTCCTGCCCCAAGTGAACGATCAAAGCGTTCGTGATTCGATTCGTCTTTGCAGTGTGTAAGCTGTGTCAACACCGAAGGCTCCTACCTGATTACCTCCTCCAGACACGGTCAGTCGTTCCAGACTCCTATTCTCCAGCCAACTCTCGAAAAGAGTTTCTCTTCTGCAGAGCATTTATTTTGCCCTCTGGTCGTTCCCTCTCTAGCAGAGCTTCCTAGCTTCGCGACGCGATCCCCACGTCATCTTGTGGATCTGGGTTTCGATGCCAGCACGCAGTCCTCGACTTGTTTGACGGGAAGACTTGAGTGTTGGTTATGCTGACCTCCCTCGCAGTCTCCAGGGTTTGCCACAAATCAATCATCTCGTCCCGTCCATCACGATGGCAAGAACTGCCGAGGAAGAGGCCGCCGCCAAGGCCGCCATGAGGATGGAGCTCGGCGCAGGTCGATTGGACGAGCTGGGTATGGATGACGGCGAGCATCGAGGCAAACGTACTTACCAACACCCTCCTCTCTTGACTACCGCCGTGGTCCCCGCACGCTTGTCTGGATCCGTCAATTCTCGCTGGCAGCAAGCCATCGACCGCGGTGATTTCAATGATGATGATGCCGCCATGGTCGCCGGCGTGGACTCAATATTCGATGGACAGTTGGCACGCGTTCGTCGTGCTGCCGCCACCGCCGCTACCACGGTGGAGCCGAGACACAAGAATATCGGCGGAAAAGGTCCCAAGTCATTCTCGCCTGTTAATCACAATGGTACTGGCAATCCTCAGGCTGCCTGCCGAAATGAAGGCCGTAGTGGTCGTCCTGGCCACTCTCCAGGTCAGGGTGGCGCCAACATATCGGTCAAACCCGGTGCGCCGCTGTCCAACGATGCACGCTCTAACAAACCAGCCGCGTACATCCCGCAACCTAGGTCGAATTCGAAGACCAAGGCGAAGACCAAGGTCCAGCCCGCCAGGCCGCCGGCTCGGAAGCCTCCTCAAGCTGTTCAGCGTCAGCCAGCCGTCGCTCCGTCTCAAGGCACAGTTCCACCTGCCCAAGTTCAACAAACCCCGGCCAAATCAGCTCCGACTCAAGCTTCTCTTGGACAGTCTCACGAGTCTGAATGCCGAGACAGTCAACCAGAGACTCCATCCCACGTTCCTCTGGTCCTGTCGGAGGGAGCTACAATGATCTTGCAGCTGCCGGTCGCGGCTCAGTCGTCTGCCTTTACGAGGAAAGGCAGACATGCAGGAACTATTCTCCTGGTCGAGGCGCGCCTGGCATTGGACGACATGTTCATATTGTCCATCAAGGAGCAAGAGATATCCGAGTTTAAGCATCCTATTTCGGCATTTAAATACTGGATGACGGCCAACTCCCAGACCGGAGAAGTGATGTTGATGTTCCAGGTCGCCAAAAATACCAGTCTGTACTACACAGTCTCATTTGGCAGCTCTGCGTGCATGTCATCTTTCCTTGAGGCCATTGGCAAGCTTCAGGAGCGGCAGAAGACGCCCCAAGAGGCTACGGTCAAGACTATTACGACGGACCAAGGTACGATCGAAACCTCGCAGATCAAAGCCAAGACGACGCCTCCCGAGCCCAAGTCTTCTGGCCATCAGGTTGAACCTTCAAAGTCGCCCTTGTCTACAAAGATGTCTTCCGAGGATCCTGCTGATCTTCTGATCGAGATCACTCCTTCTTCTTCAGAGGCTAAAGTAGCGAGTCTGGCGCAGCCCGTCTCTGCACCGTCCGCCTCGTCGACTGAGCAACTCGGCACTCGCCTACGCCTCCCAGCTGATATCATTGAGGAAATTGTGGAATTGGTGATGGAGAACGCCAAACACATGTTCAAGAACAGCCCTGGGAGTGTCACTTTTGATTCGATCCGTTCTGTGATCCGAGGCACCTCGGCAGCAGTTCTGGCGCACCACAACCAGGGCTTTTCCCAGCTGAGTGCAGACCAGCGGGCCACTATCGTCGAGGAGTACTGTTCACAGAGCGTGGAGCAGGCTTTCCTTGCCAAGCTTGCCCAGGATGCCATGTTCTTGGACCAGCTGAGGGCTGACGAGGAGCGCGCGACGCCAACTCCTTTGCCCGAGGATTTGCAGCCTCCTCGCGGTCAAGAGCGCACGGCCGCCGCGGCACAGGACCTTTCGCAGCGCACACGCTCCATAAAACATAGTTACAATATCGATGAGCTGATACGCATGCGTGATTCAGCAGTTGAACCTCCCCACTGGTTGGTAGACCTCGGCTACCTTCCGAAGGCCGACCGTCTTAATCAACGCCACCAGAAGCGGAATCGTATCATTCAATGGGACGAGTGCCATGAGAATGTGCGACCTGTGTCCGTCGCACAAGGTAAGAGCACATAAGACGTCTCGACAGCTCGACCGGTCGCTAATAAATCCCGTGGTGTAGCGGCGCGTGCCGTGCAGTCTGCCAGTGTGGTATCCGAATCTGCGCGTCAGGAGGACACGAAGGGCACGAGTGTCAAAACAGAATCCCAGACAAACCCTGAGGTTAACGAATTGAGCATGTCGACTGGTGGTGGCATGTCGTTGGACGGCAACACCGACATCGACGGTGAGACCTTCCCAGCACCAGGTACCCTCATCGGCCAATCCACTATCAGCCACGGAAACAGCAATCATGCTGGCTCTCATCCCGGTGGAGGCACTCGCTATGCACCCTCTTCTCATACCAAGGGCCTCGCTCTCGCCAATTCTCGGTACAATGCGGGCACTATGGAGCCTGCATTGAAGTCGCCATACTTGCAGGACCTGCAGGAACTCGACGCTCATTTCGGAAATGACATGGCGAGTGAGGTGGCCAAGGTAAGCGAGGCCTTTGAACGCTTGGGACTGTGTTGAAGGTAAAGACGGTTGTTGCTCATGGCCGAGATCTGGTACTTGTGTGCGGTTGATGGATCTGGTATTATGTGCAGAACGAAGGAAATTGAGAAAATGCTTGCGGGGCTTGGGTCTTGTTAGTACTGACCGCCTGGACCTGTGCATCAGTCGAGAGACTCAAGAAATTCGGAACGATCTTCATGCGTTGGTGTTCCCATGGATATAATGTCTGACCAAAGCTGTAGGGTGCTTCTTTTGAGAGGCCCAAGGCATTTACTCGTGGACCTCACGTTCACCATGATGTTCCACCACTCACTCATTCGCCTCTCTTTCGACTTGGCCTACCCATCCTGCTCTCGGGGCTAGTTGCCGCTCTCCCACCTCCTGGGGTATTATGAATCACAAAATCACCCATGCACCCAACTCCCGTCCTCCCTAGACATCACTACTTCATCCACAGCAACCCGCGCCCCCATAATCTCCTCCCCATTCGGCAGGTCATTCTCCACCGCTCGCCTATCCCCTTCCTCCTCCGTCGCCACGATGCCAGCCCGCACATGCCGCGCCGCGAGCCGCTTCCGAGCGACGGCGGGGTCGACCTCGACGAACCAGACCTCGTCCATGAGCTGGGCGGCGGTGCGCCAGGGGTCTCGGTCCAGGGCTATGTAGTTACCCTCGAAGACGAGGACCCGGTGGGTTGGGAGGATGGGGATGTCATCTGGTTTGGGGTCCTTGATGGCGTGGTCGAAGGACGGGGCTAGGATTGTGCCGGGTGGGTAGGAGACAGTGGTGGAAGATGGTTCTGTGCCGTTCTTGTCCCCTGTTGTTGTTGTGGTCGTTGCTGGACCTGCTTCTCCTACCACTTGCGTCGTGGTGTTGGTGGTGGTGGTGGAAGGAAGGGGCTCGCGGAGAGACTGCACGAGCTTGAGGAAAGAGGCGCCGTCAAAGGTGAACTCTGCGCCGCGTCGGGCATGGGCGGTTACTGGGTCGGGCATGGCGGAGAGTTGGGCGAGGGTGAGGTGGTAGCCGTCCATGGGCACGAAGGCGGCTATCGGGGACGAGTGGGACTGTCCTTGTGCTGCTGCGTGGGTTTGATGGCGGGCGTTGATTCTCTCGGTGACGATTTGGGAGAGGGTTGTCTTGCCTGGAGAGATGGTGTTAGTCCTCAAGCCTCTGGTGATGATGAAAGAGGAGAGAGATCTGCGTCACGAACCTGAGCCTGGTATGCCTCCAATGCCGATCACTGTGGACGTATGTTAGAGTTTATTGATTCCATGTGTGATTTTTATGAACTCCCAGAGTCATTGTGACTTTGCTGAGCGGACAGCTGCCAATGAGAGGCTGGCTCACTTGAGCTCAGAATGCGGCGTTCCTGAACCGAGTCATCTTCATTGATGCCCGTCATGCCCCTCTCACACCTGAAATCCCAAGGCAATTCCACTCAACAACAAGGGAATGTCTTTATTTGTCGTATAGAATGGGTAGACTCACTCAGACGATGTTCCGGTGGCGTCTGCAGGAACTTGCCCCAGGCCTTGTCCACGAGCCTCTCAACCTGGTCATCCATGGTGTTCTGAAGTTTCTCAACGGCAAACAAATAAATATGAATGAGAAGTTACATGCAAAACAAACACATATATGGATTATATTCAATGTGAGAGAAGTGTGTTAGGGGGAAGAAAAACGTCGGGTGTGTTGTAACGAGCTATGCTGTTGGGCGACCCAGTAAGTAAGGCGGGGCACGAGGCTGAAAGACGTCAACAAGGCCCCACGGCAACTCCACGCCTCCACCAAAATTCAAACCCCCCTGCCTCGTCCCGATTCAGGAAACCACCGCAGCGTATGAAGCACCAGACTCTCATCTTGAGGAGCTCGCCTGCCTGAACCCTGCTACATTGTCCGTTGGGAAAGATACAGAAGATCCTTGACAACTATGTTGAATTGTTTGCATTGAGTGCTTACTCGAGGGACTTTTGTCGGCCCAGTGTCCCGCTGCTACGAGGCGAGAAGAGAAGAAAAGCGCGAAAGAAATACATTACTATTAAAACTCGGCTTTGAAGCGAAACGCACCGAACAGACGGAGAGGCAGTCAGGCGCCAGACTAGAACAACGCAGAAGAGGGAAATGGCCGACGACGGCAACAACATTGACTCTGGCCTTTTCGCCATCGCGCTCTCCGACTCAGAGGACGACACCACTGCCGCCAACGGGTGTCAAGCTGGATCGGGGGCAAAAGAGGGCGGCGGCGCAGCAGCTCCGAGGGACCGCACAGGCCAGACGGAGGAGGAGTTTCAGGCCATGAAGGCTTCGTACCGAGCCAAGGTTGAGGACGGCGAGGTGTGTTTGTGTCCTCTGCAACCTCCCACGGCCAGCAGACCCACTCAAACTTCCTTCTCCTGTTTCCTACTGACATGTACACACGTTGACTAGATATGGAAAAACGTCAAGATGCCCTCAGGCCAGGGCAGGGTCCCTAAACACGAGGGCCAGGAGATTCTGCACGCTGTGGAGGAGCTGTATTTCTACAGGCGGTATGAGGAGGCCGTCACGTTTATTGGACGGGTGATGCAGGGTGCGGAGGGAGAAGAGGAGGGAGCAGGAGATGGGTTGGATGGGGATCTGAGGGCGCTGCTCAGGACGTATGAGACGAGGTGTAGGGTAAGGTTGGTAAGTTGGGGCGCGACATGAAGTTTTGTGATATCGGGAGGTTTGAAGCAGCTGGGTTGACAAGTTCACGATGCATATGTATATGTATAGATGAAGAAGGAAGAAGGTCATGTTCGGTGAACCCGAGCAAGATATGTGCCATTATCCTTATCGGATGTGAACGTTCTATCCTCTATACAAATCCCAGAGCCGATCAGGCCCATGAAGGGGGGGGATTATGAGTAGTAGTAGTAGTAGTAGTAGTGTAAATCAGCCAGACCTCTCTTCTACCATTTGAGAAGTTCCGAGAACGCCGTGTATCTAATACAGCCCGTGGGCCACCCTACCCTTGTTTTATTTGCCTGCCCCAAAAGAATCGCTCTAGAACCCCGCCCCAAGTTTTGTGTTCGTTCGGATCGTCGGAAAGTCAACGCTATGCTGTGTTTGGTGTATCTTAAGAAGGAGTCGTGTGCGTGTCGTAGCATCATCTCGAAAATAGACGTTGCTGCTGCTGCCACTGTTTATGCTGCTGGTGGTCGGCTGTCGAGGACAGGAGGGGTATACGTGATGTACACGACAGCAGGTGTGTGAAGAGGTCAGAAGAGGACCCCTCCTATCCCCAACAACTGCCGACTATGCAGCGAGAGCCAGGGCGCCGGTGGCACCCTCACGCTCGCGCTCCCTCTCCTCGGCAAAGACCCTCCTGCTCATGGCTAACACGGCCTCGAAACCCTCCTTGCCCTTGATGGCGTTGTCGCGGAACCGGCAGACAGAAAAGTCCTCGATCTTGTTCTTGATGCGCTGCCAGCCGCCGCACACGGCGGTGATCCTGGCCTCCTGCTCAAAGGCGGTCTGGGTGCCGCCGTTGACCGGCCTGTAGACGACGGTCTCCTGGCAGTTGAGGACGTTGCTCCAGGTCAGGTTCCACGAGACCATGGTGACAGTGCGACCGGTCGGGTCGACGTAGGAGGTCTCGAAGACGTGGGACTCGTCGCCGGCGCCGATGAGAGCCTTGATCCACTCCGGGGCGGACTGCTTGCAGGTGATGAGCCGCTCGGTGCGCAGGATGCCCGTGACCGGGTCAACGTGTCGCGCGAGGGTGTCGACCGAGGTGACGTGGGTAGACTTGTGGTTCCAGGGGCAGTACTTGCGCCAGTTGGCGGTGGACACCTCCTCCCAGGAGTAGTTGAAGGTGTGGGAGCTGCTGAAGACCTTCATATTGGTGGCTTGTTGGGGGAAGAAAAACAACAGGAGGTGAGATGTATGTTGCTTGTGAGAAGATGGGGGGAAAAGCGATCGCTCCGCGCGGTGGCAGAGCTGTTCGGAGTTGATGGATGAGCTTTTCGCCCTCGATAGGGATGGCGTCGGGTTTTTTTTATCGCCGGCAAGTCGCTCCCGTCTATTTCTGTGTGTCTTTCTTTGGAAGTCAAACAAAAGGTTGAATCAAGGGGACAGATCTATTCAAAGAATGAACCCCGCTTATGATGATGAGAATTAAAGAAAGTCGTCGGGCCAATATGAGCCCTTCTGTATCTCTTCTTTGGTTGGTTTTGATGGATAGGAGAGAGAAAAAACGTTGTGTAACGAAGACCAAAAAAAGACTACAAGAAAAACAAGTCGATGCGCGCTTTGATAAGCGTTTCCAGTTTTTTTTTTCCCTTCCAGTGCCTCCGCAGGGCACGAAATCTTATCGGAAACGCGAACCTGGCAAAAGATCTAGTGGCTATTAACCCAGCCAATCAGAAGGGCTTTGGCTCGCGAAAAAACGGGGAAGATTCAGGGTCGAGAACCACGGCAAAGCCGGACAGAAGGCAAACCTCCAGTGTCCACTCTCTATCAGATACTCACCTTGATGACGTGTAAATTTGTTAATGCACATGCATATGGAGAAACGGAAAAGGGCAAGAGATACTACGAGAATTTTCTTTTCTCGCCTCTCCCTCCCTCTTTTGTCTCCTCCTTTACCCCTCCCCACATCCGACACGGGGGCCCCACAGATGAGCAGCGCGATCGGCCGGCCGAGATGCTCTTGTGCTCGGTTAGGATGCGGAGCGCGCAAAGACAATAAGGGCCATTGGCACCCGGTCACTGCCGATCCCGCTTCTCATTCCCCGCCTGTCATCGATGCTGTCATACCTGTCATACCTGTCGGAGTGGCGACCACTTGCGCGTCAGATTGACGTCTCTTAAAGTGTCACGATTATCAAATGTGTCAGGATTGGTCTCGTTTTACGGAGTTGCCATGATTGCTTCTTTTCATTTGATTTGCTACTTGATGCATGAGCTGCTAGCTATCTCTTGGACCGTGCATGGATGTACCGACATTTCTGACAGACAAGAATTAATAGCAGTTTGGAAGTCACAGCGTAATATGGAATCGGATGAACGAGCATCATCACCGACGTATGTAGCAGAGACCGCAGGCAGCACTAGGCAGACCCATTCCTGATTTCGAGGCACACAACCGATTCGTATGAGTTGAGACTGTTACCATCATTTACTCAAAGAAAGAATTGGGCATGGTACAAAGCTCTTGAAATCCAGCAGTCCAGCGTATGCACTCAGAAATCATCTCCCCTGCTGATGACCTCCTTGCAGGTAGGCCGGAGCAGGATGGTCTGGACGTCATCAGTATACAGATCGTGCTGAAAGGGGGAAGGGGGCATCAGCAAGCTTACGTGCTCAAATTGGGCAGTGTAGGAGCCCTTCTTATCAACCAGCGGTGGATAATCCTGAACGATGCCATTGTTGACAAGATTGTTCAGCTGTGATATTGGTCAGCCTCGATCGATTAGCGATGAAAGAGTGTTGATTGGAGTTCGGGGCAACCTACTCCCAGCAGATACTTCTCACAGCCAATGCGATCCAGATACCGCCGGCACCAAGGCAGGGTGCCAAAGTTCTTCTTGATCGTGCTCAGCAGCGACTTGGCCGACGACAGCCTCAGGTCTACCTTGGGCGGGTCCGCCATCAGCGCGTAGTGCGACACCTCGCCCTGGTCCCTCACGTAGCCGTTTCCGGTACTACCAAAGGTCTCGATGGCGAAGACGTCACCCTCCTCCATCTTGGTCTGGTCGTTGCTCTTGACGATGGGCACACTCTTGTCGCCGTGGATGCTGTAGGGGTGAATGGTGTGGCCGCACAGGTTGCGGATGGCCTTGATCGGGTACGTGGTGCCGTTGAGCTCGATCTCGTAGCTCTCCATGGTCTCCTGGATGGCGCCGCCGATTTCTCCCAGGCGGGCGTCGATGCCGGCCTCCTTCACGCCCGTGTTGGTCGCAGCCTTGACCGCCTCAAGCAGCGGGTCGTACTTGGGCTCAAAGGCCATGGTGAAGGCGCTGTCGACGATACGGCCGCCCACGTGCACGCCAATGTCGATCTTGATGACGTCGTCCTGCCCAAACACCATCTTGTTACCCGCGTTGGGCGAGTAGTGGGCCGCGATGTCGTTCAGGTTAAGGCCCAGCGGGAAGCCCATGCCGGCCTTGATGGCGTCGCCCTCTTCCAGGCCCTGGTGGCCCACGAGCGCCCGTACGCTGTCCTCGATGCCGTTGGCGATCTCCGTGAGGCCCATGCCCGGCTGGATCCACTTCTGCGCCCACTGCCGCACCTGACGGTGCGTCTCGGCGGCCTGGCGGTAGTCGCTCAGGAAGTCATCGTTCAGCCGGTCCAGGTGGCGCTTTTCCTCGCTCGTGATACGGAAGCGGTTCTCGTCACCCGTGTACTCGACCTCCTCGCCGGCAGGGTACGTGTTGTTGGGGAACAGCTGCGACATGAGCACGCGCGGCGGGTCGGACTGGGTGGTGGCCGCCTTCTTCTTCTTCTTCTTCTTTTTGTTCTTCTTCTTCTTCTTGGCTGCCCCGGCCGCCGCGCCATCTACCGCAGCAGCGCCTTCGTTCGGTTCGTCGTCAGAGCCATCGCTATCTGCATCACCAGCAGCATCGCCGTGCCCATTTGCTGTGGCATTGGCCGTCGCCTTGCCGTTGGCGGCACCGTCCTGCACTATTCCTCATGTCAGTCCACGGATCGCATGTGCTACTTCCAGAACGAGTGATGGAATTACCTGTGAGCTTGTCGAGCTCCTCTCCGGGAGGCTTGGCTGCCATCTTGACGTTGACTCTTGGTGGGAACGGAAGCCTAGTTCAAAAAAAAAAAAAGATTTGGGAGGGGCGTATGCTAACGTTTATCCTGCGCGGGTACGTGAAAAGACGTTATTTTGCAGACGGGGCTGTGATTGGACCCGCCCCCGCATTTTATTGTGTCACTGGCTTCAGGGCCTTCCATTGGTCTTGCTGCCTAGACTGGAATATTGTTCTTGATGTCGCTGAAGCCCCTACTCTGAATACTACTCGAGGAGAATCTCATTCTTTTGACGATAATATGTTTTTCACTGGGTGAGATTGTGCTATATGCATGTGCATATACTTTTGTTGTGTGACTGCGCAGATAACTCGGAACATTGTATATTTATATGTATATGTATTTGTATATGTGTATGTATCTATTTATACATGCAAGTTCATGTCCTTATGTAGACCCTGCACATGCAATGTAGTAATCATTCTTAAATTCACTTATTCAACATTCCGAACCCACTTCACACAGCCTTGGGGGGTGCGACTGCGCTGCTGCTGTGAGGCTCTTTGGCTGCACCACTCACTGTACCACTGTGGCTAGTGTGAGCCCGCTGTAAGTATAGCACAGCACAGCCACCAACTCATAACTCCTTACTCAAGTAAAATGTGGTACCTCCTCAATGATGTCACGGGGCAAGTCCGATGTCGTCCTCGTCCATTGAGATAACAATTTCGCATTCTGTCTCTTAGCAGGAGCATGAACCTTGAACTTCCTTTGGTCTGATTTCCCAACCTTTCTTCAACCTCCCAATCTTCAGGCTGAAGAAAGCCCAGGGAGGTCGGGATGAGGAATGCCAGCCCGCATCGCCCCAATCCGTGCAGCACTGCACGCCCAGTTCCCAGTCGGCCGCCACGTCTCTATCTGGGAGCAGCAGAGGACGAGGACGAGGCCCTTTCACGCTTCCTCACGCCGTTGCCGCGATGATATTGATGACAAGAATCATTATGAGACCCTGCAGGTACAGACAGACGCCTCGCCGCAGGATATAAAAAAGTATGAACCCCCCCCCCCCCTTTTGAGTTGAACACACACGCGCCTCTCTTCGTTCCGATCTGTTTGCCCAACAGGAGCCATAGAACCATTTACTGACCTTTGAATCTCGTCTTCACATCCAGATCCTTCTACACCCTCTCTAAGAAACATCATCCAGACCATAACCGCTCCGATCCCCACGCCAGCCGTCGCTTCATGCGCATCAGCGAGGCCCACAGTGTCCTCTCGCACCCAGACAAGCGTGCCCACTACGACCGCGACGTCCTTCGCCTGCACTCCCACGGCCACCATCACCACGGCCACAAAGGCCCCGCTCGAGGAGGCGCCAGCTACGCCTCTACAGGCCCCGTCGGCTCTCGTCCAGCCTCTGGCCTTTCCCGCCGCCGTGGCACCTTTCGTGGGCCCCCGCCGAGCTTCTACAGGTCAGGCGGCTGGGGCGCACACGGCGCCAAGAGGGGCCAGGCGCATGAGGAGTCTACCAGCGGTGCGGGGAGGACGGCCAACGAGAGCAATAGGGAGGCCGACCCGGGCGGCTACACAGGCAGCTATGGCACCGGTGGGATGGGTCCCGGCCAGGAACCGTTTGGAAGAGGAGGGAGCGCTGCGGGCGATGGGGATATCCCGCACTTCGACAGGGCCGCCAAGGAGGCGCACACGCGCACGCAGGCTCGGGTGGACGAAATCAGGGCCAAGAAGATGGCGAGGGAGTTTCGGTTTACAGGTTACCAGGACTATACCGAGTTTGGGAGCTTCTTTGCCATCCTGGCGGTGCTGGGGGCCGCGATTGGGTTGCCCTACTTGGCCATGAAGGGGTGGGACTCGAGTAGCAAGGGAAAGAAGACGAAGAAGGCGGCTGGTACGGGTTGAGCACCTGTCTGGTCAGTTTGGCGGACGCCAGGTGATCGATGTTCTTCGAGACCGTCGTTGAGGGGAGTGCAAAGAACCCCGTCTGTACGCGTGCGCATGATTATGAGGTCACAAAATAAGAACAAAATCCCAGCACAAAACACCATGCGACAATCTACCATGATCAAAGGTGCTACAAATAGATCAATTGACCTCCGGGGCGCGCTCTCATCTAGTTCACCTCCCAGTTCCTATTGTATTTTCCCCCAGATGCTAAACCATTCTAAGCTGCGAAATCGAGTTGATACAGGGCACGTGGTTCAAGACAGAAGGAGTTGCGATCCCATCCAAATGTTCCCGTGGAGGAAAATCCAAATCAGGATGCGCGGGATGACCAGCAGTTGCCTGCTAAGTAAATGGACCGTTTAGCCCTCGAAGGTGAGGCTGGCGCCAACCTGTATAACAAAGTGATTAGTCTTGTTTTATCTCGAACAGGGAACAAGAGACTGGAAATAAGAAAAGATGGGGGATCACGTACCTTGTGGGTAGCCTGGTCCAGCTTCTGGGTATCAAAAGAGGTACCGACGCCGAGGGTGACACCGGAGCGGAGGAGAACATTGTAGGAGACGGCGGCGATACCGCGGTCGTTGATCTTGCCCTGCAGAGGGTGTCAATATTTGTCTTCAAAATCGCATGTTCTCAAACTTTCCAACCGCCCGCCGAGGGGGGGGGGGAGTGTAACGCAACGAACCTTGGCGAAGGAGACAGGGTCGATGCGGTACTTGGTAGCGACCTCCAGACCGACAGTGTTGGCAGGAGACTTGGAATCCCAAGAGGCCTTGGCACCGGCCTCGACCAGAGGGTTCACCTTGTGGTAGTACGAGGCGGCGAAGACGCTGCACTTGTCGGTGGCAGTGACAGCGGCAGTCCAGGTGGGCTGTTGGAAGCCAACGGCGGCGGCAAAGGTGGTGATGCCGGCCTTCTGGACATCGTAACCAGCAGCGGCACCAGCCAGGAAGCCCTCGTGGCCGAGGACGACGTCGATGTTGGCAGTGGGGCCCTTGAGCAGGTCGGTGAAGGTGCGGAAGTGGAACTTGGGCTGCTTGAAGTACAGGTTGAACTTGGCGCCGCGCTTCTGGGACTCGGGCAGGAAGGAAAAGGCGCCCTCAAGCTTGAGGCCCTTGGTGACGTTATCGGCGGCCTCGATCTTGGTCTCGAGGGCGTTCAGGGTGTTCCACGACTGGGTGACGGTGAGGCCTAGCGATGGCGAGCGCGCCTTGATCAGCAATTGTGTCCATCCGTCCGGGGCAGCCAGGATGCTGAACAGGATGTGATTCCGGTACTAGCGGAACGCGAACCCATTCAGCTCGAGGAGGTACGTCGCCGGTGGCACGTTGCACATCAGGACGCGGCCGTCGCGATGAGTGCCAAGTGTTGAAGCAGTATGGTTGGCATTACCGTTGATCTTGTCCGTGTACTTTCCCTCGACCTGTACAAACACCACCCAACAACCAATGTGTCAGCCGCCGGATGAACATTACATTTTCGCACCCGCCACTGCAGTGTATTCTGTCGCAGTGACTTGACGAGCGTAACAGAACCAAGGTTTAATCGTACCGCGCCAGACGTGTTCTTCTCGTGGCTGCTCTTGCCGGTGACCTTGAAGGCGACATTGTTGGGAGTGTTGCTCTTGACCTCGATCGTGCTGGCTGAGAGGTGGTAGAAATCCTTGTTAAGCAACTAAAGAACGAATGAGATGAGTGTGTTAGTCCTTGGTCTTTGCAGTACAAGTAAGAGAGGCGGAGGGGACGAGCTCCAGTCCCCAAGAACATTAGGCGACTGGGCAGGATGGTAGGCAGAGAGTGTATCAGGGAGGAGGATGTTGAGGCATTACTTACGTCGTTGGCCGACTTGGCAATGTCAGAAAAGGCTGGAATAGACATTTTGACTGCTGTTGGTCTGGATGACAGATGGAAAGAATTGAGGTGTTGGGAGTGTGGGCTTTCGAGAATGTTGAGAGCAGAGAAGCCTCGCGTCAGTTTGTAGGTGGGAAAGTTATGGAGCTTGGATGGGATTGGAGCTTTGGGGCTGTTCGCAAACAATGCGACGAGAAATTTGATTCCGCAACACGGCGGCGAGCGGCCCTGGAGGGAGCTCCCAGGCCTCTCTCCATTGGCTGTCGACAGCCGAAAGTATGGGTATCCCGACCTGACTAACACCTGCAGGAAGACAGGGGGGGCCCTCTCGCATGCAATGGTCTCCCACGTGTGCATACGAGGAGGGTTTGAATGGATTCATGCATGACCCTTATGGAAAAGGAGCCCATGTTATGCAGACAAAGGTCCCATCTTTCATGTTGGCTCAATCTTTTGCCCCTGAGTGAAAGCATCTTTCATGAGTCCAATTGGATAGACACATGAAGAGCACCATAGTGCAATGGGCCGGGTCTTTACAAAGAGAACCCTGAATCTGGTATTATCTACTCTATTGTTCTACCATACCCGGCTCCCGACTAAACTTTTCTATGAGATATTGTCACACATGTTGATCTTTGGCAAGACGGTAGACGGTGCCACGGCCTTGCCTTATAGTTACTCACAAGTTGGCCAACCTACTCGACGTTCTCGTACTTGGCGTTGTGAGAAGCAATCGCACTGCAGCAAGAATTAGTATCAATGCTCCTCTGTAGCTCAAAAACAAAATTTGGGCGCTGCCTTACCGTCCGCTAGGATCGCTCTGCTTCACCCACTTAGGCACCCAGCGCATGACCGTCTCCGCACAGGTGGGCGGGAAGTGCTCGTCAAACATGCATCTGTACCAGTACGCCTCCTTGCTGTCGGGAATGTCGCTGCCCCACTCTGGTTTGGGGTTCTTCATCATCTCGTCCGTGACGTGCAGCTCCGCGTTGTCCTTGAGCGCGTCGATCCAGCCATATCCGACACCGTCCGAAAACTGTTCCTTCTGGCGCCAGAGGATCTCGTCAGGAAGGTAAGGCTCGTTGCCCGGCTCGTCGGCCGTGTCGAAGGCCTTGCGCAGGATGTACTTCTCGATCCGGCCCTTGGTGATCATCTTGTCGGCCGGGTCAATGGCCATGGATGTCTCGAGGAACTTACAGAGGGGTTTGTTAGTACCACGTAACACAGAATTGGGCTGTCCCGTCACATACCTCCTTATCTAGGAAAGGCACACGGGCCTCAAGACCCCATGCCGAGGTAGACTTGTTGGCGCGGAGACAGTCGGCAAGATGCAGGTTCTTCACCCGACGGACGCACTCGTCGTGGAAGGACTCCTTATCAGGCGCATGGCCAAAGTACAGGTATCCACCAAAAATCTCATCGCTTCCCTCGCCACTCAGCACCATCTTGATGCCCATGGCTTTGATCTTGCGTGACAGCAGATACATTGGCGTCGACGCCCGAATAGTCGTCACATCGTACGTCTCCAAGTGGTAAATCACATCCGATAGGGCGTTCAGACCATCCTCGATGGTGAAAGTCATGACGTGGTGTTTGGTTCCCAGGAACTTGGCGACCTTCAGCGCCGCCTCGTTGTCGGGCGAGCCAGGGAGACCGATGGAGAATGAGTTGAGCTGGGGCAGGTACGTGACGGTGGACAAGTGGTCCTCATCATCAATACCAACCAGGCCCTCACCCCTGTCCTCGTCGCCGGTCTGCTGCTGCTCCTGGGAGCCGTTAGCGGCCAGGGCAGCCTTCTTCAGGCGCTGTGTCTCGCGCTGTGCGATCGAAGCAACCAGACTCGAGTCGAGGCCACCGGACAGCAGGACGCCGTATGGGACCTCAGCCATGAGCCGCTTCCGGACTGACTTCTCGAGCTTCTCGCGCAGGAGCTTGAGGTCCACAGGTTTTTGCGGCACCTTAGAGCCGTCCCACCAGTTAGGCTCAAAGTACCGTGTCCTCTCGCCGGTCTTGCTGTCGTAGACGTGGCCCGGAGGAAAGGACTCGATCTTGTCGCACACTGGGTGCAGGCACTTCAGCTCGGAACCGAAGTAGACGGTGCCGGGCTCCTTGGAGGACCAGCCCTGATAAAGGGTGGTGATGCCGATTGGATCGCGCGCGGCTATTGTTCGGTCCTGCTTCTTGTCGTACAGGACGAAAGAGAACATGCCGTCGAGATACTTGGGCGCGTCCAGACCATATTCCATGTACTACAAATCGTTAAACACTTCATACTTCTTCTTCTTCTTTCATCTCCTTGGTCTAATCCGACAATCATGACGTACTAGTGGAATCACAACCTCGCAGTCGGAGTGAGTCTTGAAGTGGTACGGGTTCTTGAGGGTCTTTCGGATCAATCGGTGGTTGTAGATCTCGCCGTTGACAGCGAGTATGATGCTGCCATCCTCGTTGGTCAGGGGCTGGGCGCCGCTCTCTACTCGGTCGTCAGATACGCACACCTTCGGGGTCTCGACGATACTCACCAACACCCACGATGCTCAACCGTTCATGGCACAGAACTATAGCATGATGTCAGCAAGCCTTGCGCGCAGCATTATTTTGTGGCTAGAATTCTATATCCATACTTGTGTTGTTGCAGATGCAGCTGCCGCCTATGAGAGACGAACGTAAGTCAGCTTGATGAAGAGCGCAACAAAATTTGGGTGACTCAGTGCATACTCCAATCGGGTCCTCGATGGCGAATCCTGTTGTTTCAAGAGTCAATTGGGTTGTTCTCGTATGGAAATCGAGTTGTACGCACGCTTTTGAAAGCTTGAGGGCAGTGGGCTTGAACTTTTGCACATCCGGGTGCCTGCAGATTGTACGTCAGCCTTCCCAAGATCACCACGATAAATCGATTGGTGGTGGGGCACAGTAATGCCCCTCCATCGTCGCTGCGTCGGGACCTACCGATGGCACGCGAATATGCCACACATCTTGTCGACTGTGTTTAGAGATGCGCTGGATTGTTGGGAGCAAGTAAAAAGCTTGCAAAGGAGCAATGTGACTCTCTCACAACTTGCGCAAAGAGTGTGTAGAAGATTGATCTGCCTGGGCTGTAGAGGAAAAGGTTCGCGATGGTGGGTAGAAGGCACGAAGAAAAAGAAGTCAAGAACTAGCCACGAAGAGAGAGCTCCGTAATAGAATGGAACTCCCTGGCAGGCCGAATTGACTCACTCAACGGCAAATCAGCACGATTCGATTTGCTAAAACAGGAGACACTGGTATCTCTTGCACGAGGAATAGTACGTAACGACCACATTTAAATTTTGGGTCCCAGGTACGGGTGGTGTCCGATACCGGGTCCGAGGAGTCATTTTGCTCCCTGATAAGTACACTGATAAGGAAGACGGGACATCCGACTACATACTAGTAAGGTACTGTGTACCTACCATAGGCCGCCACGAGATCGGTGGTCCGAGCCATCTGGATATATGGTGGGCTTCGTTATGTGCCAGATAATGTGTTGAACCCGGCTGCAATGTTCGTCGGTAGAGATGACGATTCCTCGTGGAACCTTTTGGGGCTGCATGATACGGTCGTATTGTGCAGGCTTGCAGAGGCTCGGGACTTGAACCAGCAAAGTACCGAGTGACTTCCTCCTGGCTGGCTGGGCACGCGGCTTAGACGCAGCACTTGATTAGACCCGACATTGCAACGAACCCGACAAATTTATCAGGCCGCGACAGGTGTATACGCTACTTTGCGGACTGATGAGCTTCAAGATCGCAGGTTTTGGAAGCAAGACAGCCAATTGCCGTGCAGGAAAGCTCGCATAACATCATATCATCTGAGCATTTCGTTGTGAAAGCGGGAGCACCAGGTATTCTGACCTGAAATATAAATCAATGCGCAGTGTTGTCTCTTGTTCAAGATCCTTCAGAGAGGCGCGAGAGCGCAGGAAAACCCCATGATATCTAAAACTCCATGCAATCAACCCGGACTTTGCTGTACCCGTCCTTGTCCTAAACTCCAAGAGAAAGAAGGGAGGTCTCCCATGCCATACGCCGGACAACAGCCACCACGCCAAGTCGCTTCAGAGAGTAGATCCGCGGCGCACCATGTTCCTTCCCCCTTTCCCGAGTGGTCCTTCTTATGCACATCTTAAGGAGCTGGGTTCTCCTTCACTACCCGCTTCACACGCCGTTCGTACTCGGCCCGGTCCTTCTTAAACAGGTTGTACGCATCGGCCTGAGCAGGCGACTCGGGGTTGGGGTCGTTCAGCAGATCTTGCACGCCCAGAAGAATTTGCTTGATTGTGATAGCTGGTTTCCACGCCTCCTCCTCGTTCAAGATCGATAGGCAGACGGTGCCGCTCGGGTAGACGTTGGGGTGGAACAACGGAGGGACGAATTTGCCTGTAATGTTTTATGTTAGCCGTGCCAGTCAATTTTGAAGAAGTCACGAGCGTCGGGGGGTTTACACTTGGGAGGCTTGGTCGGGTATTCTATGGAGAATAATCATCGTCAGTAGTCGTCCTGAAACCTCATCCCCAGCGCGCAAGAAGACATGGGTTGCCCGTACCGTCCGGGAACTGCATCGTCAGTTTGAACTGGCCGCCCTCCCAGATCGTCTTCTCCTTCCCTGGTATGCCACATTCCCAGCTCTTGACGTCAAGGACGCCCTGTGCGTTGCGCACAGGCTTTGCGTAGAATCCGAAGGGGTGGTCTTTCCTCCAGAGCTTGCTACTCGGGTTGTCAGTGACGTTCGTCGAGAGGGCGCAGGCGTGATGCAAGTTCATCGATCAGACGTACCGCTCTTCCTGAAGCCTGTTTAGACATAGAGACATAACTGTGGTTTTTGATGAGCGCAGTGATGTCTTTGTGTGCTGGCGGTTGGGTGATGGTGACTGGAGGGTGGCAGTTGTTTTGAGAAATGATTGCGTGAAGGAGGAAAGACCTGGAAGGCCAGGATAGGGTGGACGACTTCCTTTAGGCCGTAAGGCTTTGGGGGCAAATACGTGGCCCAAAGTGCTGAAAGAGGGACAACAAGGCACCAGATATGCAGTTTGTCAGAAGTTGTGGAAAAAGTGAGGCTGTGGCGATCGCTGGTCACAAACAAAGTGGCGTGGGCGTGGGTGAAAGAGTCCTCTCAGGAAGCCTTGCACATTTGGGTTGGTCTTTCTGCAGTGTAACCACCAACACATTGGGCAGAATGGCTCGCCTTTTCGATGGTGCTAGAAAGGGAAGGCGGAGGACACTGACAGGGCCCCCCAAGAACCCCACTGACCCACCCAAACCGAGGAACCCTGCTTGTAGCTTCGATGATCGCAACTGCGGCGAACCAACCCCAGAGCGCGCCGAAATATAGGCCTCGGCAGAACTGCGACCAGACAGGATATCCGCCTATTTTCATGAAGACCTCCTTCTCTTCCTTCTACTGTGCCTAAGCCCTGGGAAATACATTTTCTCCAAGCAAAGAACAATCACTTTTTCTTCATTTACAAGTTTGTTGCCTTGGCCTATCGCCATTGTCACCACTGACAGTGGTCCACTCTCTGCCCCGCCATTTATAGCATACACATTTCAGACCTGTACAACTGCAAGGATCGCATGTGAGAACAGTCCGACGCTTCACAACGAAATGGCGTCCAAACCCGAGGCACCTGAGGCCTCAAGTGGTGTTGAGCCCAAGATTTCCATCGATGATAAAATCCTGGAGGAGATGGGGGATGTTCCGGACCCGGACGAGGATGATCTGGATGATCTGGATGATCTGGATGGCACGTGATGATCGCCCTTTCGCAGAAAACGATTTGCTGCAGCTTTTCTAACCAAAGGACAACAGACATGCTGGATGACTTCTCAGCAGTTAAGCTAGATGCGAAGAAACCCGAGGTCACGCCCGCTGGCCCGGGCAGGCCGGCCTCGTCTACAGCCGCTGCAGACCCGTCGAAGGCCAAGGTGGAAGATGAAGTGCTGTCGGACGATGACTTTGCGAAACAGCTCCAGGCCGGCATGGCTGAGCTCATGGGGGAGATCGACAGCTCGGTACGCTCAAGTTTATCCCTTCCTCGCGAGGAAATTTAGACGCTAACATCCAGCTCAGCCGGAGATGCAAGCACAATTTGACAGCATCTTCAAGGAATTGGGCGCAGCAGCGGCGGCAGCCGGTGAGGCCTCATCATCCAACCCCGCCCCGGCCCCCGCACCAGGTCTGGCCAAAGCCGTAAACCAGTCTTCCACCGTCACCGACGGCAGCGCCGAGGCCTCTTTCCAGGAGACCATCCGGCGCACGATGGAGCGCATGCAGACGTCGGGCGATCAGGCAACAGCAGCAGCGGCGGCAGAAGGGGGCTCGGACGACTTCATGGCGGAGCTGCTGAAGCAGATGCAGGCGGGCGAGGGCGGGCTGGAGGGCAGCGAGGAGGAGTTCTCTAAGATGCTGTTGGGCATGATGGAGCAGCTGACCAACAAGGACATCCTGTACGAGCCGATGAAGGAGCTGAATGATAAGTTCCCTGACTGGATGGACAAGAACCGGGACAAGATTTCCGAGGCGGACCGCAAGAGGTATGAAGAGCAGGAGGGGCTTGTGAAGGAAATCGTGGCAAAATTCGAGGAGGGGACGTATGCAGACTCCAATCCTGCGGACAGAGAGTACATCGTGGAAAGGATGCAGAAGGTGAGCATACGCCTGGAAGACGCGTGCTACAAGAGGTACCACATGCTGACCATATGCGGTCTGCCATTAGATGCAAGCTGCCGGATCACCACCGCCAGATCTAGTAGGAGACATGCCATCTGCGCAGGACGCCCTGGGTGCTCCAGATATGGATTCTTGCCCCCCTCAATGAGCTCAACACTAGAACAAACATGTTGGAAGATACAGAGAATATACCCCAACCACCTATTCATGCAAAGCCTGTCCCGTCCCGTACAGCCTTGTGTTAACCTTGAACGCCGTCCTCACAACAATAATGTGACACCCGTCTGTCCCTTACGCCGAGATGGTAAAACATGACACACTGCCAACCCAAATAGTGAAAAGCAACAATACGTGCATGAGATCTTTCTTCATGACAGATCCATGTGTCCAGATGCCGCCGAATCCAAACTCTGATTCTGGCCATGTTGCTGTTGTTGCTGTTGCTGAACTCCCTCCTGCGAGAGGTAATCCATAAACACTGCATCGTAGTCATCGTCATCATCATCATCAACATCATCAACCTCATCCAACCAGTGCGGCGAGCCAGGCGACTCCCAGTTGCGCGCCGACTGCCGCTCCGGCATCGACGCCAGGAGCGCCTCCAGCTCCGCCTGCTCATCCTGCTCGAACATATCCACCATCATGTCATCCACGTTTGGTTGTTGATCTGAGCGCCGCCCCATCCCGCTCGACTCGGATTCAGAGATGGTGCTCAGCGCACGGGGCTTCCGCGTGGCCTCCTCGCGCAGGCGCGCCGCATCCTCAATGTCCGACTCAAAGATGGTCCCGTCGAGGTCGGCATTCTTGGCTTGTCGGAGCTCGGCATTGAGCGAGAACCACTCCAGCTTGAGTAACTATATTGTGTTTTACCAGACAAAATTAGCATGCAAAAATTGAATATGCTGCATTTCCACCTTGAGCCGTCTTTCGCCTAGTCAAGCCTTACCTCTTGCTCTCCACCCCTCCTCTGCCACCTTTGATCCTCGGCCCTCTGTCTCACATTCTTTAGAAACAGCTTCCGCCGGCTCTCCTGTGCCGCCTCACGCTTCTGCGTCACTGGGTTGGGCCGGCTCGGTCGCAGTGCGAACTTGCTGTTGCTGCTGCTGCTCGCGCTGCCGCCGCCGAACAGCGATGCGGGTGTCGGCGTCGGCGAACAGATGGGGGAGGACTGCGTCTCACGGCGGGCATTGGGATCGCACGGCGTTAGTGGCGGTGGGGGCGATGTTGATGCGCGGATGGGGCTGGAGGAGAGCGGCGAGGGTCTTGTAGGCCGGTAAGGGCTGGACATGGTGTGGGCGTGGGTGTGGTGACTTGCACTCGGGCTGAAGGAGGGGAGGACGTTCTCCCCGTCGCGGTAGGCCGGGAGAGGTATGACCGTGAACATCTTTTGTGGGGGATGAACAAGGAGATGTGGTGAAGACCCAAGTGGCTGGGCTTGTTATGACATGATATGGTGGCGATGATTATGGTGGCGGCGGTGATAGTAGTAGAGGAAGATTTAGCGATCTAGGGACTTGTTACGGAAAGGCTGCTTGCTGGTGTCAGTGGCGCTGGGGACGCGTTCTGTAGCGTGAGCGGCGCGTCATCCTTGTATTAATAGAGTACTTGTCTTACTAAGCAGGGCATTCGAATAGCAGGACCGCTGCCTTGGCACTTCTTCGTTGCTTTCGCTCAACGTCACAAGCTCCTCCACCTTTCCCTTTGAAACTGCACGTCAAATTATAGCACTGATGTATTCTTGATCCAGATCACGAAGTCATCGATCTCCACTAACATCAAGAACACGCGGTGTAAGCCACAGAATTGCAGGTTGCTCGCAAGGCTAACACCCCACAGTCGAAGAGATCCGGCCTCGTCCACAACGGCACATGGGGCAGCCTACATGAACAAGAACATATATGGACCATATACTCGTCGTTGTTCATGTATTCAGGCTATGACAACATCAGGCAATCGTGCAACCAAGGAGACAGGCGGCGAATGTGGCCTAGAGATGCGATGAACATTTCCTTAGTAAACCCCAGAGTCTCGGCTTCGTTTGTATGCTAAATATGTACAGCAGAATGTAAACACCGTTCTGCACAACTCATTCACAGAAATGCCCCAAAGAGAAGAATAATCTGCCAAGGCCCTCTCAAGAGAAGTTTGATGCCGCCGTCGCCGACGCCTCGCTGGCAACGCTGACATCGCTGACTGTGATGGTGCCACCACTAGTGCTCGTCACGCGCACATCGACGGTGTCCGTCCCGAAGCCGCTCGAGTTCTCAAAGAAATTGTAGGTCGAGCGCGTCGTGCTCTGCCAGGTGCTCCCGCCATCTGTGCTGACCTCGAGGCTCTCGACAGCCTCGTTGGAGTTCACGACCTGCATCGAGAACCAGTACGCCGACGTCCCGGACTTGTTGACCAGCACGATGGGCGAGGTGATGCCGCACGACACGAACGTGTAGCTGATGTCGATGATGCCCTCAGAGGCGGTGCCCAGCTCCAGGAAGGCGTCCTCGAAGAGGTCGAGGTGGCCAGAGGCACACTCGGGGCACTCGTCGACGATCTGGAAGTATTGTTAGTGCGAGCTCAGCCGGGTATGTGCACTGGGGCTTGGGGAGAGAGCGCGCTTACCATGGCGGTGATGGAGTTGCCGTTGGGGCCGGTGACATTGACACATGCACCGCACTCGGCAGCGTTGTCCCACACGGCACCCGAGTAGGCTGTGCCGAACAGACTGTTGGGGATGGTCGACAGGGTGGTGAAAGAGCACGCTCCACCGCTCAGGTTGCCGCCGTAGAACGTCGCCTCCCCACTCGTGACGGCGGAGCTAGTGCTCGAGGTGGAGGTGGAGGAGTCAGATGAAGCGGCCGAGGAGCTGATGGCCACAGCAACCTCTACAGACGCCGTGGAGGAGACGACTGAGGGGGATGCCGCAGACGTGGAGGTTGCGCTGCTGGTAGCTGCAGCCTCAGAGGTTACGGCGATCACAGTGGCGCTGCTAGTGGCCACAGAGCTCGTGGCGATAATCTCTGAAGACGAGTCGGAGGCGGCACTTGGAATGGCAGCAACTAAAGCGGATGCAGAAGAGGTGGGCTCGACAGCCTCCGTGACGGAGCTCGACTGTGAGGCCCTGGCCTTCTTTGGACAGGCGGCAGCGGACGCGGCAGATATGGCCGACAGGGCCAGAACAACAGATTGAAACCTCATGGTGTCGAAGTGAACGGTAAATTTCGTTGATGCAAGAGAATGGATGGGCAAAGGCTCCGGCCTGGACGCAATGACTATTGCACTGCAAGATAAGTAAAACAAAACAGAAAAGAATGTGTCGAATGGTAAAGACTGGTATACTCGCACAAGCGATTTAAATCGAAGAGAAAGAGCGACAGGACTTATAACAGAAGCGGCCTACAAGAGAAGAAAATTTAAGTTCATGATTACGACCTCGGGGCGACAGAGGCTATTCTATATGAGATCCTACGCAAGAGAGCCGTCAAGGCCGGTCGTTGCGGATTTCACGATTCCACAAATCCGGTAAGGGCTGTAGGAGCCACTCATTTCCAAAGTTAAAAACAAACGAGCCTCAAAAGCATCATCGCCAAACTAGTCTGCCAAACAAATTCCCCGTTCTAATTTCTTCTCAGGGGATGGCAGGTTCATCTAAGCAGCGTTGGCTGGGGGCGCGTGAGGCGCAGGGCCGCAGGTTCCTTGGCCTTGCTTCCCAGAGGGTCTGGACTCGTTGCTGCGATGCATGCATGGCTCGCGGCCCCTTGCTCCCGGTGTATAAGAAAGCAACATAAAAACTAGACAATCCTGAACCTGGGGTTGGTGGCGGCCTGTATCCTGTTTGAGAATGTCTCGTGTCAAGGTTCTTAATGCGGGATGGCTTCTGCTGTGGGTTCGCTGGCGGTTTCGTCTTGATGAGCGTTGCGTGATGGTTTGCTAGTCGGCGGACGAGACGCGTGTGTCGACTCGTTGACAGGAGGTAGACATGCCATGGATGACTCGTGCAGCAGGGGAAGGATCATGGGTTTTCAACGAGAGTGAGTCCAGCATATCAATCCTCATTTTCGGCGCACCGGCATGCCATCATGGGGAGATGTCGTTACCCTGATCGGGAATAGCATTCCCCCATCAGGGGGGATCCTTTAGGCGCCATAGGCCTTGGAATCTCATGTTAGTCAGACAATTGAGCTGCATTAAGAGTTTAAGCGACATACTGGTCGAACTCTCTTCTGGCCTGTATATATTTCATACTGATGACGCATCCAGTTCGATTCTGGATCTAGACCCACTGCACTCGGTAGTAATAATCATCATCGCAAATATTGCACCTGTAGTGACTCTGCTTTTAATGCCACAGGTTCCTGCTCCCCACAACAAAAAGCGCCACTTGCAACACTGCAAGATTAGACCTGGAAGGATCCTGCGACTGCACAGGAGTAGTGCTTCTGCATTAAAGCTGACTTGCATAAGTATGAAATTGCTTTTTGGAGGCCGGGGTGTTTCCTGAGAGGGAACAGGCAATTACTGTAAAGCACGCACCGTAGCACTGGTGGCAGTAGCCTTAAGCACCTGGAAGGAGGAAAACTTCATGCGGCCAACATGAGCGGACTGGACGGGGCGGCGGTGACGAAGTGGCTCTCAACATGCAGGACGGGCTGTCGTAGACTAATGAAAGGATATTATACGCGTGGAAGGAAAGGAGAGAAAAGAATTGAAGGCACAGGGCCGAACGATCCAGGGTTATCAACAGGCCTGGCCGTTGGCTGGCTGGTGCGTTATTGGCCCTCGCACATATGGATAGGGGCAAGAAGCTCGCCGGAGCAGATCGTCGAAAGTGGAGGTTACATATTGAACAAATGTTACGTGAGCAATCATTGCAAACATGTATGTGTGCATTCGAGGTCCATTTCCATTTGTCTTGAATTTTCTGCTTCATTCTCCACCTCAGAGAGATTGATTATCGTCCTCGACAGCGTATGCATCATACAGTTCTCAATCTGTCTCCAGGTCCTCTAGAATGAGAGACGCGCCCATCACAGTTATAGGCCTTACTACATGCTCGGCTGTATTTGACTACAGCGCCTCGTGAGGAGATTGTGGCTTCTTACGTGGCTCTCGGGGCCCACACGAGAAGTTTCCCAGCCCTTGTGCTCCTGCTGGTGTTCATATGTCATGACGGCAGCACAACATCTCTGAGAAAGGCGTCACTTTACGTCGTCGAGTTGTTGCCAAAGGTTGCTTATATGACTGCGGACGCTGAGGTTGGATGAACCCCTGCACAAGTCAGACCGGGACCGGAAGGTGGTGTGAGCGGACCCTACCATGCGCCGCCATAATCAGCCGAGGATGCTGCTCCGTGAGTTGCCGCAGTATGCTCGGCAGAAAAAAAAAGTCGCTTTGTGCTTGGGCGACGTGAACGATAACTTGCAATCTGTCGGGTACGCCTCTGCAAGCCGACGATTGTCTCTGCCGTCCCTTCTTTATCTCGACAAGAAGATGCAATTATTCAAAACCACCTTTTACATGTTATAATATCCCTTCCTTCGGACCAATGTCGACCCTTGAAGCATGAAGGCGGCTTCTATCCTTCCGACGCTTCTGCGTCCCTTATCGGCACGGCAGTCGCAGTGGACGTGTACATCATGCCGCAGCCCATACCTGAGGGCAACCCGAAATCGAGCTCCAATAGGCACACGTCAGGACGGCGCAAGCAAACGAGCATACTCATCAAGAACATCGACGCCCCCTCCGCGGCCTAAAGGAAGAGTCCTTCTCTATGCCAGTATCGCAGGAGCAGGCGCGAGTGTTTTGGCTGTCGCAGAAGATGTGAAGAGCACCTTTGAGGGCACGGAACGGGCAGGCAGGGTGGCTTCGGCCCTGTTCATCTGCATAAACGAGTCGGTCGTCCTGAGCCATGATCCTTCTAGCATGCCGATTTTTCTGACACCACCTTGTTCAGCTACCGAACCACGTTGAATCAGCGCGATAAGGTTACCGATGCAGAGGAGAAAGACACGCTACTGAAGAGCTGCCACAAGAGATGTGCGGAGAGGACGCTCAGGGTATTAGAGAAGAATGGCGGAATATTTATCAAGCTGGGCCAGCACCTGGTATGTACCTGCTGTCCAGAATGTCGAGAGGACTGAGCTCCGACTTGTCCTTGCTGACTATGTATCCCAGAGCGCGATGAACTACCTCCTGCCCAACGAATGGACGTCGACATTCATCCCGCTACAGGACAAGTGCCCGGTCTCGTCTTACGAGTCGATCGAGGAAATGTTCAAGAGAGACACGGGAGAAGATCTGGCCGACTACTTCTCCGATTTTGCCCACGAGCCGATCGGCGCCGCCTCCCTGGCGCAGGTACACCTGGCCACGATCAAAGAGACGGATCAGAAGGTGGCGGTGAAAGTCCAGCACCCGACCCTGGCACAATGGGCGCCCCTCGACCTGGCGCTGACGAGATACACCTTCTCGACGCTGAAGAGGTTCTTTCCGGAGTACGACCTCGAGTGGCTGTCAAAAGAGATGGACCTGTCCCTGCCGCAGGAGCTCGATTTCCAGTGTGAAGCCCAGAACGCCATGCGCATGAAGGCTCACTTCGCCAACTACCCGAAACTGCCGCTCATCATCCCTTCTGTGTTGTGGGCAAAGAAACGGATCCTCGTGATGGCGTGCGAGTCGGGCCACAGACTGGACGACCTGGAATACCTGGACTCACAGGGCATCGACCGCGACGAGGTCTCGGCGACGCTCGCTCGCATCTTCAACGAGATGATCTTTGGCGAGGGTGCGCCACTGCATTGTGACCCACACGGTGGCAATATCTCAATCCGGAAGAACGACTCGCGGAGATATGGTGCCAACTTCGATGTGATACTCTACGATCATGGCCTCTACCGAGATATACCGTCCGACATACGCCGTTCGTACGCTAAGATGTGGCTAGCCGTCATCGAAGGCGATATGGAACAGATGAAGAAGCATACGAAAGATGTCGCTGGCATCACAGACGAGCAGTTCCCTCTCTTCGCATCCGCCATCACGGGCCGCGATTTCAGCGTGGTGCAATCGTCGATCATGAAGCCCAAGTCGGAGGACGAGAAGAAGACAATGGGAGGCGCCCTACAGGAGGGTCTGCTTGCAGACCTTGTGCAGCTGCTTGGTCAGGTACCTAGGGTGATTCTGCTCATCCTGAAGACCAACGACCTCACGCGCAGCCTGGACGAGAGTCTCCATACTCGGCAGGGCCCCATCCGCAACTTTATGATCCTTGCAAGGTACTGCATGCGGACCGTATTCAACGAGCAGCTCGAGCAGATACGGGAGCACGGGTCCTACTTCCACCCGTCCAACATGCTCAGGCTGCTGGCCGCATCATTTAGCTTCCTCCGCGTCGAGGTGAAGCTGACGTTGTTTGAACTCTGGCTGGGAGCGAAGAGGGCAGTGGGCTGGAACAGCGCTGATCTTATGGGGATATGAAGAACGAATGACAAGGAAGAAGTTGGAACGAGCGACGATACACGCACATAGATCTTGATACCTTGCATCATGGCCAGGAGTTTGATTAGACGACGATAGTCTTATCACATTTTACCACTTGGACCCTTGACAACGGACCACAGGCTAAGCGTTGGACTGGAGCCTGCACACACTCTCAGGCACGCACGAGGTCAACCTCCTCCACTCCTGGCCGGGGTTGAGCAGCAGACCCCGGGAAAGGCGTGTGAGACTATTGGCCTCCTTCATGCTGACATTGTCTGGGTGCAACGCAGCAGCACCTTAGCCCGACTTCCCACCTCAAACACCCTCGTGCTTGGGTCTCTTATGTATGTTCTTTCGAATCTGGACCCCTAACCTATCTCGTGCCCTCGGGCCGGATCAATATTCTGACGTTTACCCAAGTACCCACTGTTCACCCCGTCGAGACTATGTGCCACCCAACATATAAATTGTCTGCCCTCGCCCACCTCTTGTGCCTCTCAAAACTTACTACCTTTGTCTTCCTCTCCCTCTCACCCAACGGGCTTCCCTAGGAGAAATCACTTGTATCCCCCTCCCCAAGGTCAATATTTTATACTAACAACAACATCAAGTAGTCTTGCTTCACCCTCCATGTCTTCCACCACGGACAATGTTCCTCCGTCTGGCTTTATGCCGCGCTTAAGGCTCTCGGCCAGGTTGGAGGATTACATTGGCGTAGGTCAGAAAGCTCAGTCCGCACTATCCCGTGAGTAAAAATTCCATGATCCGGATTTATTTTGGGACCCCCACCCTTCTGCCCACCTCCTAAGATGCAGGGCTAACCGGGAAAACAAAACCTGCGCAGGCTACATGAGATTTCTTTGGGCGGGCTTGCGTCGGGGTCATGTGGGTTTACTTTTCGGCCGCGCCAACCGCGAGCTTCACGACCAGGCGTTTGCGGATTGGTACTCGTCAGCCAGTGAGTATTTTCCACCCTGCGTTTGTTTTCCTCAACAACACCTGTCTCTTTTTCCTTTCCCCTTCCTCACTCCTTCTCTTCTCCTTTTTTCCTATCTTCTTCTGCCCATTCCACGCTCACACAGCCTTCCAATTCCAGGCCACAACATCGCCCAGTTCGAGGCCACAACCGCCGTCCCCGGCCTCGTCGCCTCCGCCCACGGCATCGTGCTCGACCTCGGCCCCGGGGCCGGCATCCAGCTCCCGCACTTCGACGCGTCCAAGGTCGAGCACATCTACGGCGTCGAGCCCAACACGAGCTTCAGGCGCGCCTTTCTCGACCGGCTCCAGACGTCCAAAGTCGGGCTGGACGGCAAGTATACGCTCATTCCGTGTGGGATCGAGGACAGAGAGGTGCTGGCGCGGTATGGGCTGGGGGAGGGGAGTGTTGATTGTGTGCTCAGCGCGCAAGTCATGGTGAGTTCGATACCTTTCCTTTCTCTTCTTCGACTGCTTCGACATTCAGTATGCATTTTTCGTAGGCAAAGCCTGGTGTTTCTGACGGGGGGGTTTTGTGGTGGCTTAGTGTTCCCTCCCGAATCTCGAGGAGCACGTCCGGGAGATGCATAGGCTGCTGAGGCCCGGTGGCGAGCTTATCTTCTGGGAGCACTGCCGGAATACAGACCTTGTTTCGAGGGCTGTTCAATGTAAGTTGTCGCCCAAAAGGGGGGAAAGTCCTTTTAAGGCTGTTTGTTTGGCTGTTCAGTGGTGCTGACGGGGTTTTGGTAGGGCTTTGGTGTCTGATCTGGCCTAGTGTCGTTGGCGGATGCCGTCTGGACCGAGTGACTCGAGAGGCCTTGATCCAGGCTGCTGAGTGGGAATCTGTGGACATTGACACTGATATGGAGGCGCATATGGTTATGCCTCGGATCTGGGGACGCTTGGTCAAGCCACAAGTGTCTTGAGAGAGTGGTGGGGTAATCGCCCAAGAGGTCTGGTGTGGGATCTCGAAGGAATCAAAGAAGTAGCAGTGGTAGCTGAAGTTAAATCATGGTAATCAGAATTTTTTATGACCTGCGCCAGTGCCTGTTCTATATATGCCAGAAAATGGTATATTCAGGAATGCAAGACATTATACAAACCTCCCCCCAAAAACAGAGGATAGCAAATCCACCACTGACCAAAATCTCCCCTTCTCTGCCTCGCCGCTCAGTCTTCATACGAACCCTTCTCGAATCCAATCATGCCGGTGTTTGCTCTTCTCCTCTTCTTTCCCCAGGTCTCTCTGGCCCACTCGGTCAGCGTAAACCCCCAGTGGCCCGCCACCAGCGCTCCACTGAGAATATTGATGACCTTGACGATGAAGACAACAAAGCTGTCGCGCGACTCCTCGATCTGCAGGAGGATGGGCTCGATGTCGTACTTGAAGAAGACGCCGGGGAAGATGTTTTCGCTGACTTCGTGGCTCTGCTCCGTCACGGCGTACTGGTTGGTGAACAACGTGTCGGCGTTGTAGGGGCTCGCGGGGCCGACGCTGTAGATCGTGGGAACGATGGACATGAAGTATTGGAACTTGTGGAAGTGGTTCGCGGCGATGTTGACGGTGCGGTCGAGGGGGTTTTCGAGAGAGGGGTAGAAGCCGCCGAAGGAGAGCTCGTTAACAATGTGGGAGAAGTTGAAATCTGTGTGAGTATTTAAGTCAGTCAGGTTCTCTTTTTTTCTCTCTCTTCTTCTTCTTTCCTTTCCCTCTACCTCTAGCATAAAGGAGACATGGAGCAGGAGGGGGCGAGAAAAACAGAGGGTGCGTGTATGTGTTTGTGCTTGGCAACGTACTGCTGTGATCCAGATGCTCCCCAAACTCGAGATACCCATGGCCACGGGCAGTGACGTGGAAATCACCCTGCACCTTGTTCAGGTCCAGGCTCCCAAAGATACGGCACGAGTCTGCATTGTTGGCGCCGCCCTTGACCTTGGGAGTCTTGGCCCACTTGGCCCTCTTGGTGCCCAGCCTGACGATATCATGGATATGCTCCTCGCCAAAGCCCTCGTCGTGGCCGTGCATGGCCACCCAGCCCTCGCCGGTAACGATGCGGCCCTGCTCGTCCCTGTTGAGCTTGTGCGTGCCCTTCTTGTCGACCCAGTGTGTCCACATGGTACTCTCGCGCTTCAGCTTGTTTCCGGCCAGGATACGGTCGCCTGAGGCATCCTGCACGTTGATGTGCAGGTCGTTGCATGCCATGCGTACCACCATGTCCAGGTTGATCTGCAGGCTGTGGCCGACGCCTTTTTCGACCGCGAAGGTGTGCGTCTCGACGCCGCGCCACCAGCGGGCCAGCTCGGACCACACGAGGACGAGTGTGACGAGGATCATGGCGACTGTCCATTTGCCGCCGCCCGAGGTGCGCGTTACGTATTGAGGTTTGGATTTGGCTGCAACAAAGGAGGGGAGGAGGGCAACGCGGGTTAGCTTTCGGTTTACTGCTATGCATTCGAGATGGAGAGGGGGCGCCAGAGGTACTTACGAAATGCATCGAATGCGCTCACTATGCTACCCTTTGCGCCAAAAGCATCCTCATCTAGACTGGTGTCCTTGAAGCCGTTCATGGGCGAAGGAGCGTGGAGAGGCGCATCCGAGTACGGGCTGCCGCCGTACTGGGTCTGTTGTGATTGCCAGTCCATGGCGAGAGGCTATGAGAGAAATCTTGCAAGGTCCAAATGAAGCCCGAATGTCGTCGCCGTGAGTTGATCTCAACGTTTCTTGGCTATATCGTCTCGTGGAGAGCTTCGTGGAAGATGGTAGGTGGTGCTGTCCCCGCCGCGAGGAGGTCGTTTCGAGAGAAACACCAGCGTGCGCCGGAGCCTTCTCTGATCGCCGCAGGGGATGTTCGCCAGCGTGAACACGTCGTTCAAAGATCTTGTCGAACTGTCCCCTATCAGCCCCCGTTTTGCGTTATTCGGCTCATCCAATTGAGCAGTCTGGTTGTCGATATATTTTCGTAGAGCTTGCAAAGGCTCTGGGCGCGGGAGTTTGTGGTCTCCCTGCTAAACTTAATTCACAAAGTAGGGGACCTTACTTTCACACGGCACTGAGGACAGGTAGCAGTAATTGGGACGATCGACCCCGGTTAAAAACGCGCCGTCTGCATTCGTCACCCGCAGGGGTGGGCTTGGGTGGGGGTCTAAAATTAGAGGAAGAGGAAGGATGGGTGGATCTCCCCACCTTTCGACTTACACGAGGCTGAGGCTCCAGAACAACTCACAACCACTGCTTGAGCCAAGTCGAATGCACCTGAACAAATCCAGCACCGGTAAGCAGAACAGAACCAAATCCTCGCAGGTATGCCTAGAGGTCTGAAAGTTAATTGCTGCAATATGCTTTTAGCCCTCTTTAGCTCTCTTACCTACTATCAAACTACACTTCTTACGCTGTGGACCACTGACTGCAGAGCCTAATAATGTCACCATACTTGGTTGGAATCAAGGCTTCTCCATATGCTACCTTATGACATAATCATTTCCGTTTTGCCTAACATTTCTGAACTCATTCTTATCCCCTTCTTGGCTTCTTTACCATCCAGCTGCAGCGTCATCTGCAGAGATGACTACCCTATTTGTCAGCCTCCATGCGGCTGGCTGACCGTCAAAGGTCACCCACACTTTCTCCACTGTCTGAAGCCTACATTTGCTTTTCTCTATCCCGATCTAGCACTAGATACAAGGCGCTGCTATTATACTCTGCTGGCCTCTCGCCCTGTCCATACCCACGGGTTTCTGACTATTGAACGCACGGGATTGAAAGACTCCGACACTTTACCTTCTTTGAATGCAGGCTTGCTCTACTTGAGTGGAACATGTCGAAAAGACCCCATGCAGTCATCCTTATCTCTAAGGCACGTGTCGTGTGGAGTGCCGGAGCATCGTCCCGAATCAGCCAGCCAGCAAGAGAATATTATTTTTTTATTGAAAAAGAAAGGAGATTAATTGGAGAAAAATGAAGAAGGGGGCTGGGGGGACCGGAAATCTATTTGGAAAACAGACGGCCTGGAATATACCAGTCTTCAGCTGGTAGGCCAAAATGTGGCCAGTTCATCATGGCCCCTTGTGTAGCGAATCAAACAAGGCTGGGCATGAAAGACAGGGACAAGCAGCCTCAGGTGAGACGATGGACTTAGACGCGTGACCTTTTCTGCACAATTCCGAGGCTAACCTCACGTCGCGCATGACATGCAGTGCTCCAGAGCTTTATCCTTCTTATAGGACGGTTGCTGGATTCCACGCGAAGAGATCCGTAGCTCACCTGTCCCACGCGGCCGGCTGCGCACTACTACCTTTATGGAGTACAGAGTATAGCATATTAAGACCTTGTGTTTTTTGTCCTGCGGTGGAACGTGACAAGTATGTCCAATTTGAACTGGATCTACATAGCCATTTCTCTCACCAAAGGCTATCTGACTAGGGGACTTCAATGACTCGCTGGATGCTGTTTGATGATGATAACAGAACATCTTTTTTCTCTCTCAACATATGCCTTTCAAAGACACTATATTTTAGCGCAAGCCTTTTCGAGGAGAAAGTTCACGTTGAAATGTTCATGCAAGATATGACCACGTCAACGTTCAGGCAGAAGTGCTATATACTGCATGAGCCTTCAGGCCTAGAGGTCTAGATTCATGGAGTGATGCACGTCACACATGGGACTATTTAGTCCCATGAGGAGAAGGGGATCATCCAAGAAGGACAAAAACGAGGCGACAGAACTAACCTATGACTGGCAGCACCACGGCTTTCCACAGGTCGACGCTTTCGTTGCCACCCTGCAACCTCCCGCACGTTGCATGACCTTGGAAGTAATTGGATACCATTACACTACAAGATACACCGCCGAAGATTCTTGTCCTTTGTTACCGTACTTCTCAAGTGCGCCTGCGGTGACCGATGTGGGATGTCAAAGAGCCTTATGAGCCTTGGTCGCCTGGACACAAGAAAATAGTTATCTACGCGAGCGCATCGTAACTGCCGTCCACATAAAAATCGGAATTCCAGAATCAGCCTCTGGAAAGAAAGAGACTTCAAGATTCTTGTCAACTTGCTCTGCCCATCTCTGACTCTATCAAATCCATCCACTGGGCTGGCTGACTGTTATTCACCCACACAGGCCATCCTTTTCGAGTCCGACTCAACGGCTGGATCATCACCTGATTTAAGACAGATAACCACGGACGGCCATGGAAGTTCTGCCCTCTCTCCAGACCCTCTCCTCAGTGGCGATCTGGATGAACTGGCGCAGCATTCTCGCATACTTCCCCGCCGTAGAAACCTTCATCAACGGCCTCAATGTCGATGTGTTGATCCACCTGGTGCTGGGGACGAAACTCGGCTTGTTCAGTCTGGGCGTGCTATCATCGCTAGCCCTGTCTCACATAGTATACTCGGCCTGGAAAGCGATTCGGGATTTAGTGCTCGTTACCTGTTATACCAAGATCTCTATGCATGAGAACTGTACCATGTATCAGAATGTGGTGGACTGGACGATCAGACACCATGAGCAGCTTGCCTCTGTTAACACGGCCAAGATCTCATGGCGTGGGGGGTTCTTCGAGGATAAAATTGTGGTTCCGGATTCGGAGGACAAGATTGATATTGGGCGACTGCTGAACGAAGTTGTGAGTGATTGACTATATCTTAGAGTGTAATAAAGGACGGAAGCAGGGGTTCATTGCAAAATGACTGATCTCTTTTGATATGATAGGTCCCTGATTTCCTGCCCGAAATAACCCAGATTCGGTTTTGGTCGGGATGGTCATACTTCTGGATGATCGAGCGCAAAGACAAGGTACGACCTGCTCGAGTGCACCCGCTGGTCTCTCCTTCCTCTCTCATGCACAGAGGTTCTAAAAAGCCTGCTTTGGATCCAGAAACTTGAGTTTCACGGAAGAGAGGCACCCGATAATTGGCTTGACATTTACTGCTTCAACTGGAGGCGAAGCACTGGCAAGTAAACTTACATTTCAAGTTCTGCCGCCTGAATCTCATCTCTTGTGTTTCTCCGAAAAACGGAGAGAACAAATAAAGAAGAGAAAGCAAAAGAAAGGACACGATATAGTATCAGGTTTCATCACTCACTAACAGAAGGACCAAAGAGCCATTGAGGGAGCTGCTCGTGAAGATATTAAAAGACGACGCCGCGCAGAACTGTGACAAAACCATAATTTACAGTCCTGCGTCCCCGTGGCACCAACTCAGCCAAAAACCCTACTGGGGCCGGAGCAAATCAAGACTGCGCCGTCCCCTGAGTACAGTCGTCCTTGACGAGCAGCAAAAGGACGTGATCATCACCGACATCAGGAACTTCCTCACCCGCTCAGGTGTCTTATGGTACCGGGAGAAAGGCCTCCCTCTCCGTCTCGGCTACCTCTTCAGCGGACCACCCGGTACGGGCAAGTCTTCCCTGGCCTTCGCCCTGGCTAGCGACTTTGGTCTGCCAGTGTACATGATCAACCTCTCGTCACCGGGCCTCAATGATAGCGACATTGAGTCGCTCTTCTGTAGCCTCCCTCGCCACTGTATCGTCTTGCTTGAGGACGTCGATGCTACACAGCCACTGTCAAGGAATCTCCCCAAGGACCAAAAGGAAGCCGACGACAAAGACGTGGATTCGGAAGAAGACGATGACTCTGACTCGAGGTCGTCTGATGGGGAGGCCAATATCGCACGGGCCGCGACGGGGAGAGGCCATGGAGGGAAAGAGTCACGGTCCAGGACGCGCGAGAACACGGTGACACTGAGCGGATTGCTGAACGCGATAGATGGAGTAGCAGCTTCAGAGGGCAAGTCAAACCCAAATTTATGACAGGAACAAAAAAGCTTGACGTTCCTTTCTCACCTCTCTTAGGCCGCATCCTGATCATGACAACCAACCACATCGAGAACCTAGACGAAGCCCTCATCCGAACAGGCCGAGCCGACCGCATCATCTCCTTCACCAAGACAACCAAGAAGCAGGCCGAGGATATGTTTATCAACGCGTATACGGGCACGCGCTGGGGCCAGCACATGTCCCGCGAGACAAGGCTGAAGCACCCAGAGATGGAGGACTGGACGGACGAGGACATTTATGTGCTGGCCAAGGAGTTTTCCGACAAGATCCAGGATGCCAAGTTCAGCCCGGCTCTGATCCAGCAGTACTTTAAGGACTTTCGTGCGGAGCCCAGGCGGGCTGTGCAGGAGCTGGAGGAATGGATGAAAGACCCTCGAGTGTATCGGAGGCCGTCTCTTGACCGGAAGACAGACGCCTTTTTGTTGGGAGAGGAGCATCCTGATACTCCACCCACGACGCCGAAAGAGTGATGAACAAGAGATATAATAACAAGATGTAGCGTCCTCCTTTCGAACCTCTTGTTTTGTTTCTAAACTTCTACCAAAACTAAAAGGGGGTATCATTGTTGAAAAGATGAGTGTTGGACCGAGTGGTTTTCCAACTGATGACTCAAACAAATAAAAAATAAAAAAGATTCCGTGTCTCCATCGTCCACCCCTCCAAACAAAAGACAGTTCCTATTCCATCTCGCCAGCAGCGTCATGTTGAATATTGACGCATCTTTGTTCGCAATAACAAATCTGTGCGAGACCCAGTGACTTGCTGGGCCGGATGTATCTGGCAGCCACCTGCCGCGCCTTCCCTGGATAGATTGATTGATTCAGCCAGCCTAGCTTAGGCTGGTTTCTTCCCTTCTTTCTTTCCTTCCATAGTGAAGCCTTTTAATAGAGTTTCTCTCCCATGACCTCTGAAAAAGATAGCCCCGCTGTCTTCTCCCAAAATCGTCTCTCTAATTTCTATATGCGATCATACAGACTACAAACAGGATATGTTTACGCTGGTGGATATGCGCTCCCTCACCCTCCCCTCCGAATTCCTCGCATCCACAAGAGTAGGTCCATGAACGCCCTGTGTCCCGACAGACGCCTCGACAGCACCGCAGATACCATCCAGGAGGTGGTAGACGTACTGTACGATGAAGACGGTGCTCAGTTTTCTGTCGACCGTAGGGCAAAAACTCCCGATGCGCACCCCAAGCAGGCTGGCACTGGCGGCGCAGCAGGCATCCAGCGTGGCCGGCAGCACCGAGGCGAAGCTCTCGAAAATCTGGAGGAGGCGGACGTAGCAGCTGACGACCATCAGGCCCGTCGCGCTGTCCAGACCTGACGACGTTGAGGGCGGCGGTGAAGGCTGGTGCAGCATCTCGGCCTCCTCATCCAGCATAAGCGGCGATGCGGGTGATGCGTACTGCAGGGCTGCGTCAGGGCCCACGAAACCCTGCTTTAGGATCTCGATGAACTCCTCTGCCGCCTGGAAGAGGCGCTCCACCCAGTCCAGGGCGGAGGCGACAGCGAGGCTGTCGGTCTCTGGCTCGCCTCTGGCAACGAGGCCCTGGTGCTCGATGGTCCTGAACGAGTTGAGGCACTGGTACAACTCGAGGTGGAGGCTTGTCAGCCTCTCGACGGGGTCCTGAGTCATTGATGTGGTTGGGGATGCGCTCTCGACTGTCATTGGATCGCCACCACCCACGTGAGGGTGATGGTGCTGGTGGTGCTGGTGGTGGTGGTTGTTGTTCACCAGCAATGCATCAGACGCGTCCTCAAAGGATGGCATCAGCGAGTTGAGCCCGCCGCCCAGACCGCCGATCAAGGCACCTGGGAAGAGAGCGTGGCAGCTGTCGTCGAGCTGTTGCTGTTGTTGCTGCTGCTGGCCCGCCGACGTGTTCTCGGCGTCGCTTACGCTCCAGTCGAACGGGCTGGGACAGTCACTTGGTGAAAGCAACCCATTGAGCGGCCAAGGGCTCTGCCGCCTTTCCGGGAGAGACAACGGTGGCGTGGGCTCGAGAATGACCGCCGCGCTAAGGTCGGTGATAAACTCATGGTGATGATTAGACACCACTGCGTCATCAGCTGCTGTCGTCGTCGACTCTCCACTCAAGGACTTTCTACTACTGCTGATGCCCTTTGTTGAAGACGCAGGCTGGCCTACACTAGACGGTGGGGTGGCAGTCTGGTGCAGCACAGGACGCTGGCGGCGCTTCTTGGCCGTCGTCTTGCTGACCGAAGCGTTAGTGGAGTGGGGGCGGCCTAGCCGCCGCGGTATCCTCTCTGTGCAGGTGGCATTGGCCGCCAGACACCTATCGCAGCTGAGCCTGTCGTGCTGGCGGGCGCAGCGCAGCTTCTGGTTGTGACAGCGCTCGCAGGCCAGGCGTTTGGCTGTCGTTGGCGAAGAAGGGGGATTCTCCGTGTTGATGGTGGTGGTGACATCTTTGACCTCGTCGAGGCCGGTGGGCTTGTCTGGGGAGGTGGTGATGGGGCTGCTGTAGACCTGTGCTTGGCCTACGACGGGGTGATCTCTCATGGGGGTGTCGGGGGCGGCGTCTTTACGGGTTGTGGTTGTTTGTGCTATCATCTTGCGTGTGAGAGCAAAGGTGAGAGAGACTGGAGCGCCAAATGTCGTCGTTGTCTTTGAATGAGGTCTCACTTCGTCCCGCTTCCCATTCCGTATAATAATTTATCACGGTAAGAGAGAAGAAAAAAAGGATACCAAGGGAACTAAGTAAATGCAATGCCACAAAAGATGGAGAAACCTCCCACGTAGTATTACCCTGGGTAAAGGCCCTTCAGCTAGTGTGGAACCGGTAGGATTCAGGATCCTTTGGCGTCTGTGTGCGTTTGCGTGTGTGTTAAGGGAACCCCCCGGATGGTGTCCTGAAAAAGAGAGAGAGAGAGAGAGAGAGAGAGATGCGCACAACACATCAAGGCAAGGTAGGCGTGGCAGAATGGCAACGGCGACAGCGCTGCAGTCCTTTTCAGCGCTATCCCCGGGTATGAGATCTGCCGCACTATGAGGAACAAAAAGATAAGATCCTCTAGGTGCTTAGGTATCTAGGTAAGGTATTATGGTTTGTCACGCAAATTTGGGAGAGGGGGGGGGGGCGGCGTATCGCCCGATTCAGCACCGTTCCTTGGAGGGAAGCGATGGAAGCGGAAGAAAGATGAATGGAATTGCTCTGAAAAGTCCGAACTTGTATAATAGAGGAAAGTAAGGCATCCAGCATGGAGACCAATCGAGAAAGGATGACCACGCCACAATAAGTCCGTAGTCCGGAGTCCGACGCCGAATATCGTAACGGGTGTCGTGCCGTGCCTCGTTCCGGAGTCTCCGAAAACGAGAGAGAGGATAAGGAGTATAGAGAGAGGAGCAAGAGATGCACGCTATAGCTCCGTGACGCATGTATGAAGGAGGACAGCCGCCCTACATTAAACACTGGCCGGCCATCTCTCTGTTTCTCAAGCAATCCTTCAAAGACTCGGGCCCCAGACCAACCAGCCACCTAAACCGGTAATCATTGTCACGACCAGACAAGGTCTGACCTCAATGTACAGGGGCCCGAGGGAAGGGGGGAAGGAGAGGGAACAAAACCATGTCTTGGAATTATCCAAGGCTCTCGTCACAACAAGTGAGTGACACCTCACAAGAGACAAGAGAAAGACACTAAACCCACCGGGGCCCCCCTCCTGAGGTGGCAATCAAGAAGCTCTGGTATTACGTGCTTACTGATGCTTTGTGCTGTGATTATGCAGATCTCGGCCTACACGTAAGAAAGCGGAGGGGAGGGGGGGGGGAGGCATGGGATGTAAGTGAGACCTAGGAGACTCTGTGTGTGCGTGTATGTGTGAGTCTGTGTGTGAGTTGGCAAAAGTTAGAGTTATGATTTGTTGTCCCGTCTTTTGCTGGCTGACTTCACCGCTGTCACGGCCAAAGCATAATAAATACCGGCTCTCGGCAATCCATTCGCTGTCCGTTGGGCAAGGTGCTCATCTCGGGGCGTAGGATTCGGAGAGAGAGGACAAGAGGAAGAAGAAGATAAGAAAAAGAAAACCTCCGGTAAGCACGGACCATTCGGAGAAGGGAATTACTTGAAATGGAAATCTTAAAACGTATGGGAATGACTAGAAAGGGTAATGGATGAATCCAGTTTAGCTGGTATAGATAGGATAATGTAAGGGGACCTTATTTGTTAACCATGATGATGCATTCCAGTGCAGTGCGTTGCGTATTTGGCTTATAGCATAAGGATTGGATCAATGGAATTGGCCACAAGTTTTGCATGCTGCAAACTGTCGGGTTCAGGCATGACAGGCGATAAGAGAAGGAGAGAGTGTGTAAATGCAAATCCGTAATGCTGCCCCTCGCTAAGCAAGAAAAAGAAATCGCCGAAGCTGACGCTTCCATTGGCTTCCCCCGTTCTGTCTTTGCTCTTCGCTGTCCGTCCCTCTCCAAGCTACGTGTATGTTACTGACGTAGCACCTGCTGTGATCCTCCACCAAGGATGCGCGCTTACAGCGTCTTACGGTAACATCTCCATTATTCTTTGGCTTTCTGGGGTACTTGGTCGGGGATTTCCTGGGGTCCTCAGCCACCCCCAGGTCCGAAATTGCAAGGCATACGACAGAGTATTGCCGAACGGAGCCGGTGATTTAATTATGGGAGTATGACATGCCTCTGATTCAGGCAATAGGAGTTTGAAGCATTGGCAAAGAGCAAAGAAGCAGAGGATCATGTCCTTTCGCAGTGATGAACTTGCGGTAGGTTTTCTGTGTTGGACACGGACAAGAGACTGAGTATTTGATTGAGGCTTTGGATCGAAAAAGGCCGACGGAGCTGCTGTGGGCGAATCAAGTAATTGCCAAGGATGGCCGGGGGAGAAGCTGTGCGGCACAGCAGTGATTACTTACTTGAATAATCATCCGAGCGATTCCTTATAAAGTGCATCGTGGCTCAACAAAAAAAGACGAATTTTTACTCTACATGTTCTTGGACCAAAAATTTAAAGAGAGAGGGAGAGATCAGCCGGCTGGATGGCCGGACATCTGCCGTCTGTCCGGATCGGAGGGGGAGGGGGGGGGGGGGGTTAGTCTAATCAATCATTACCCTTCACTCCATCGCCGGTGCCTCTCTGCTGTAAGCTTGCTTCCCCGCAGGCTATGAACCCGGTTGATGGTTAAATCATGCTCTCTCAAACCATAACCATACCGCCTCATCATGACCACTTTAGTGTACTAAACCAAAACACAAGCAAACCCTCAATAAGATCCAATATGTACAATTCCCAAATCACCTTCACCTTAGACCTCGTCTGCCCCTGGACCTACCTAGCCAAGAAACGCCTAGAAACAGCGCTCACCCAGCTCCCCCAAGACACAACCACCAAAGCAGCCTTCCACCTGCACATCCTCCCGCACCAGCTCTACCCAGCCTTCGGCCCCGCGCAGGACAAGCACGCCTGGTATAGGGACACTAAATACCTCGGCTCCGAGGAGCGGACGGCGGCGTTTGTGGGGGCGATGGAGGAGCTTGGGCGGGAGGAGGGGATTGAGTTTCGGTTTGGCGGGTTGGTGGGGGATACGCTGCAGGCGCATCGGGTGGTGCAGTATTTCCAGGAGGTGGATGCAGATGGGGACGTCGGCAAAGGCGAGGCACAGCAGGGGCAGACGAGGGCGAGCCGGATCGTGGACGCGCTGTACAGGATGTACTTTGAAGAGGAAAAGGACCTGAGCTCACATGAGACGCTGGTTGCAGCTTGCATAGAGGCTGGCATCGAGGAAGGAGAGGCGAGGAGGGTCGTGGTGGAGGACGAAGGAGAAGGCTTGATGGAGCTGAAGGCGCTGCTGAGGGAGTCTGCTCTGAACGGGATCGACTCGGTGCCGCATATCATGTTTGAGGGGCGGCGGAGGGATCTTACGCTTGTTGGGGCCAAGAAGGTGGGTGAGTATGTGAAGGCCATGGAAACAATTGCGAAGGAGAGCACGTAATTCGAGTGTGGATGCTGGGAAACCAGATGGCATTTGGCAATGAGATTGCTTTTTTCCCCTTCTCCAGACTGACGACTAACTTGACCTTGGGTTTGTGTGAGGACCAGTGACTCGTCGGCCCGTGCGTGCCAGGCAGGCGCACCTGCCCTGCTTCCCAGATAGCTTCAGCGAACCTGGGCTTAGCTAGCTTCCTTTGCCCTTTCCTTCTGCAACGCAGCCCTCAATATGGCCCCTTTCCATGCATCTTCAATACCGTTGCATGATCCACTCCCTCCTCTTCGCATCATCCAGAGAATGTAAGAACTTAATCTCAAACCTCTTGACTGCGCAATACTTCTCCACCAGCTCCGCCCCAACCAGCTCCACCAGCTCTTCATTCCCCTCAAGCGCCGCAAGCGCCTCTTCCAGGTTGGCAGGCAGCATCTCTGTCACCCTCAGCTCTCTGCGGTCGTTGTCCGTCATGCCCGCCGGGTCGATTTCGCAATCCGCCCAGACCAGCTCTTCTCCCGTCGCGACACCATGAATGCCGGCGAGGAGCAGCGCGGCGATGGCCAGGTAGGCGTTGGCGAGGCCGTCGAGGCATTTCACCTCCCAGTGGCTGTCTTCGATCTTGCGCAGCGGCGTTTCTCGGTTTTGGGTGCCCCAGGTCACCCATCTGGTCTGTGTCAGTTTTCATGCCTTTCAAGTTTGTTCAGACGACAAAGAGCCTGCGTGAGGCTGGGAAGAGACCGACCTTCCACCCGCCCACACCCCATCAGCCACTCGCTCGTAGCTGGCAGGATTGCTACAAGTGAACGCTGCAATGCCTCGCAGGTGTTTTAGTATCCCAGCATAAAACGGCTCATACACCTCCTTCCTGACGCCTCCCCCGCCGGCGGAGGATATGGAAATGTGCGCATGCGCCGCCGTGCCACATGCCTCCGCAAAGGGTTTTGGGTGCAGGGTAAACTTGTAACCCGCGGCGATAGCCATGGCAGCAATCACCTCTCTCGTGTGCAAGAGCGTGTCGACCGCAGCCACCGGCGGTAAAGAAGGCAGGACGAGCTCAAACTGACCCGGTGCGCTCTCGGGGTGGATCTGCTCGACAAATATGTCCATGGACTCGAGGGTCCTGACAATGTCGGCAAGGAGTTTGGAGATTTTTGGGTCTGCAAAAAAGCGCGAGGTGGACCAGGAATGGCCATCGTTGGTGAGGGCCTGGTAGCAAGAAGGGCTCGACTTGGTGTCGGCCCTCTCGAGGAGCACGAACTCGATCTCGAAACCGACGAGAAAGGCAAGGCCTTGTTGTGCGCCGAGCTCTTGTGCCCTCTGTAGCTGTGTTCTCGGGCAGAGAGGGACCGTCGAGCTGTCCTTCTCCCTGAATTCGCCGTACATGCTGACATGCCCTGGGATCGGCCCAGCTCGAAGGGACGAGAAATCTGGGTGCAGTCTGTACTCGCCCGTTGCGCTGAAGCCGGGCGCTATCCAGTCGTGCTGCAGAAGTCCGAAGACTGCTTTTGTGATGCCAATATCGGTGCGCCTCCCTTCCTCTAGGGATGTGATGAATTTCCGGAAAGGGATCATCCTCATGCGTGGAAAGGCGACCGTGTCTGTCCATGAGATGCGCACAAAGTCGGGGGCCTGCTTGCCTCGAAGAAAGCGAGTGAAGATGTCGAGGTCGGTTTCTTCCAGTTCCATCTCCACGTCGCCTTCGTTGTCTGTTGTCTCTCCCCACTCTGTGAAGTCGAGCTCGAGGTGGTACAGCTTGTTGGAGTTGCCGAAGAGAACGTCTTTTGCCAGCTTGATGGCGGCCTTCCAACTGATGGCTCCCCTGCGAACATACTCACAGAGAACCTGAATTGATCAGTCAGTCATGTGACAGGACGAAACAACTGGGAAACATGTCAATGAGAGACTGGCGTACTGATTCAAGCACTTCCCGGACCTGCAGGATAGCCAGAAGGTATGTCTCAGGGAACCAATGACCTGCATGCCGTATAGAGATGTTTAGTATCGGATCAAGAGATCAAGGGAGGAGGGAGGAGGGAGATCGGATCAAGCTACTTACCGTCAGTGCTCCAGAGGATCTTGGACCACGGACAGAGTTCTAGAATCTGGCGAACGGCCTTTTCCTGCCCATCTTTGCTCACAAAGGGAAAGATCTCACCAATGTCCTGTTGCGAGTTTGCGTGTCAATGTCGGAAAAAGGCTTGGACATAAAAAAAAGGGGGGGGGGAGGGGAGTGAAAAACCTGCATACAGCATAGACATTGGAATACACAGTAGCCAGATACCCAAGCTCCCGCGTAAAAGGATAACTCGCATGAAGCAGCACGATCGGGACCGTGGGATACGTCCGAATAAAGTCCTGCAGATGGCTAGGCGACGACTTGGCCAGCGTGATGTCGTTATCCCCCAACCCCGTATGGAACTGGATCGGCTTCTTGTGATGGCCCGGCATCTCACTGATGAGCGCCGCAGTCCTATGGACGAGGAGGTCATTCAGCCCAGGGTGCTGTATCCTCGCCAGCCCGGTCGTGTGGCCCGCATAGTCCGACACCAGCTCGTCAAACGACCTCTTCGCGAGCGTGACGTCCACCGCGGCAGGGATGTCGAGCCCCGTGCGGTAGCAGATGACAGACTTGAACCCCACGACCTCGGGGTCCGCGATGGCCTCGCGGATCTCCACCTCGAACTCCTCGACGGCCTTGTCGAACAGCTCCTCCAGGTCCTCGCCCTCGTCCCGGAACGCCAGCGCAAACCTGTGCACGATGCGGCCCGCGACGGCCTCGAGGCGCACGATGCGCTTGCAGGCGCTGCGCGTGAAGGCGTCGTGCCAGGCATAGTCCTGCACCTCCTCGGCGGCGTCGAGGCCGTCGTCCACCAGGATCGTCTGCACCCCCTGCAGGCACTCGCCGATCCACTCGTCGTAGTCGTCGAAGCGCCTCTGCTCGATGGCGGCGACGACGGCCTCCCAGGTCTGGCCGCAGCCGAGCACGTGCGCGAGCTGCCGGACGCCGCGGATGTGGGCCAGGCTGGTGGAGGTGGCGTAGATGGCGTCGCCCGCGGCCTCGGTGGTGATGGCCAGGAGGGGGTGCTTGGCGAGCGAGTCGGGCTTGAGGAGCGGGTGCGCGTGGTTGTCAATGATGGGGCATTTTCGGATGGCCCTGACCACCTCGGCGAGCTGGGCCCTGGTGACGACGCCCGTGCCGGCTGGGGAGATGGATGTGGCGGTGGACGCCATCGTCGCTGATGTTAAGTAGATTTTCAGTGACGAGGACGTCAAAAGACCGCCAGCGAACAGTTGTTATGTGGGTTTGTATATTCTATTTCATATGATTGAGGAGGAGTGCCCCCACACACTTCCTGATTCGTGGATCGCTTGACAAAAGACGATGCACACTCTCAGTTGCGTGTCCAGAATTAATCCAGGGAGACGAGGAGGCCCTGATGATGTGATGATGATGATGATGATGATGTGACGAGTTTCCGGGCGGGATGATCGCCTAAGACAGAAATGCTTAAGTAGTGGAAGATCTGCCCCTCCCTCCGACAAGCCGGAACTCAGAACTGAAGACAGGAAAAAGTTTAATTCAGGAGCACCTGTCGCACAAAGCTACTTTTGTTGCTCAACAGGTGATTCTGGCGCACCAGCGGGAGATATGTCTGGGGTTCAACATAGCGTGAGTTCATCATAGCCGCTGAATTGCTTGTTTTGATGGCTGGCAATTACATATGCGTTAGAGATAGGCAAGCCGAGTGCCGGATTGGCAAACAGAGCTGACGCGTTCGGCAGATTCTACTGGTTAGTCCGGTTATACAGCATACAAGCTGGATGAAGCAACTGCTATTCAATAGATGTCTTGTGCCATATGTAAAAGCGAAGAAATGTAAATTTTGTTGACTTCAAGCTGAGCGAGGCAATAAGAAGGGGAGACGCATACTGATTTCTATACCCTGTTTAGTACTTATCTCCTGCATAACAGTATATGCAGTGGGCTAATTCTAGGGTCCAGAGCTCGCTTTTTAGTGGGTCAATACTACTGGTACAACACCTGAGAACACACCTCGCTGGAGATTGATATAGCCCAGAACAAGGCTCTAGCGATAATCACTATGAGCCTGCAGTGTTAATCATTGCGCACTACCACACCACACCTCCTTCGAGACAAAGAATGTTGGCGGGAAAGGGATGACTTGATCACGCGCAAAGAATATTGTTTTCAAGAACCCAAGGGGGGTATAAAGCTTGTATGATGGACGAGTCGATTCAAAAGGGTCAGGTTTGTCTTTGGTGTCTGAGCCCCGGCCAGAGAGAAGCTCGACATCACTCATATTAGTGCTGCTGTTCAGGCAGGAGCCCATTGTATTATCGTAGTTAGTTCTTCACAGTGTCCTCAACGCACTTGACTGGCAGTCCCACCTGAGATAAAAGTAGTCTTCTTGCCAGGGAAGCTGAGTAAGTAACTGAGTTGACCTTCCTCTTCATGCATGTAAACTTTGAAGTGAGCACCATCCGTAGCTGTGTGGAACAAAAGCCCCAAACATCTGAATGGAACCCAACCTGGACTTCGAGACCATCTTCTAGTGTCGACAGAACACTGATCAACATCTGCTCATGAAGCTATCCTGCCAACGTTGACGACCCCAAAGACTACACCTCTGTCTGCGCTGATATCGCTCACAACCCCCCAACCTCATCCCAACGCGCTTTCTCGTCGTGTCGGACACTCACAGACAGGACCTTTCGGTGCCACCCGGCCGCTTCGACGTCGCCATTTTCTGTAGGGACCTTTCGCACGTGAGCAGGTTCGGGGAGTTCAAGCTCACGGCTGCCAATATTACTCAGATCGAAGCATGCCGGAAGCTGGCGATTGCAGGCAATCTCGATTGGATACTGCTTGACGCCCACGACGTGAAGGGAGCCGACAGTTGTTTCCGGCGGCACAACGCCTATAGGCATACATCGACAAAGGAGATGGCCCTAGACCACTTTCAAGGACAACAACATTCTATACCTTGAAGGGGGACAAAACGATTTTCGGCTGGCCAACGGGACGGAGCTGAAGATATACGCCAGCCAGACACCCGACCGAGGGATATCTGCTCCGGGTTTCAGGTACAAGGTGAAAGACTCGCACATATTCTAACTTGGCCTGAGAATTTCTCCCCCCCTAGGCTTTTGTAGCATGTAGCAGATGCTGACTGCGGTGAACAAGGTGGTCATCTCTGAAGTCGACATGGTGATCACGCACGGTCCGCCTCTGCGTCTGCACGACCCCATCGATGAGCCTAGAATCCGTCCAAAAATTTTGAACGGACGAGTTAAAGAGAATGTCAGGCGCTGCGTGACGCCGTCGCCGTATCCCGACCCCGCCTGCGCTGCCTCGGGCACAACCAGCCCGGCTGGGGCGCGACTGTTGTCAACTGGAAGGAGAGCACAGTGGATGAGTATGGCAGAGTCGACCTGCTCAGACCCGCTCCTCATCCAAATGAGGCAGCTTACAGAGCCTCGACAATATCGTCTCCCGGAGATACTGATCCATGCGTAGTGCCGCCACACAGTCACCTTGCGGCAGACGAATTACCAGTTTTAAAAGGAAAGCCAAACCCTGTTTGTCAATGCAGCAGTCCAGACATTTGATAATGACCTGCAGGATAGTGGCCGTTTCTGGTGGACATCGAGCTTCCCATAGCACCAGACACACCACCTTTGCCTAGGGTTGGAAGCAATACCTCAAAGAACCCAATCAGACTCTCCTCCCGTGAGTTTGAAGTTCTTAGAAGTGGCATCGATGGCTGGCAGACTGCAGAACCAGCTCGCGGTCATTTCGAGGAGGATTTTGTGTCAAGAAGTGGCAGCGGCGAGGATGACTCCAGGCGCCAATGTGGTCCAAGGGATCGCAAGCAAACAGTATGAACATGTGTCAGCAGGGTAGGAGGTTGAACGCCTCCTGGAAGTAGTAGAGAAAGTAGACCATGGCAAGCATCGAGATCAACATGGGAGCGTCATCGGTAGGGTCACAGATGGGGTGTCATTTCTTAACATCTTTGTATTTCATGGAGGTTGGTGGTGGGGAACAGAGGAAGAGGGGGCTAAAATTCCCAGCGGTCAAGTGTGCAGGTGCAGGTGCAGGTGCAGGAGCAGGTGCAGGGATCAGGACAAGAGGGAAGAATCCACCAACCAATTCTGGGGTAGCTTTGATCAAACCGGGTATATGGAGGGTGCTGAGACATGGTATCCCTGTATTTGGCATGATGTTTGATGATCTGGGAATGTACTGGATGGGGTGATCTGTCTCATGTTTTTAAGCATCAATAATGTTTTCATGCATGTAGATTTAGCAAGTACTCAGCAGAAATTATGGTTGAGATGTTATGCAATGCGATGCAATGTGGTGAGCTGGGGAAGGGAGGGTAAGGGAGGTCAGCCATGTGCTTTGGATACAAGCAGCATAGTTGTGCCATGGGAACACGAAACTTGCTTGTACCATGTATCGGGTGCGGGTGATGCTCAGGTCATCCAATACCTTATTTGGGAGCCAAAATTTAAGGTTAGCTGTGTTGGGTTCCCAAATTCCAGAACCCCAAGAGCGCCAGTACAAGCTATTGTTATTATTGATATTCGCCTTTTTGCCCATGCCGTCGCCGCCGCCCTGCCGCAACCAACCACACCATCAGTGCCAAGAGCACCAAAACAGTTCCAGCTGACCCTCCATCACCATCGACGCTAGCAGTCTTCCCCTTTTCTTGTTGAATCCTCTGCCGAAACTCTGGGCCTTGCTCCTCTTTCTCTTCTTCCTTCCAACCCCCAAGCAAAAGGTGCCCACATCGCGTGCGTGTTTTAACACACCCCACATCCATCTGGCACGATCATCTCAACGTCGGCTCCCCCTGTCGTTTGCACGCCCACAATCTTCATTAATCGTCATCGCCTTATCCGGGTTGTTTTCTTTTCTTTCTCTCTTGGATATCGCCAGCACATGCGCACGTCCTGACGACTCCTCCCTCAGCGAACTCTTTAACTTCTGGAATATCCGGCAGACCGCAGCCTTGTCGCCAATTCTCGTGACTGGCTCCTCCATTTCTACCGCGCCTCGAGGAGAGGACTTTCTTGGATCGTGATAAACATCTGCCGCTCGTTTCCCCAGGATCCCAGCCTGGTTCTTCCATCATGGCCCCTTCTACTCTGCGCGCCGCTGTGGCGCTTCCCCTCGTCGCCTCGTGCGTAAATGCCGCCTACTCGATTGCAAATAACGGTAGGAAACGCCCTCGCCATCGCCACCCGTGATTTCGTCTAGCGCTTCGGATGCTGCGCTGCCTCGCTGCCTCGCTGCCGTGGTTCTTTCTGCTGACACTGAACGCGCAGACGATATCAAGACTTCCGCCGCCCAGCTTGCCTACGATACTATGGCCTATTACACAGGAAACCAGTCTGGTCAGACCCCTGGGATCCTGCCAGGACCTCCGCCTGCTGGCGACTACTACTGGTGGGAAGCAGGAGCACTGTGGGGCGCTATGGTCGAATACTGGCACTACACCGGTGACGCCACGTACAACGACGTCGTCACCCAGGCATTGCTCTTCCAGGTCGGCCCAAATCAGGATTATATGCCTCCTAATGTCACCGCCTCGCTGGGCAATGACGATCAAGTGCGTGACTCTCTTTCTTGACTCGTTCTCTCTCTTGTATCGGGTGCTAACTTGCATGTCAGGGGTTTTGGGGGATGTCTGCGATGACTGCTGCGGAGCTCAACTTCCCAAATCCTTCTTCCGACCAGCCCCAGTGGCTAGCGCTTGCACAGGCTGTCTTCAACACCCAAGCCGATCCGTCGAGGCACGATAGCACATGTAATGGTGGCTTGCGGTGGCAGATTCCCTTGTCGAACAACGGGTACGATTACAAAAACAGTGAGTGCGCCCTTGTGGTACCTCGTGCCGCCCTTCGAGTCCGTTCTGACATGTCGCAGGCATTGCAAACGGCTGTTTCTTCAACCTCGGCGCCAGGCTGGCTCGCTACACAGGGAATCAGACCTATGCCGACTGGGCGGTGAAGACCTGGGACTGGGTGACAGGAGTTGGTTTTATGGACGCGCAGTACAACATTTACGATGGTGCCCACGTTGAGACCAACTGTACGGACATCAACAAGGCCCAGTTCTCCTACAATAATGCCGTGTACCTCCTTGGTGCTGCGCACATGTACAACTTTGTAAGTCCCAGCACTTTCCGGATGCGCAATACGTTGGTATCGCTGACTTCGGTGCACAGACCGAAGATGCTGTGTGGAAGCAGCGGGTCCAGGATCTGTTGGACGCCACGATCAAGGTCTTCTTCCCAAACAACATCGCCTACGAGGTCTCCTGCGAGCAGCACATGACCTGCACGACCGATATGTTGAGCTTCAAGGGATACGATCACCGGTGGATGGTCCAGACCACCCAGCTGGCCCCCTTCACTCACGACCAGATCATGACTGTGCTGCAGACATCGACCGAGGCAGCCATCAAGCAGTGCACTGGAGGCAGTACAGGTCGTCAGTGCGGCTTCCAGTGGTCGAGCGGCGCTTTCGACAATAGCGTCGGAGCTGGCCAACAGATGAATGTGCTCGGTGCCGTATCGTCTCTGCTGGTCGACAGCGGCGTGAGCGCCCCTCTCACAAACGCGACGGGAGGCACAAGTGTGGGCAACAACAACGCTGGAGCGTCTTCAGACAAATTTGCAGGCTCGTCTGAGCCAGCAACGACCGGAGACAAGGCTGGCGCGTCCATCCTCACCATTCTGATCCTGATATCTGCAGCAGGCACGTTTGGCTGGATGTCGACGGGGGTGTAGTCCCAAAAAAAAAAAAATTCTGGATGGGTTAATGATCGTATGTGACTATTTGGGATCTGCGCTGCAGGGGTGGCTCAAGGGCTGCATGGCGTATTGGACATAATTCGTACCTTTCTCTCCATTCTTTCTTTTTTCCCCCTGTATTTGATTATTGGGAGCAGGGCTGGAAGGAAAAAGGGTAATGGCGTCAGGGAAGGAGGCAAGGAGGCAAGGTAAACACAGGGTATTCATGCCCACGGGATTTGGGGCGTTGGATATTTGGCTGTAATGTTTTGAATGGTTTAGGCGGCGTGGATGGTTGGCAACACTGGCATTTGGGCGGCCCTTTTCGAGTAGGCTCAATCTAGATGATTTAGAAAATTTTGAGCTTTCAGGATCTTTGAAAGGTGATAATTTAGTATCTTACAAGACAAGAAATGTTCCCGCCAGGGGAAATGATCTGTGAAATGGATCATGAGATCGTTGTGGTGGGATACTTGAATATGAATATCGGACGAGACGTCACTAGCCCTAGGATCTCTTAAGGCCAAGCAAGGTCATAGAAAGCCAGGTCATGACAGCTTTAAGTAAATTATGCGCAGCAGCCAGCTCAGGCAAACGAATCATTTAAACGTGTGAGATTTCAAAATCCTCAAAAAAAAAACAAAGCCAAGCGAAACAAAATACACCGTGCAGTCTCATGAACATGTCATCAAAATAAAGTTATTTACTGCGGGTCCCCTGCGCCTCCGGTTGGTTCCCCCAATGGATGCGAGGAAATCGTGGGGTGGCACGATGGGTGGGTGGGTGGAGCGCCGGGACACACGGCACGCATTGAATCTGGAATTACTATCCAAGTATTCCACTGATTAGACCGTTTCCTTAGCTCTTCTCCTGTATGGTCCTTATTGTTTTCTACACTTATCTTTCTCTCCCCATTTTTTCCCCCTTTAATTAACGCATCATACAGTATGACTGTTTGCCATATTCATACCCAAGTGCGCGCACTCTTCAATGCTTCGGGAGAGGAGACCTGTTGATAGTTGTGCACCTATGCCCTCCTCAATATTTAGCTTAGAACTGATCGACAGGCTGGGTGGCTTCCTTTGTGGATGCGCGCCGCACGGGCACCCTGCATTTCAGTGCCCGCTATGAAGCAGCTGAAAGCCGATGCGCACGTCATGTACCGGGCGCATCACGATCCAAAAACTCCTCTGTTCCCCCCCCCGGGGGGGGGGGTAGTGCTTTATAGTGAGTCCTGGATGCAAGGCCTGCATAAAAATGGTCGAGGTGGTCTTATGCGGACTGGCTTTGTGTCTGCCTGCCTTGTCTTCATCATGATGGGGCTGAAGAAACTCTTACACCATGCTAGAAGGACGATTTCAAATGGATGTCGTGGCTGAGGCGCATAGAGGGGAAAATTTCTTGGCTCAGCTTGCCACGTTACAACGACGACGTCTGTTGTGCTGGGAAATTCGGTGCACATCCTGATCAGTGTGAGGGATGACATAGAGACACCTGGTTTGGGATGAAGATCAAGTAGAGTTTGCGAGTCTTGAGATAACCGCTTGATCAGAGCTCTCTCTCTCTCTCTCTCTCTTCAGGCTACCATGTCTGCCAAAGTATCTATCCGGGCCTATGTTCATGGAGATGTGCAGGCTTTGCCGACTCTGTTCCCCGTTCTTTTACCCCCATTTGAGGTGATTGGGCTGTGTCCGTTTCCATCAGATGACGTTTCATGGTTGAGAACAAAACAAACGTTGTCGCAAGAGACGAAGGAATAACCGTAGTCTGTGTGATGTATACACGAAAATCTGTTGTTTCTTGTCCATAACAGTTGCCCTGTATGGCTTATTTCCAGCGCCCATTGAGCTGGGTTTGGTAAGTTATGGCTTTTCAAATCGGCTGAGGAGGTAATGCTTTGTTCTGAATTTCAAGTAAATAATTCGAAGAATGAGGACGGGTGAGGTGATACTCCTAACGATGTGAGGCGTAGGTCATGCTCTGCCCTGGCTTTGCGGTTCAACCGTAACTCTATTTCGCTCTCGAGCCCTAACCCTGACCTTGACCCTATGAGGGGGGCTGACGCAAGGTATATACATTTGAAAATTCGAGTAAAATGTACAGTGTGAGAATAACAATCAATCAAAACTGCTTGAGAACCTAGTATTTACACTTTAATTGCTAATGTTCATTGTTGTTGTCCCGAGAATGTGGCGAGACTTTCTACTTTTCCTTTGGAAGGGCTTCCCGTCCACCTTGCGAAAACCAAGTACGAAGATCTACTTTTGTAGATTGATCATCGACATATTTGATTTCCTACATATATACTTCTATTAGTACACTTCCTCACAGCAGCAGCATTCAACTGTCAAGGATAGTTCGTGCTGGGCGCAGAATTTGAATCATGGAAATCGGACAAGAGTATCATTCACAAGGCCCACTCAAGTCTGATCGGTCACCTCCTGCCCTGCTTTTCTTCAAAGGGTACAACCAACAGTGTGGTTGGTAAAGCTATTCAGCTCCACAGTAAAGAAGCAACGGTAACGTACGTCTCTCAATGCTCCCTTGCGTCGTAACGCCCAGGTTCGGAATGACAAGGATTTTTTTGATTTTTTTTTTGATTTATATCACGAGCAGCGCCTTGTTGGGACAAGTCCTACCTGCCCCTTTCAGTAAAGCCTCCCTCGGAATAGGAATGAGAGAATTGTCGCACTCCATCGGCCTCCAACTCTCCGGCGGCATAGGGACGGTGGGGTAGAGTGCTGCCAACTGCGTCCTTTTCTAAGTAATGCCCGGATTGGGTTGGATCTCGTGGCCGCCTAAACGAGTCACGACACTCTCGGTGCGGGTAAGTAGTGAATGAATAAATGAATGACGAGGATCAGCGGGCGGCCCCAGATGGAAGGAGATGTATATAAAAGATCGACGGCACAAGGTCGTCTTTCTTTTCTCTTTCCCTTTCTCTCGCCCACTCTCGCTCTTTCTTCCTCCCTTCCTTTCGTTGGACACGCAAGTGGTAACCAGCCCTCCCTCCTTTGGGTGAAGAGTCCCCTTCCGTCAGCTGTCTCGCAAGCCTCAGACAAATCATGAAGTTTTACGGACTCATTCTTCTGCTGGGCGGGGCGGTGATGACCGTTTCGGCCAAGACCGTCCACCTCCCGCTGAGGTCTTTCTCTGCCGATGCAGACGGTCGTAGCCCGCGTGGGATCACGAAATACCAGCGCAGAGAGACCAATGCCTCATCTGGTGTGAACGTGCCCGTGACGGACTGGTTCAACGGCACAGACAACCAGGTAGGTAACTGTTCGCTATAACAAAAAATATATAAAACAAATTGGACACGAGGATCCAAACCCTTCCCTCTCCTGATCCTAAGCTGAACACACCTTCCAGTGGTACACCACCTTCAGCGTGGGCACGCCACCGCAAAACTTCACGGCGCTGTTCGACACGGGGTCTCCCTCCTTCATCGTCGGTGCGAGCAACTGCACCACCTGCGGCGACAAGAAGTTATTTGACCCCGAGCTGTCCAGCACGTATGTGGACGAACCGGGCCGCTTCGTCAGCTACCTGTTCAGCACGGGGGCCGACTCGCTCCCATTTGCCGAGCCTGAGGGTGCAACGGGGTATGAGGTGCAGGATACCATCTCGTTGGGGGACCTGACGGTCGAGAACCAGACTTTTGTGCTCTGTGTCACTATGGCTGAGGCTCTTGATGTCATGCCCATCGATGGGATTATGGGGAGTACGTTTTTTTTCGTCTTTCTCTTCCTCTATCTCTATTAATGATCAGTGTTGTTTGTTTCCTATCGAGAGGCCATAATACATACTGACCCTGGTTTCAGTGGGCTTTCCCGAAGCTGACAGCTCCTGGTACTGGAACCTCGTCGACGAGGGCCAGCTGGACTCGAGCGTCTACAGCTTCTACATTCCCGCCGGCGACATCGACGGCGGCGAGGTGACCCTGGGCGGCATCGACGACACCAAGTACGAAGGCGACCTGAACTGGGTGAAGCTCAACATAGAGAGCAAGCTCTTCGGCTCCTACGTGGTCGACTGGGTGGCCATCTACGCCAACGGGCAGCTCCTCAACAACGGGACCTCGCCCACGACAGGCGCCGCCGTCGCCATGCCCACCAACGGCCTCGCCATCCTCGACACGGGCACGGCCTTCATGCAGACGCCCGACTACGCCACCGCTGTCAACCTGTACGCGCAGATCTCGCCCAACATCACGCTGATCGACCCGGCGGGCGCGTGGGGAGCACCTTGCGACGAGTTGGAGAGCATCGCGCCCGATCTCACCTTCACGATTGGCACGGCGGCCACGGCGATCAATGTGACCATCCCTAAGGCCTCGTTCAATCTGGGCGAGTACCCTGGCCTGGACGGCATCTGCCAGGCGCTGTTCAATAACCCGTCGGATGGGATTGGGTCCAGCTGGTTTGTCGGCAAGAAGGCTGAGTGGCTGGTGGGTAGTCCTCTGATCAAGCAGTATTATACGGCTTGGGATGCGGATAATCTGCAGGTTGGTTGGGGCCAGCTGGTGGATGGCCCTGGGTTTACTGCCGAGTAAATGTAGAGGAAGTTAGGCCTAAAAGAAATGAGGAGAGAAAAGAAGGAAAAACGAAAAAGATAAAAGCCCATCTACTGTTGAGGTTGCGTCTGCAGTCCCCCTCCCCCCTCTCTTTCTGTGGTCCTTGTGTCACAGGTGATGAAATTCGAGACAACCCCTGAGTGAGTGCGAGCCTCTGGACATGATTACTTCTTTGTCGATGATGAGGAGCCACGAATCCAGATTTCAGTCTTGGTAGATCCTGTATTTCCAGGGCTTCTTCCTTTTTTTCTCTCGCAAGTGTAGTAGAATTAATTACCTATTTTAGTGTATGTTTTGCACGTCTTGACCTCTTGACGTCGGTGCCCTGGAAACTTCTCGGAACGGCCCGTCGCTCCCAGCAGAACAGATCCTCAACAGCCCCTTGTTTCATCTTCAACCCTCCATTTTCAGAAGAAGTCAAAGAACTTCACAACTTCTTCTCATACCCACGAATCCAGCGAAATTGAGAGAAAAAGAATAAGGATTCTCACAAAAAAGACACCCTAAAAATATATACCCTACCATCAAGATGGCAACACTTCTCCCCGACTACACAGACACGACCCGTTTCCCCACGTTCCTCACCATCCCAGAAAACGACCCAGACGCGCCACCATCATCGTCATCATCATCATCCTCTCAACAGCAGTCAACATGGTACCTCCTCGCCCAGGTCAAAGACAACATGACCATCAACAAGCCGACACTGGTCCTCACAGACCGAGACGGGAACCCTTTCGCTCTTGTGTTTGAGGGCCTCGGGCGCGACGAGCTGGACCTGAAGGGGCTTGGGTTGAAGAAGGGGTGCACGGCTGTGATTCCCAATGCGAAGCGGACGAGGCCTGCGGAGGAGGGCAAGAGGGGTTTTGTGAGGATCGACAAGAGGGATGCTGGGACTGTGCGGGCTGTGCCGGGGGCGTTGGCTAGGGTGTTGGAGGTTGGTGGGAGGGAGAAGGGGGATAGGTGTGAGACTTGTGGTGGTGCTGGTGGCGATGGAGGGGAGGAGGGTCTGAAGAGCTGTACTGGCTGTGCGAGGGTCGGGTACTGCGGCAAGGTGAGTTCATCTCATATGGCTTCGAAGCTTCTGGTTTGGTTTGGTGTCTGTCATGACTGCTAACAGTGTACACTCGCAGGAGTGTCAAGTGAAAGGCTGGGTAGAGGGGGGACATAAGACCGACTGCAAGATGTTCAAGGCGCTCAACGACATTTTTGCATAAATGGCAAAAGTCAACTATGCCTGTTGCGGTTCAAACTGTTATTGAATCACCACTTCAGCTCTCTCATCCCACCACTCCTTGTCCTTCTCTCTAGGGTCTGACCAGCTCGTACATAATCTCAGCCCTCATCGTGTACTTGATGCCCTCCACGACATCATCCCCAGCATGTGTCAAAAGTCTCTGCTGAAAGATCAGCACACGGCCAGCCTTGGGGTCTACATCAACTTTCCGCGATCCATAGTTGGAGACAAAAGACGTGGCCCCTCCCACAAGCTCGGCATCCTCGCCAGCCTCGGCCACCGAGTCGTTCAGGTACAGATGCAGGGTGAAGAAGGTCTTGAACTTTTTCCAGCCGACTTCTTCGGAATAGTGACCGTCGCCGTGGGCTACAATTACAGGTATTCATCAAGTCTATATCAGCCCATCGAGGTTTCAAGAAGAAGGGGGAAGAACGCCGAAAAAAGAGGAGGAATAATCAAATGAATATTTAGACTCACGCTTGAAGAATTGTCCCTCGCCATACCGCAGGAACCTCATCCTCTTCCCGAGCCCGACCATCTCCCACCTCTCCTCCTTGCCTTTTCTGGTGATGCCCGTCACACGATGATCCCCATCCAGCACAGCCAGCTTCTCCATCAAAGTCTCCCCTACATCGCCCTGCAGACACCTCGCCCACAGACGGTCCACAACCTCCTGGCAGTCCCACACCAGCCTGTCCGAGTTCCGATACCCCGAGTCGAGAACCTCCATCCCCGCCCCCGCCGACACCATTGCCGGCCTCCAGGGGTCTTGGAGACTCGACGCCGAGTTCATACGTTCCACATCGACGCTCGACTCGGCCAGGCTCAACAGGGTGCGGCATTCGCTGGGCGAGAGGACATTGTCGAGCACCACCGCGTACCGGTCCTCGTACTCGGGAAGGGCGGTCTCGGTCCAGTCGATCTGGTTAAAGGTGATGGGTTGGGCGTCAGGAGGAAGGGAGCCGTCCCTGGGGAGAAAGTCATCTGGGATTTTGACGTCTTTGGAAAAGTACTCGACCACCCTAGGCTCGCCCTCGGGGATCTGGTGGGCTTTGGCGTTTTCGGAGCGAGGATCGGCGGCGGGAGTTCTGGATTTGGATAAGTTATACATATTTGTTTGTTTGAAATTTTCTCTTAACCTTTGTTGAAGGTAAGAAGACACAGCGCGGGAAGAATCCTCCTGGGCTTGTCAAGCTGAGGAAAGGTAGTGCTCGACCAGTTTGATGATGGATGAATGTTAAAGGTGTTGGCCTGCAGTCCTTGCTTCGGTGAGAACAATACGCGCGAATGATGGTAATTATTTATACCCGTTGGATAAATTGAAGGGCATTCGCACTCTCCAAGAACTCAGAGAACAAAGAATTAATTTGAAAACCATGGAGCGGTGAGTTTATTAAGGTGTTGCCTGGGAGGCAACTACAATTTTCAGCGGGGCGGAGATGAGGCACAGTGATGTGATGAGTGTGGGGAAAGGGCCTCTGGCCGGATAGAAATGCCACATAAGAAAGTGAGCCCAAGAACAAAGCCCATCACTGCACCATAGCATGTCCTTGAATAGACCTCCATTTATTGCTGAATTCCAATGAATATGGACAAAAACTCCATCTGTTGCTCTCTTTTCTGCAACAAGGTTCCCTATCGCCTAATCAATCTTTCATACATGGCAACTTCTGCTGTTCCCCGCGTGCTCTACATGAATGCCTCCTAGGCAGCGAGATATCAAACACTAGGCCCAGTTTTAAAGTGGGCGAATCGGTGTTTTCTGCGCAGACTTGGTGTGATTTTTTTGGTGAGTCAAATCTTCCTTTCTGTTTCTTTTCTTCTTTCTCTCTATTTCTATCGCAGTCGTGAGTACCAATGAGCCGGAGAAAATGCCGTGGGTCAGCTAGAAGAGTCGTTCAAGAAAGTGATTAGCTGAATTGCGGCTGAGTACTAATAATTATGACTATTACGGTAGCAATTATGCCCAGTCAATAATTGCTTGGAAAAGGTACAACATGATAGGATTAAAATACAAAATACAAACTAATACAAAATGCCCTGAGATGCACACCATTTGTGGTTCAAAAATCGTGCTCGAATTCTTTTGGTCGTGACGGGATTCCTATTCTTGGTCTTGGCGCATGTTCAGGATTGTTGCCCGCCTCGTCTCTCCCAACCCCCACCGCTTCAAAATTTCTGTGTAGTTCCCGAGCTCGTCGAACAGCTTTCCCCATCGCTTGCTATTTATACGCGCCCCATCTTTGGCGATTTATCTGAGAATGTGAGAATGTGAGAATGTATATATACATAAAAGCAAGTAAATGTAGGGTCTGCCCAGGCCAATGAGATACACCCGCTTATGGTATATTGGCATTGAACATCCGAGGTTTTCAGAGAGAGGAGTAAAGGTTATTATACATTCACTTAGTGGACCATACCTGAGGGCTCACTGTCTCAACCGATCTACTGTCAAAGTCAACACTGTACAAAATAAAGAATAGCATCTAATTTTTTATTCAAGTCTTATTCCTGTCAAAGCACCATACGCAATTACGTTGAACCTTCCCATGGTCCCTGTCCAGCAATCGAATGAAAAGCTGGGTAGATGGATCCCATTCATTTTCGTTGGCGGGACCTCTGGAGACATAAGCAGCTACAATGGGAGATGTATCAAGGGGAGACTCAGGTCAGATCTGAGCCACTAATCAATTAATTGATCATCAGTTGGCTGTTGTAATAAGCTAAAGGCTGCAGTGATGCCCCCAGCAGCTCAGTGAATCCAAAGAGGACGCAGAATGGTCTTTCTGCCACCTCAAGTGTGAAAAACAAACGCTTGCGGTGTAATTGACTAACACTAAACCTGAAATACCACTAAAATGCGAAGATCTGGCAGTGCTGCCAATGAGGAGGAGGCTGTGCTGAGTGAGCTACCTATTGAAACGAACCACTACACGTACATGGACAAGTGCTTATGACGTTGGAAAAACAACCCCCCTCGCTTTCCCTCGGATGATCGCATAGCCACCATCAAGGGCTCTTATGAGCCACAATGAGCCTCATCTCAAGGTTAATCAATGGCAGACTACCCAACGTCGCCACACACCCCGTGCTGGGAGAAGGGGGCTGGCTCAGCTTACCTGGGAGTTCGCGATCAGGTCTCCTCTCTATCAGAGGGCCATCGCCAGGTATTTTACGAATCAGACAGACTGATAAATTGCATAGCTTCCCTCGGTGTATTGCTATATTCATATATGAATGGCCTCCTCCATTCCGCACTTCTACCAGAATTCGTTTTGTTTCAGTGTAAACAACGCGACGCCTTACCAACTGCCGTATATTCAAGAACACGCTTTATATCACTCGGAAAGACGAGCGAATTAATCTGCGCCAATCGCTTTATTCCACCACTCAGCCCCCCGCCCCCTCCCCCAAAATGTTCGAAAAGCAACAAAATAAGATGGCCTCCCAGTTCCCTCCGCACTTCCGCATCCACAGAGAAGGCTGGCGGAGGAAACATTGCTACCTCAGCCCGTCGAACGGCCCGATCCTCTATGCGGTCTCGCTGCACAGCGGGTGGTCAGGCAAGCCACACCTCGTGCTACACAACGGCCCAAACGAGAACTGCCCACCACTCGCCACCTCCAAGATCAAGACCAGCGTCTTCAACAATGGAGATGCGATAGTAACGCTGTTGCCTTCCCCTGGGTCCACAGGGTCGGCGGTGCAGGAGCAGGTCGAGTACCACGGAAGCTCGTTCGGCCACAAGACCATGTTTTTCTCCGTAGAAGTGGGCGCGACAGGCCGGAGAGAGACGTTTGAATGGAGGCACAGCAGCGGGGCGGAGGTCGGCGCGCTGGGTGGGTGCGGTGATGGGTACAAGCTGGTCAGGCTCGCGACAGACGCACCGGGTGCCTTACGTCAAAGGGGCGGCGCTACCTCGAGTGATGGCAAGGAGATTGTGGCCGTGTGGGCAGCACAGAGCCGCCGGCTCAGCACGGGGTTCAACTTTCAGTTTCTGGGGACTGGTTCCAGTGGCGTGCTTGGAGAGAAGTGGGCGGCCATGGCTGTGATGTCGGCCTTGAGGGGTTGGGACCGGATACTGAGGCAAAGAGCGCAAACAGCCGCTGCCGCCAGTTGATGAGTGGAGTAGGCTCAACTATTCCATGAGTAATTATGCTTTGGAAAGATCCTGAGTGATTTACCAACTGCTCCGTCCTATTGCTTTTGGATTTCGCGGTGGAGAGGCAAAAGAAGGGTTGTCTTCTGCCTTGTCCATTGTAAAACTATCCAATATGATTGCGAAATCATGAATTTCCATCACATGCGACCATAGGTAGTGGAAAACTTGGGATCCCGTCTGCTCTCCCCTAAATAAGCCACTAACCGCCGGATTAGTAGTTAAGTGGGTGACCATTAGCGAATACCCGGTGTTGCATGTTTTTCTTTTTCCCTTTCTTTTTCTTTCAGACTCATCCTCCTACAAACAGTTGTTACAATTACTAAGTATTTAATGATTTTCATTGCTATGAGCATGGCTGGGAACTGCAAAGAATTTGGCGCTGCTAGTACCAGACAGCATTGCGAAGGTTCTAGATGTCGTTGGCCAGACTTTGGGCACTTTCTCCTTCAGACAGTCCACTGTAGTGGACTTCCCCCTATACCATAGTAAAACGTTCAGCAGCATAAGAATACATCAGGTGGATGCACCGTCTTGCTACGAGGCAGATGAGGTGACTCACAGTTAAACCAAGTGTGGGGGGGGGGGGGTTTAATTAGACAAACACGCAGCACACAACGCGACCTCTGTTCAAGTAGAACTGGTGAACATGACCTCACGATACTGTGCCAATCTCAGCGGGCTAGCTTTCATCGACTTCACGTCAGGGCTCTTGTAATCAATGAATGCTCTCTGAACTGAATTTTGGTCGTAGAGTGTAGTTATCGAACCCTCCTCTTGCCTCCTCGAAGTAATAGTTGGATTATCACGCTTTACGAGACTCCATTGTTTCCCAATTCTTAGCCATATCCATCCAGACAGGGCCGTGATAAAGGGCTAGTCCTCGTAAATCACATATTAACTCCTTCAAAACCACCCTAGACAGAATTCTTCAGTTGAATGCAGTATTGATACCCAACGACTGGTCCAGCAACCCTGCGATTCCGCCAGGTCGGAATCCGAAGGAAATAAAACAAGGAGAAAGGAAGAAAAAAAAAGATAAGAGGTAAGGGGCAAACAGGAAGAAGAAGACAGGAACCCGATTGCTCAACCAAGAGCCCATATGAAATGAGGGCCAGCTTGTGCAAATCATTGTAGAGTTCGGACTTGGGTTTTCACTCGCTGACGCCGATCCTCAGTCCCCGTCCATGTCTAACATCATACCCAGTCCTCCTCTCAGTCAGGTCTTCCTCAGCCGGCTTTTCTCTCCCGCCGCCGATCGAGGCATATAACATCTTCTTCGCCCAGAATTTATCTCTCAAGCGGGCCTTGTCCAGGCGAACTCCAGCACGGGAAATTGTCCGTGGATGTTCTTCGCCTGGGCATCGCTCCACACATTCGCCAGCAAGCCCATGAGCTTCTCGAGCAGTTCCTTCTGAATGGCGCTGCTGGCCAGCTCGGCGATGGAAGACTTCAGCTCGTCCGAGGCCATGTCGTCGAATACAATGCGCTTGAGGTCCTTGTATGCAAACTCGCAAGCCATGTCGGAGGGTCGAGAGATGACGAAGATGGTGATTTTCTTGACCGTGGTGCGCAGCATGTTCCACTGGGGCGCCGGGTGGTCGGCGGCAGCCACCTGCAAGCCGTTGCAGAACACGGCGAGGAAAGTAGGACCTGGGTTGATGGACTTCTTGGGCCAGGGGGTAGTGATAGCCGTGGTGACAATCTGCAACAAGGCGCGTAGGTCCACGATGATGTGGTCCACGTGGGTGGCGGGGTCCTCGAGCCAAGAGCGAGTGTCGTCAGGAAGTCGAACGAAAAGAGCAGAAGCCGCGACGGTGATGTATTTCTTTTCCAGATAGAATATGTCTTTCTTGCCGTTGACTTCGACGGACGAGGGCTGCCCCGCGCGGCCGTCCCGCAGGTACTGGACTGAAGATAGAGGCCAACGTCTCCGTAGGGCCCTCTGCATGGAGATTCGCGCTTGTCGGCACACGAGTCCGATTGTCACTGCAACGCGTGAGGGTGGAACTGGGTTGAGGTTGTGGCAGTTGGTGCACCTGTTTCCCTCGCCGACGACGATGATACGCATATGCTCTTCCAAAGGGAGTGATGCCTCCCAGATCCTGTCTTGCACCTCGAGTGGCAGGTTGGCGAACAAGGTGAAGGTGGTAGGAGGAAGCTGGGGTCTCTGAGCGTTCGAGACCGGTACAACAGATACCGACCCAGCGGAGGCTCCAGGCTGAGGCTCCAGGGGCTGGGTATCGAGAGGAGTCTGAGACGAAGCCATAGTTGCGATTTTGGTTGCGAGGATGGATAGGGATCGTTGATCAAACATTGAGTGGTTGCAAAGAGCAGCTTGTGGCAAGTAAAGCACAAATTGTTTTGGGAGGAAGAGTGAGGGTACAAAGTGGAAGGCAGACTTCTTTCGTGGCAGAAAGGAGAGTTCACAAGAAAGCAGAGTTGGTGAGACAGACAGCAAATAACTCCCTGGTGGTCGAGTTGAAGCATTTTAGTGGGCCTTGACGACACGTCCATGGGCAAAGGAACTCAGAACCAAGGGTTATGGCGTTGAGACGAGAACTTGCTGTGTTGATTTAGGAGGCAGCATTGGTGTTTGGAACAACAAAGATTTGTTATGATATTCATTGCTCAGGTTCCAAGATGTTCATGCTCTTCAGGGCACTGGATTCTCAATCTGAAAGAGAACATAGACTTCCATGAAGTCGTGGAGGTATATACACCACTACTCACTAAACAGAGATCATCGTGTGGTGAACAGTTTTGGACCTCTGATGAATGATCTGGCTAGGATGTAGCAGATGATGCAACAGTTTGATTCCCTACTACTCAACTGGAATTAGAAAACTATCAACATCCCCTTCGAGATCTCTGTGGGGAGGTTAGATAATTCACCCTTGATATTCTCTAGGGAACCTGATTTGCAGAGAGCTTAGTGGGAAAATTTATAGCGTGTTGAAACAAGGAGGGGACATAGAAAGGTGAATGCACACAGGTATACGGGAAAGCATCAATACCTAGATGTGTCATGATATGAAGAGGTCTCTAGGGTTTTCTTATGTCACTTGACAAGTGCTTAGCTAGGATGAGTAATTCAAATCTCGAAGACAAAAGCTCAATGAAAACCGTCCTATTGTAAGAATCATTGGTAGGTTCATTATTATCCTGATAACAATATACTTTGATAGCACGGCAACAAGAACTGAGAGGTGGAGGAGACTATCCTGTTGCAAAGCCTTGTGACTTTTCGTGGTGGTCAGTCTTCAAGGCAAGATTGCCAGAAGAGAAACTTCTGCATGGTGTTTATATAATTGTGACCCAGTCTCAGACTTTCCGTGATAAATACAATGCCCCAACCGTTTCAGAGATAGGCCGAGATCAGGTGATGGCGATACACATCGGCCATGGACGATCTATCATGACATGAATCCCAAGTTCTGTGTTCAACGAGCTGTTGCGTTTTCAGAGGTAGACAAAGCTGTAAAAAGAGCGTCTGAATCTGCTCCAGGGTGATTATTGGCATCTTCAAACAATGGGAGATACCAAATTCAGAGTCTGAGCATAGACTTGTGTGGCGTTCCATCTTTAAAGGAACAAGCAGTTTTTCTTTTGTCCAAAGAGGACGAGTCTTCTCGTGCCACATACCGTCGATTTTGTAATTTCCGCCGCAGATAAGCGCCCCGTCATATCAGCGAGAGTTACGCGAGAACTCGATCGATGGTAGATTGGATCCCCCAGCCTCATCAGCTTCGAAATATCTGATCAAGCCCCTCATTAACGACCGTTGGACCAAGCTTTGATTCATGAGACAATACGAAGCAGAAACATGGGGAGACAGTATACTGTGCATTAGGTGTGATTTTTCGTCGTTAGGTCTATAGTCTTTCATGCCTGGGAAGCTGTCAGGGGGGATCGTCTGGATAATGAGGGCAGGAGTAGGCCTGACGGTGGGGTCCCCAGCTCAACCTTTCACTCTTTGCTGCCAGTTATACGACAACTCTACCGACCCCCTGCGATGATGAGGTCTGCCTTGACGACAACTGCCAGAAATGGTCACCAATAACATGCCATCACCTCGGATTTCAGCCTGACACAACTCCATGATGCTCCTCTTTCTTCTTCTGCTCCAGCTCCAGCTCCTCTCTCAGTTTCGTCGCGGCTTCGACATCTGCCTTTTGGCCCTTCTTGCGCTGCCTCTCCTCGTACATCTCGCGGCTCCTGAGAATGCGCTGCACGATGGTACCCGCGTTGACTTCCTGGAAGGTGTGCGTGCCGATCTCACGGTAGATGCCGAGCTCCTTGGGCGCCGTGTACGGGTCGTAGGTGAGCGGCATGAAGGAGGTGGGGCCGTGGTATACAGCGTCTGGTGTTCCCAAGGGAAGAGAGGACAGGTAGGCCTTGGTGGGGGTGAAGGGAGCGCCAAAGGTCACGGCGTTGACGTACTGCTGTGGTGTTAATATTGGAGAAAACCCTGGGCTGAGTTATGGACACCAAACCTACCTTGCATTGCAGCACACACAAGCCACGCTCGTAGATGTTCATGATGGGATAGTTGACACCCTTCCAGTGGTTAATCACCTCGTCGTCGTGAACACCCGCGACCACATAGACAGGGGAGTAATCCTTGTCCCAGCCCCATTCGGCAGCCAGCTTCTTCTCCTCCTCGACGACGAGTCGCAGGAACTCGATGTGTCCGCTCGAGAACAGATCAAAACCACCATCGACATACACCACCCTCTGGCCAGGCTTGGGTCTGGGCCCCTCAAACAGCCGCACGAAAGTCCCCTTCTCGTCGACCCCGTCATGCCCCTGCTTGGCCTCGAATCCGACGCCCTCCCAGAACCACACTGCCGCCCCGGGCGCCTTGGCGCTCTCGTCGCTGGCGTAGGCCCTCATGCGCTCCGTCATGGCGCCACCCTCGGCCCGCCTCTCAGCCTCGCTGCCGTGGCCCTCCTCGCCGCTCAGGGTCCGCCGGAGTGACCTGATGAAGTGCGTCCGTGTGCACAGTAGCATGCGGCCCACCAAGTCCGTCGTCGAGATGGAGGGCGTCCGCTTGACGACTTTGAAACGCCCGGCCTCCTTCACAAAGCGGTAGCAGTCCTCACCGCTGCTGTCCGAGGTGATGTCGTCCCCGTGGACGACATATCGGCAGCCGTAGTGGGTGATCCAGGAGAGCTGTGTCACGTAGGGGGCACGCGCGACAGAGCGGGTCACCCAGCGGCAGGCGTCGACGGCGGCGATACTGAAAAAGGGTAGTGTTAGTGATGTCAGGTTGTCATCTACGCCGAAAGGTTGGTGAGGTGCTTTGAAGAAAGGGTACGGGGGCTCTCACCGCTCCTGCAGATCCATCACCGTAGGTCCCTTGTTCTCCAGGATGGACTCGTCCGAGTGCACACCCACGTACAGCTCGTCGCCGAGCTGGCGGGCCTGCATCATAGCGCCAGCGTGGCCTTCAGGAAGGGAAACAGAGGTTAACAGAAGACAGACACCCTCTCACACGAGGTTTGGCGCGGCTGAGACAAGGCAGAACGAACCATGGTGGAAGAAGTCCCAGCAGCCGTCGACCCAGATGCGGCCGTCGAGCAGTTCGGGTGCCGCCTCTCCTGGTGGGGATGTAGGATCGATTCCTGACATTTTTGGGCTTAGGAAGAGGCTAATTGAAGTATCGTTGAGGTTCAGGCCGACCAGGCAATTCAGGCGGATGAATTTTCTCGGGATGGAATTGGCGATCTGGATGAAATTCCAAAGAAAGGGGGCTCAGAACAGCCGGAGGTAGTACTCAATGGGGTAGATGAGACCTGGGCATGATGTATAGTAGAGGTTAAGCTTGTAGCCCTCTCCTTGTTGTAGCGCTGCCATTCGACGCGACGCGACCCAAACTTGCCCCTCACTGGTGATTTAAGTAGAGTGGATCGTCATTTGTAGCCGATGGCAACCGTAAAAAGAGGTGTTGAAGAACAGCTAGGTAGAAATGGCAACCCAGAACCGAGGATAAATTAGAGCAAGAACTCAGTATACTTCTTTGGGAGCATGGTTACATCATGAGATCATTTAGGTGGTAAACTGCTCTCATACGTTCGTCGTAGGTTGAGGAAGGCCTGGACAGCCAGCTGACGATTAGAGTTAGATCTCTTTTGGTAATTAATCAAAAGGCTCCATAATGATACGTATTTTCTCCTGCGATTACCATCTCGGTGGAAAGAGCCAATATGATTTTGGCGAACAGGCAACTGTGTTTTCCTCGGATACTAGAAATGTCAAAGGCTGAAGGATGACAGCCTCTTCACGGCTGCACACACAAGTATGCCAAGCACCAAGGAAAGTCATTGGCTCCCACAGCTTAGGTACCTTACAGCCATGAGTGGAGAGGCGCTAAACCTTGTTACAAGAATTTTATGCCTTGACAGATCCCAAAGCATGTGAACCAGGGCTTCTCACCTACGACTGTACGGGATGATCGTTGATGCATGAGGCGTGCTGTTCCACCTGTTATTTTATAATCAAAGTATTGATAAGAGGACCGAGAGCGAGAATGTCTACTTCATTCTCTTTTCTCTTCCTTCTTTTTAGTTGTTGTCTTGGCCACAATATGGCTCGACAAGCACGACAACTCCCTGCTGCTCATCGTCAGTCCGACTAATCTTTACAGCGATCGACCACTGTAACGGTACTTGGGCTTGCCGCAATGACAGGGTTGAACTTTGAGTCTCTTGAGAAAAAATCACTCAAAACAGGAAGTAAATCTAAACCTCAGTTCACCTGGCAGTGACTGTGGAAAGTGACACTGCCTGCGAGGACCATCGAAAAGTCCTGCGGATCAATACCACACTCAAAACGACCGCACATAGACAACAGTCACACGAACAGCATACACACTTATAAAAGAAATCTGACGTTCAGAAATTAGCAGCGCCTATAACAGCATCTACTATAGTGGAGGGGGCCAACGGTGCAGTGGGGGCTGAACTGGTTGACACGCGGCACGAGCACCACCTCGATGACCCCCTAAATATGCAGGAGCGACAGCAGCAGGCGTCCGGGCCCAGCGGCGGCGGGTCTTTTAGGCCTGCCGCATTGGGCCCAACGACGATTACTATCAGCGACAACGACGTCCTTGTCTCATCATCCTCAACCAACTTCAGCTACAACTTCGCCCTCACCTCAACACGCCCACAAACTCCAAAACGACCAGGCCAGGGTTCAAGACCAGCGACAGCGGGTGCGAACGGCGCAGATACTTTCGGCTACGGCATAGCGCTTAGTGGTCCGTTCCAGGAGTCCGAGCCGTTACTTCGTCGTCTTTCTCCTCCTCCTCCTGCTGCTGCTGCTGCTCCTCCTGCTCCTCCAACAGAGCAACCGTTTCCGTCCAGTGCGAGTGCCAGTGGACTCCGCAAGAACAATCCCGGTCGCAAGTCCTCCCTCGGCGCCTTTTCCTCGTCGGCCCCGCCGCACGCCCAACAGTCTACCTTCAGCGGCCTCCGTCGCCGCGCAAAGTCCTCCTCTGCCCTGAGGGACAGGGATGGCCTCGGCGAAGTACAAGGCATAGGAAGCCGTCCTCGCAATACCAGCAGCAGAACACCTCCCGCGGTAGCGAAAAGCCCCTTAGAAACCACCGTCAAGGCCAGCCCGCCTGCGCCCATCCCTCACAACCACGCGCCGACTCCGGCAGCCGAGTTGAGCCGCAACACGGACAGCGCATCCTCCTCCTCCTACCACCATTCTGCGTCGCGTCCAACCGGCCTGGGCTCGAGGGCAATGGATCCCACGGCGGCGTTTATACCGGGAGGCGGCAGGATGTTAAGCAGGACCGGGACGAACCCCGCCAATGGGTTTCCCCTGGCCACCAGTGGGGGGATGATGTTGCCCCCGCCGTCTGCAGGGGCCCTACAGGGAGAGTCGAGTATGGTGCACCAGCATATACAGGAGATGGCAAACAAGAGGATATCAACATTAGAATACCTGCGAAAGGCGTAAGTGTTGCTTCTCCGCCCCTCTCATCGACCCTTGACTGAACCAGACAATCTCGCCTTATGTAGCCACGAGGGCCGCGTCTACTGGTTCAACACAGTCCTCTTCGACAAGCCTGACCTCGCGCGCATGCCCTACTTTGACAATCGGCGCCTCGCCCGGCGAGCCACCAACTACTTATTACTGGGCCTCTCCCTCCCGACCGTCATCGACCTCAACTCCAACACCCCGATGGAGTTCCTCCGTACCTTTAACCTCCTCCTGAGCGAGTTCGACTCCTTCCAGTCTCTCCACCCCGAGACTGGCGGGCCCTCCTCCGCCCTCGGCAGGGCGAGGATCCCCAACCTGAACGTCTTCCGCCGCGCCACGCCCTCCGCCAAGGCCCGGCGCAGCAGCTCCGCCAACAACGAGATCCTGTACGAGGACGGCATGACGGCGGCGGCGATGAACGGCGTCGTCCCGGGGAGCGCGGGAGTCCCGGGCGTCTCGAGCGCCGCGGGCTCGGCAACCTCCGTCATGAACGGGCTTGGCGGGTCCGCGAGCGTCGTCAGCTTCGGACAGAGCGAGGCCGACCTCCTCCCGGGCGAGGAGTACGTCCACCTGCTCACGCCGAGCCTGCCCTTCGACCCGGACTTCTTCGAGACCTTTGCCACGCTGTGCGATGTGCTGATCGATGCCTACACGCGCCTGCTGAGCCTCCTGCCCACGCCGAGGGAGTGTAATGCCGCTGTTGCTGAGCTGTTCACCAAGGCCGACTCGCGGGTCAGGAAAATCATCGTGCAGGGCGTCGTTAAGGAGTTTGAGGAAACCAGCCGGAATGGCGTGAGGACCGAGGTAGCGAATGTGGGCAAGATCGTATTGGGTGGGTTAATGTGAGCGTGCACGATGGTATGGGGGGTGATATACGAAGAAGAGGAGGGAGGGAGGGGGGCCTAATGACGGGGTAACCTCTGGATGTGATGATAACATTTGCTGGGGGTCTTGATTTTACTGTCTGGGCTGGAGTTCAACGATGAGATATCCATGGCACTGGGGAGTCTTTTTACTTTCTTCTTTGTTTTTGGGATGGCAATGATATATCCAATATTACGAATATTCATATGTTCAAATAGACTTTTCTTGGCTGTGGCCTCCATGTATTCTTGGTTCGGCCCCGTACACTGAAGGGGCTTCACTGGTCATGACGACGACGAAGATTAACGGTGTGTACAACAAGAATCAGATATGCTGTCATTTACTATCTAGGTAGAATAAAAGACAAACCAGTAGGAGTATCAGAACAGATATCAGAGTAGGGGGGATGTGATAACAAAAGAGTTGTGAGAAGGAAAGTTCATCAGAAACCATAACGCATTATTGTATCGTCAGCGGCTGCACCTCCATTTTAGGTAGGCTGGGCCTCAGTGCTTGACTCTATAAATGGTGTTCATCATATGAAATGGGGGTGTGCCGCCAGCTGTGCTGTCCTCGCATCCGGCTGGGTTGGTCGTCAACAAAGGAAAAGCCTCCCACGAAGCTCAGAAGTTCAGGTTTTGTCAACTCCCTTCCCAGCCACAGATGGTAGAGCAGAACGGCGCAACGGAAAAGAAAAAGGGTGTGTGATATGTGAAGTCCCCTCGCACCAAGAATGAGCCCCATCGAGTAACCAGGTTCAGGCCGAAACCCGTCCCTAGGCAATCGCATACCTATCATATCTCGACGAAAACACTCTCCAGCGCACCCCACTAGATGCCCCCAGCACCAGACCGCCTTGCGTCCGCAAAACCCACCACCGATCAACGACCACCTCAACAGAGCAGGAAACACACGGCCATGAAATCCCGTGAAGAGCGCGGACTCATATCTTCGTCCATGTTGGTCTCTCCTAGGAAGAACCGGTGTCCATGATGATGGGGAGGCCAGCCAACAGATGTAGCGGTGGGACGGGGCAGGCAGGACGTCAGACTGAGGGACGGGGGAGCGCAGAGATCAGCCGCATGGTGCTTCTATGGCGGCGCCTTTCGGCATTCCTCGCTGGCAAAAAGCCAGAAAAGATTGTCCGGGGACTTTCTCCCGAAGCACTGTTTATGAGATGACCTGACGGGCATCTCCGTTTGGAGCTTCGATGGCGATTTGTCGGGCGAGGGGAACTTGAAGGGGAAGAAGAAAGAGGGAGAAGAAAAGAAAACGAAGTTGCGGCTACTTAAAGTAGAAACTTTTTTGACGTGCAGGGGGGTGGGGGTCACAGAAGCATCTGCAGTGTCCAATCGTGTGCTGCTTATGTAATGCATAGCTCCTACTCGAGCTCCCACTGTGTTACAGGGATCAGAGGCGCGTCAACTTTCTGGCGGGCGGGTGCCTTTACTTTCGAACGCCTTCGAATATCCATTCAGTCAGACGCCGGCGGTCCACACAATCCAACGTTCAGCGTTGCCTCACCAAGGCAGCCTTGACATACAGTCTGCCCGTCTTTTGCCAGCTTCCAATTCTTGTCTCTTAGACTTTTCTTCATTTGCTCGCATTCTTCCGAGTCCTGCATCGAGGATCAACTCAGGGCTCTGCAATCAATATGTCAGGCCTCTTCGGCACTACTGCCGCGGCCGCTGCTGCGAGCAGCAACACAGTCGGTGACCTCAAGAACGACGTCGCTGTCAACGATCTTCCCACGGACAGCATCTCCAGTATCGCCTTCAACCCCAATATCGCCGACCAAAAGGACTTCCTGGCAGTTGCCAGCTGGGACAAGAAGGTCCGTATCTACGAGGTCGACAGCAACACAGGCCAGGCTGCAGGCCGCCATGCCTATGATCACCAGGGCCCAGCCCTGAGCGTCCACTTCTTCAAGGTATGTCTGCCCCTCACCCCGCCCCCTCTTCTTCTCTTCCGTCTTGGGTCGTGGCGTATATATTCACACCAAAGTGCTAGGACGGCCAAAGGATCGTGTCTGCGGGCGCGGACAACCAGGCCAGGCTCTGCGACCTCAACTCTCCTGGCAATCTCCAAACCGTTGCGCAGCACGACAAGCCCATCCGGTCGATTCGGTGCGTCGAGATCAACGGCCAGTCAGTCCTAGTCACTGGCTCCTGGGACAAGAACGTCAGGTTCTGGGACCTCCGACAGAGCACTCCCGTGGTCGAGAAGGTCGCCCCCGAGCGGGTGTACAGCATGGATGCCCGCGACAATATGCTGGTCATTGCTACTGCGGAGCGCTTCGTCAACGTGATGGACATGAGAAACCCCTCGGCGGACTACTACAAGAAGCACCAGAGCCCGCTCAAGTGGCAGACCCGTGTCGTTAGCTGCTTCGCGGATGCTTCAGGTTATGCAGTCGGCAGCATCGAGGGCCGCTGCGCCATCCAGTATGTGGAGGATAAGGATTCAAGGTATGCAATCAAAAACAGTCTTCTCCCTTCTTCGTGAGACAACAGGCATGGCCATACTTGAGGGGCAACGCCACTGACGTTCTTCCCAACAGCTCAAACTTCTCCTTCAAGTGCCACCGTGACCAGGCCGTTGGCAACAACCCCACCAACGTCTACGCCGTGAACGACATCTCGTTCCACCCCGTGCACGGCACCTTCTCCACTGCCGGTTCCGATGGCACGTTCCATTTCTGGGACAAGGACGCAAAGCACCGCCTCAAGGGCTACCCCAACGTCGGCGGCCCCATCACCGCGACCACCTTCAACAAGAACGGCAACATCTTCGCGTACGCCGTCAGCTACGACTGGTCCAAGGGCTACCAGGCCAACAACCCGCAACAGCCCATCAAACTCATGCTCCACCCCGTCCAGGCAGATGAGTGCAAGCCCCGACAGAGCTCTAAGAAGCGGTAGGACAGCTCAAATCGGATGCGCCGAGGATGATGGCTTCTCTACAAGGATTGCTTCAGCCCGGACTCGATGGACACAAGGAGCGTGCTTCTGTGGCAAGGAAAATCTTAATATTCTAGCGCACCGAGTGGAACAAATACCACACAAAGTGGAGGAAAACAAGATGAAGATGGACAGCCTTGGGCAACAGCAGCAGGTCAGCCGGTCAATTGTGGAACGAAGTACTTCGAGGAACGTTTTACAATACCGAGTCTGGGCACCTCCCCGACCGGTAGTTCCGAGCGCTAGCCGTTCTAGCTGGTATGCAGATCTGTCTAATGAGCGACAATAGGCGATATGGCGTTCTGGAAGGTTGCTGGAGGAGGAGAGATTGGTCGAATTTCGGAAATGAAACTCGTGATGTCGGAGGAGGAAGAGCGAAGATTGGAAGTGCGTACCCTCCAAGCATCAGTGTTATTCAGAGTAGTGAGGGATCCAGGAGAGAGACTGTGCAAAGTCTCCGCTAGATAGTTCAACAATTCAAATGAAAGCGGCAAATTCGTCGTTTCACACAGATCACACAAGAGAAGGTAAAGTTGAAAGCGTAAAAAGCCTGGGCCATGATATGCCACTGTGTGAGTGCTAATCAGATTACAATCTTGTTATGAACAACGCGGAAGGATCTCGTGTATAAAAGAGAGAAAGTAATAATAGACGAAACGAGTGACCACTGCTCCATCAAGAGGACTCATCGGTCCTTTGTTCCAGGACATACCATCATCAACGTCCAAGTTTCTATGTGCAAGAAGACACACCATGAGAGCAAGTAAGGAAAGAAACCCAGGGACAACCGCTGCCCCGGTGAATCTAGACCATCGCCATGGTCCAGCAAGACCAATATCAACCAATCAAGAACGCCCCTTGTACAACGCAGCCCACAGCACCCGGCCGTCTCGCAGTCAGGCCTCGTGAGTGTCTGCTCATTCGCCTCGCTCGCTTTACAAATGCACGTCTTCGTCCTATCCCTTCTTCCCCGTCCTTCTTGTTGAAATAACGTCATCCCTCTCCCTTCCTGGACTTGAACCATCCTTGCTTAGAAAGCAGGCCTCGACTTCTGGCCCCCGAGGACATCTTCGACCAGCCCCTTCCACAGATCCGTCAGCATACCACCGGCATACTCGCCCTCGGCCTCAGCTGGGGCGCGACTCTCAAAGTCAAAGCGCAGCTCAACGCCGTCAGGGCCCATACCCTCAACCTCAGTGAGAGCAGAGACGGCGCTGACGGAGGCCGGGTCGGCGGCCATGACAATAATCTCGCTCCGGGGTAGGGGGACATCACCCTGGAGCTCGGGGGCGAAGATGGCGGGGGGTCTCTCCGGGGCAAAGTTGTCCGGGAGGAGCGGGACGCGGACCTGGGCGAAGGAGTCGGCCGAGGGTGAACTGTCGGCGAGGGAAGGGAGAAAGGCGAAGTCGATGGTAGAGATGTCGGAGCGGGCGGTTGCGGTGGGGGTGGAGTGGAAGGACTGCATCAAGGGAATGGTGCGGGCGGGGTTGGGAGTGGGCTGAGGACTTGGGCGGTGGGCGGTGGTCATGGACCGCTAGAGAGGGGGGTTTAGCCCGTCAGTGAACTTCTTTTTTTAAAATAAAATAAAAATCAAAGCCAGGGGAAATTCTTTGTGCAGGTGAATTGAGTGAGTGACCGAGTTTGAAATTCACCGAAGGTTGATAGACGTCCGTCCATCCTGTTTGGGAGAGAGGGCGTGTCTGCAACCTTGGAGGAAGGGCTTCGGATCCCGAGGATTATACCCAGGGGACCGACCCAATGGGGTGGTGGCTTTTGACCTATGTAGGAATTAGGATGCTCACCTCTGAAGCCGGCAGCATGTCAACAGTGCCATTCTCAAGGTCCTTGCGGACACGGGCAGCTCCAGCCCGGGAGCTGTTGCTGAGGAGCTGGCTGGAGCGAGGGGCAGCCACTGAGGAGCCCAGGGACCTGGTGAGCTTGGCGAGCTCGCGTGGCAGAGGTGTCACCCGTGTCATGGTGGTGGTGGTAGTAGCACGGGTAGTATCGAGATAGGAGTAGAGAAATATGGATAATCCAAGCAACAATCGGGACAGATTCAGGACTTGATGTGACAAGAATGGACGAGGAGTCAATGGCGTAAGCACGATATATGATGATGGAATTGGAAGACCCTTGAGTATGGAGAGGGACGAGTCGGTCGTGTTATATCTAGGTGGGTGAGCTGATATGCGTCGGAAGTCCGTAGAGTGTGGTTCGATGGGGATGTACAGGTCAGACTAGGGAGAGATATGGAGGTGAGTGGAGGAGGGCGGGAGGTGGGGAGGGCGAATGAGGAGAGGATGAGGAGGAAGGTGGTAGTAGTTGGTTGATAAGTAGTTGGTTTATACTCGTCCAGTCGATCTGAATTCCCAGAGGGAGGGAAGGAAAGAAGAAAAGAGGGTGGGAAAGGGGAGGAGACGAGTAAGTAGAGAGGGGCCCTTCAACAAGCTCTGGGGGGGTAAGACACAGCAAGGGGAAGATCTGAGCCACAGAGATAGCTGAGAGTACTTTGTAAGGAATACTGTAAGGAATACTGTAATGAGTAGGTGAGTTGGAAGTGAGGCGTGCACTGGATTTTGGCTGTCGCTGGGAACGGCCACCAACCGGATCGACAGGAGAAGATACCTCGTGAAACGAAGACACGAGGAAGAAGTACTTTACTACAGTAGTCAGTAATACCATAGTAAGTGTACTATTCATTCGCCGAGTAGATAGACTCTTGAGTGCCAAGCCTGGCTCCCTCTCAGCCCTCCCACCCCTCTCCCATCCCCTCTTTCCCGCTCTTTCCTCTCCAGCATCATGCCACGCTTATGAGGTATCACCAATGGCTACCATTGTAGCTCTATGAAACCCACCGGGAAGGTGCAGGGGGTAAGCTCTCAACAACCTAGAGCCGCGAACCAGGTATTGCTGGTATGTGTTGGGGGAAGCACCGGACGAGGAGCAGAGGCGGTCAGGTCAGGGCCTGGGGAAGCTGCACCATGGTATTGCCCCTTACGGCCTAGCTAGGACCCCCATTCAGCTCTAGCGAATCCCGACAGATTCAAATTCCCCACCATAGAGCTCTCCGTATTGAGATGTGCCATGCTGCCCACACCATGGCCCCTCCCCCGTCAGATAGGGCGGCTGTGACCCGCTTCATGGGCCTGGCTGGGCTTCCAGAAGGCAATTTGGAATCTCTCGCCCTGCATCCTCGAATGGCACGGGCCAGTAATTCCTTTTGTTGATTTTTTATTTATTTTAATTATTATTTTTTACGACAAACGAACGGACAGTCTGGGGCAGTGGAGAGGGCTGACTTCATTTTTACGAGCACATTCGTCAGGTGTACCTGACCGCCATCGTCCAGCCTTCCAGGAGAGATGCAGCATTCACGGCCATCATGACGACATGTTGATTGCTTCTGATAGATCTTGCCAACATGTCATCTTCCCGGCTGACTCAGGATTTGGAATATTTCCTGTCCAAGGAGCTGCGGTACATTCAGCAACCTCCAAGCACCTTCTCAAGGTACCAGTCCTGTGCGAGGACAGATCGTCTACCTCGAGCAGGCACGACTCGTCCAACTACAAGCCCGGGTCTGTGCGTGATGCTCGAGACCAATCTATTCTGCGGGCTGTCTCTAAGCACGCACGCCTTTGCAAAATGAGTTTCGAATCTTCTCCCTCCGTCATAATCGTGATGTGTCTGTGTGCAGTGAAAACCCTGTACGCATCACGTATGCTTGGATCGCAGAAGCCAAGGTGATGAAGGGCCGGTGCGCTACCTTTGTGCCTTCTGCGGTTCTGGTTCTCAGCGACAAAGTCTTGGATTTGGCGCCGGCAAAAGCCTCGAACGCCGTGCTCACTGGTGTAGTTGGGAAGGGTTGGATGGTTGTTGCCCTGTTTGTGCTTCGTCGGGGGCTGCTCTGCTAAGCAGCCAGCGACAGGCCAGTGTGCTTGTGTTGAAGCTGTGGTTACATGCGTGAGCATACAGAGCACACATATGCATATATTCCCATACGTAGTGACTATTCATCCTTGCAGCACTGTTTTTTGTGCTCTGTAGTTTCGTCTTCGAAATGTTATTCTTTCAGAGGATCAAGCTGCCACCATCTGATCCGAGAAGCCTGCGTGATGTTGCTCTATTCATCTGACGGCACAAATCTGAACCCAGCCGGTATTTGTATTCGGTCGGGCTTTCGCTCACAATATGAAGGGCAAGAGCCCATCGCAGAGCGGCCATGGAGCCAATCGAAAAGGTATGCCACGCCGGAATCCTCAGAGATTATGTCCCAGTGAAATACAGTGCTTTTGCATCTTTAGTGTTCTACACGCGCGTGGCCCAAGGAATTCTGGTCTCATGGAACAGTCCAATAAGGTAAAAGTTCCAAATCCAACCTCGAGCACTCGGGACAGCGGCTGCCTCGCTGGCAATGACACGACGAGGCTTTTCTACAGCAGGCTCTCCGAGACGGTGTCGAGTAAGACAGCCAGGCAATTCTTCGAGGGCGAGTCTGCAGGTGGAACAAATACTTCACAACACTCCCGAGACAGAACGAGGGCATAATTTAGATTTCAGTGCAATGAACAATACCCAAATATGGCCGGAGCAATACAAATCATGTTGCATCCGGCACAGTAACACTACCACAGATGAGACTTCTGCAATTCGTGGGAGAGATCTGAAAGACGCTGAATATCCAGGCTGTAGAGACATTTGGTCAGCAATATAAACAATTTGTCCTTGGCAACGAGGCCGCAGCTCAGTTACTAACAAGTACAGAGGACCTCTTCCAATGGCGGAGGCTGTAGTGTTTTTTCTTTCTTTCTTTTCTTCTTCTGGCAAGCAAATCAGACAGTGCAGTAGGCGCTTCGACTTGGTCCTCTGAGGCGCCATCTAACTCCTCAGGGCTTTTTTATAATTCTAGGAGTCAGCTCGATACTCGCAGCGAGATCTTCAAACTACTTAGTGTACTCGGCTGCCATAGCATCACGACGGAGTCCATATTCACGATCTGAGTACTCAAGTACGTAGGGGGAAGCGGCTCAAAGCAGCTCAGTGACACAGAAACTTTGAGAGCTTGGGAACTGATATGTCCAAAAGAAAGGAGAACAAGAAGATGAAAGACGAAACGCGGGAATAGATGCCGGTGTGTGCGAATTGCCCAAAGCATGGAAGCATGCTCGCTGAGTCAAAATGAAATGCTTCCTCAAGTCGCTCACTCCTGAATAATGCTTGGCTATAGCCGTGGACGCACTCCGAGGTCTGTTCCCTTACCAGTAAAGCTTGGAGGGAGGGGAACAAACAGGGTATAACAGTCCGCAAACGATGGTCATGCGCGACCATTTACCTCTTCCGTGGCCACAGCATAGTAGTAGTGGATAGGACGACAGAGTCTCATACACATACTATGTATATGCCGGGTTGCCGGTCATCATGGGTATGAGTAAATATGCTTACGCGGCGGGGGCTCATCCGGTGGCTTCGCTGGCCGGGGAAGACGTCACCACAGCCCACGGTCCTGTGGGCGATTGTCAGCATCAACGCCTCTCGAGATCCAAGATTCCATAGCAATGTTATCTTTATATGCTCAGCCTCAGGTCACATTGCTCGGACCTTCTCTGCCCTGGGCCAGGCCTAGAGAGGGAGGGACTCTGAAAAGGATGATGGATGAAGAGCCGCGGACGTGGCCCGGGCGTAGGGCTGACATTCCCAAGACGTCTTCCCCGTCGCTCCTTTGAGGACGACTGATTGAAACCTGGGGGAGGGATTGCCGAGTGCCCTTGAGTGCGCGTGGGAATGCTCGGGTTTGGGCCGGCGGCGGGCTGGCCTTAGCGGCGTTTCAGGTGCTGTTGGGGGAGCTTAGGGGCTGCCACAAGCGGCGAGGAGGAGAAAAGACGGTGGTTGCTGAGCATGCCAGGTACCGGGTTTTGATACGTCACGTGTGACGGAATTAAACACGTCTACCACCAATAGTCGTGTCCCCAGAGATTAATGGAAGTAGTTCATCGGACTGTGCATTCAGATGGTGGTGTGGTTCGTAGTAGTAGTAGTAGTAGTAGTAGTAGTAGTAGTAGTAGTACCAGTGTTGTCTCGTTCCTCCCTTGCATCTCTGCCTGTGTTCTGCGTGCTCATTGGGGCAGACAGGTCCTCGGCTCGAGGTCACCCGCCAGTTCATCTCGCACAGAACGTCTCGAGATCGAATCTTAACCTGTCGTGAAATGAGACGAGGGTTCGCTATTTTGACAGGCGGGAGGACCAGCTTCCATGCTAATGCGACCGCGAATATGTATGAACATCTCTCGGCTGCCGTGACCATCGTGTATTCTCCGTCTCATGCCCCCCTCACAAACGTTTTATGCTGGATCAAGTTAGCAACCCTAGCGAGATGCCCTCTCTTCCCACAGGCTTATGGGCTCGCCCAGACATGCACGGCACATGCATGGCTTGCTTGTTTGGTATGCGGGAAGGATGCGGGACTGTCTTGGCAGACTAACCTATGGCTTCAGGGGTCCAGAATAAAGTATGATCGCCAAGACACTCTACCATAGTACACGCTCTACAGTTTAGGCGGTTGGGCGGTACGTCTAGCGGGCACAGGGGGGGGGGGGGCTATGCAGGCGCGGCCACCTGAGCACGGATCTTGGAAGGTACCTTGGAAGATTGGTGTAGCGAGTGTGGTGTGTCTAACTACAGGATTTAAAACAGCTCGAGTCGAGCGCTGTGGCGTCCCTCATGTGCCAAGAAACCCAGCTGACCACAGCCGGTACCTGCAGCATGCATTTTCATTCTTAAGAGAATGGGGGTCTAAACTATGACAGCGAAAGGGAGTGGAAAGAGGGCTGAGGACGAGAAAGCGACAGATGGGTCCGATTGAGGAGGGGCGCCCGGACGGAAATTAAATAGCTGATTGACCATGACTCATGTTGAATGTAAATTCACTGATCTATCTACTAATACTATGGTGGGTTTTTTGGGTCTTTTCTTCTTTCCGGAAAAAATTAAATTCTGATCATGGAGCGACGAACTGAAGGTTCATTTTTGGCTAGTTGTGGACAGTTGGCAGTAAGTACTTAAGTAGGCAGCAATGACTGCTACAGCACACTTGGTGGGAGGTGCCACCCCTTGTCTTCGCCCCTGTCCCGGGAACGAGGGATGCTGTTTAGGCGAGTTGTTGACAAGAAAAGAACACAAAAAAAGAACGTACCAACAGTCTGACAGCGCCTCTTGTGCCCCCCTCTCACCTAATCCCACTCCCAATCCCCATCAATCTCAATCCGCCTGTTGTCATCTGTGTCATCTGAATACACACGCTTTTCCTTCCAACATCTTTTCCACTGGCCTACGTTGCCATCAACATCTCTCTGGCGAGACATCAGCCAATTTCGCTCCTTTATCTATTCGTTGCAGCTAAAGGCGACTTCGGTCGCACATTTCATCATTCTGTCACATTGGGGCAAATCTTCCCTGGTGGAGTTGCATTGCCGCGTATCCTCCTCCCCCTCTCAACGCAAGACACTCCCAGACGCCCCCGGATCCATTAGCCCAGCTTTTGGTCTTCACTCATTGCCTGGTTCCACACCGTGTCCAACTCAAGATCTCTCTCATTCATTGTTATAGTATCACTCTCCTGCTGGAGTTAGCTTGCAGCCTTGTCTTGTTTGTTCCAAGTGACTCCCTCTTTCTCGACTCGACCAATCCTCCACAGCCCAAGCCCCGTGGCCGTTACGTCTCTCGGACATCCACCCACCCTTCGCCCTTCTCTGTTTGCCTCCTCCCTGCGACAGCAGTTGCAGTCCCTCCCAGGAGGCGATCGACATCACCACAGACATCAGACCCGCAAAAAATACAAGGAGAGCCGCATTGCGAACCCGCGCGCCAACTTCCAGAAAGAGGAAACGATTGCCACTTGTGGCCGCCCATCCCTCTCTCTCTCTCACACACACACCGGTTCCCCCTTCTCTGCGACACAAACGCCACGAATTACCTCTACGATTCTACCCCCCCTACAGAGCCAGAGAAATGCTCTTCGAGCTCTGCCCCCGCTAAATCACGACGAGGCATCGCTCCCCGTGCCGTGCCGGTTCATGACCATGCTTGTGGACAAGAAGCCGCCTGCTCTCCTCCTCGATCCCCCCGGCGATTCACAAGGCAGAGTCCGCGCCGCCTCAGTCACCATGCTGAGGCAATCCCGCCGCCTCCTCTGGAGGTCAAGGGGCCTCATCTATTCTGCCCTGGCCAGTATCTTTGTGTGCTCCCTGCTGCTGAGCGCCTCCTCCGATGGCGGCTACCGCGTCATCCCTTGGACTGTGGACGCGAGCGGTACCGCTGTTGGTGCCGATGCAAGTGGAGGCCTTCTCAGAAAACCCAAGGGGAACCGCAAGCCGACCTCCAAGGATTACGACGACAACCGCGCTAGGTGGCTGTTCTCCAAAGAATGGAATGAGACGGGAGCGTGAGTACACAGCCGCCGCCTGCAACTTGCAGTCCCCCAAATCCATGACAATAGCACTTCGGCAAGACAGTAACTAACTACTTTGGCTACCAGACTGCCCGGCGCTGGCGCGATCTACGGGAAGACCCTTTCCAATCTGACCAACAGAGACAATGTCTCATCTGACACGCGATTGCACCTCACGGCTACCACCGACAGCCCATCCTACACCGATGAGGTGCCTTATAATTTTAATCCGTACCCGAAGTACGACAGCGACGAGTGGAAGAAGGGGCACAGAGCCGACTTCGTGCCCTGTGACGGGCCCGCCGGCCGCAAGTTCAAGGATGTTCAAGTTTTCCGAGGCCGCCCTGAGATGTTCCCCGAACCCAGCTTCGGGAGCTACGACCTCTTCGAAATAGATCCCAACCTTTGTTACGAGAGGGACACGAGGCTAGGACAGTACGGCATGCAGTTGCAGGCGGATGACGATGGCCGGCGGCTGGACTGGACCAAGATCGAGTGGGGGAAGCTGCAGACAGAATGCGCCGAGAGAAACAAGGCCCGATTCGACAGGTCAGGCACAATAGGCGATAGTGGAGTGGGCCGCTATGAGGCCGCGGTGAGTGCATCGCAAGCTGGAGCGACCGCGGACGAGCTCAAGAAGCAGAGACAGGAGCCGCGGCTCAAAGAGCGGGCTGTTGTGGACGCGGACACAACTGAGCACTGGAGCTCGACGCCCCCGACCATCAGGCCAGAGAACCCAGCGGAGCACCGAACGGCTATCCTGCTCAGGTCATACACGGGAAAGCAGTACACCGAAAACGACAGGCATGTGTTGAGGTCGCTCATCACCGAGCTCTCCCTACGTACCGGCGGACAATATCAAGTCTACCTCCTCGTGCAGGTCAAAGACCATCTCGAGGACCTGGCGCTGTGGGATGCCGCAACGTACAAGTACGTGCTGCAAACGCAGGTGCCCAAGGAATTCCACGACATTGCAATTCTCTGGGGCAGCTACCAGGTTCAGGAGATCTACCCTCTACTCGAACCCACGGATGCTGCAACGGTCCACAATGCCCAGTGGCTGTCCGTGCAGAAGTTCATGATAGAGCACCCCGAGTACGACTACGTCTGGAACTGGGAGATGGATGCCCGCGTGATGGGCCATCATTACGACATGCTCACCAAAATCGAGGAGTTCGCCAAAAAGCAGCCCAGAAAGGGTCTGTGGGAACGAAATGAGCGCTTCTACATACCCTCTTCTCATGGCGACTACGACACCACGTTCCGCACTCTGGTGGAGAAGGCCTCGGGCAAGAACACGGTCTGGGGCCCTCCCGATCTGCCTTTTATTAAGCCTGTCGGCCCGAAGCCGCCCGTCTCATCACCAAGCAAGGACAATTACGAGTGGGGAGTCGGTGAGGAAGCCGACCTGATCACGCTGTCTCCGATGTTTGACCCAACCGACAGCAATTGGATTCTGAGAAACCAGGTCTGGCAGTACAACGACACCAAACACAGCTCGAAGAACCTGCCCAGGCGAGCAACCATCGTGACACAATCACGTCTGTCGCGGCGTCTTGTGGAGGCGATGCACGAGGAAAACAAGGTGGGCAACCATGTTGGCTCCGAGATGGCTGCGAACACGGTGGCTCTTCTCCACGGGCTCAAAGCTGTCTACGCCCCAATGCCTGTCTTTATGGATCGACCATTCCCCCCGGAGAGCCTGCAAAAGTGGTTCAATCCCGGACCAGGAGGTGTCAGCGGCGGACCCGGCAGTGCTATGGGCTGGGGTCTCGAACACCGATTCCAGGGCATTACATGGTACTACCGCTCAGTCCCGCCACAGCGGATGTACAATAACTGGATGGGCTACTCGGACGCGAACATCGGAGGCAGAGGCTGGGAAGACAAGAACGGCCGTCCGTGTCTGCAGGCTATGATGCTCCACCCCATCAAGGACATTGTGCCGACTTGGCCCGGTTACACAAGCACCTCGGACCTCCCGTACAACTGGTGGGACGACTTTCGCTCAGATGAAGAGAAGGCCAAGGATAAGAAGATAACCCCGAAGAAGAGCTCAAGGAATTAGGGGCCTTGGGAAGAGGGTCACAACGATGAAGCCTGGCGTCGAAATCGTTTCCCCGCCCCATTACCGGCTCTTTCGGGGCTTGAAGGGCTGTGGTAGCGCTTCTGCCTATATGGCTGCAGTCCCGAAACGGCCATCTCCAGAGGGCGAAGCCAGCGATACCAGGGACGCATCAACTCTACTATTTGCCGTGATCTGACCTGGCATGGCGTGGCTTGCTCGGAGACACGCACAGAGACCAGAAGCAGATACGAGCTTGTCTTACGACCTTGACTTTGTATCAACCACACTCGGTGTTGTCGCCCGTCGCGACCTCCCGAGAAAATCATTCTGTCAATTACCTTAGCGAGGCGTTCCGGTGTGTATTTTGGACAAGGTGGGCCTTAGACGGACAGTGGTAGAGCCGCTGTCGAGGCCAACAACACTCCTGTATATGAGTAGCAAGCAGCAGTTGCTCTGAGGAAGCATTGGCACATCAGTGCGGACGATGCCTGCAAATCACGTACATATATACTGTCACAAATGAATTCTTTTCTGTGGTCAACCTATGTCGAGGAAACTCGTCTATAGCTTTTCTATTTTGACAGGTAGCTTATCGAGCTCATGTCGTCCATCATTGTTCTGATTCGGCTGTCACGAGCCCGTGCTCATCCTCCTTCCTCAAAGTGCTGTTTGTTGGGCGAGTAGGCACATTGAGGGTGTGACTTGTGTAAACCTTGTTCTTGAGATCGACCGGCCCTGGCTGTGTGACCTGAAGCCTGGTCCTCAAAAAGAGATTTACCTCGACAAAAGCTTGCAGATCGGCCGCACATCGAGGCGGCGTCTGAGTTGTCAAGTCACCCCACGTGGGAAAGATACCCGAGAGTGCACAAGGACCAACCTGTGGCCCCTCCGGGGGGAACCTTTTGCAGATCATGATTGCTCACAAGGTGCCACGGCGGAACGCACGGGGCAGTTGGGTATCTGTGTGTGGATTCTCCTTGTCTTTGGGTTTCTTCTTCTTCTTCTCTTGGGGGTGTGTGGAATGAGATGATAAGAGCCGCGGGAACCTTATGCACTGCCTCGTCATCATATGAATGCGATCCATCGTCTTGGTATCCTATCGGGTTCTTTTGTGTCTGATATATCCCTCTCGTGGGGGAAGAAGAAGAAAAAACATTCCTCGAGGGCCCTTGGTCTGGCCTTCCGTCTGGTATCCCTTCACCGCCATCTCAGGTCTTTTTTTTCTTCTTTTCTTTCTTTCTTTCTTCTGTCTTTTTTCCCTCACAGGGTCCATTGCATAGGGGGCTTCAAAGACATGAGGATATGAGGTGGAGTGTGTGTACACTTTACTTGTGAATGAATTTCTTCTCTTTTTTTTTTCATATTCAAACGTTCAATCCTAATGCATATTAATTAAATCCTCTTGTAAAGAGAAAAAAACCCCACCAAATAACCACATGAAGCGTGACAAAAATGGCCCCCCCCCTAACCCCCCGGTCCAATCATAAAAAGAGGTGGTATACACAGAAGAGAGCAAAAGAGAGAAGACTCGATGCAATACCGTTTGGCCCCAGTCCTTTCCTCGGCCCTTCCATGCTATGCGCCGAAGGAAGTTTGCTTGCCTACTTGCTTTCTAGGCTGGCTGGCTCTTGAAGAAGAAACGATGTCTGAAGAGTGTTGCGTATGTGTATGTGCGTACGCCCCGTATCTAATGTGTCGTGTAATGCTATACCTTCTCCGTCATAGGGAGGCTGGGCCCTCCTGATGTCCGTCTCGACGAAAGGCAGCCGTTGGCCCATAATATGTAGAAGATGGCGCAGCAGAATACGCTGTAGCCGAACAGGGAGTGGAACCACCTCGACTGTGACGGCAGGGGGCCATCTCCGTCACCTTCTGCTGCCGGGGGCGCAGGCCGGCCTGCTGCGGCAGCTTCTTCTTCCTCCTTCTTCCGCCTTTCATCCTCCTCGACGCGAGCCCTCTCCTCGTCCTCCTTCTTTCTGGCCTCCTCCTCCTCTCTCTCCTTTTCCTCTTTTTTGCGGCGCTCCTCAGCCTCCTTCTCCTCCCTTTCCTTCGTCTTCTCGTCGATAATGCGCTGCTGCTCTGGCTCGGGCAGCTTGGCAAAGGCGGCGACGTCCTCGTCCCAGCGATGGACGCAGTCCTTATTCCAGTTGCAATCCTCGACTTGGCCGTAGGCGGGGTGGCTGTAGCGCGGGTGACGGCTGGGCCAATTAGAAGCGTGGTAGTGGTGGCGGACGAGGGAGTGGCGGGTATCATGAGTGCCCGAGTTGGAGTGACCCTGGCCGGCGGCGAAAGCCTCGACGTTGAGCACGAGAACGCGGTCGACGAGCTTGGACTCGTCCAGGTCATGGAAGGTGTCCCAGGTGATCTCGGGGGTGGACTTCCCACTGGTCTCGCCACCGTTTTCCTGCTGCTTTTCGCTAGCAAGCACAAGCCTGTCGACGTTCATCTGGGCGATGATAGCGTTGGTAAAGGCAGAGGGACCGGTGCCGGAGATGACCTCGTCGAAGTCAAGGACGACGTCGCCCAGGGGCACAGTTTGGTTGTTGGCGACGTCGACGAGCCAGTGCATGATGTTCTCGACGAGGCGCATCATGACGGGCAGCTGGGGCTTGCACATAAAGGTCCACTGGCAAAAGGACCTCGACTTGGGGCCCAGGATGGGGTGGTCCTTCCACTCAGGCTCGTCAATCTCCACGCCAATGACCATGTCGATGTCCCTGTGGTCGTAGCGCTCGGGAATAAACTTGGACATGGGCTTCATGGCCTCGACGTCAATGTCGGCGTAGACGCCACCCTCAGCGTACATGATCAGGTAGCGGAGGAGGTCGGCCTTGATGATGGAAGCCGTCACGTCGCGGTAGAAGGCGACAATGTCGGGGCGGTTGAAGCCCTCAGGCCCGTAGTGGTATTCGACGTAGCGCACGTCATTGCCGTCGGTGAGTACCTCGTAGCGCCAGTCTGGGTTCTTCTCGGTCCACGAACGCGCCTTCTCGAGGTCCCTCTCCTCGAAACGCAGCGGGTCGACCTTCCACGTCTGCCATATCTTGGGCGGAAACTGCGACCTAGCGTAGGGTGCGTTGCCCCTCAGGCTGACGGCATCGGCTGCAAAGGGAAGCGACGATGAGGGAGGCGTGCCCAGGATGTTTTGTACCACCTGTACATGCTGTTGGCCGTCGGCGTGGCGGCCACCCAGGAGGCCGACCTGGGCGAGGAAGAAGAAAATGCAGATGATGGCCAGATAGGGGGCCCATCTTCTTATCTGGGACGTGGGGAGGAAGCCATTGCGAAATTGTGCCGTCAACCTGGGCGAGGCGAGGGGGGAGCCCAGTGACGAGAAGGTGGTGAAGAGCATCGTAGTAAGCTCTAGGTCTGTGTGTGTGTGTGTGTGTGTCGCGTGCCTCGTGTTTTCTGTTCGATTCTGAACGTGGATGTCTGCTTTCTCTCTTCTCTCTCTCTCTTTCTCTCTCTGCCGTTGGGGCCCCACGGGGCGGTCGACGCCAATTGGCGTTGGCCAAAGGTAGGATGAAAACGATTTGGGAAGGAGGAAGACGACGAGGGAGGAAAACTATACACACAACAACAACCAAAAATAATAGCAAGGATTCAGTTGATGTCGAGAGTATAAGCGAATGCCATCCACCCTGAGTAACCCGAGGCTGCCCCAAAAGCTTGGAAGAGACGAAAACAGAAAACAGGAAGAACAACGACCACAGATACGAGAAAAGAAAAGGTGACGTGGAGAGCAAAATCAATTAAGTTGGATGGGTACAAGACAAGACAACTCTTTTTCTTTGGGAGGGGAAGGGGGAGCAAGGAAGAAAGTTGGGAGGGTGGGAGGAAAATAATAATTGTACTGTACTGTACTGTACTGTACTGTAACTGTACTGTACATGGGCTGTGCATGTGTGAGTGATGGGCGGGAAAGGGGACTTTTTGCTTGCTGCAGGAACCAGGAAGAGGGGGGGGGGAGAGAGTCAAGAGACAAGGCGGCGATAGAACGGGGTCGAAAGAGGGGCGGCACTACGTAGTAATTACCGTGGTGACAAGCCCCGACTCTGTTCAAGCCACCAGATCTCAAAAGTGGACTCTTGGGAGGGGGCGTGGAAGCAAAATCTGGGGTGGAGATGATGGATATGGGTAGGGGAATGTATTGGTTTGTCTGGTGCCAAACTATGTGCGTGTGGGCTCCAGCTTCTCACGAAACACTTTTCCCAGTGTCAATCAGTAAATCTCTGGATACATGACTTTGCTATGTACCATAGTACTACTGTGACAAGTAGGAACATTGGATATAGCCTTAGCCTTGTCAAACATGCGATGAATCAAAAACGTAAGCTTCAAAAAATCCAAGAACGAACGACGGTCGCCGGTCACGGGGGGCCATTGACCCCATCCGGGTTATCTGGCCTATTTCCGTATGCGTCCCGCGTTCTGCTCCGTCCATACCGCTCGTACCTTAGTACAGTCCGTCCTACTACATGCTGTATTTAGGGTACATAGTAGACCTTGTCTGCCCCCAACTGCTGCAGCCTGTCTAGCCCGTATAGTGGCCCTGGGCAACACTGGACTGGGGGCCGTTGTGCGCTGTACAACCCACCCACAGGTATAGCAGGCCAGCCAGATCGACACGCGCGGAGTGAAATTTGGGAGTGTAGTATCGCCAAAGCATAGTCGATACAGGCCCCAACACCAAAGGGGGGAAGGGGTGGAGGAGGGTGAGATCCGATGCCCCAATCGCATGTGGCAGGGCATTCCAAGAGAAATTGACCTGGTCTGCCTGGTTGTTTTTGGCTGATGTTGATCCTTCCCATGTGACAAGCGAAGTGACCGAGTAGCTTCGCAAAAGCGCTCTCTCCCACAATTCGCCTCTTCTCTCACACGACACTTGTCCCAAGCTACGTTAAACGTCTTACGCCAGGGGCGGGGGCGGGGCCCTAGTATAAGATGGATTGCTTGGCTACTACAGCCGGCGCCATGACTTAGCGGCTACGACCTGACACTCGAAAAGGGGGGAGAACATGTTCAGACGGAAGGGAGGCGAAGGGGAAGACGGGAATGTCAACGAGGCTAAGTGCTTCACCTTGTTTGTGTGTTGTGGAGATTCGTTTTGGTTTGGAATTTTCCAGTTTTGCACGACTGTTGCCCATACAAATACGCATTGTTCACCTTCCAGGTAGAGCGGAAGGTTGGACGTGTGTGCGATGAGGAATGCAGATTATCTCCGCCAGGATGTTTCTGACTTGCTCTTCTTGTGGTTTTGTTCCGGAGTTGTTTCCCGGGCGCGTGGGAACCCGACGGCCCCCCCCCCCCTCTTCCATTGTTGTCTCTCCCCTCGTCCCTATGTTTTTTCTAATTTGTCTCTTTCCTCTGTGCGTGTGTGTTTTTTTCTTTCTTCTTCTTCTTGTCTATTTTGTTTTTCAATTTATCTTCTCTTTTTCATCGTGATTTTCCGCTGAGGCTTACGTCGTTTGCCACCAAGGTCATAGTGTACTGTGTAGTACCAGAGTACTTCCTACGTAGTACCGTAGTACGTATGCACGCACATACGTCGCTGCTCCATGCCTAAACAAGGAAGCCAGGCCAAACCTTAAGGGCTTGCAGCCGAATCAGCTATCCCCGGACAGTGTGTGTGTGTGTCCACCACTACACTACCATAGCATGAACTGTACAGTGTCAGTGCGGATGAGAGGCAGGGGGGGGACGACTACCATAGTACGGCACGCCTACCCACCCATAATCCCCTCTTAGTACCGTCAAGACCCTGGACCCTCGAGCCCCCTTCCTCGTACCATCGTACATTACATTACATACATAGTACACAATCCGGAGCATTAGTGGCCTGCCACGCTGCCCTGCACCTTGCTTGCTAGATCCTGCGAGTCTAGTGGTGCCGTGTCCATGCTCTCATCCCCGTCTAGTTGGCCCCCAGTTGCAGATCCAATACCAAACCTGGGGGCGCGCTACTAATGAGTTGATTTGCCAGCCTGATCCTCGCAATTGGGCCAACGTGGTGTCGCTCGCATTGATCAAATCTTTCTTCTTGTTCCCCTCTCTGCTGCTCTTCAGCTGCTACCGCGGCCTGTGCACTGCCACCTTGCTGTCAGTTGGGCACTGTGGTGGCTCTGGGCCCTTTTTGGTTCCTAGTGCAGGGTAGCGCTAAACTTTCTTGCCAAGTCGGCTCCATTTTCTCCTCTGGGGAGGTGCGCTATACCAGATCAGCCACCCAATTTTACCCCCTTTTCAGTCTTTGTCTCCCCTCTCTCTTCGTATTGCCTCTTTTGTGCGTGAGTGTGTTTCGGTGGTGGGAAGCATTGGCCTCTCGATTCATGCACAACAGCAATTACAACCCTCACTATTGCTGTTACACCATTTCCTTCTTCATTCACCTCGGTCAACCTCTCATTTCTTTTTTTCTTTCTTTTCTTGGTAGGGGATCCTGGACTCTTCTCCGCGATTTCGATTTTTTTTTTTGGCGCCTTCCCCAGTTTGCGCAATCTCCCTTCCTCTCCTTCCTCCACTTCAAACCGTTGCCACTATTGCCACGAGGCGTCACAAGCGAGACAAAGATTGTTGACCTGAGGCTATATCGCTATTGCCATGTCTCAAGATTGATTAGCTTTTTCTTTTAGCTTTTCTTTTCCCTCTCTCTTCTCCTTTATCGCCCCTTGAACAATGTCCTCGTGGGCCCAGAGCATCTCGTCACACCAAGGCGGACTTCTGCAGGGCGCACAGGATGCGGCCACATCCACTGGGCTACACCTCGACCGCATATTCTTCTCGGGCCGACCCGTCGTCACGATGGTGACGCCCTCAGCTCTTCTGCGCGGGTTGAGAAACCTCATCGCCCCCAGGCGCGCCTCCTCGTCGTCTGATGAGAACAAGGCCGCCAGCTCCAAGCCCCTGCGACCTACGGCCTACCTGGACGGCCTGCGTGGGTTCGCCGCCTTTATGGTCTACTGGCAGCACCACGTGCTGTGGTCGCATACCTTTGTGCCCGGCAGGAACCAGGAGATCTTGGAGAATGCCTGGGGCTGGAATGGTCACTATCACCTGGCCACCTTTTACGGCTTTCGCATCTTCTTCACGGGCGGTCACCTCGCCGTGGCCATCTTCTATGTCATCTCCGGCTACGTCCTCATCCTCAAGGCCATCCAGTTCATTCAGGACCGCCAACCCACCCGCGTCGGCGATGTCGTCGCGTCGTCCCTCTTCCGCCGCTGGTTCCGGCTGTACATTCCGCTCATCGTCACCACCTTTGTCTACATTACGTCCTGGCACCTGTTTGGCATACGCAACTCGCAGCTCGAGGCCAAGGAGACGTACGTCGCCGAGGTCTGGAACTGGTACGTCGAGTTCAAGAACTTCAGCTTTCTCTTCAAGGAGGGGCCCATGTGGCCCTCGTACAACGGCCACCTCTGGTCCATCCCGCTGGAGATGCGCGGCTCCGTCATCACCTACGTCACCGCCTTGACCCTCGCTCGCGCCACCACGAAGGCCCGCCTGCTCTGCGAGGTTGGCCTCATCTTCTACTTCATGTACGTGTGCGACGCCTGGTACGCCGCCGTCTTCATGTCCGGCATGCTGCAGTGCGACCTCGATTTGCTCGCCCGCCGGCCCGAGCCCGACAGCGGCTTTCCTTCCTTCCTGCGCCGCCTCGAGCCCCATAAGAAAAAAATCTATTCGTTGCTGCTCCTCATCGCCGTCTACTTGGGCGGTGTCCCCGCCCACACCCGCGAGATGGACGATCTGCGCGCCAACCCTGGCTGGTACTGGCTTTCGTACCTCAAACCCCAGGCCGTCTTCGACCCCAAATGGTTCTTTCTCGCCATCGCCGCCAACTGCATCGTTGCCGCCACCCCGCGCCTCCTTCCCCTGCGCCGCTTCTTCGAGGGCCGCTTCTGCCAGTACCTCGGCCGCATCTCCTTCGCCCTGTACCTCGTCCACGGGCCTGTGCTTGTCGTCCTGGGCGACCGCGTCTACCATGCTGTCGGCTTCGTGGCCCCCCACGAGGAGACGCGCGCCCTCATGGCTGGCTGGGCCAACAAGGTCCCGCTGCCTATTGCGGGCCCGCTGGGGCTGGAGCCGGCCTTCTTGTTGCCTAACATTCTCCTGCTGCCCATCACCCTGTGGCTGTCAGACTTTGTGACCAGAACGGTCGACGAGCCGTCGGTGCGGTTTGCCCAATGGTTCTGGAAGTCCATACAGCAGGACGATCAGCACCCATCGCCGAGAGCTGTAGAGAATGGCAGGGCATCTGGTCCTCAGGGAGTCGCATGAGGGTGATACCAGTCCGTGGTTCATATTCATACAGCAGCAGCAGCAGCAGCAGCACTTGAGTTCGTTCACACAGACTGCAGGTCACTTCATCATGATAATCATGATGATGGGTCCATCGGAGTAGAAGCAACATAGGCTACAAGTTGGTCGAGGAGTTGCCATATACCCAAAACTTATCTCGGTCTTAACAGCAGATTGAGGATGTGGCAAACCGAAATTCAGGCTCCTAGAGCCGTCGGTCTGAGGCAGTCCGCGCTGCAGCTGCATACTGAAGATCAGAAGAGATACAAATGGTGTCACACGACACGTCAAGAGAATTCATCATGATCAAAACGGCTCCTGGTTGGAAGCAGCTGGGATGCCGAAGAGGATGAGCTGCTCCTGTCGGAGAGAGCAAAGAGAACAAGGCTCAAGAGGGCGTCGGATAGACCTCTCAAAACTCAACGTTGCCCTCGAGGCAGATTCAGTCACGGCTTCAAGAGCGATTGGCCACCCCCCAGTCAACTGGGGATAGAGGGTCCGTGAATCTTAATACATATACAAGTTGGCCTCGCACATGTAGAAGGCTGAGGGTAGAATGTATTGCAGAGAGTTAATCAAAGTCCGGTTTTGCGCCGCGATAATACGTACGGGAAAACAGCGCCTATTGTATTGTCGTGCTACATATAGTAATATCCTGATTCGCGCCAGCACAAACCCTGTGTCCTCCGAAAATCAGCTTGAGTTTACAGGATAGGATGACAGCACGGCATGTCACTTATTTAAGTTTTCTCGTCGTGACGAATGTTTCCATGTCGTATTCTCATTTCGATGAACCCAGGAAAGCCCCATCCGAAGTGCTTATTTGTCATCTAGGGCAAATTGTTCAACGTCAAGCTGCCACCCCAACTGCCACTTCGTCCGTCCTCTTCTGGTGGGTTTCGAGTTCCCTTTGACAGCTCTTCCATTAGACATGACAAATAATAGTCGACTTCTATAGTTATCTCGCAGGGACGACGGGTAATCAATCGTCGTTGTAGATATCTTTACGTACCTGCGATCCACCAATCTCATTACCATCGTACCCCCGCGGGTCCCCTCTCTCGAGCCACGCTGCCCTTCGTGGGCGGAATAGCGGTGACGGTTCCGTGAAGAGTAATATTGCTCGGGTTCTCCTATTTCTAGTGGGTTAGAAGCGGCCTTCCGCAAGTTTGTCTTTTCTTGTCTGGCTGTTGCATGTGGGCGTTGATTTGTTACCACGCAGCCTAGCATATGGTATTGTATGCACCGTTGTAGAAGACGCTGCATTATGTGGTCCCGGACGACTGCACACGGCATATGGGACAGGGCCAGGCTTCGCCAAGTACTTCGTCGTCTACGGGGCAGCTGTTTTTCACTGCTTTCCCCAGCCTGTCTGCACACACCGCCGCAGTCAGTGGGGCTCTCTGTTCTCAGAGTCACCACAATAACTGCAAAACATCATCTGCCGTCTGGATGTGTGTAATCCAGGCGGCCAGTCCACGCCCGGGATGAGGACAGCACAACGAAGTCTTTTGAGCCATGGCTGGAAGGCCCGCCGGACAAAGCAGCTTAGAGGTCCTGTCGCCATCTGCTGCGAGACAACTCAATTAGATATGGTTTGGGGCTGATCGGCGTGGCCGCCAGTGCAGGTTCCTGCTCACCGTCACCACAGGCTTTTTTTCTCCATCACAAGCACGAACTTTTGTTCAAAAGGTTCTCCAAGTACTCAGTTATTTTTACTCACGTGTGTCTCCGGCAATTTCCGGACCGGGAGCGCCGCTGTCTGTCCCTTCGAGACCGGTATAAGTGTGACCTCATCAACATCCATGATACACCGCGGCGCGGAACTGTCACTCTTAGGCTCCTAGCCTCTGCGCTATGCATAGCATCTCGGCTTGTGAATACTTAAGAACTGTTATACTACAAGATGTGGATTTCTGACATTGTTTAAACTCTCAACATGTGCCTCAGGGCGTTCTTGTCTGCATGGACGAGGCTGTCATCGATCCTGACGTAGGGGTTATGCCCTGGTGAACATGTGATTATGCAGCAGAATCCTAGTCACTGTGGTAATACAGACTAGACCTACAGTGAGACAGGGATTAGTTCGATATGGAGAATTATATGCATACGTAGTAATAGCGAGATCCTTTAGTGCTTTGTACAGCAAGCTGCGAGCAGAGGGTGGAGACCTTTGCCAGATTTATGACATCCTACGGTAGAGACTATAGGAGATCAACATCTCAGGTTTGACAAGTGTCGGGCCTGTAGGACTGACAAGATGAAATTAGAGGATGAGTTGCTTGCTTGTGTGGCCATAGATAGACCGTGGCGTTCTCAGTTCTAATAAGGGGATATATGTTAATAAACCATACATGTAGGATGCCAGTTACAAGGGCTGGAACGACATCACATATGTGTTGAGATACTAAACAGACTTGACTCATGATTTCACGATGCATAAGGCATATAACGGATTTACGGGACTGAGACAGGAAATAATTTGAGTTTGACCCTTTGCAAGTGAATTTTAACACATGTTAACACATATGAAAAAAAAAAAACCAAAAAACCCTTGACCCGTTTAGTGCAGATGTCAGCACATTTAGCTGCTGAATTGGGCATTCCTACTTACCACTTCTGCTCAGGGCAAGTCCAAACACATTAGAATACACAGTAATAAGACTCGAAGCAATCTAAGCTATCCTCAGAGCGTCAGTTTCCTAATACAGGAGTTCTAGGTCATAAGCAAAAAGAGTTCTCCCCGGCAAAACCCTATTCTCGCGGGAATAATAGGAACGCGGGGGACCCGTTGGAGGGGCGGCATTTCACCATACATTTAGTACTAGACAGTAAAAAGTCACAGGAGGCCCACTCGGCGGGATCCGATCAGCCCACAAAGCGCGCTTACGGGGGGAGAAGCAGGCCAACTTGGACGAGCATCGCTCGATTCTAGACGCCAGATCTGCCCACTCGATTCCTGCGCCCCCCCGCGCAGGGTTCGCTGACAGGCGCCGCAGGGCCGCAGCGACCGCAGACCCTTTTTCTGGGCCGGGCCATCTGCTCATGATCTCAACTTTATGGCATGATGCCCATTTCTGGCTCGACTCGGCCTTCCTCGCGAGCAGCGACCACGATAACTCTTCGGCGGCCATCTGGTCATGGAAGGAAAAAGTTTCTGGGGAAGGACCCGAGGGATCGGGAAGGTAAGGCTGTCTCGGGTGAGTGCATGTCTCATTTGTAGTCTATATTAAGAGCCGCGCTCTTGTTGTTGAAGTCGTGCCACCTTTCTTGTGTTCCATCATCATCATCAGCATCAATCAAATCAGCCTTATACCTGAGACAACAGCAACAACAACTTGGTCCAATCATCTCGCGACCTACAAAGAACACTACCTTATACCCACATCGAACCTATTATCCCAAGACCACATCTCATCATTCTGAGGTCGTACTTGCGTCGCTAAAGTTCCGACACACTCCAACTCCACTCTTCGCATCATATACACACCACTTGTGGTTCCAAAGTCGCACAATCAACACACAACAACAATGTCTCCAATCATCGCCCGCGCTGCCATCCGTGCTACTCGCACCGCCGGACAGAACAGGCAATTCTCTGTCATGCGAACAATGCGCAATGTGGCCCGCTCTTTTGAGCCGCATCCCTTCCAGAGGCTGCCCAATGCCGGAACCCCCCAGAAGGCAGACTGGAGCAAGCTGGTCAAGCGCTCTGCCGGTCAGGCCATGATGTAAGCACTGCCTTCTATTGTTTCACCACTCGGTGCGATACATGAAGCTAATGGTATGATGTTTCTGCAGTTACTTCCCTGGCTTCGGTTTCATTCTGGGCTGGCCATACCTCGCCAAGGTTGGCCTCGACGGACGCATGTAGACGGATCCAAAAAAAACGAAAAAAAAAAAAGAAAAAAAAAGACGAGATTGCGTTCAACCATATATAACAAGGATGAGCGACAAGCAGCGGCATTGGATCATAAGAGTATGCGGGCGGAGCATTTGTGGAATACTTCAAGTAGACGGAGCGGCATACACTTCATCATTGCGTCTGGCTGCAGCGCATCCTGCATTAGGTCGGCGTTTTTGGGATACTGGGAGGAGCTTTGATTGGGTTTAAGATACCAGAAGATCAGTTGGAAAGCTCTTCCACACAAGAATAATTTACTATGTTCAACAAGATTTCTCTTCGGTTTTTGTTTATGATGACCTCGTGCCAATCCTTCAGCCTCGTTCCCTCACGGTTCAGCCTTATTCTGCGACATCCGCGGAAATGCATGTGATTATGCAAGGTAAGTTTTCTTTAAAGTGATTTACCACCTGAAAATGATTGTCTTCAGCAGCACATGCGCAAATATCTGTCACATCAGAAAGCAGCCAACCAAATGTCTTGAATAAGTCGATTGTTGCTTTGATTCGGGATCTAGACTAACAATTGAACCAGAACGGCAAGGACAAATATAAAGGCTGCAGGGCCTTCTCCGTCGCTCACTTTTGGTTGAAAAGTGGAGGTATACGTCATTTCAGTTCCAAGCGCCTGAAATTCTCAGTATCTTCATGTGTTTACTGGAACTATGTCAGGCCTCTCATACTGCTGTGTTGCTTATTCTCCATATGTGCAAGGCTTCCAAATGAAGGTCTCCAAAAGCCTCCAAAGGTTATACAGAGATAGGGTTAGGGGTCCTAAAGCCCTAACCCTGCTATCCCCTGCATGTCGCGGTGATAGGACACCCCCTGTCGATTTGTTTGCTTGGGTGAGCTTTCCCGTCCTTAGTCGCGTCGCTAGCCACGACGACGTCCCGCGATCGTACATACATACATAGTACATAAGTCAACTCAAGCCATTCATCCACGACATCATCACTGCCACGACGGCACCGCCCCAATCGTGGGCACTACATTCTTCTGATCCTGTCCTTTTCGTCCTCGATACAGCTGCATTTCGTCATGATCAGAAGCTGCCAACGTTAAGAGCGAATAAAATAAACAGCATCAAGAACGACGCGAAACGGGCAACCCTGTTGCGGTGCAAAGGGGGTCTTCCTGTACTTGATTGAACTGCCAGAACGTTGCACGAGCGAAGAGGACAGAAGACAAGCGGCGATCCGTTGAGCTGCATTGCTCACAAAGCGGATTAGTTCGGGCCAGAGGAGGGACATCGAGAACACGCCCACACAATGGCGGATTCACTGCACAACGCGCCGATAGTGCTCGACAACGGTTCTGGTACAATCCGCGCCGGGTTTGCGGGCGACGACCTGCCGAAATGCTACTTCCCCTCGTTTGTGGGGCGGCCCAAGCACCTGCGGGTGCTGGCCGGCGCGTTGGAGGGTGAGGTCTTTATCGGGCAGAGAGCCGCTACGGAGCTGCGTGGCCTGCTCAAGATCCGGTACCCGCTGGAGCACGGTATCGTGACGGACTGGGACGATATGGAGAAGATCTGGGGCTACGTCTACGACGAGGGTCTGAAGACGTTGAGCGAAGAGGTATGACGGCCTCCCCCCCCCCCCCTCTTCCTGTCCTGCCTTTGTTATAGATAGTGTTACCATCTATTATCTGTACCTTGGGCCGCTCCAGAGCTAATCTTATCTGTGTTATGTATGCAGCACCCCGTCCTCCTGACCGAACCGCCCCTCAATCCTCGCAGCAACCGCGACACGGCAGCCCAGATTCTCTTCGAGACCTTCAACGTCCCCGCTCTCTACACATCCATACAGGCCGTTCTGTCCCTCTACGCCTCCGGCCGGACAACGGGCATCGTGCTGGACGCGGGCGATGGCGTGTCGCATGCGGTGCCGGTGTACGAGGGGTTTGCCATTACGAACAGTATCCAGCGGATCGACGTCGCGGGCAGGGACATTACGGAGTATCTGCAGACGCTGCTGCGCAAGAGCGGGTACGTGTTCCACACGAGCGCCGAGAAGGAGGTCGTGCGGCACATCAAGGAGGCTGTCACGTATGTGGCACATGACCCGCGGAAGGAGGAGAAAGACTGGGCGCAGGTGAAGCTGGATCAGAGCAAGGTGGTGGACTACACGCTGCCGGATGGTAACAAGTTGAAGGTCTGTCTGCCTATTATTTCCCCCTGTCGTTGTCCTGGTCACAAAGCTGTACGAGATGCGCATGAGATGCTGACTGTTGTACTGGTCTAGATTGGAGCAGAGCGCTTCAGGGCACCAGAGATCCTGTTCGACCCCGAGATTATTGGCCTTGAGTACCCAGGCGTGCATCAGATTGTGGTGGATGCTATCAACAGGACGGACCTGGACCTGCGGAAAGCACTATACTCGAACATTGTGTTGTCTGGTGGCAGCACGCTCACCAAGGGCTTCGGTGACCGCCTCTTGACCGAGGTTCAGAGGCTCGCTGTCAAGGATATGCGGATAAAGATCTTTGCACCGCCGGAGAGGAAGTACTCTACCTGGATCGGCGGCAGTATTCTGGCTGGTCTGAGTACGTTTAGAAAGGTAAGTTGCCCTGTCCTCTTGGTGTTCCTGACGATGAGATATCCCAAAAAGCAAAAGAACAGCGACTGACGACATATTACAGATGTGGGTCAGCATTGATGACTGGCATGAGAACCCGGACATAATCCATACCAAGTTCACATAATCGATTCATGTTAAACTAGAATCATTTGCGTAGGAAGCAAGAGGAGAGAGAATTGGCATGCAGAGGGTCAGAGCGCGAAAGCAAGATGTACTACGAATCTCAGCATCGAGGAGGGGCCCTCGGGTCGTGCAGATATCAATTGGGTGATAAGTGCAGTGAAGAGCATGTGTTTGCTTTGCTGTAGCCGGAGTTGACATCTCATTCAGACTAGACGGAGAAAATGATACCCACGTTGACGATAAACAGCTTTTTTGAGTCACATAAGGGATGGATATCTTTTGTTGGAGATTTGTTCAAGGCCGTTGTCGGGCCATTATATTCCTTCATGTATGCTACATACTGCATAATAATACCAGACGGCTGATACAGCCGCCCAAAAGACGAAAAGAACCTTTCTTTTTCTTTTGTATCATAAAGTCGCTTCCTGGGTGGGGTATTGTAAAGACCATAAGAAAATATCGCTTTCCACCCACGATTCACCAGAACAAACGCCGCTCGCAATGATGACCCACCCCCATCCATGTCCTGGAGTCTGCCAGCCAGGAGGAATTGGATGGGAGGGTTTGGTCAATGACCGAAAAAAAAAAAAGGGTGTCCATTCCTCCCTTTCTCTTTAATCATTTCCTCTTTGTTGTGCGAATGTTTCTTCGTTTGAGCTGAGGCCCACCAAGTTTCATTAAATCGGAAGAAGAAAAGAAGCAAATAAATTCAACCAAACCAAACGCCAGTCGTTCAGAACTTTTCTTTTTCTTTTGTTGGGTCATCCGTGAAAACGCCCACCGTGCACCATAAAAAAAAGAAAGGGAGAACCCTCTCAAGATGTCCAAAACGTTGCCGACACCACCAGGCACCACAACTGTCATGTCATAAAGCCGAGTATGTGCGTGACAAAGAAAGAGGGAGAAACAGGCAGAGATGAGACTATTTCTTGAGGTCTTCGAAAGCCTCAGTGCTTGTTGCCAAACACGCCGCTCAGCCGCCTCAGCACACCCGAGCCTGCACTGCTGCCCGAGCTAGACGAGGAGCTCGCGCTGCCCTGCCTGCTCTTCTTGCTGCTGCTGCTGCTGCCGGCGGCAGGACCACCCGTCAGCCCCGACGCGAAGTTGCCCGCGCCACCCCGGCCGACATGGTAACCGAAGCGGGCCTGTGCCTGGCCGCGGCGGTCGGCGCGGGAGAATTCATCCTCGAAGGAGAGGACGGGGCGCTCGATGTGGCTGTGGGCGTTGCCTGCGCCGCCTCGGCCGGAGTAGAAACGACGGCCCTCTGAGGCGGAAGCAGAGGAAGAGGATGAGGTGGTGGAGGTGGTGCTGACGTTGGTGGCGACGGGGTGGATGGGGGTGGGCACGCCGGCGGGCGAGGTGGTCAGCGGGGCGCGGAAGTGATTGCCTGCACCGCCGCGGCCGGCATGGATGTAGGTGTTTTGGGCGACGGTGGGGTGAGGCTCGGTGATTGTGTAGCGGGAGGGCATCTTTTTGTTTTTGTTGTTGTTGTTGTTGTTGTTGTTGTTGTTGTTGTTGTTGTTTTGGTTGGTGTGTTTAGTAAATGGTTGTGCTGATATCTGGTCAAGAAGGGTGGGATTGTTTGATATTGAAATGACTCCTCTGCAGTATGTGTTGCAGTGTTGTTTTCAAGAAGTTGAGGGTTATGAATGTTGGAATAACGAATTCCTTCGAGAGAATAATGAATTGATTAGGTATTGTCAGTGAGTGAGTAGAAGTGTGTTTGCTTGATTATGTCACAAAGGGTTTATATGGTGAGGAGGGTGTACACGAGAAGGAGGGCGAGAGCTTATATAGGGATGGGAGGCCAGGTCAGGAACTAATGAGTCCTCCCTTGGAGAAGAATTTGCAACAATGAGCAAATCCAACTTGGCACTAGATCCCATGACCCAAAGACAAAACAAGGGAGAATCCATGAGGGAAAAAGGAGGCTTGGTACATTGGTATTGTGAGACAAGACCAGAAGCGCCAAAGTACCTCCCCTCCTCACTAACAAAAAAAATCAAAATCATCATCACTTTTACAGTGGTTGGGTACTATGAAGAGAGAAAAATTACAACCGCTGAAAAGGTCGAAAGTGGCCCTGGAACCCGCTACACTTTGCAGTTAACGGCAAGGGGGTTACAGGGGGGGCTCATTGCCTCTTGTGGTCATGAGACCTGTTAACCTGCTGCCGTGGCTTTCTATGGGGTAAGAATTACCCCATCGATTCCCTTCCCGCGACAACTTTTTAGTCATGTTCCAAGGGCGGGCGGGATGGGACTTGTAACCGGGCCACGCACTTTGCCTTGCTTGGTGGCCCTCCCAAGGTACATTCGATTTCTGTTTTTTTTCTTCCTGTCCCCCCTTCATTTCATTTCCAGCCTTTTGGTCACCTTGTATCCCCCAGCTGACCTTACCCTTCTCTTGTAGCGCCCGGTTTGGTTGTTGGCTCGGTCCCCTTGGCAGAACGGGTCAGTGATGCCCGGGAAAAGAGAGAGAGAGAGAGAGAGAGAGAGAGAGAGAGAGAGAGACTCCAAGGGCTGGTGACACCATCAACATGACACTTGTCGTGACTGTGTGATTTGAAACACCAATGGGCCAATTGTTTGCGGACACTGTGACGAGCTATGTGCAATACATGAGGAGAGATCACGTCCGCTACGCTCGCCCACATGTGTATGTTACATACTTGTACATCGTCCCCAGCAGTCAACGAACACAGATGCATCAAGAGGACAAGACGGAGAGCTTGTCTCATCCTCTTCTCCATGCTCTTGTTGCGCTGCCAACTCAGCAGCAAGCAAACTCGTTTGTCATCTCGATGGAAACAGCAACATAGAATATGTGGGTCCCTCTTCTTTGACCAACTAGGAAGTCACTCGCGAAGCGGGAGGAGACCTGTACGTGTGTGTGTGTGAGAGAGACAGGGCCCATCAGCTTTGCAGAGCTATTCCTGGAACGCGACAAGGAACGCTGTCGACCCCAGATTTTAGGGCTGGCCCCGTGATGCTTGAGGCTAGGGACAGTTGTCCGTCGTGAGAGAGAGAGAGGGGTCTCCAATCGACAAGCTGTTCTCCTTCTCCTCTTCCTCCTCCTCCTCTCTTCCCTCATCCCTCCTGCAGCTTCTGAGACGGCAGTCGAGGACGGTCAGGGGCCTCGGTTAGGCTGCATGTGGAGCAATTGGCCATCTTTCTTTCTCCCTCTCCTGGAGGTCTGGCCTTTGCTGGGCGGCGAGGCCGTGGTGGTGGCTATTGTTGTGGGCATGCGTGGTTACTCACCACGTACCATTATGGATGGTCATAGGGGGGAGGAGGGGCCGAAAGAAGAGAAAAAGAAAAAAAAAAGGAGACCTCGAGCTGGCCAAGGCTCGCAAGGTCCTCACTCGCCCTGTCTCGACCTTCCCCCTCTCCTTCTCTTCCGCCTCGGCTCCTGGATAACGGCTCGACCTGGGAGTGGATCTTCAGGGCTGAAAAAATAAAACAGAAAATGACCGCGCGGGACCGAGCGAGAATCTGGGGAAAAGTACGCTACTGTGACAATGAAAGACCGGCTAGGGGCGGATAACTTTCTCCAGGACTGCCCCTGAACGCGGACTCCACGTCAATGACGAAAGAAAGCAGAGTTTTTTCTTTCTCTCTACTTCTTCTTTTCTCTTGTTTTCATATTGCCTTTCTCTCTTGGCTGACTCACTGATCAAGATCTTGTCACCAGAGTGGGGATCCAAAAATTTCTTTCTCTTTTCTTCAATGGTTGAAGTTTTCTGCCTTCATCCACTGATCTTTTTGGGGAGGCGATCTGAGAGTTGGAACACGACAAAAGAGAGGCCAAGTACTGAGTCGACCAGGGAGGGGGCGGGAAGCGAACAACTCTCTTACAGTCTGTCGTCTTTGTTTAGTGGGCATTGCTTGTGTGCTTTGGTCCTACTGCATGTTACATACTACTATGGCATAGTCAGGACGAACCCTGCCAAAGTCGTCGCACCACCATCCGTCCATGCGTGAGGATGGGCAGTAGTTAGGTAAAATGGGGGTAATAGTCGCCCTCTTGCCCTTCCTTTGCGGGGGGACACCACCGACACGAGCCATCTGCCCAACGGTGCTGTTGGAGGGGGATGGCGCGACTTGGGGTGCTGCACACCGCATGTCAGACAAGATGTAACGCTCAATTCTCCTGCATCTCCGAGGAGGAGTTCTCACCAGAGGGACAGCACAGAGAGGGAGAGAAGTCAAAGAAAGGATCATCGTCGTTTTGATATTCATCTTCGGAAAGAAAAAGAACTTCGATTTAGACCTTCGTTTCCTTGTCCTCCTAATTTTTCCTTTTCCTTTTTCCTTTACTTTACCTCACTACGGGACAGCCAGCCTAGGAGAATTCCTGGTACTTTCCATTCACAAACGTGACATAGTATGGCAGCTCATCGTCCTCCAGCAACTGGCTGAATATCTTGAAGTGTCCCTCACCATCCGGCTTGCTTCCCACAGGCCCGCCTTCCGCCGTGCGCTCATCCGCAAAGAAGAACCTATACCCATCATGTCCAATTAGCAAGTGCTCACTTCTTCTTTTGCCCCGGGAACTCATTGATAAACACCAAAAAGAGAGAAGAGAAAGAAAGGGGGAAAGGAAGAAGAAGAAGAAGAAGAAAAAAAGAGAAACTCACCGAATCCCCTTGGCCTTGAACGCCACATCCGCCAGCCCAACCCAATAATTCGCACCACTCTTACCAATCCCCAGGCCCACCAGCGCCGGAACAGGCAGGATCTTCTTGGGAAGAAAATTCCCCGTCACGATAAACGTGCCCTTCCTCCCCGTCTCCTCGCCTTCCTTCCAGACCCGCACAGCCTCGCGGGCGGCCACATAGGGACTCTTGACCATAAGGTCAAAGTCCCGACTGAACGCGTCCTCGTCCACCTCGAGCGGGTTCTCCGGGTCCGAGGGGGGCGACACGGCGGCGGCGTTCCAGATCACCACCGAGGGGAACGCCAGGCCGGCCGAGGTCAGCTGTTGGAAGACCTTGGGCACGGCCTTGGGGTCCGAGAGGTCGGCTTGGATGGCGTGGACGTTGGTGGGTGTGGACGCGGGCTTGGATCGCGAGACTGTGGCTACGTGGTAGCCGGCGCCGAGGAAGCCCTTGACTAGGGCGGCGCCTACGTTGGAGCCGGTGCCGAAGATGAGAGCCACGCGGGAGGAGGATGATGAGGCCATTGTGATGCGTGTCTGTCTGTGTGAGTGTGTGAGTGTGTGTTCGGGAAGCAGGAATACAAAGCTTGTTTGTTACTTGGGTGGATGTTTCTCCTGAAGAGAGATGAACCTGTGAGTTTTTATTTTTTATTTTTTATTTTACTATATAACACTTCTCAAGTGCTTTGATGATGATGATTGTGATGATGATGGTGATGATGATGATGATTTCATTCGACCATTTTGATGGACATGATCGGCTCTAGATATATTTCTTCTCCTGCCCCTCATGATTATGATCATTACCATATTCGTCTTCCCTACCTACTACATCTATTCCCAAAACCAGTAAATGCCGATAATGATGATGATGCAAGACCAAGACTAAACCGTGATGAATACGACCTACCTACCTACCACCACCATACTACAGACCGATCATCCTTTTTGATTTCGAAGCATTTGGAAGCAACCTCGGCGCTCGGCCTAACGTGCCCAGAAGCACACCTGATTGGCCCGCAGCACTGCAAATACAGGGATGGACTGACTGTCCTAGAATACTACACGACCCTGCTTACATATGTACACTGAAGCCTGGACGGCTGCTCTGATCACGCTTATAAACGCCTCCCTGCTGCTATTTAGACTATCAACTGCGTGCAGTGCTACAACAGCCTTGTGTCTAGACCTCACGCCCTTTTGTGAAGTTGTCGTTCCCCTTGATTAATAATGGCAGGGTGCCGGCAGGACGCTTTCGTCGGCCTTGTCGGTCTGAGGTTTCTTTTGACAGTTGGCGTGGGAAGCTAACGTTATTAGGCCAGGGGACAGAGAGGCATCTTCTAAGCCAGGCTGGAAAGCCCTGTGTTCATTATAGAGTAATGGTTGCTGCTCTCCTAGAATATTTTAATGAACGGCCGGACCGTGTTTGTCATTCTTACACACCCGAGAAGAGGGGGTATCTAACATGATGCTCAATACATGTAGAGTGAAGAAAAGAATGCGTGTGTGGGTGGGAGAAGATAGATCTCTCTCTGAATGCTCGCTCCTTTCTTTCCTCCCATTTCCATCGCCAGCCCATTCCGTCTGAAGAATCTAAGTAGCACGCGCTGCCTTCCACTCCATGACCCGGCCTACTTTTTCTCTTTCTCACTTTCCCTCACAACTCATTACCAATTTGTTGAGTCTTCCGCTAGCCGGCCGTGATTACATTCATGTCATCATTAAAGGATTGATCTCGCCTATGCAAACATCCTGCACGCCTTGGTTTTTTGTATGTATACCATCGCTTCCCTCGCAGCGGCCCATCTCTCCCGCGAGTCCTTTCTTCAGTGATTATGGGTTTCTCGAGAAGAAAAGGGCACGGGAAAAAAAAAAAAAAAAAAAAAAAAAAAGAAGACGAAAAGAGCCATGTCCAGCAGGAGAATAAAAAACCACACACAGCAGGATCTATAAACACACGCTGGGAAAATAGAGTCATGTGTTGGAAGAAATGAAGTCCGATAGCATCTCTCCATGTGTCTCCGCCCCCGCACTCGGCTGAGAAGCTGGTCCCGAGGGGGTTTTTGTTGCACACACTCTCCTCATCACCGCTTGAGAAGCTGACTCGGAAGGATGTAAAGATGGCTGGGTATAAGAACTCGACGAGTTACCCAAGTGTTGTATCTCCTCTTCCCCGTCTGACATAAAAGGTGGTGGTGATGATGATGATGATGATGATAATGAGGACGTTGACCCTGAAGAATGCGCGCCATGCAACCGATGTACTCGTAGCTGGCCAGCAGCTCTACCTCTCCGCCCACAGTGTTGCTCGTGGAGCAAGTGGCTCTGCAGATGCCTGTAGAACCTTGATCTCTTCCAAGAGCTCTTCATCCAAGGCTTCCTCCGCCTGTTGTCCACCACTCCGCGAAGACGCATCTTCTTCCCATTTGCTCGCTGTTGTACATATCTCCTGATTCGAAATATGGTCCCCCGTCTCCAATCTTCCTTACTCTCACGAATTTCTATACGTTGAAGCAGGTTTCTCAAGAGTCGAACCTTGGACGTTCGTTTCTACCGATCAAGGGTATCGTCGATGGCAAGCAGCCAGCCCTCAAAGGGCGAACCAACCTTGTCCTAGAAGGTATCTGAGTCCTGGGAGCCGATTGTGCCAAAGGTATCTATTGGATTTTTCAAACACACAGCGTCAGCAATTGTAAGATTTCAATATCGCTACCCAGCTTTGTAGCTCATCACATTTTGTCTGAATCAAGCAAATCCATCCCGCAAAGAAAAGCTTCGGCGCGTACCTCTTTTCCTCCTCCGGTCTTCAGCCTGGCCCTCGGGCGGCGCGGGGCTACGAGTGCCCATCGCGCGAGGTCCGCTAGGTCGCCGGGCCGGGGCACCTCGGACGTTCTGGAGGTTGCGGTTCTCCGGCTTGGGGCTGCCAGCAGGCTTGTAGCCCAGTGCGGAGATACGGTTCCGAGTCGGGGTGACGCCCCGTGTTGGCGACGAGAGCCCATCAATCGGTTCCTTGGGAGGCCGTGGAGGCCCGCTCGACGAGGGGTCGCCTGTTGGTGAGGGGGCGCCCTCCCAGGTGTACTGTCCCTGCTCCTGGGACACCGAGCTGCCGCCGCCGCCGCCGCCGCCGCCGTACCTGGGCTGTTGGCCGGTGAAACGGTTCAGGCTCGTGACGGAGCCCCAGTTGGCAGACTCGGGAGACATGGGCTGATCGAAATCCTGGGCCGTTGTCTCGAGCGTCCGGAAGTGCTCAGTCTGGCCCTGCCTGGGCTGCGGGTGTTGCAGGTTCACCGAGTTGCGGTGAGCCCTGTATTTGGGATCCTCTGGGGTATCATAATGCTGAAGAAAAGGGTTTTCTGGGAGGCCGTGCTCGTCGTCCTCAGGGTCATGCTCCATCGGGAGGGGCGTCCGGCTAACACCGGCCATGGTGAACTCCATGTTGGTCTCGATCTGGTTGGGATCATGCCGTCGCGACTGCGGCTGGAGGTTAGGGTCAGAGAACCCCGAATGAAGTTGATCCACGCTGACGGGATCCACCGGGTAGTCATCGTAGTCGCCTATGCTGGAGCCAGAACGGGAGTGTGCCCGGAACGAGTTCACGTCTGTGTCCTTGGACTTGCGGAAGGCCTTGCCCACGCTGGAGGCCGTGGTCTCAGACCAGCGGGAGATCTTGGGAAACCAGCTGGACGACCCGCTGGATTTGTGCTTCCTCCCTTTGTCCACGCCCATGCGCGGGGTGTTCTCGTTGCTCAGCGATACCTGATGTACTGCTGGCGCCTGCGGCGGTGTGCCTGGGGGCACTGAGTTGACACGTGTGATCTCGTGGACGGGGCTCGTCATGTCTGCATCGCTGCGGCTGTGGATCACAACATTGGAGTCCTCGTACTGGTCCTCCTCGTCTCCCTCGGGCACGGTACTTATCCGGTGTCCCGACACCTTTCGCTGGTACCCTGCAGATGGGTCGCGAGGGATGGAGAGATGGCCAGATTGGCTAGCGTAGCTGGCAGTCGAGGTGCCGGCATGCCCCTCGGGTTCGTAGCCACGGTCCTGCTCGTATTGAACCGCAGGTTGGAGATTGTCGAGAGATGGACCGCTGTCCTGGCCCATGCCGCCGCCGCCCTGAGCAGTCTGTGCCTTGAGCACATCAACCTCTCCCAGCAGTTGCATCAGCATGTCCTCGATCCTGGTCAGGTCGTTTGTCCCCTTGGCGCTGAGACCCTTAATCGCTCGCCGCCACAGGTTGCGCGTCTTCTTCTCGTTGTCAGTGCCACCCTGAGAGCCCGTCTGGACTGACCTCGCACCGCTGCCAGGGAAGGGACGGGGGCCACCAATGTGACGCTGCACCGTCTTCTCGGTGTTGTCCTTGACCTCGGTGATGATGACGTCTTCGGTATCAGCGAGCAGCTTCTTGATGTCGTCGAACGAGTTCCGCATCTCAGCCGCAGTACGGACGAGGGTGACGAGAATCTCCGTGTCGCGAGCACTGCGCTGGGCATCGCGGACCATGAGATGCTGCATCAGAGCAATGATATCCTTGGACTCGATCTGCTCGATGCCCGTGCCGGTGGCAGCATCATACAAGGGAGAGCCCAGGCCCTGAGGCGCGCCGGCCATGTATTGAGGATCCTGAGAGTTGAAGAGGGACTCGACACCACCAGGCATGGGTGGCTGCGGCGAATAGTCGAGGGCCTTGCCCTTGATGTCGGGCGTCCTGTTGGGACCCTGTGAGATGTACCCCTCGTCGATTTTGGGCCCGAAGGGACTTCCAGAGCCATAATTCATGTAGCCCAGGGGATCGTATTGAGGAACGTGGCCAGGAAACTCAATATCAAGACCAGGAGCGTTGGCCAGAGGACTCGTCCCCTCATAAGGGTTGGTCACAATGGTGTCCCGCTTGCGGTCCTCATCTGTGCGATGCCACTCGTCGTCATCGTCGTCGTCGTTGTGGTCGTCGTCCATATCCTCACTGGACTGGCGACTGTGAGCGTGTGCCATGGCGGCAGCCGTCGCTACCGCAGCAGCGCCTGCGGCCTCGTCAAGGGTGATGCCATGACGTCCATGGATGCTCTCCTGCGTGGGCGTGATGGGCTCGTCCTCCTGCCACTGGGCCTCCTCCGTGGCGCTGAGACGGTCGCTCATTCGCGACGGGTTGGTCAGTGCATCACTATCATGCGCAAAGTATCCTATCTCGGGCAGAGGATCGCTGGCGTCTGGCAGCCCGCTGTGTCCGACCCTGGGTCTGTCGTATTCGTCCAGACGGTCAACGCTGTGCGTGGGCGTGTTCGCTGGCAGATATCCTTCGCGAGTACGATCCTTGAAAGATTTATTTCTCTGCACACCCTCTCCCAGCCACTCGCCTTCAGGCTCCTGCTTGCCCTTGCCCTTCGCGGCCGCCCTCAGAGCGGCGGCCGCTGCACCAACGGCTGCACCGGTGATGGCAGCCTCAGAGGCAGTCGGCCCATGCTGATACTTGGTGATGGGGACTTTTCGGCCATACTTGTCAAGGTCGTACTCTTGAAAGTGCTGCGGATGGTGGGGGTGGTCCTGGTCTTCCGAAAGCTCAGATACCGTATCTTCCTCGACCACGCGTGGTGGCTCGGGAGTCTGCTCACGAGAGCTGGCAGCCATCTGCCCCTCCTCCTCGAGCATGGCTGCGGCCTCGAGAGCAGCCGCAGAAGCACGGTTGTTACGCTGTTGGCCGCTTCGG